AAACGGCTCGCCAACGCCGGAACGAATTCCGAAGACTATAATCTTTATAGACTCCCGACGTGATATCCAAAAATGTGCGGAATGTCTGCGAGGCTGGCTACAGAAACTCTCAGCTGGGGCCGTCGGGGCCCACGACTGCAAGCAGATTATCCAGGTCTACCATTCACACACCACTCCAAACGACAAGAATGCTATATACGACCAGTTTTCCAAAGCGGACTCTAAGATCCGAATTATGGTGGCCACAGAATCATTAGGAACGGGGGTAGATCTCTCGGATGTCACACGAGTTGTCCAATACGGCTTCCCTCTGGAACGACTCTTATGCGTCCTTATCCAACGATTTGGCCGTGCAGCTAGGATGGCTGGCATTAAAGGAGAGGCCATCTTCTTGGTGGAAAGTTGGGCGATAGGTGACAGGATCTTATCGACAAGACCGGCGCTTCTATCCAGAACTCAGACGCCGTCGTGTTTAAGACGGCCTTCCAACACGAGCCGGTTAGCTCAGTCGTACTCTGCTGATCCAGGAGTGGGCGGTGACATCCTAGATGATGAATCGGATATTGCCGTAGACGCCATTAAATATGATATACCAGGAGAGCAGCACCGACGCAAAACGGAGAGAGAACGCCGAACAGACCTACACGATGACTGTCCGGCGCTATTCAATCTTGTTAATCGATCCGCATGCCTACGCCGAATCCTAATGGATTGGCTACAAGAGAGTCTATCGGATCCAGCATCTAGGTTACCGGCTCCTGAACCGCAGGAGTGCTGTAATGTCTGTAACCCAGATCTGGCGCGGGCGGTACCTTTCCCATGGGATACCACAACTGGTCTTCGTAAGCCCCAGACTGGAACGGCATCCGGCGCATTTTATGACCGCCTGACCCTCTGGGGAGATAACGTTGTGAATTCGGCACATCGGATGATGAAGCCAGAACTCTCAGCACGGTTATTCGCGCCGAAGGAAGAGTGGATATCAATATCGAGAGAGTATACGAACATCCGCTCGGCTGCTGAGTTGGAGAAGTTTACGAAATCGGCTTGGATGAAAGACCATTCCCATGAGCTGTTCGAAGAGTTCAATAAAATCAAGTCCTATGTAGTGAGGAACTGGCCCGGACGCTATACACCAGGAACCGCAGCGGCAGCTCAAGTTCTAATACGAAGGGCGCCATTCGAACACGCTCATCCCACAGTCGAACAGCAAGTATCTCAACACAGAGGTCGGAAGAGAAGATTGTCTATAGAAGCAGAGACTCTGATAACTCCTGATCAGGAACGAAGAGTATTACTCGCGCGTGAGCGAGAAGAGTACGTTTCCTCGCTAGAGCGGATCATTGCTCAGGCAAGGGAGGTGTCAGCCTCGTGCTCTTCCCATCTACCTACCCTACCAATGACCATAGTATCAGCGAACTCGTCATTTACATCTATGGGTAGGTTGATGACATCTACAAACGTAGATTATTCTTCTGCTAGGTCAGGTGTTCTCGAAGACGGCGAGAATGAGGTATCAGGTGTAATTGATGGTAATCGGGCCTTGAAACGTCCCATATTAACCCGGGGGGGGGAAGTAGAAACGAAACGGGTCGTCCTCGGCGTTCTAGACTCTAACGCAAGGTGAAGCCCTCGCAACAAGAAAGGGAATAATAGCCGCTACAACCACAGCGAGTGGACATTATAGATAGGTTACTCTGACTCGACGTCCGAAGGTAAACCCCATTCATGGGCTACATCTCTGTCTGCCAAGGGCTGGCGACGTCTGTTAGCACGAGACTAGAAACTCCATGAGCATGCGCATACCAATATCGCCATCGTGTCGCTATTAGGATCTAAATCAGCCGTGGCTCCTCTCCTCTCATAAGGTGGTACGACTATTCGATCTTCATCTCTTATGACCTTTGCATTAAACACCTCCAATTTTTGAGTTGCTACTCTTCCGAGCCCGATCGTATGTATGTCTGGTGCTTGATGTCTTGCCTCCCTGCCGCCGTCATAAAATTTAATCGAGTCGCATGCCAGCTCAAAGGCTAATGTATGAATATCATCCATCGCGGAGGGCACAGAATGTGTGGAGTTGCCCTTCCGGGCGAATGCGTCCTCTACTGCCCTGCGTAGACAAACAGTATATTCTGCCGTTAATGAGGTAGTCTTGAACAGAGCATCCAATCCGAAAGTCGACGTTCGACGGGCCCAAAGCTCTCTTTTCAGCTCCAGGTTCAGATATTCAAGGCTACGATCGACTTCTTGCCAGGTGTCCCGACAGCCATGCGGGTTAACGAGGCTATTCGAGAGTATTGCGCGCCGAAGCTCCTTGTCACAAGCTTTGGTGCTAGTGAGCCGCTTTAGATAGAGCATTTCGAATGCGTAGTTTGATTGTCCAGTCCCCTCGAAGTAAAAGCAACAGACACCAATGACTCGGTCGATGAGTCCTATATCTCCGTTTTTGATGCCGTACTTCAAGGTCTTGTACACAACCATTTGTTGAAGGTATCGAGCATGACTAAGGAACTCCTCATCGACTGTATTGTTGGTATGCTTCTCCTTCGATGGTCGCCAGGCTTCCGGCTCAAATGCGGATCTGCGAACATCCTCCACCAGTTCCATGAACCCTCTAGTATCCATGTTCCGAATTGCCTTGTCAACCCCCTCTTGATCGGAGATATCGATGCCGTACTGCTCGAGGTGAGTATAAAGTAGTCCAACAACTCGAGCGTCGAAACTGTGAAGCACTAGCTCTTCTAGAACCTGAAAAGCTGCACGGTCCGCTGGAATATTCTTTCGTCCCCAGAAGTTGATGTTGTGATAGAGAGTTGAAGCGTCCTGTTGCTCCATGTTTCCGTAATGTGTCTTTTGCATGAGCCATAGAAAATTCATACGCAGGTGAAAGAGAGCAGCGACTCCTATCAGCCAGTCTTTTCTATCATACGCCATAGACGCGTCGACTTGCTCAGCCTGCATAGATCGGATAAGTGAAGAGGTTTTTTGATCGCCAAACGCCAAGAACAGACGGTTGTCGAATTCTTTATTATCTAGTTGGAATTGGTGCTTGTAGATGCTCTCTATAACCTCGTAGGAGCCATCTAGAGTACCTTCGTTGAAGAGAATCGGACCGAGCGTCTTGCTGTCTGTCTTTCGAAGCTCGAGTAACTCGACTGTTGGCATAGCGGGGTAAGGTATACCGGACGTAGAGAAGATAGATTTGATCGCGAGTGGATATACCGATCGAATTGCCTCCGCTATAAAGTAGGTATCAATCTTGGCGGCGGTCTCGTCATATACTGCTGCACCAGGAGAGTATAGAAGATCCTCTATTGTAAGTGGAACCTCGCGGTGCAGCATTGACTGCTTTAAACCACCAGAGGGGATATCGGCGCCTCTGAAAACCTTTCCCGTTGTCACAGAGCGCATTTCTGCGTGATTTGAAATGAGCTGGTGCTTAATACCTTCTCGATAGTCGAAATTGTCATACACAACACAGGCATCTAGTTGCTGACCATATCGACGGACCGTTCCCTAGTTGCAATCAGTCGACGTCTATGCTGAGAGGCGGTGAAGATGCCTTTGCTTGTTCTGCCACGGTTTCGAGATGTCTGTGGACTCCCTTGTAGCCTTCACAAACCCCAAACTGGTGAAGAAGATCGAGGATACGCCGTTTCACGCCATTTGAGTGCAGAAAGGCACCAAATACGCGGGGAAACTTGTTGCTCCCTTCCGACGCCCGAGAATAGCAGAGAATCGACGTGATTATCGCAATCCTGTGGTTGAATTTGACAGGGTCCCGTAGTGATCGATCTTTTCTCTCTCTCTTGGGCGCCATGATGCCATTAAGCAATCCACATAGAAGAGGAGCATGAGTGTTAACTTGCTCGTACATCTGCCCAAACTGCATATCGCCCAGTATACGCTCGTAGTCCTCGACTTTCTGTCCCTCTGGCTCTTTCTCCCTTCCCATGCCGGCAGGTGAAGTTCTCTCTTGGACACGGTCGACTTGGTAGGCACTAAACATACCTCCGGCTTCTTCCAGTGCCTTCATTTCCTTCCTCAGACCCTTTACAGTGACAATTCCTGTCGCACCAGACGCGGGGTGTTCTTGCAGCGCGTCTAAGACCTCTGGTTGACCGTAGACGGCCTCGGCGAGCCGTTTGGCACGCGTGGCAGGGCGCTCTCCATAACCACCAGACCCTTGAGTCGTCGCGTAGACATGGATAAATTCTCGTAATGTAATTTTTTTTTTCCGCATGAATTGGCATATCTCGTTTACTCTCTGCGCTTTACTGCGTCTTTGAGACCTTCTTACTTTCTGACGAGGTGCATTAGATGTGTTTGAAGCAGCAATATGCCGAGGACTTGGAGCGGGAGGCAAGATGGGCGGGTTCAACCGCGCACTCTGACGACGCTGGTTTTGGGCCGACATGGCCCAAAATTCAATCAATTATGGAAAAAGCCCAGAGGAATCGAATGGATGTATTCAATTGATGATGCACCATGTGGTTGTGGATAAAAATGGAGTTAAAGATGGTCTTCTATTTGGCATGAAAGTTCACGGCACACGCCGAAATAGGTGGACAGAATCCTCAGGCTATTTGTTCGAGGAGCACATGTGACTTACCGATTAGGTATAGTCCGCTCCGGTGCCTTGGCACGACCACAAATAGCCTGAGCTTGCTGAGGTAATGTCAACCAGTACCATTCAGTCATCTCCTCTACCACGTGATTCAATTCCGCTGTCCCTTGTTGTTTCCTCCACTAGATACACTGATACTGTAATAGTCTGTACTCTGTACTCCGTAAGATTGTCCTACTACCGTTTCCTATTTCCAGGCACATTCAACCTAAATCGCTCTCTATCCTCACCCTGTCCCTCGCCGCTATCGTGACTTCCATCCACCACTCCTGCATCCGACTGCCCACCCTGTCCTTGCTGTGGCTGCGCTCGTCGAGTCGCACGCAGTCGTGCATCTTCTTCAGCATCCCGTTCGTCCTCGCTCTTTTCTTCCGTGACTATGATTCCACTGCTGTGATTACTGCCTTGCCGATTGTGGCTCGACCGGCTACTTCCAGATTGTCTCGGTCGGAACATACTTCGACGCACTTGTTCGGCAGCTTCCGGCTCGGCCTCTGGCATACTCGAAGTGTGGAGTTCGCCCACTGCCCCGGGCTGAGTCTCCGCGCGACGCTCGATGTCAACTAGATCCGCCTCATACTTCCCAGTCCGCCGAACCTGGATTTCGGGGAGCCATCGGCGCAACAACGAGTTCTTTGTCCGTTGCCAGACACCGCCACCCCCGGCGTCAGGGCGGTAGGCGGGAGCCATGACAGTCCGTTTCGGCGCAAACCATCGCACGATCAGTTTCCATTTGATCTTGCTCAACAGCCCCTCAGGCTCAACGGCATCGACTCGCGCCCCGGTACGGGACCAGAGATCCGGGTGTTCGGAAGCAATATCATGGTAAAGGTTCTCGTATGTCCCACGACGGATGGGTACACGCACAGTCGCTGGACTATGCTTGAAGACGTACACGATGATGAAGAGAATGAGCAGCATAGGAAAACTGGAGATGAAATACCACTTGATCGATGGATTGTCCTCAAACGTGTCGACGTTCATCCCAAAAAATCCCACGACAAATGTCAAGGGGAGAAAGATGAAGGTAATCCAGGACAATCGCCAAAGCGAGGCATTTAGCTGGAGGGAGAACCGTGCGTCCCGGATCTCGACGCTCTTGTACATCTTCGGCGCGTTAGTCGTGTATCTGCATCCATTGAGAAAGGGAACTTACCAAGTCACTGAGATTTTGCGTCGGCTTTACCAGATCCTCTTGCACCCAATTCGCCAGCTTGTCAAAGCTATCCGGCACGGTCTCAATGAAACTTTGCTTCGAGAGCATGTCATCCGCAAGTTCCTTCAATTCCCCCTTCAATTCTTTGATCACATCGATATGAATGTACATGAGCTTCTCCACTTTGAGCCAGATGCTCGCATTGGTCCACAACTCCGGAGCGCGCGATTCATCTGCCGGATTCTCATAGATCTTGTCTTCCAAGATCGAAACATGGGTCTCACATTTGGTCAGAAAATGGTCCCAGTTGTTGTTTAGCGATTTGAATATATCGTTCAAGATTAGATCCATGCATTCGAGGGTCAGAGTCTGATCGCTCAGGGTCGGATCGTCTGACAGATCCTCTCGCGGCAGAAAGAAGGTTAACCCGCTCCAGGCGGATTCGATCTCCTGTCGCGCCCCGATTAGGGTTTCCTCGCAAGACCCCGACTGTGAACCTTCGAAGATGATGATCACCGAGCCATTGTCGAGTCGGTTGATGTCCGGAAAGTAATCCTCGTCGCCGTAGGGCCCAAGCCGAGGACGCCGTCCCTCCGCATCGCGGGCTTTCGCATCCTCCCTCGGCGTTGAATACGGGCTCTCCATATCTTCGGCGTTCAGCGCCATGGACTCGCCTTCGTTCCGCTGAATGTACACCGACAGCCGCTGCACATACACATTGTACCCGTAATCCGGATTCTCATCCGGGCCGTACGCGTTCAGCTCCAGCATCTTGAAGTCGTCGGCCGCCCCCCCGTGGAATCGATTGGCCGGCACCGGACGGAGATAATCCAGACCAAAGGCACAACGGGAGATCCCTCGCCAGGGATCCCGTTGGATCCGAAACGTCTTCCCATTCAGCAACGGCTTGCCCGCCCGCCGTTGCGGTCGTTCAAACTCCGCCCACTTGCCAAACGCCGTCCCAACGAGGTCATCGCGGTGGTTGATGTTGAACTTCCGAAGGAGGTATCGCCGCGCCCAGACCGCGTTCTGCACGTGGATGATGCGTAGGATCAACCCCGGCTGATCTTTCTGTCTGTCGGCGTCCGCGTAGAACTCCTGAAGCTTAGACAGCTCATGGAACTCTTGCGCCACGATCTTGCGACGGCCGGTGGACGTGTATCTCGCACTGATGAAATCGATCACCAGAACGCGCCCGTCCTTCCAGCTGTCCGCGGTCCATTCTTTCTTCCATTTCGGGCTCGGCTTCGGTTTGTGTTTCCGGTAACGGGCCTTTCGGCCTCGTGGCACGCCGTTGCGTCCGTTCTCGGTGGGAAGAAAATCATCAAAGGCAGGGCCTACATTTGGCGCGTCAGACACGATTACATTCTTTCAAAACGGAGGATCCAATGGGTGGTATGCAGATCCCATGGTCATAAAGCGGCCCAGTGGAGCGAGCCACGCGTCTTCATGAGCATCAACCGCGCGGTCCGGGAAAACCATACAGCACGGCGCATACCGGGCGAAGCCGCTCGCAGGACTAAACCCGTCGAAGCCGGCGAAGGGGAATAGTTCCACTCACTCTTTGGTTCCGGGTCCTGTTCCCCATCAGTTAGATCCTGTACCGTGATGGGCGGCGCAGAGAAGGCTCTTCGAATCCCATCCATCGAGCGGCTCATATTCCTGGGACCCGCAACGATTCCAAAAGATCACTGCTCACGACGCGGAAGCAGAGTGGGAAGAAGGGCCATATACTGACTAAAAGAGGGGGCTGGTATTCGATACTTCGCTATATTATGCACATGGAACGCTGCAAAGTCGAGCATCGGGGCGTGAAGCAAATTATGCCGCCTGGCGGGCACAGTTGTTTACCAGCAAGCGCAACAAGGGTACTGCACCAGGTTCGGGTCAATGCGCAAAAGAATCGATCTCGTGTCAGAAAATAGGTAGTCAGCCTTGCGGCCCTTGCCGTAATATTAATTTGAATGTGCAGATGCGTGAGTACATACTACGTAATATGCTGCTTCATGCTTGGTCGGTTCAAGAGAAATTAAGAACGCAGATCCTCCTCATTCTGGATGCAGCCATGCAGGCCGTGGACATGTATCGGTCTGGTTTTTCGCGATTTGCGGAGGGGGTGACCTTTAGGCTTTAAGAAATGAGGGCCAGGGTCCAGCACCCCCTCTCCTGGATGATCCATGTAAAGTGGTCGTATTAATAGTACAGCTCCAGACAGCCTTACTACGTAGTACGGTGACAGCCGGAACTCTGAAGGCTGAAAGGCCAAAGGTGAACAAGACGATCACCAATTTGCCACATCCTCACCGGTTGCCTTTGAAGTTTGACCCCTGTTCGTCCATCCGATGTTTGTCACTCGCAGAGCCGCAGGAGCGGGGAGATGGTGGGAGAGAAAGGATATCAAGTTTGCTACGGTAATCATAATCCATCGCCGGGTTTTGCAGCGATCCTTTTTTGTTCATCGAGCTTTGAGCTTCAGGCCGTAGAGTGTTGCCTATTGCATTACGATATGCCCGAAGTGATGCGTCGCATGATAAATATATTTCGTCGATTCCAGGGCATTTAGAAACCCGGATCGCCCCTGAACCACCATGTATGTCATTTCCTTCGTTCACATCCACATAAGATCGCAGACTTGCCATGGCGATCGTGAGGGTGCTTTGTGCAGCACCTGCCTCGCGTGCTTACTCAAAACTGCTGGCAACGTCGGCCCTCGCAGCTAGTTTGGCCTGGTAATCCCGAATGTCGGCCCACCTCCGAAGGTCGGATTCATCGCCGTTCGAAGCATCCGAGGCGCCGCTGTCGGGTCCCATTCGTTCTAGGCGCGACATCAGGTCGACAAGCGGTAAGAGCGTTTGGTCGCGTAAAGCGGCGAAGGATTTGGAATTCGACGACGAATTCAATAGAAGCGAGGCCACCTGTCGCACTTTCATGCTCTGCAGACTTGATTAGTAGATTTTACCGGGCAGATGGCGAGTCGATGACTTACAAAGCTGATGGAATTGGGCTCCATGTGGACTCTGCTGACACTTTTCACCATAGTCAGGAGACCTTGGATGATGCTTTCCCTCTCTTGGGTCATATCCTCTTCCGATATCTTGATAACTGCCTCTGGTGAAGAGACATTTCGCTCGAAGCTGGTGTTGCTAATGGGCGGAGCGTTGCCTCCTTCAGCGGACTTGCCAGGATCTCCTTTGCCATTGATGGTTTGGGCCATTCCCGAGTATCGGTCGACGATGTAGACACGAGTACTTAACTGACTGGCATAGATGTTCGCCTTTTGAATCTCGTACTGAATCTTGCGTCGGTCGAGGATTTCGCCGCCGGAAGTACCTGTGAGAGCTGCGCCGGCGATTGCTTGGGTCGCGCTACTATACCCAGACGGCGCCTCCCAAAATGGCAGGCCGAACGGTACATGCTGATTGTACGGTGACCAAACCTTCAGCTCCGGGGGGAGCTCGTTGATGGCGTCGTGGCAGTTGCGTAGTCCCGCCTCAAGGGCCTTCTTCCGCAGTTGACCTTGCGTGGATGAAAGGACGCCCGATGAGTAGTCGACGGCTAAGATCCCATCGACGCTCTGGTAGATGCGGACATTGGCGTTGAATCCGGTGAGAAAGGAGACTACATTGGCAGGCTGGTTCTCGATATTGTCTGGATGGAGAAACTCGTCATCCACCTCCACTGGCTTGGGCGGATAAGTGAAGGTTGGAGTCTCAGGAAGGATGATAATTGGTCCGTCCCTTGTGAAGATGTCCATTGTTCTGAGAGAGATTAGCCGACGCGTAAAACCACAACGGTCGAATCCAATGAACTGTACATACCTGATACTCACGAACACTGTCCAGAATATCCTCCTTCCGATTTCCTGAGTCACAAGATCAGGAGATGAGCGTCCCCCGTCGGAACTCTGATCATCTGACCGCTGCCTGGACTCCGAACGATGGAGCCCAAGGAGCCGCAGGATGGTCAAGCATTCTGAGAGAGAGAGGATGGTCTGCACCGATCGAAAAGTATATGCATGGGTAAGTCCGATGAAGTAGCTTGTCGCTGCATCGTTCACGTTGATATCTTCCTTGTCAACGTAATTGAAACCCCGAGAATCCGAACAGACCTCCAAGCAACGTTGAATCAGATGCGAGTGCGTGGGAAAGAGATCACCTTGGTTAAAGGCATTCAACTCTTCCCGCACTTTTCGAGGGAACGATGCGGTCAAGATGGCAACCATCGAAGCGAGAAGCGCCAGGAAGGGGGGGTTGCGGTAGTCCTCTCCACTATCGAATTGGGCCCGGAACGTCGGTCGATGCGGGAAAGGACAGAGAGGGTGAATATAGGTGAAAAAGTCGTCAACCAGGCGAGAGACAATCTCCCGGGAACAGATAGACTCGACGCCTATTGTTGAAGGCGATTTCAGAGCGGTGAGCGCATGAGCCATCTGGGTTGGAGACGACGCTCCAGACTGTCCGACGAGCTCCCCTTCTCCGGTGAGTTTGGTCCGCTTCCTCCTCTCTGCCACTCGATTTGGAGGGCCTCGACGCTTGCTGGGCCGATCGAAAGTACACTCGATCCCTAACCGCTGGCATGGCTCACATGGCAAGGTGTCCGAGCAGCGAACCTTTCGTTCTCCACATGCATCACAAGCTTTTCGCAGGCGGTGCTGCTTCTGACTGTCCTGCGTCTGGCCGGGGACCGAAGCTGGTCCAGCGGCGGGGACAACCTGAGGGGGACCGTGGATGCCGACGTGGCCGAGGGCAGGATCATGTTCGCTGTGCTGCGCCGGTTGCACGACACTCCGCAGTTGCTCGGCCAAGGTCAAGGCCTCGTTGTGCTCGGCGGAATTGGGTCCCACGTACGGACCGGAGTCGTGCCGCAGCGATGGACTGACGGGCTGCGTGGAGGTTGATGATGGGTAGATGGGATGATTTGGATGATAATGCTGCTGGTCGGGTGGCGGCGGGGGCGGGTATTGAGGCATCGCGGCGATGCTGCGCCTGCTCTCTAGGTCCTCCTTGTAAGTCCATGCTCGTTTCCGACGATTGTATGATTACTTGCTGCGCTCACCTATCCTCGATCTGCAGTGTTCCCTGGCCCGTAAATGATGGATGTAGGCCGAAGATCTAGCGGGCGGCGCGTCGCGTCAACTGTCTCACCGTTCTACCACCGGGATTATTGGACAGGAGGCACTATGTGAGTACCAAACTCCCTGTCGTCACTTGCTGTCGAAATCGGAACTCTACGATTCGGATCGAGTGCTCTGTGATAATTGAAAGCGAGACAGCAGAATTTTCACCTTAGACTTTCCATCTGTGACATTCACCTGCCTGAGATGATGGTGATTATTGAATATCCACGTGACAATGGGCCCTTCATCATCCGGCTCTACCTCGGTAGATTGGAAGGCATCCGTGGTCTCCATTGGCTAATGATGGGTGACGCCACACAGTCTGGGGAAGTAATTAGCAGCGGCACGGAAGTGGAGCTCCCCCAGAGCCCAGCGACTGTTTCTTGAGTCTTAACTCCCTGGTTGCGAGAGTGGCATTTCATCATTCACAGGGCTGGATTATGGGTACACCAGGAATTCAGGATATTCCGGTTTGGGGAAGAGCAATTGAAGGAAATGAAGCGAACTCCCGTCATCAACATCCTGTCCTACCTTGTTCTCATCAATCTTGGAGCAATAGAGTATTGGACAGAGTAGAGTACTGCAAAGTTGCCCAATTTAAAGACCGAAACAAACGACTATACTGAGGGGTTGGATTGATGCTGCAGGAAACATCTCTCAATCCCTTCCTTCATAAAGATACCGAAACTCTCATAAGGACTGACTTGGTTACAAAGAATATGAGAAAGGAGTGGCTTTGATGTTACCGGTCCTGGTAACCGGGTTCACAAGACTCTCTGGTGCAAGGACGAATAGATACGTGTTAGATGGTAAATAATTGGTCTGCCGAGATGGGACCCATGCTCTCGCATCAATTAGATGGCCGCTAATTGACCACCCTAACCACGTCGCAGACTGGCTAATAGCAATACTCCCTTCATCGAGTGAACCGAGGGGCTGCCTACTGCTATATAGGCGCTCCATAAAGTACATTAAATGCAATGTCGGGTATCGCATCCAGATACCCGGCATCCACTTAAATGTTTAACGCAATCTAGAAACCAATTCCTCGTTGCGTATATCAGACCTTCTCCTCGTCCCCTCGCTGTGCTTGACGCTCCTGTTTCAACGTTCCAGGTACCATTCAATCAATATGCGAGTCCGACTATTTTCATTGCTGAGCACGCTCAGTGCCCTCACCTGTGCACAGTGTGCAGAGCCAGCCCAGAATACCACAGCCCAGAATACCACCACCATGCCGCGTACTCAACCCGTCCTAGGCGCCGTTGGAATCGCCGTCTCCAACCTGAATGTCTCGATGGACTTTTACACGAAAGTGCTTCCCTTCGTCGACACCGGTGTCTCGTACGATCTCCCCCAATTCCTCGAGAAGGTGGTTGCCCTCCCGGCCCCGAACTCCGGAAGCTCCGTCGTCCTGATGCAATGGAAAACCCCACGGAACACGACCAACATTCCCGTCAAACTGGCCCTCTATGTCGAGGACGTCCACGAGTCCATGGAAAAGGTTCGGGCATACGGAAACGAGATCCTCTTGGAGGCGGGATCGGGCCGCATCGGGACTGTTTCGCTTCCTACTGGCATGGCCCGAGACCCGGATGGCTATATCTTGGAATTCAATCCGCTCTCTATTCTTTCCCCAAAGCAGGCTCTTTGAGTGTCGACGCGATGATTGGGGATCTGTGGAGCTGTTAGTGGATGAGGGATGGTATATGTTCATGGAACTCAAGGAATATCAAAGAATCTAGTTCGGAGGAACAAAAGTCAAAAGACATGTTAGCATAATTCAGCGGCTACTTAATTAGTCATATGGTTGTGAGAAGCTGCATATCGATTGGGCGCGTTTTGAGTTGACAATAGACTTTTCGATCCTCTGTGATAGACGCTGTTGGCTTCTGAACGAATCGACCGAGTCCAATTATTGACCGTGAAGACAATAATAACGTATATATACACTGGAATGGAAGCAAGTGCTTCGTTACGGAAATTTTTATTAAAGTCTCGATGAACAGGAGGACGAGAAGTTCCATTACAGTCGTCCACTTTCTGTAATATCCATAAAATATCCAAATGGTGGGGGCGTGAGGCTCACGAGGTCCAGGTACGTACCCACCCGGATCTTGCCGAGCCATCCAGCTTCCATATGCCATCAACTTCCAAAGACCAATTGTAAAATACCTTACGATCAATTCCGTATCCTCAAGGTTTGGGTGAAGTTGGCGGTGCAATGCTGCTATGCGCAAATCATGTCACTCGCCAATTGATCTTGCGGCCCTCCTATTCCGGCGCTCGTGCCTGGGTTTCGCGTCGCCGTGATGTCCGACGCCATTACAGCGAATCCAATGGTCCTAACATCGCCATCCTAGGTGGGGGGATAACAGGTTTATCGACGGCGTTCTACCTTCGAGAAGCTCTGCCGAGCTCGAAGATCACAATATATGAGGGCTCGGACCGTGTGGGTGGCTGGATTCGGTCAACTGCAAAGGGTATTGGATCGGGCGATGTCATATTTGAACACGGTCCACGGACTCTCAGGCCCACGATTGGGCTATTGACTCCTCATCTCGTTCGTCTCCCCGCTGTATGGTACCTTCCGCTCTCTGACCTAGAAAGATCGAGGACTTAGGTCTGGCCCAAGATGTCATTGCGACTCGACGAGATGCTCCCGCCTCAACGAATCGGTACATCTACTATCCGGATCATCTGGTACGAATGCCGATGCCACAAGCAGGAGAAGGGATCTCTCAAGTATGGAACGAACCCTTGTTCGAAGGGATCGGCTCCGCTCTGACCGAATGGTTTGTGTCCACTCGACCATCCAATTTGCAGGACGAGTCCGTCGCGTCGTTCATCTCAAGACGATTGGACAGGAGAATGGCGGACAACATGGTTTCTGCCCTTCTCCATGGCATATACGCAGGCGATGTAAATCAGTTGAGCATGAAGAGTATATTCCCACTCCTATGGTACTATGAGGGCCGATACGGAAGTTTGGTTGGATCAATACCCAGTGTATGGTCGAACTTACGGTCCGGCATGATGCTTGGCTCTGCGCGAGAGTACCAGTCAATCCTTGATCGTCAGAGAAAGCCTCTGGGGTCGACATTGAAAGAGAAACTTTCCCGGGCAAGTGTATATACGTTGAAGCGTGGGCTTACGGGTCTCGTTTCTGCCCTGAGAGAGCGATTGTTAAGTCGAGGCGTGACCATCCATGAGAATACGCCTATCTCAGCACTTTCTATGGATAGTGCAACGGAGAAGATTGAAGTGAGTTGGTTTCATCCACCCTTGGTATCCGCTAATAGTATCAGATCACCTCCGCTGGAAAGTCCTTACCACAAGCCGACCAGGTCATCTCCACGGTATTTTCCCGCCATCTTGCGAACATCTGCAAGGATGGCTCCGGGACCACGCTTTTGCCATCCTTCGGCGAAACGCACGCGGTTTCGGTCATGGTGGTCAATCTCTTCTTCCAGGAATCCGACTTGGGGATGCCTGAAGGCTTTGGATACTTGATCCCCCAAAGCATTCCGATCGATCAAAACCCCGAGCGCGCTTTAGGCGTGATTTTCGACTCCTGTGCGACGTCGGGCCAGGATTCGGTTTCCGGAACTAAGCTCACGGTTATACTGGGGGGGCATTGGTGGGATGGTTGGACGGAATTCCCGGATGAGGAAGAGGGGGTGTCGATGGCTCGAGCGATATTGTCTCGGCACCTGGGGCTAAATGCGACGCCAACAGCCACCCAGGCGACCCTGCAGCGAGAATGTATTCCACAATACTTGGTGGGGCACTGGTCGAGGATGGAAAAGGGACACCAGGAGCTGAAGCAGCACTTCAAGGGCAAACTCAAGGTTGCCGGAAGCTCGTACACGGGGGTGGGGGTGAACGATTGCATCCAGTCGGCGCGGAACCTGGTCGTCGATGCGGATGAGCTCGCTTGGAAGGATAAAACAGGCCTAGAAGAGTTTACGGGGGATTTGAGGTTTGCAGAGGTGTATTTTAGGACGAGAGGCGAATAATTTCTCGCATGGAACCTGATTGTTCTGTCTCCGTACCCGTAACCAAACGGAGTTGAAGTTTACATTCCTTGTAATCCGCACAGTACACCGACATGTATCATTTAACATGGAGCAGTGTATTGGAACTTTCAGGTTCAGTTGTACATGTGGTTCGATACAGGCAATCTGATAGAAGCACGACTAGAATGAAGTGTAGGGGTCTAGGGGATCTGCGGACCCACTAAAATTTCTGTAATACCTCCAGTCTGGACGACGTGAATAAACTTTCAGCATGAGCGTTGCTAAGGACGTCTACTCCCTACTTCTGCTTGAAACCATTTACTTGATCCTCCCGGAGCAGAATAGTCGCATCCTACATAAGAGAGGAACTATCGAAAATGGTTCGAAAGCGTAGGAACCATGACCCCGAGTCCTCCGTGGACACCAAGCGACCTCGTCGTGTCTACACCAACACCGACGCAGCGCTGGCCGATATATTCGAAAATCTGTCGAACGAAGCGGCGGCTCCTCGCTTAGAGGCCACAAAGGAGTTGCTGGAGACCGTTCAATCGGCTCAATGGTCATCACCGGAACTGATTGAGAAGATTCTGCGCCGCCTCGTCCGGGGATTGTGTAGTAGTCGAAAATCGGCCCGCCTTGGCTTCTTTCCGGCACTCATCGAGGTGATACGTACGGTGTATGGCGACCCAAATGCTGTCCCGGACACGTTCTCTCCATCGTTGGGTGATTTGCTTTCATTCATTGAATCCAACACCCGGACGGACGCAAGCGCTTCTGGACAGGTGAGCCTCTAGCTCTGCCATTAACATCATGAGCTAACCATGCATTTAGGAACGGAGAGATCATATATTCGGTCGTCTTTATTCTAGCGCTGCCTTGATTAACTCATCTGTCTTACTGGAAGGCGATCTCTCATCTTCGCTATGGGACGACTTGTTGAACGTGGTTGGAGGTCTTGCCAAGGAGCACCCTTGGGTCCGAGAAGAGTGCGGTTCAATGCTTTGCAAGGCCCTGAGACTCCTTTCCAAACAAGAAGCTCCGCAAGCCTCACGTCATGCGAGAGCGATCGTTGACGCATTGTCGAAATTCAAGCTACAACGCACACCCGAAGGGGTGGCCATTTGGCTGACCTTCACGTCCCAATTTCCTGATCTGGATCTCCCAGCCAAAGTATGGCATAAGGATGATCCTCTTTCCAAGAAGGAGAGGAAAGAGCTGGCTGCGATCATGAGAGAAGACTTCAGCAAAGCCTCCGGCCCTGAAGCCTCTGACGGCACCAACAAGTCAGGCTCTTGGAAGTCGCAGAGTAATTTCGCTTGGAGTGTCTTGATACACCATCAAATTTCCCGATTGGAGAACAAAACCGAAGCCGCCGCTCTGTTGGAGGAGTTCAGTCGCTTCTGGATCGACGTTGTTGACAGTAAGCCCCCTTACATTTTCCAAAGACCAAGGCTAATTATTGCAGATAACTTATTTTCGGCCAAAGCATCCGCGGAGAGGAAAGCATGGGGATTGCAGATCCTTTCACAAGCGATTCGAACCTGTCCGGCTTGGGCGCTGTTCGAGTTACTCAGTCCAAATATCCTCAGGAGTATCCAGAACCAGAGATCTTCTCCAGACAGTAATCTGCATGGTCTGGCGTTGGAGCCATTGAAGGAGCTCATCAAGCGGGTCAAGAAAACTCCTGATCAAGGCGCCTCTATAGCGATGTTCCTTTTGTCTCAATCAAAGTCGATGGACTTCGATCAAGCGACGAAGTCACGCACGATTGAGACCATCCTCAGTGAGACCGACGAAGAAAAGCTCGTTGATTTTGTTCAATTCGCCAAGGATATCATTAACCGACCGACTTCTCAAGACGAAGACGAAGCTGCCGATGATCGTCGAGCAATGGCCGACGCACTACTCACAATGGTCAAGGGGCAGGTGAAATCGGGGTCGGAGAAAGAAACCGGAGGACGGAACGCTTCTCCGCCATGGGTTTCCCCTCTGCTGCGTCTGATGGTGGAGCTGTCTTACGTGAAAAAGCGGAAATCTGCATCCAAGAAAGACCGATCCAAGCCGTCGATTTCGAGTGTCTCCCGTGAAATGTTTCGGTCGAAGTTGAACTTGATACTTGGCACATTGCTGGCATCCAAGGACACTTCGCTTTGGGACTGTGCTTATACAGCCGCTTCATATCTTCAAGAAGACGCCCAATCTGGATCTACTGAGCTGGTTGCGGAATACGACGAGAAGATCTCAGAAATCCTGGAATCTACGTTCGAATCACTTGATGAAATTCATGCGAAGAAGATGGAGTCTGACGACAGTCTCCGGTTTACCTACGGAGGACTGGAGCTTCTGCAGTCTTTCACCGTCCTCCAAATCTATAATGGAGAACCCGAAGCGGTGTCCGTCGCAGAGGATCTGATCGAATGCTCCAAAGATCTCACCGGGGATGATAGCGAAGGCAATGCCATCGGCGCCATCCTTGAGATCCTGATCTCCTTCGCCTCCAAGCGGTCGACATTGATGAGAAAAATCGCGGAGCAAGTCTTCTCCGCTTTCACGAGCCGCATGGACCGAACTACTTTGGGGTACTTGACTGATATCCTTGGAAAGGAGGAGAGTGAAGCTGGCCAAAGTGAACTGTACGAGGCGGAAGACGATGCCGAAGCCTCGAGCTCAGAGGACGAGGAAGATAAGGAAGACAGCGACACCGAGGAATCTATGGACTCGGACGTTGAAATGGTTGATGGCGTCGACAATGAGCAAAATGAGTTCGATGCCGAGCTGTCGGCTGTTTTACGAATTTCTAACGCCCAAATTGTTGGGCCTGAAGATCTTAGCTCGTCGGATGAGGACGAAGAAGAAGAGGATTTTGACGACGAGCAAATGATGGCATTGGACGACAAGATCAGCGAAGTGTTCAAGAAGCGGATGGGCCAGACGAACAAAGAGAAGAAGAAGGCGAAGACGGAGGCCCGAGACAACATGGTTCAGCTCAAAAACCGAATCCTGGACTTGCTCACGATTTTGGTGAAAAAGGAGTTCGGCAAGGAATTTGTGTCGGGCATCATACTCCCGCTTCTCACGCTTGTTCGAACGGCTTCGACGCCGCAGCTTTCGAAACGGGCTTTCGACTTGTTGAAGCAGTATTTCGACCTCGGCAGAGGGAAGGAGATGCCGCAGGTTACTGACCTGAGTGGTTGGCTTTCACTGTTGGCGTCCATCCACGAGGAGGCAATGCGGACGAAGGCGGATAACCACGGAAGGAGTTGTAGCAGCGCTAGCTTGTTTGTTGTTCGGGTCTTGGTGGCTCAAGACAGGAAACACTTCGACGCAGCGGGAGAGGTGTATTTACACACAAAAAAACTGTGGTTCGCCGATCCGAAGTCGAAATTGACACAGAGTTTCTTCTCGGATTGGGTAGGCTGGATGGGATCGATGCGAAAGGAGAAGTCAGCATCCCACTAGCCGGATTAACCTGGACGGATATTTAGGTTGGTACTGGAACGGACACTGGATTGATAGGAAACCCCACGTCGGGGTGCCGGGAGCGAAAGGATAATTCAAAACATGGTCGACACCTATCTACCCGTACATTGTCTAGTCTGTTCCTAGTGATTAAGTTCGAACCCCTGCCTGTTGGCCAACCACCTACTTGGCCAGTATCACCATCTTAGCCACCATCATGAAAACCGTGACATCTCTACCACCACGTAATTATATTGAAAATTCAAACCATAGGACTATTGTACAGCATCTTGGGGAGCGTCTGGTATAGTTTCAGCCACGGGAATACTCTGTTCTAGTATAGTATTTGCCTCCAGAAGCCGTACAGCCTCTTGCGCTACTTTGATCTCTTTAATCTGTGCGAACTTAACATTGGGATCTATCCGAACCTTCTTCTTGCGTTTTGGGGCTGAGGCGGCATCTAGACGGGCCTGGAGACTCGCAATTTTCAGATCTGATGCAGCCTGACGCGCCTGTAGCACTCCGATTGCCTTGGCTGCCTTCCCTATGTAGGCCTTCGTCCACTTCGTCACGCGTGTGTTCTTGCTAAGAACGCGCAATGCACTTTGTATTTGTTTGGGCTTGTAGGGCGTCGTCTGGAGGACCGAGGCGACTAGTATTGGGGTGCGTGGAGGCGTGTTTGGTCGTGGAATTGAGGATGCGGTTTCGGTATGCGTGGGCGGTACCACGAACCGGTTATTGAGACCTTTTGACGGGTCCCACGGTATAAGACCTGCAGCCTTCCACCCTGATCTGATTGTACGGTCAATTAGGCGTGCCCGACGCGCCTCAGCATAGAGGACAATGAATCTTCGTCGTTTAATCGGTAGCGCCTCGTCGATATACGCGCTTTGGCGGAGGAGGGCCTTGTAGAAGCGTTTCAGAGGTGAAAAACAGGCGAGATCGAGAGGCTGAAGGATGTGGGAGGTATGCGCAGGTAGGAAGACCACAATCACGTCATTTATCCTGCATTCGTATAGGAAATCGACGGTTGCGTGGCTTCCGTGCCCGTCCATGAGTAGGATCCTGTACCGTCGCTCTGTAGCGGTTTCAGGGAGGAAAACTGTACGAAGCCACACCAACGCGTGTTGATCTGAAGTCCAGCCGTTTGGTGATACCGCATAATGGAAGTCTGGAGGTTGTTCAGGGAACCAAGCAGCTTGTAGGGACGCGCCTTTCTGGATAATGGTTGGTTTGATATAGCGACCGGTCGCAGAGACTGATTCTATGATAGAACACCATTCCCGGTTCTCAGGACTCGTGATATAAGCTGTCGACTTCTGCGAGTCTGCGATGACAGTAGAATTAGCACATATTCCCATTCCAACACCGACTTCATCCATATTCCATGTATCGGAAGGGTGGACATCGTACTGTGTCTGAACTTGGTGAAAATACGCGTAAAACCCATTGATTGTATCCTGGGTTGCAGCCTGACGTCGTACGACATCTAGACTATGCCCAACACACGTCGCAACGCGTGGATTTCGATGTAGAAATCGTGGTATCCAATTCTTCCCAAGGGGTGTAGAATCACCCTGAAGCTCTAGAACTCGCGCGGCCATTTCACGCAGACGTGCGTGGGTAGGGGGGAATCCTTGAGCGTCACTCTCAAGTATCCAGTCGACTAAAAACCTCTCTTGCACCGGTGTAAGGCGTTGGTTCGATTGTTGAGCTGTAGAGCGCGATTGCATGCCCTTGAGGCGGTTTTGAAGCGTAGCTCGATTGACCTTGAATAGGGCCGCAGCTTCATTTTGTGATTTGCATTGACCGGTCTCTACGGCATGGATAGCCTGTAGGAGTACCTCCTCTGAATTTGACATCGTAATACGATATGGTGGTTGAGATATTACGCGTTTGGTGATGGTGGTGAAGATGGTGATACTGGCCAAGTAGGTGGTTGGCCAACAGGCAGGGGTTCGAACTTAAACGCCAAAAAAATGCTGCAAATGTTGTCTTAATCACAGGTTCCCGCCTCGACCATCCGTTTGAGCCTTCTGGAACTGGTACAATAACCCTAATACACCCGTGTTGCCATCGCCAGCTTGATTAACGCCACTAGGAGTCTCGTCATCTGTACTGTCAGCATCCTTTTGCCATGAATCGAGATCGGCTCCAAGGTCGACATCATTACTTGCGGTTCTCTGCATATCATGCTCGGCCAATCGTTCTTCTAATCCCTGTTCCTCGTTCTCATCCGGACGTTCCAATGGCACCTGGTTGGCCAGACGATGCCGGGTCGGGGTGGAGCTCTGTCGGGGAGAGTGTCGAAGATGTGGCTGATGGTGGGGATCCAGAAGAAGCGAATTGAGAGGAGAGCCCGGGTGACCCGAGTGGGAAGCGGTCGGACCGAGTCGAGGGGTGCGGTGGTGAGACTGCCGGTGCCGAATTCCATCCCCTCCCATGATGGATGATGCCATTCCTGGGAAGACTGGGGGGGGGACGAAATGCCTTCGGGAGGTTCGCACTGGGTGTCCTCGATTCTGATTGGCACCGTAATTGTCCATGAACCCATAGTACGATGCCATCACCTTGTTATCCTTCGTCGCCAAATAATTGTCACGGAATTCGATGGGATCGATATCTGTCGGGTTGTCCTTGCCCTTGCCCATTTGATAGGATCCCTTCTTGAAGTCGAAGATGGCAAACGAGCACACATGCCCCAGACCATCAACATGGATGGTGGACTCGCGAAAGAAATCCACGATGCGTTCGCTGGATTTGGGGAGGCTGTATAACATGGCGTAGGGAGCGAAAATAATGCTCATCGCTTCCTCCAGGAATAAGATGATTCGGAGTTTGTATAGCGTGGAAAAGTCTTTGCGGACTTCGTCGCTGTGTAGCTTGTCATGCCATGACGGAGGGTAGTAGCGAGTGTGATATATCACATGCGTAAGAGCATACTCCGGATCCAGCACAATATCCTCATCCGGAATGCCACTTCTAGCTGTTCCCCAAATGGTACCAAGAATGCCCATATAAAACAACGCGGTGCGACCGGTTGTGAGCTCGAAGCCGAGGAAAAGCTCGGAGTCGAAGAGCGTGGCCAGGAAGAGTACGGCAAAGAGCGCACCAGACACGAAGGTGATGAAGCGCGACAGCTGCGCCATGCGATCCTTCGGGAATTGATTGAGATACTGGACTGCGTATGGGTACGCCAAGTTCTTGCGACGCTCAAACAAGTGCCCGAGCTCATTGAATTCTCGGAATTTCCACTCTGCAATGGGGCTAAATATGCGTGATCCGAGCTCCGCGGGGTTTCGTTGATATTCCTGCATCTGTTAGAGCCTGATCCAATATCAAGGGTGGTTGCCGTACCGTGAAATTTCGAAAAAAGAATATAACCAGGTTATAAAACACCAAGAATGGGGCCGACACGATGCTCAACACGCCAAAGACCAGAAATCGTGTGTTCAAGGCTTTGATGAGATCACGTCGAGACCGGTCGCTGAGAAACATGGGCTGTATTTGGCCTCGGGGGTCGAATGCAAAGTCTAGAATGGCAAGAGAAATGTTCCATTGGATCGTGCGGGTGAAAATGTGGTATTTGCCCATGAATGGAATGTCAACGGCGAGATCCAGAATGTCTTTGTTGAACAAGGCTATCATATAATTCTCCCGCCGCATGAGTCGGTTGGCGATATCGTGAGCATCCATGCGCTGCTTTGACTGAGTCCGCAGGATATATCTTCTATTGTGAGGGGTCAAGTTGTCGGCCGTGGTGGGATTCGCGTCTCTCAGTCGCATAAGCCTCTCAACCACTAGTTGCCAGGATACGGTCTGAATATCTCGGTCGGGGATATCTAGCAGGTAATGGTAGAAATTATGCATTTCCAACAAGCTAGGGATCCCGATGATGAGCTGTATCAGCTTGTACACCCAGACTGCAGTGAAGAGCCACATGGTCAGGTGTGCTAGGAATGGCATCCTCCGTACGCAGTGCTTAACGTAGACATCATCGAGGGAACGGCTTCCGGCAAGCTTGGAGTAGTCGATGCACATGAATAAGTAGGTTGAGAACCCAAATGCAAACGCCCCGGTACTACACTTCGGTCAGATAAAGGGAAGGCCCAAGGAAAGTCGATCTTACGCTAGGTTTAGGAGTTGTCTCAATATGATCGAGTACATGCCGTGGGAGCAGAAGTAATCATATACACGCTCGAGGAATTGATCCAAATTCACCACCTGACTCCATTTCCACATAGCTTTCTCTCGCGGGTCGGTTATCATCATGCCTTGTGTCCTTTGTGGAGGTTGAGCAGCATGCGACGGTGGATGGTGAAGCCGTTGCTGCGCCTGTGTTGCCCTCCATTGTGACTTCGTCGTCGGATTCGTAGGAGCGGTTACAGGAGGAGGAAGGGTTTGATCGGCAAACTGTTCTCGTTGACCACGTCGACGGCCCCGGGTACCGGTCTCGTGCTCGTTGAAGCCTTCCAAGAGCAGAGACTCCGGAACTTCGTCATCATCATCATCCCGAGAGACGGCCCTGTTCGGTCGGCGACCGAATCCTACGTTGTCTAGCGGTGGTTTATTATCAGCACCGCGGGTCGAAGATCTTCTCGGTGCAGGGGAATCATGATGCCGTAACTCTGGAGAGCTTTCGGCGGAGGTTGTATCCTTTGTGTCTTCATGAAGGAGGGCCTCCAAGTCCTGTGCTTGGAACCGTTCTCCTAGATTTTCCTCATCAATGGCCAAATCGCCATCTTCAACATCTGAGAGCCGGTCCTCTTCTTCCTGACGTCTCATTGTCTCGTACACGGATGCGGAGTGTGACTGGCCGGGGAGCAGGCGGGAGAAGACGTTGTTGGAAGCCATGTCGTTTCCGGCGCGTCATTACGATCGAGGGCGTTTGTAAGTCTGGATGTTTGTTGGATGAGGCCAACCTTTTGAGAGGCTCCAGCCTACACGGGATTGCTTTGTCATGTGGACCAGTTGTTGTGCTTTCTGGCTGAGACTCAGAGCTGAGACTTGACGGAGTGTAATGTGGAGGAGTCAACTGAAGGTGTAGACTGTGGGGGATGATGACCCTGTCACGAGTCATGTTCCCTTGAACTCCTGTTGCCTGGACCCATATTTCTGCGTCAGGCATTTCATTGTCCTCTCATGAACATTGAATAGTACATCATGCACTACTGTGAACACATCAACACATCATACGTGGATATCCACTGTGGGCATTGTCTAAACCTAGGAACCCGCCAGGCACCAAACTAAAGAGCCCATCTAATCCCACATGTTGTTGTGATAAAAATATTTGTTCTAAAGCCTCAAAAGCAAACCGAACGGAACCACAGGATGTCGACACCTCTACCCAGCAATCCCATGGGATCCCCCTTCTTCGATGAATCCGCTTCAACAGACGCGACATTGGCAGAAGGGCCAAGTTTCCCTCGCGGAAGCACAGTGTCTTCAAGAATATCCAACATTCTATCGGTTTCATACGCTGACCAAGCCATCCGCGATGCCCTTCAAACGTTGCAGTCGCGTGGTGCATCCGACTACAACCAAGTTCGCCGGCATTTCTACCATGATGTGCAGAAGGAAACCATTCAATGCAATGCGGAAGTGGTCCAGGATTTTGGGAAAATAGCTGTGGTGAGTGCCCCAACCCGATCTCGTTGGAAACCGAAACTTAGAATACGAGGACCTCCATAAAATCGGCGAACTCGTCGCCGTTCTCCGGGAGCGATGCACGGTTATGCGAAACGACCTAGATGTTTCTCGGTCGGAAATAAATCCAGTCCTCAAGGAGTCGAAAGACCTCCTTGAAAAAAGCTCGGAAGTGGAACAGAAACGGGATCTTTTGGACGCCACCCAGACCCATTTCATGGTCCATGAACTTTCCGACATCTCCGCCAGTATTCCACCAGGTGCACCAGGTGATGAATTTTTCGAGAAGATCGTTCAAGTGAAGCGTATCCGACGCGACTGTCAGGTACTTCTTGGAGCCGAGAACCAATCCCTCGGCCTTCAGATCATGGAGCAGGCTTCCAAACGGCTCAATGGACTTTTCCAATCGCTGTTCAATTGGGTACAAAGGGAGTTTAAGACTCTGGATTTAGAAAACCCACAGATCAGTGCGGCGATTAGGCGGTCATTACGTGCCCTCTCCGAGAGACCCAGCCTTTTCCGAAGCTGCCTTGACGCCTTTTCGGTCTCGCGTGAGGCGGTTCTGTCCGACTCCTTCCATGCCGCCTTAACCGGGTCGGTAGGAGGAGACCAGAAGCAGCCCTCGAAACCGATTGAACTGATCGCACACGAACCCATTCGGTATGCTGGAGATATGCTCGCTTGGATCCATTCGGCGACGGTTTCGGAGCGAGAGGCCCTGGAAGCCCTGTTCATTGGGGAAGGCAGGGAAATTGCGAAAGGCCTTGAGGCCGGGCGGGATGACGACCCATGGTCGGTTGACGAAGAAGGCGTCGTTTTTGATCCCCGAACCGCATTAGCCGAGCTCGTGGACCGGAATTTAAGTTCGGTTGCCAGGCTATTGCGACAGCGGGCCGAACAAGTCATTCATAGTCACGACGACCCGGGGGTTGCCTTCAAGATCGCTAACCTGGTCGCATTCTACAGAAGCATATTATCGAAGCTCCTTGGTGGAGAAGGATCGGTTGCGGACACACTACGTGCTATCGAAACTTCCGCGAATCGGCAGTTCAAAGCCGGGGTCCGGGACCACATCGCTGCTTTGGAACACGAGAAACAGGTTATCCCGGATCACTGTGCCCCCCCTGAATTTCTGGCCGATGCTTTGAGACTGATCGGAGAATTAATGATCACTGTGGACACATCCATTGACGCATCTGGCCATGAGGAACAGATTAGCGAGTCGGTCTTGGAGGAGGCTCTGGATCCCTTCCTCGAACATAGCAAAGCCATCTCGAATCATGCGGAGAAGCCGGACCGCCAGGTGTTTGCTTTGAACTGTCTCTTGGCCACAAAATCCGCGCTCCAGCCGTTTAGCTTTACGAAGTCAAGACTCGGCAAAATCAAGCAAAGCCTCGAGGGAATCTCACGCGAGCTTACAGACTACCAATATTCTCGTTTGCTTGAATCCTCCGGCATCATGCCACTCATGGACGCGCTGAATCGCTTCAGCGACGCTGATAGGAGGCTACTATCAGCGTTAGAGCTTCCTATCCTTCAACCGCAGAGCGTCCTCGAGATCGGCCAGCAGCTGGACGACTTTCTACCGTCCGCGTTAATGGATGCCACGGAGATCATTCGGGATCTACGAGACCCCGACCTGGCACGACAGATCACGGAGGAAGCGGCGGAGTTGTTTTGCGAGGATTTTGAGCAGCTGGAACATAAGATATCGACCATTGAGGAGCAGGCTGAATCGGCAGGGAGACCAGGGCTGAGACAAGTATTTCCTCGAACCACTGCTGAGATTCGGGTTCTATTGAGTTGAAAGGTTCGAACCTCCCAATATAATTTCATCCACAACCATTATGCGTCAATAGTCATGAAGCACCAAACTCGACTAGTGATGCTGGAAGTAACGTCGCATGGTTGCCAAACACCCTAAGTCAAGACATCATGACGATTGATTGCGCTTCTCCCACTGCTCTGGAGTAAAGCACTTCGGTGTCCACGCGTGAATGGCCGCAATCTCTTCCTTCAAGGCCGAATTAACCAGCCGATGTCGGGCCAGGGTAGTCTTCTTGGTGAACTGTTCCGATACTATGGTGGCCTCGAACATCTGACCGCATCCGCCTTGAACTTGGGTTAGAACGTACGCTTTCCATACGGTATCTCTGCCGCATACGTACCTGACATGTCCTTAATCTCAACGAGTGATGCGCCCAGAGTTTCCTTCAGCTTTTGCGCCAGGCTTTCTGCGGTTACGCCGGAGTGGTTCGTTGCAGGATCCGCGGCAGAAGACGGATCGCTGGGCATAGAGGCCATTTTCAGAAATGTCGAAACTTTGGATGCTAAATTTGGACAAATCAAAGGCAAAACACCGCTGTTCAAAACATTGGTCTAGATATGGTTGGATAACCAGCAAGTTTTGCTCATCCTTCAATTCCGTTCATGTTGATGATGATGTTATTATGATGCCTGAGGCATAGATTTTGCCAATTCCCAGTGTGCAGATGTCGATTATTCGGCCGCAAAATCATCGTCCATTGCATCATTTCAACGTTTTCTTAGACGCGAACATATTTTACTAACGAAGGTTCCTTACGCTCTAGATAGCAAAGGAATATATAATCATTCGTTTGGCGGATGAACTTATGTTGGGTCGTGTCTACCGCCAGTATTCCACAATGATGTCGTCCCAAACGGCCCCTTTTTCCAAAGCAGTGGTCAGTGCCATGCGCAAATTGTAGGTCAATGTTCAGCGGGATCGTATAAACCATAGGACTAAGAATTTTTAGGTATCCTGAAAGACTTGCAGACAAGAGCTGGGATAACACTGGACGTACGACGGCTTAGGCTACGACTCCTATTTCAAGACATGAAGTTGACGATCCTACGTAGTGCTCCTGGAAGCGCCGTATAACCCTCAAAGACGGCAGCGCAACTCTGCTTTACTGACCGTAGACTTGACGAAAGCCGTCGCCGACGAGGCGATCGAGACGAAACAGTCGATTGTTGTGGCGTATCGTGCGTCCGCCTGCCCTGCTTTTGCACCGCGTCCCCACTAAGAAAGACAGATCCGATAATATTTAAAGGACTGAAAGCGTTGAGTCTTGGCGACAGCCAGCAACAGTCGCTACTGCGCCTGGCCACGGAAGGGATAAGTGTATGCCTCCGTTGCTGTCCGCGATCTTCATCCAGCGACTGACCGCTCTAGGTTTACTGCCCTCACACCGCCGTAGACGCCGCTAGCGGAGGCCTAGGCGACTGGTTGGCAGATATAGTAACCGGCGATGCGATCGAGCAACCGCCACAGGAGCTACTACAAGGCTCTCCCGTCGAAGGACCACCGTCAGTCCCGCCAGGCGAAGAGACGGATCCATTCGTCCTCCCCCAACGGCCATCCTTCATTCTTCAACCCCATCCTTCCGGGCTGAAGTTTATCCAGCGCGATTTAAAGCTGTATGTATACCGGTACCATATTTGAGCATCATCTGACACCCCCGAGCGCGTCGATCCCACACACCCGCTCTGCAATCAAGCCGAACGAGGACCCCTCATCCCCTGGCGCAGGGATGGGTCGAGTCGTCCGCTTTGCCCAGCCACAGCCGCTCGCGCATTTGATCGACCGCATCGCCCGAGGCTTGGGCCAGCCAAAAGGCTTCCCCGTCGCCATCCCCCAGGGAACCGCGATCGAGGACATCTCGATCCGGAGCGTCGGCATCTGCGCGGGCAGTGGCGGATCGTTATTTGCGGGCTTGGACGTGGATTTGCTGTTTACCGGGGAATTGTCGCACCACGAGGCACTGGCCGCCATCGAAAGAGGGCAGTCGGTAGTGACGATGTTCCATTCGAATACGGAACGAGGGTTTCTGCATTCGGTACTGAGTAACCAGCTGTTACAGGCGGTGCGGGAGGAATGGGAGACGATTCGGAGCGGGATAAGAGAGGATGGGCGTCTGGAAGAGGCGTTGAAGGATACATCCGTCGAAGTGGAAGTTAGTGAACGCGATAGGGACCCTTTCGGGCTGGTCATTGCGCAGTCTGCCGGGGGATAATTCCCGCAATGTGAGCTTGGTATCAAAACGTTTCGACGTTCTCTAATTAAGAGGGATACAGAGTCTATGTTATAGATAGCCCACGAGTTGTGCATGCGCGCTTGTGATATGGACAAGATGAAACAGGTAAAACATCATACGCTTGAACGCTGCAGGCCGGACGCCCAACCAATGCCATTATTATTCATGGGGGTAAAACCACCGGCTTCCCGCCAGCAGGACGATACTCTTCGTCGTATGCCCATTTTGTCATACGATCCACGATCCTCGCACACAACGGATCCACCGTCTTCGTCCACACCAGCGCCAACCGGTAAGTTATGACGAAAAAGACGACCACGGAGGCCGCCATATGCAGACTCGATCCACGCTGCAAGTCCATCTGTTCCCCGGTCTGCTCATTGACGGGAGGATTCAGCGCGCTCGGAAGGTAGATCAGCCATGTGAGGACGGTCTTCATGAGCTGGTTGTGGATGAGGTACACGGGCAGGCTGACGCGGCCGAGGAAGTTGAAGAAGCGGTGGGAAAGAATCCGCCGTGCGTTCGGAGAGGAGTAGACGCCCAGAACTATCAAACACGCGCCAATGGAATCCCAGTATTTGCGAATGTCCGCTTCGGCGGGAGTAATGGGAGACATCATGTTGACCATGATTCGGGTCCATGCGGTACGGTCTGGTGCGTCCTGAGGGAAACTGCAGAGGAATAGCCCGAGGACAAGGGAGATTATAGGAAACGGCGCGGGTAAGAGGGCGGCGTCAGCGCCGACTTCGACATGCAGGTCCGCTAAGAGCATGCCAAAGGCGACATTCATGGTCTTTTGAGCTATTCGTAGGTCAGCATGGTTGAAGGCTTTTCATAAGATACTAGAAGCCTAGGACTCACCTGTGCCGGCAATCCATCCATAAAAGTAGACCGCAAGGAACCCGACTCTCCTGGCCTTGGGAGTAACTGGGAGGGTAGCCAGAAGTGTCAAGTACACAATCATGCTCCCTTCGAGTAATACAATCATGGCCCATTGAATCCCATCATATTCATTCCACCCCTCCGTCCAGGTCGAGGCCTCCGCATGGAAGAGGCTGTAAATAGCCGAGGAGATCGATGTGCCCGGGGCGTGATAACCCTGGCGGATCCAGGTCGCATCGATATGTTTCCCCATCTTATAAGCACCAACGTTGGCTAGCCCCCATGAAATCAGGGTGGCAAAGAATGCCGGTAGGATGAGTTGCGCTGGTCGCTTCAAGGCGTTTTTCGATAGACCTGAAAATGCAACGTCCACGCCGGCCGCCTTTGCTTTGACCAGCGGTCCCAGCGTATTCACATAGCCTGTTATCAGGAAGAAGAGAGCCACCGCTGCACGCCCGGCGATGAGGAGTCGAAAGAAGGGGAGTTGCATGAGGGTGGGGGGTTCGTCTGCGGCATTCGACGGGGCGTGGATTTCGGGAGCGAACGCGGTGAGGACATGACCGCTGACAACGATGAATGCCGCAATGCCTCGCAATCCCTGGTCATTGTGAGCGTCACGATCTAATCGACTCAGAACCTTTCCTAATTGCTCACATCTACCCAGTTGGATTCCCTCGAGTTGGAGGCCATTGCGTATGCAAAAACACCTATCTAATACTTCCGCTAGAAAGCACTGAAATATCCGAAGCCGGCTCAAGGAGGAAAATATAGGTAGAAGGTTCCAGATAGAAATGCACACAGGCTTTGAACGCGTTTGTAGAGGCACTTAAAGCATCAAGCCAATATTCCGACGTCGAAAACAGGTCCTAGCGATAGTAGCGAAAATGTACCGGTGTACGCGGTTCGGAGTTTGCTCATATCCCTTCTGGCCTCCTCTCCTCTTCTCTCATCCCCCGCTGACCTCGCAGCAAATGAGTGAAGGGATGTATCGCAACCGGGCTCATGGACTCCGTCGATATGGTAATATTCCAGGGCCGCAAGGTAGTCAGACGATGACGTGTTCGCGGTCGTCGAATTCATGCAAGGAGTATGCTGGGAGTAGGAATTCGGATAGCGGAAGTCGTAAATAACGAGGACTGAGTAGTAGATCGGGGGATTATTATTATAATAAGGGTCGAGGTATCAAGAAACGAACTCAACACCAAAAATCCAAAACAAAAGAGCTGAGGCTGTGACAGCCAAAGTCGAAGAGAAATTCGTTGGCGAGGCTTACATCCTATTAAGAGGTACGTACATCGCCAATTCGCCATTCCCCGGCCCAGCCTGGCTGTTAGCCTGTTACTTATACATAATGAGTGGACACGGAGGATGGAGGCTTGGAGGATTATTGAATACATTTCAGTGGCTGATCCATACGTCCACAAGCGTGTTGCCCCTGGACCCCGCCCGCATGCACAGGACTTTCTGAGATCAGGATCGGCAATCGGACGCGAATCATGCGATCGGCCATTGGCCGGATTAGTTCGGGAAAGTTCAGGAAAATCGGGGAATCCGGAATAAATGCCTGTTCGAAAGTCGAAACGATAGCTGGAACTTGTAGAGTAAGGAGGAGGATAGAAGCGGTTTGTGGAACAGTCACGTGGTCAAGCTGAGGAGTTCAATTGCCTTACATTAGCACGCTCAGGCCATTGTGGTAGTGCCTGAGGCAACTAACCGCACTATACCAGACCTAATTAGCAAGGTTCTCTACCAAGTAGCCTGAGGATCATGTCATTGATTTTTGGCCCAAGTCGAGATCGTTTGTATGAGAGCAATTTAACTACTTCAACTTCGTTTTTCTCCACAACGAGCCGTCGCACAGTAAAATTGATACGTTCAATCGAATCCTCTATCGTTTCTTGACAGCCCAGTGAAATTTAGGCGATGTCAGATCGAACCTCCTCTCGGCGCAGCGTACGACTGGACCCAACGTCTCCCGAGAGCAGAGAATAGCTACGAACTGGTGCTTCGACTGTGGTGGTTGGTTGACGATTCTGACGCAGTCTGGTTTTTTACATATCAGCGTTTTTTGCAAGACACAAGCATCCGAAGTGGAAAAAAATTCAATTTCTAGATGAAGTATACCTTGCTGCACAGTCCAGTGAATTTAAGGGCAAATATAAGAAGTCCTCGTATTGTTATTGAAGAATATGCAAAAGTGAGGTTTCCAAAATCGTGCAAAACACATGTAAATTATCGAACAGTCAGTGTGAACCATTGACAGAATCCTCAGGCTATTTGTTCGAGAACTGCATTGACCGATTAGGTATAGTGTGATTTGTTGCCTCAGGCACGACCACAAATAGCCTGAGCTTGCTGAGGTAAGCCATTTGTTCGAGGAGTGCATGTGACTCTACCGATTAGGTATAGTCCACTCCGGTGCCTTGGCACGACCACAAATGGCCTGAGCTTTGCTGAGGTAAGAGTCAATAGAATAGAAGGAGGTAATCACGTGGTAAGGGCGCAACCTGAATGACCTGAATCATCCAGCAGCAGATCTAAAGAGATCAAGAGAGATATCTGAGGAAGGACTAAGGAAAAAGGTCAATGTGCGACACTATTGGTAAGGGAATATTTCGTACTACCGATGGTGGGGATACGGATATATTATACTTTATTATATCCTGTAGAAACAGAATCCGGGTGACTGACGGCTGCCCAAGTACGTCGAATCCTCCGTACAAACATGAACTGATGTTTGAGGCTTCTCATTGTCCACTGAAATCCAGACCTGTCTCTCTGATCTGCTGTACAGATAATCAGCCCAAGCTTGCTAGGTCCTTACTCCGTGTAAGGTACTAAATTCAACATTGGAGTATCAGGGAGGTCAAGTGAATGGAATTTACCACGTAAATATTAGGGAATTGGAAGTGAAGTTATGTACAATTCACCTCTCCCACTATTCCTCTCTATGCCTCATGACTACTCCGTACACCACCGCAGTCCGCAGTGCAGTATACTAGTGCAGGAACAAGACGTCTTCCAGCTTCTTATTCTCATTCTAATTCCCGGATGATTATATCTTTCTTACCCGTAACTGTCACAAGTCAACAAACACCATAAAGTCATCGAGTCCAAAGTATTATTATGATAAATAATTATGACCAGACCGGGACGGACCCTCACATTTCTGCCCCAGGTCCCCACACAGACATTACCATAGCACCTCCACAGCACCAGCTCACCTCTCACTCGCTGTGTCTGCTCCATCGTCTCACTCCCCGTTCATCTTAGGTCTAGTTCTGTAGTTCTCTAGGTCTCCATCACGACTTCACCTCACCTTAACCCCATCGACAACAGAATTGCGCCCGCAGTTTCTCCGACAACACGAATCTTGACCAGATCCGATTAACCCTTCTGCTGATCCCGCCGCCCGCAGCCTCTTCCCGCCCGCTGCTGCGACTGCTTGCCATGCCGATGTCGTGACGTGCAGTTCTCCGCATATCGACATCACCTCCGCCCTCATCCTATTTCCTTCGCATGGCCGCCTCCCCATCCATTCACCCGTCATGACGAGGGAAGAGAATGCCGACCGCCACGGGTCGACTACGAGCTCGGGTGCCGACAGCTGGCGCTCTTCAGATACCGTCAAGGGCTTCTTCGCCGGCCAGAAGCGTGATCGAGCCACGCCGATGAAGGTCGCTACGGACAAAGAAAGAAAGTATGTACTCTCTTTCCGCTTGTTGCATTGATGCATTCCGGCCTCCGGGAGACCTATGCACGACCGCGACCGAGCCATCAATTGTTTCTTTGTCACTTGTCACTTGTCACACAGCTTGCGTCGAGCTGGTGCGCCCCGTCCATCCAAACCTCGATCGTCCACCACACCGCATCTGTGTCTTGCGCATCGTGGCCGTGCATGTGCCATTGTCGCTAAGCTTTGAACATACGTATTCGATGGTTTAGACATTCACGCTCTCGTCAATCGCGTCCCGGCACGGCCAGCGATGGCTGAATGACCCATCGACTTTGGAAATCTGCAAGAATCATTGTTTCGGTATATCCCGCTGACTCTAAGGCATCGCAGTCACGAAAAAGACCTCGAGATCTCTCCCGGTTCGCAAACTCCTCACCGTTCCTTTTTGCGAAGCCCTGTCCCGTCGAACTATTATCCATGGGAGTCCGGTAGAGCGTCCGATTTCAACAACTACCGCAAAGACCTCGCCGTGCTCGAAAACGGTCCCAGAGTGCCATCCATCTCTCGACAGCCGCCGTCCGCCCCTTCCCCCAACTCGCAGTGGTCCACGAACGCCGGACAATCCGTCATGCCGACCAGTGTCTTCGGAAACAGTTTCTATGATGACTCCAACGAGGATATCGCCCAATTGTCGCCGGGCTTTCGGCCTGGGAGCAAGGATGACGATCCGGGGTACGAAGGTGAAGTGCGCCGGCCGTCGGTAGCCAGTCAGAATACCGCCGGAAGCTCCGGGTCCAAGACGTCGAGCCACAGCCGCAGTTTCCACAAGAAGCTTCACGGTTTCTTCGGCGACGAGTACGCGGAAGCCGTGTCTCGACAGAACTCCCAGACCAGTCTTCCCCCGGGAGCATTGTACTCGTTCGCTGATTCCTCGCAATCGCGTGCGCGCCACCGGAACAATTCGTTCAACCATATGGGGGTCGGCAGCCGACCCGCTTCGCCAAGAAGTCATTCTCGCCCACGAACGCCCCTGCCCTCGAGCGAGGTGACGCCATGGGAGTTCCAGGATATGAAGGAACCGCCTGCTTCAACGGATCGTCGAACTATTAGCTCCAATGATTCGAACCGCACCGCGAGACCCTCCATTTCGACCGGCCACAAATTGCATCTCCCGGGACATCGTCACAGCAGAAGCAAAGAAGACCACAAGGTCTCCGACCCCGATCAAGCCCTCCAACCACGCCCACGAACCTCCCGGGAAGGCTCCGTGCAGAATTTGCGCCGTGCCGACTACCCACTCCCAAACCTCCCCAACACCAACTCATCGTTCAATTCAAAAACGTCGCTCGCACCCCGCGCAGCGAGTCCGACACCGAGCGCACACAGCGGTATCGGAAGAGATGCTCAGTCGCAGCGATCCCCAAGCGTGAACGGCGCGGCGTCGAAACGCTCGATTCTCGATAAATTCCGACGCAAAGGGGGAAACGAGCGAACGGACCGGCAAGGTAGTGAGGCACTGAGAGACCTGCCGTCATCCAGCACCTCACTTCAGCAGTCGTTGAAGGCTGGACGAGGACCCGAATTCGCACAGCCCGGTCCGAAAAGGAAGGGCACGGTCTCTGAATTCCCGACCAACGGACGAGCCATGAGTACCTCCAAGGAAGCGCAGAAGCGCGACCACCACCGGTTACCGTTTGTGGGGTCGAAGAAGGGTCAGGAGATCAAAGAGGCACAGAAGCCCCGGGATCCGAACGTCGCGCGCTCGGACGCTCAGAATGCATCGCTGTGGTTTCTCGACACTGATTTGAGCAACTTAACTGACATCATCAACCCCCACCCGGCACCCATGACCCCTCCTGGGAACGACTCCAATTCCGCGCCGTGGGCTGGGGAGGAGCCGCCTCCTGAGTCGAAAGAAGAAGAACCAAATCATGGAGGTTGGGAAGCGCCGGAGTCTTGGGCAGTGAAGAACCAGGCCGACGAGAATCTCGGACGCTTGAGGGAGTTGGACGATAGTGGGTTCCCGACCAGCGACGATCAGGGGACTTCATATGGTGCTCGTATATTCCGGCACGACTCGACCTTCATGACCGTGTCGTTACCCCTTAATGCCACAGTCAACGACATCATCCAGATGGTAGGGAAGCGAACCGTTCTGCAAGACGAATTGAACAATTACCATATCGTGATGAAAAAACACGATACATCCCGACAGCTCGATCCCCAGGAGCGGCCGCTCGCCATTCAGAAGAGGCTGTTGGAGCAAGCCGGATATACCGACATCGATCGCATCGACGAAGTCGGTCGTGAGGACAACAGCTACTTGTGTCGTTTCATATTCCTTCCAGCGAAAATGACCGGCTACTCCACCTTAGACAAGGACGACCCCGGCTTCAACAAGATGCAGAAATTTAACCATATTGATCTTTCCGGGAAGAATCTCATCACCATCCCCATCACGTTGTACCAAAAAGCTAACGAGATCGTCTCTCTCAACCTTTCCCGCAACCTCTCCCTCGATGTCCCGAAAGATTTCATCCAAGCGTGCGTGAACCTGCGCGATATCAAGTACAGGGGTAACGAGGCATGGAAACTGCCACCGAGTTTGAGCCTAGCCAACCGCTTGACCATGCTCGATCTATCCAACAACCGACTGGAGCAACTGGAACATGCAGAGCTGTACCAACTGGAATCACTGCTTGGTCTGAAATTGGCGAACAACCGGCTAACGCATCTGCCAACGTACTTTGGACAATTCCGGTTCCTTCGAAGTCTCAACCTTTCATGTAATTCACTGACGGAGTTTCCCGACTTTTTGTGCGACCTCAAGAACATGGGAGATCTGGATATCAGCTTCAATTCAATTAGCGCAGTGCCGAAAATCGGACGCCTCACCAAGCTGGAGCGACTCTGGGCCACGAACAATCGTCTTACGAAGTCGTTTCCTGCATCGATCACGAATCTGACCAAACTCAAAGAGGTCGACGTCCGGTTCAATGCCATGGAAAGTATTGACGTCCTGTCCCAGCTTCCACAGCTCGAGTATCTCCTCACCGGCCACAATCGCATTTCCGCCTTCGAAGGAACGTTCGCAAGGATCCGGGTGTTGGAAATGGACCACAATCCAGTCACTCGGTTCGGCTTCTCTGCCAGCATCCCCTCCCTAAGCATTCTCAACCTCGCTTCTGCCAAACTGGCTCAGCTCCCGGATGATCTGTTCCAGAAGGCTCCTTCATTAACCCGCCTTAACCTCGACAAGAACCATTTCGTGTCACTATCACCTCACATCGGCCGGCTCGCGCATCTGGAACATTTCACGATTGCCCGCAACCTCCTGAGCAGCTTGCCAAAGGAGATTGGCCGCCTGGGGGAGCTCAAACATTTGGATATCCGTGCCAACAATCTCACGTCTCTACCCCCCGAACTATGGTACGCCCGGAAACTGGAAACCCTGAACGTCTCCGCCAACGTGCTTGACACCTTCCCGAAACCGGGTGCACCTCTCCCGAATCTTCCACACGACCCAAGTGACATGCCGACTCCTGGGTCCGGCTCGACACAAAATTTCGACGAGCTTGGTAGACTCGAAGATTTTCAATCCCGGAGACCGAGCCAGGCCTCTGGGTATCTGAGTGTTGGTAGCTCATCGGGAGGCAGTGTCCATCGAAAGGGATCAATGAGCTCCAGCTTCACCCAGAACGGCCGCAAAGGATCGGCCATGTCCCGCGCCACGACCGAAGGGACCATCACGCCCGTCTCTCGGAAAGATTCAAGTCTCTCAGGCCGGCTAGTAAATACATTCGCAAGTTCCTTGAAGCATTTGTTCCTTGCAGACAATCGACTCCCCGACGATATTTTCGACGAACTCGCCCTACTGCCAGATCTACGCATTCTCAATCTATCTTATAATCTACTTTACGATATTCCACCCCGAACCTTGCGTCGATGGCCGCATCTCACCGAGCTGTACTTGTCAGGGAACGATTTAACGACCTTGCCCGCTGAAGATTTGGACGAGGTGGTCTCTCTCCGAGTCCTCCACATTAACGGAAATAAGTTCCAAGTCTTACCGGCGGAGCTCGCCAAGATACAAAAACTTGCCATCATGGACGTTGGCAGCAATCTGCTCAAGTACAACGTCAACAATTGGCCTTACGATTGGAATTGGAACTGGAACCACAACTTGAGATATCTTAATCTGTCCGGGAACAAGAGGCTGGAGATCAAACCGACCGGCTCTTACATGGGGGGGGCTGGACGTGGTGGAAAGGATCTCACCGACTTTACATCGTTGTCCAAGCTGCGTATCCTTGGCTTAATGGACGTTACCCTGATGGTCCCCTCCGTGCCCGATCAAACTGAAGACCGAAGAGTCCGCACCTCTGGTTCGACCGTTGGTAGCATGGCATATGGTATGGCCGACAGCCTGGGTAGGAATGAGCATCTCTCGATTTTGGATCTAATCATTCCCCGGTTCCGAAACCACGATGACGAGACGCTGGTCGGTATGTTTGATGGCCAGCCCATCTCCACCGGAGGTTCGAAGGTCGCCAAGTACCTGCACGAAAGCTTCAAGGACCGCTTCACGGATGAGTTGGAGAAATTGCGCGGGCCGGAAACCCCAGTCGATGCGCTCCGGCGAACGTACTTGACTCTCAATAAAGACCTCGCCATTGCGGCGAACTCGAAGGATTCCAAGACTCAGATGGTCCATCGAGGCTCCATCGGCATGCCGGAGCTAGGCGAGGACGATTTGGCCTCCGGCAGCGTCGCGACGGTGCTTTTCCTCAAGGATATGGAGCTGTTCGTCTCCAACGTAGGAGATGCCCAAGCCCTTCTGATACAGTCGGAGGGAGGCCATAAGATGATCACGCAACGCCATGACCCTGCCACCGTCACTGAACGTCTTCGAATCCGAGACGCGGGAGGATTCGTGTCACGACAAGGGAAGCTGAACGATGTCCTCGAGGTCTCCCGGGCGTTCGGTTACATTTCCATGACCCCCGCTGTCACTGCCGCTCCGCAGATCAATCACATCACCCTTCGAGAGTCGGATGAGATCATCCTTATCGCTTCACGGGAGCTCTGGGAATACTTGACCCCCGAATTCGCCGTGGATGTCGCTCGCTCCGAACGAAGCGATTTGATGCGCGCGGCGCAGAAGCTTCGGGATCTGGCCATCGCATTTGGTGCCACGAACAAGATCATGGTGATGATGCTAGGTGTCAGCGACCTTCGGCGACGCGAACGAGCGCGGTTCCGCACCCACAGCATGTCCATGGGTCCAATTAGTATGCAGGACGATTTCTTCACCGTGAGACAACGGAAGAGAGGGAAAGAGGGCGTGGCCGATCAAAATATTGCTCGTCTCGATCCCGAGGTTGATGCACCGGTCGGCGAAGTGAGCTTGGTGTTTACGGACATCAAGAACTCGACGTTGCTATGGGAGACGTTCCCGATTGCGATGCGCTCAGCCATTAAAATGCACAATGAGCTGATGAGGAGGCAACTGCGGCTCATCGGTGGCTACGAGGTCAAGACGGAAGGTGATTCATTCATGGTCGCGTTTCCCACCGTCACTTCGGCTCTCCTGTGGTCCTTCACGGTACAGAGCCAGCTGTTAGAAGTCCCATGGCCAGAGGAGATCTTGAACAGCGTCAACGGACAAGAGGTGTTTGACGGCGACGGAAACATCATCTTCAAAGGTCTCTCCGTTCGCATGGGTATCCATTGGGGCGCTCCAGTTTGTGAAGTCGACCCCGTAACGAGGCGTATGGACTACTTTGGCCCTATGGTCAATCGGGCTTCACGTATCTCATCAGTTGCGGACGGCGGACAGATTACCGTCTCGTCCGATTTCATCGCGGAAATCCAACGGCTCTTGGAGACGCACTATGAGTATGACCGGTCCGGGTCAACCGGATCCGATGATACCATGGGCGATGATATCCTGAGCCATACCATCCTACGTGAGCTTCGATCATTAAGCAGCCAAGGCTTCGAAGTCAAAGATCTCGGTGAGCGACGACTCAAGGGTCTTGAAAATCCCGAACGCGTCTATTTGATGTACCCACATGCCCTAGCGAACCGTCTCCTCGTCCAACAACAACGAGCGGAATCCGAGAAATTGCACCGAACTAGCTCGGGACTAATGGCCAACAAGCCACAAGAGACCAAACTTATCATCGACGCGGAAACGGTTTGGAGCCTTTGGAGCGTCAGTTTGCGCCTGGAGATGCTGTGCAGCACGCTCGAGGACCCAGACACGACCCAACTGAAGGCACCGGAAACCGCCATATTGGAACGAATGAGGACCCGTAGCGGGGAGCTCACGGATCGATTCCTGATCAACTTCGTGGAGCATCAAGTTTCACGGATCGAGGTATGTTGGACTTGATATGTTAGTAACTGGGTTATGCAATGCTGATGACCTGACAGACATGCGTCACCACTCTCGCCCTTCGAAACATGGTCCGGCCATTCCAAGGTGGACTCCTTGGGCAAGCGTGTCCGATGGACGAGATTCTTACCGACCTTACCTCGCAGCTTGGGGATCTTCAGCGGATGAAAGCAGAGGTTCAAACGCCCTCCACACCGTCTCCGTAACCGTTCCACGGTCCATTTCCGGAGGCAATTTACCTTGTATGATTAGCACAGATATCCCTATTACTCGCTGGTTGCTGTTGCGAACCGCAGCAGATGTTTCGGCCGGTTCCGTTAGCCCGGTTTGGGCGTTTGTATACAACTCATTGCACGAGGGCGGATTCATTCATCCACGCGAGCAGAATCTTTGCGCTCTGCGTTCGCGCTATCAGGACAAGCAAGCAAGACACACGCAGGCGACTGTCGATGTTCAGTTACGACTTTCATGCTGATGACCGGAGCGGTTGGCAGGCAATATTGCCTGGATGGGCTTTGGGATACACTTTTCATTCATTCTGTCATTATTTTCCTGCGTTCGTGCTCATTCGATGGGACGGGTTAACGCTCTATGACATGCAAGTTGGCGATCATCTGCTCCTTTTCTTATTCATGTAAATCCGGATGGTCTAGCACACCTACTGTCAGGGTGGGTGGTTAGGGATGGGAAACATTTAATAGCGCTCAACGACCGAAAAGGCTAATTCCAGTCACGGATTCATCATAGCATAACCATCGTGGTGGATGCCACCAATCAATATAAATACGATAATTAAGTACTTTAAAGGGTTTCGTGAGCTTTTCGTCGTGCTGAATATCGCCTAGGCGAGTGCAATCGTTCTGGTACGTAACGGTCGTTCGGCTGACCATTCTTATACTTTCACCTGGGAAGGACCACGTTGGTTCCTCCATCAACGCTGGGAACTTAGGCAACTCACCACGTATCTCCCAACATCACAGCCTCCTTCAATTCAATATGTCTAGTTAAACCGGCAATGGATCGCAATTGCGATTTTCTTAATATTATACCCTTCGGAACCTCGTCGCAATGCCAAACTCTGCGGTTGCGACCTCTGTTAAAGGTGCCACGGTCCTCGTCCTCCTCCAGGTCAGCTCGAGGGCATTGACATTTATCCTCAATCAAACCCTCCTTCGTATCATCTCTCCCGAACTCCTGGCGGTCGCAACTCAGTTGGAGCTCTACTCTATTTCTGTCCTATACTTCTCCCGCGAGAGCGTCCGCGTGGCCGTGCAGCGACAGCCGGACGATGTGCAGACTGTGGTGAATCTCTCCTACATCAGTCTTGCCCTTGGCCCCGTGTTTGCTCTGGTGCTTGGGACGCTGTATCTACGGTCTGCCAACTATCCCGTCTTATACGTGCGAGAGTCCTTGATCATTTACGGGTTCGCTTGTCTTGTCGAATTGCTTTCCGAGCCTGGGTTTGTGGCCGCCCAGCAGAAACTTCTATATGGAATTCGGGGCTCAGTAGAGAGCTTCGCTACCATCGTCAAGTGCCTTATAATTTGCGGACTCGCTTTCTGGGCGCATATCAATGGGTTGAATTACGGAGTTTTGCCATTCGCATACGGACAACTGGCGTTTGCGACGACGCTCTTTCTGGGATACACTGTCCGAGTGAGCCGCCTTGCGGCAAAGCAGAATTTCTCCCTGATTCTGCGGAAGATACGCCCACAGTATGTGCATCGGGGACGCGCTGGCCATCTTAAGCTTACCAGAAGCATACAGACCATCCGAGATACATTACTTTAATGCATTTTCTCGATCGCTATGCAGCCTGGTGTTTAGCCTTTCTCTGCAGTCCAGCGTCAAGTACATCCTCACCCAAGGGGACTCATTAATTATGGCAAACCTGACCACCCTCCACGACCAAGGTGCCTATGCACTGGCGGCCAATTATGGCGGCCTCATTGCACGAATGGTTTTCCAGCCTATCGAGGAGAGTACTAGAAATGTCTTTGCTCGACTTTGCGCGTCCGAGTCGAACGTTACCGAGCCCAAGGAGCAAATCAACCAGGCCAAAGTGTTACTTCAGGATATCCTTCGCATATACAGCCTCATGTCACTCGTGGCGGTTGTTGCTGGGCCAGTTGCAGCACCCTTGCTTCTCCAACTGGTGGCCGGCTCCAAGTGGATAGAAACCGGCTCTGGGGAGATGCTGTCCACGTACTGTTTCTACATCCCTCTTTTGGCATTAAATGGGGTTACGGAAGCATTCGTGGCAGCTGTTGCTAACAAACAGCAGCTCTACCGTCAATCAGTATACATGGGCTTGTTCTTCGCTGCATTTGCTGGATCTGCTTTTCTCTTCTTGCATACTTGGTCACTTGGGGGCCACGGGGTGGTTTATGCAAACTGCTTGAACATGGGATTGCGCATTTTTTGGAATATATCCTTCATCAAGGACTTCTTTAACCATAGGAAGTTGGTAAGCACCCAACCGTCTTGTCGCTTGTGACTCGGACACTGATTTGAGCTGTAGTCATTCACCATCTCCACATCCTTGCCTTCATACGGTTCTCAGGGAATAGCCATAGCTTTCTGGGCATTGCTCAGGAACCGTCGGCTGTATGCGTCAACGTTGCTGGGAAGCCTTGTTCGGGTGGGGCTTGCAGTGGGAGTATACCTCGCGCTATTGTAAGTGAAATATTTGATAGACACAGTTAGCATGTCGCTAACACCTCAGGCTACTCTTCGAACGCACCTTTCTCTGGGGACTGGTACAGAATATCAGGGGTCAGCGAACCAGCGAGCGTTCTTGACGCAATCTATGCAGACCATGTACAACAGAAGTCATGATATTAAAGCATGCTACGCTGCCTGGTGCTTTCTCCTATCGGCGATGCAATATCATATACGTGCCATACTGTCGTTCCATGGAGGACAATGGCATTCAGTGATGGGTGCGAATATCAAAAGGCTTCAGGGATATAACAGGAAGCGACGGCCCAAATCGTAGACCGTGTAGACGCCGGCGACAATACAATTATTCTACAGGATACCTGTTCACTTTCACGTCGTCAAGCCATAGTTAGACCAAAGTAGTTCCATCACTCTGTATTCTGGAATAGCGCTGTACTCGCTGGGGCAGCTATCAGATGCAGGGATGTGACGGGGGTTCACGAACATCCCAAGTTCCATTCAACAACGCGATTCTCCCGTTCCACCCTCCACACCTACTGATGTTCTAGACTGCAGGGTCAGAGCAACCAAATTCCATGATCTGAAGACTGAATGCGACCAGTCCTGCTACGATGGTCGCGTCCGCTGCGGCTGCTCGTTCCCGGCCCACGATGTGATCACCATATACGATGCGGACCGGGTCCCCAAGTTTCGTCGGTGTTGGCACGACACGCTCTCAACGACGGATGCCCTTTGCAGCTCTCTAGATCTGCGAGCTCGTCTTCATCTTCAAGATGGAAGCAGCGCCAGTTCAAAGACCAGTTTACAAGAGAAGCCAAGGTTCAAGGCCTCAAAAGCCGTGCAGCGTTTAAATTGCTCGAGGTATAACACACTGCCCTCTTAAGGAGCTGATGCTAATACCTCCTGTGCGGTAGATTGATGAGAAGCACCACCTTTTCAAACGTGGGGCAACTGTCATCGACTTGGTAAGTGACCCCGAGGTCAAGCGCTAAGACTATCTCTAACACATCGTCGCAGGGTTATGCACCAGGATCGTGGTCACAGGTCCGTACCTCGACGAGCGTTTGTTGCCATAATGGAAGGGGGAGAAAACTAAACGCAGATTAGGTTGCCATATCGCGTACACAACCCAATGGACGGGTGGTGGGAATCGACATGCTCCCCGCGCAACCTCCGAGGGGCGTCTCGACAATTCAAGGCAATTTTCTGTCTCCCGCCGTGCAAGCAGAAGTGCGCACATATGTCCAGGACCCCGCAAGGGGACGGCCGATCCAACGAGGAATCCCACCACCGACTGCAGAAAGTGAAACATCGGAAGAGAGGAGTGAAAGCTACATTGATATGGACCGACACCTGGCAGCGGAAGGCATGGAGCCCATGGGTGGTGTGGTTGAGGAGTTGGAGCAAGCCGAAACCCGTCTGTCGACAAAAGAGAAAGATGTGGCCATGGGGCGTGTGGTGGATGTGGTTCTGAGCGATATGTCTGCACCCTGGCCTCAGACCACTGGTTTCTCGGTGAACTCCGTTAGTGACGCATATACTAGGATGATGAACTCGAGCGGCAACTCCTTTCGAGATCATGCCGGAAGTATGGTGAGCAAGCTCCTCTCTCCTCTGATGTTATATTGATTTAACCAGTTGCATTAGGATCTTTGCATGGCTGCGTTGACGTTCAGTTTCGATACTTTAAAGACGGGTGGCCACTTCGTATGCAAATTCTACCAAGGATCGGAGGAAAAGGCATTTGAAGCTCAACTCAAGAGACTTTTTGAAAAGGTGCATCGCGAGAAGCCCAAGGCGTCTAGAGGAGTACGTCTTTGTTACAATCGATCTCCTGTTCTGGGGGCTAACAGTTTCAGCAATCGAAAGAGGCATACTTCATAGCGTTGAGACGAAAGCCGCTCCCGAGTCGGGAGGAAGTATTCGATACATAATCATCACAGAGTGGCCACGATTTAGAACGTTTCATCGAACAACCCACAAAGTCCTATGCTATCATGATTCAGCTAGCCGACATGCTTTCAAAGTATTCCATCATTACTATGCAATGAACAAAGTCTACTTTCCGGCAACCCCCTTCCGATCTTTCTTCAGAGGGGAGAACTGGAAACCATCTTCTGACGTGATGAATCCACCTTTGATTCCTCCCTTGACACCAAACAACCCACCCTTCGCCAAGGACCGACCTGAAAGTAGACCTTTCCCGGGGATCGGTTTGGACGGGATGCCATCATCTTCGTCGAACAACGTCTTGCCAAGACCGTTGCCTGGAAGTTTTCGCTTTTTCCGCTTCTCCATCGCGGGGTCGTCGTTGAAGGTGGCAAAGGACGCGAGCGATTTCCGGACTTTCGGTACCGGGGCTGCGGTGGGCTTCAACTTGGGAATGGATTGATCCAGTTTCGGAAGGACCTCGTTCTCGGACCCTTCCTCGGCAACCGATTCCAGTTTTGATAAGCGGGCTTTTGTTCTCGACGGTGCGGGTTTAGAGTTCGCCTTTGCTCCGGCCGGGACGAGCGCTTTCGGTTTCGTTGCCGGCTTCTTTGCCGGTTTCTTTGCCGGCTTCTTCGCGACCGCTGACGGGGTTTCTATCTCCTGCTCTTGATCTTCATGGTCTTGTGACTCTCCAGGCCGCTCCGATTGGGTATTGTCGGAGGGGGTGGCATTGGGTGAAGGGCTCTCAGGCAGCACGCTCGTCGATCGATTCAGGAACGGAGTGATGGAGAAGGTGGATTTGTCACCAGGAAGCGTGGATCTCTTGCCACGCTTTGCACGGAAGCCATCTCCAGGAGTACCGATGGTAGCATCGGGATCGAGATCAGTATGGGCCAACTTCCGCTTGGTGCCCTTTGTCTTGGCCTCTTTCTTGTTGACAACCTCCTCTGCGATCTGCGCTTTCTCCAGGCTGCCCTCGACCTCTTTAAGCTTTTCTTTGGTGGACTTAAGCTTGGTCCGAAACGCGTTTAGCTTGTCCTCCAAGACGGCCTTCTGTGCATCCCATTCCGTCAGCCCCTTTTGTAGTGCCTTATCAGCCTTTTCGCGCTCCCGCTTCTCTTTCTGAAGGTCCTTCTTGACACCGTCCAGCTGTGACGTGTCCGATGTGACGTTTTCACTTGCTGTTTGATTTATCCGTCGCTGGTCCTCCAATTCCCCCCGAAGCTTCTCGGCCTCTCGCACGGCATCTTTGTGCTCTTGCCTTGACTCCTGAAGCTCCTCTCGGAGTTGCTCGATCTGCGCCTTGTCGCTAGCACCAGTTTTGGACGCCTTTGCGGAGACGCGCTGGGTTGCTTTCTTTTCGTTTTCAAGTTCGACCTGTAGAGTGGTGACTTCTCGCTGTAGGGCAAGTTTCTCGGAAAGCAATGTCTGGTTCGAGGCAGCTTGTGCCCGCAAATGCTCCAGTTCGGGTTTCATCGTCGAAAGCTCACGCGTGAGTGCCAGCTTCTCAGTCAGAATTTTGGTGGAATCCGTCGAGACCCCTTGTAGGGACAGTATCTCGGCCTAACCCCCGTGGTCAGCGTAGCGCATACAAGATGTAATGTTGACTTACTCTCATGGTCTCGACATCACGGCATTTCTGGCGCAGGTCGTTCGAGAGTCGCTCAACTTGAGCATCAAGTTGTTCAGAACGCGCCAGGGAATCTTCCAATTGTTGTTGAACATCCTCGGTCCTCTCCTCGTCTTCTAGGAGCTGCTCGTTCAGTTGTTCGTTCTCGTCCTCCAGTAGCAGCATTTGGAAGCGCAGATTCCTGATATCTTCGTCCTTGACCACATTTTCGACATTGCTGACGCTTTGCTCATAGTTTTGCTCCAGTCGAGCGGTTTGGAGGGCTTGTCGAAGCTGCGAACACGTCAACCACTGAAAGCGCGATAAGGGACAGGCCTTTCCTACTTCATCGGGCTTCAAGGCCTCGGAGAAATCGGGTCTTTGTGGCATTTTCGAAGAATACGGGGCAAATGATGTGTTAGTCAAGTATGCATCTCCAAATATTCAGCGATAGTGGTCTGGAGTTTGGGTGATGCGACAACGACAACGGTGTTTCGTCTGGTTCAGAGTGGTGGATAGCGGTTGCTGGTCAGGCATCATGTAAACAAACAGTGGGCACGTGACTGACATCATGTGACTCTAATATATACATCACATGACTCTTCCCTATTCTACGGCGGACGACATAAGCCTATCATGCCATTCCGAACATGCAAGCTGTTCGAAAGACAACTGAAGCGTCACAGCGGACATTTCTGAGCAACAACATTGTCAAGAGGAAATCAGGCAGTTGGCCTATCCATTCGTTCCCCAAGCCACCATGAGGTTCTTCCCATTGCTTGTGAGCCTTCTTCCCCTTGGCGTCCTGGGTGCGAAGAAGCCCACCGATCCATTCCAAGACTTCCACAACAAACCAAGCCCCATGAAACTCGTCGACGTCACCTACGATCGATTGACCTCCGCCCCGAGAGATTACACCGTTGCGGTGCTGCTCACGGCTTTAGAGGCGCGGTTCGGATGCGAATTATGTCGGCTGTTCCAGCCCGAATGGGAGCTGTTGGCAAAGAGTTGGAGGAAAGGGGACAGTAGCGGAGAGTCAAGGCTGCTCTTTGGGACACTGGATTTCATAGACGGGAAAGCGACGTTCCAATCGGTATGATCCTCCACCATGACGGCAATAGAGTAACTTCTCCTAACATGATCCAGCTCAATCTCCAAACCGCGCCGGTCTTGTTGATATTCCATCCAACGATTGGTCCGGATGCCAAAGTGGATCCTCAGCCGACACGATTCGATTTCAACGCAGGGTGAGAGAGCCTTAAGGAGTGAATTGCGATCATTACAGTACTAAATTAAATGCAGCCCACAAACCGCCGAGTCCGTCCACGCCATACTTAGTAGGCATCTCCCTAGCGGCCCTCATCCCCCCGTGCGCCGTCCTGTGAACTACGTCAAAATAGTGGTCATCACAACCGCCGTGCTTGGTCTCATTACATTATTTGCCGTTGCCGCACCATATCTTCTACCGATCATCCAGAACCGGAATCTGTGGGCTGCGATCAGCTTGGTCTTGGTCCTAGTCTTTACAAGCGGCCAAATGTTTAATCACATTCGTAAGGTACCTTACGTCGCGGGGAACGGCAAGGGAGGGATCAGCTACTTTGCTGGAGGCTTTCAAAGTCAATTCGGCCTCGAAACCCAGATTATCGCTGGCATATGTGAGCTTCTACTTCCCGATCAACGTCATGCAGAGGAAATGTGCTAACTTGCGTCATAGACGGCATGCTTGCATTCGCCACGATCACCTTGGCTCTCAAAGTTCCAAGAACGGCGGATCCAAAGAGGCAACAAGTAGCTGTGTTCATCTGGAGTGGCATACTCTTCCTTGTTTACAGTTTTCTCCTGAGCGTTTTCCGGATGAAGAACAGCGGATATCCTTTCACGTTACCTCCATTTTGAGCAATGTATCGCCAGTCCGTAACATGTCAGACTTTCGATACTGCCGGAGAGATATAAGAGCTAGGAAGATGTCAAAAGTCCTTGCCCCGAGAAAAACCTATTCCATTGTGTCTGATCTGTCTGGCGTCAAATGTTGAGTTGCACCTGGTGTTCTGGGCGTTGAACTGGCCACGACTTAGACTCTGGTACATTGTGTACATGGGCTACGGTATGTATGAGTTAGACAAGCAGGCCTCACTTGGAACGGCCGGCAAGAAACAAAGAAAACTTTTCGCATATTCAGCGTAGGACCACCGGGCGACCGATCGTCCTTCCGTCTTTGTCTTCACCCAGGGTCATTCGTTATCCAATGTCGCCGAGATATTCCCATTCATGCGTCCAAACCGACTTTTTTCACAGTCCTGGTGTTTACCATGTTGATTCTGAGCTCAGTTCGCTTGACTGTGATACATCCATTTCCAACCAGGAGTTCGCTCGCAGGCATTCCAGCTTCCCTTCTCACCGTCATCCACAATACATTCTGAGGCATCTCAGCCAACCGTGAACACACTTCAGCATCTAGGATCACCAACAAACCATGTTTGATTCTCATTAGACTACGTGGACAATGGGTACCTGGTCATAGATCCACGGCGCCTGATTCAAAGTGACCGTGAAACAAAGAAACATGTGTCTCACACACGACCTCGTGGCAACCGGAACAAAGCCCTTCTATCTTGGGAATTGGAACAGCAGAATTCTGGCGGTCTTGCTTCAGCGCGCCATTCATCTTCACAATATTAATCGGCTTGGCGTCTGGCTTTGTTCACAGCTGGCTATCATTTAGATCCTCTTCTAACCTGACCATAAATATCTCAGCTGCAGACTCGCTCTTCCTTCTATCTTCCCTTTCGATTGTTTTGCCCTACCAAAATCTCTATTGCTTCGAAGCCGGCCTTCGACTTGAATCTATCGTTACGTATAGCATCCGGCGCTCGACGCTCGCCATCATGCGGGTCACTTCGGTTCCATATCGGTCATCCAATCTTGCAATCCCTACATCGCCCTTTTCTCCCATTACTCCAGTCGCCATCAATATCTCCCGACCCAGCAGAGCTGAAAGTCCCCGATCGACGTCCCCAAAAAGCAAGAGAAAGCCCCTCTCCCCACCTCCACAGTCGCCACTGCAGTGGCTCTGGCAATGCCACATCTGCAAGGCATCGTATCCCTTGGGCGTGACCCGACGATGCCTCGTGGACGGACACTACTTCTGCTCCGGGGTCAGCTATGTCAAATCCAAACGGCCCGGCCACCCCAAGGTCCCCAAACGCGGCAAAGCTTGCACCAGTGAATTCGATTATCAAGGGTGGAAGCGGTGGGGCGACTGGCGAAGGGCGGATCAATCCCATACTGCTACCGATGATGGGCGGAACACGCAGAGCGCGCCCAAGGGCTCCAAGAAGAACTGCTGGGACACGTGTGACTTTCCAAGCGAATGTCGGTGGGGAAATCAGTTGGGGGTTCAGTTCGCTCCAGTAACCAACGCAGCACAAGTAACAGCACAGACTCCCTCCTCCCATCCAGAGACGCCTCCGCCTTCGCCTCCAACAACAGATATAACGGCTCCTCCATATTCCGAGCGGGCGGAAGCATTGTCAACCCTGGAGGGCATGTTAAACAAATCCTTTCTCCAACCCCAATCCACGTGGTCGAGCTCGCCATTCAGTGACCAGTGTAGTAGCAGCGCTGGGTCGTCAAAGGATGACTTCTGGTCGGCGCTGATGATTTCTGCCAAACGACGGAAAAGCACGCCGGATGTATCGCCTCTTCACGAGCTAGTGACGATGTCGCGAAGCGAGAATATTGGGAATAAAGGTAAATACAGAGAAATGAAGGTGGGTTTGGCGGATAATGGAGGGGTTCAACCGCGAGCTCCTGCGGTGGACTCGGAGACTGACGATACGGAAATCCAGGATGCGAAAAGAGAGAACGCGAAGAGAGAGAATACACGAGTTGGAGTTCGCGAGGCAGCAGTGGAGATGGACAAATCATCAGCACCCATGGAAGGTGTCGAATTCACTGGGAATTTTGGGATCAAACGAGACTCTGAGAAGCGCATAGTGAGAAGGGCGAGCATCAGAAGTTTGTTCCAAGGGCGGAGTGGTAGTGGTTGAAGCTACTGGCATGAGTGAGGGCATATCAGCGTGGCCTGGATCCTGGATTTTAGGAATAGCTAGTTCTCTGTAGCCAAGATGGTAGACAACAATTGCTGGCAAAATAAATTAGGACGGTCTGAGACCACAGTTAGAGCATATGTATTATAAACTTTCAACGCAATACCAACCCGTTGAATACCTGTGTTCACCTCTGTCCTGATGGTGCTTCATATGGGCCATATCCAGGCCGGGGGAATCGGGGAGAACCGTCGTAATTCCACGAAAACCTCTGGGCCCTGATCGTCCTGGCGGACCATCCAAAAGTCGGGTCTCTCATGCCATGGTACACAATCCAGTCTTCTGTTTCATCCGGGCTCTTGGTGAAGCTGGCATGCCCTACACCAAAAGCTTCTTCCTCGGGGTTCTGGTAAAACACAGGTCCTTCTTCTAACTTTTTCCACGAAGAAAGATCCATAGGATCGTCTCCAACCAGCTCCAGCTGACCCAAACAGTAATTTCTGTTATCCGAGCGAGCGGCAGAGTAGATAATGAATTGCTGGCCGGTCTTTTCATTAACCAGTTGTTGAGGGGCTTCATTGGACGACATGCGAACATTGACGGTTCGATTGTACGGGGTTTTCTCCCAGGGCTTTGTAGGCGCAGAAAGAATTTGCCGCTCCTCGAGTGTAGAACTCACTGTCCAGGGATTGGACACTGTTCGAGTCAGTAAACAGATTGAACGCGAAGGCTTGCCACGTACTCTTTGTGATGCATAGATTTGCGGGCCAGGCATCGTATTGGTTGATCCAACAGCTATAGATGTGGTACAATCCCGATTTGTGCTGGAAATAGGTTCCATCTATCGCGAATTGGTCGTAGGTGTCAAGTTGACTTTTGAAGGTATATTCGGCTTCCCATGGATGTGATACTGACCCTTCTAGAACATACATGCGGTGAAACACAGCTGGACAGTTGTAGTCGCAGAGCATGTCGACTTCAGGAATCGGACTGTCATTGTTCGGGTCGGCGGTGAATATCACGTACCAACGGTCGTCTATCGAGTGCAATTCTGGAGCCCAAATATCCGTAGAGTAATTCGTACCGGGCGGTGGAGTGAAGATTGTCCTTGACTCGGCGTTGTTCCAGTCCCTAGCTGGATGAGTAAGATCGATCAAAGATAGATTAGCGATATGGAACTTTACGTGAGCCTTGGGCTACGCAATAATTCTAGACCGTTGTTGGCCGACAGAATCATGTAGTAGAGCCCATCCTCATAAAGGAACACCCAACTAAGCCGGCGTTAGGAAAGACTTTAGCAACGATAAACCTATGTAGCTCACGGATCCGCCGCCTCCTTCTGTAGAATAGGATTGGTAAACGTCCTTGTATTGTTGGGATGACACGCTCCTATGTCAGAGAAAACCAGAGAGGCCGTTAAAAACCAGGTCGCAAACTTCATGATGCTTTTCAACCACGCGTCAAAATGATAGAAAAGGAGGTAGAGGACATGAATAACTTGAATAAAGAAACATTTTAAAAAGGAATACAAATCGATCGGAAGCATCCAGATCATCGCTGCTTTCCGTCGTTCTGTGTCCACCAAGCGGGGAAGGCGATCGCTACTGGAATGAATGGGTCCGGTAATGAGAGATCAAGAGCGGATGTAACCTGTCAATACCGTAGTCTTCGCGTGCAGTAGTAGCAAAATGAAGGTGTAACCCGGCAGTAACATGGAATATGAAGAACACATGAGCATAGCTTAATAGAAGAGGCTAGACCTAGCCGCGTCTGTCGTGTTCCAGCATCAGATGGAGTGAAAATACTGTGAAATGGATTATGGATAATCGAAGCCCAGATCGAAGCAAGATCGAAGCAAGTGTCGGTATCACTCTAAACAAATTAGGTTAGACTGTAGCTACCTGCTGGCCGGGTAAATCTTGAAATCGGGGGGAAAATCTCACTAGCAATCTTCAAAATATAAATACCACCACCCGTCCTCTCCTCGGATCCCTATAACCGTCTTCTGCCTCCTCTACCATTCGATTGCCCATTTCCTCTCTTACTTCGCCCCGTCCCAATTTCGCACTTCCCACCGATTGAACTATTGCACGCACTATTTACACGGCCGAATTCCCTGCCAACCGACCTATGCGAGATTCCTTCCCCTGCCCAGTCGTTCCATTCTGTTAGGGAGGGGTACATGTACTCTCATCTTCATCGATAATAAACACTGCGAGCCCTCATTAAGATGAGTATTAATAGCACGTGCCTTGACAGGGTCCAAATCGACAAGTTTCATTTCTACCAGCAGTGCGTCGATCGGCTGTTCAACTTCAACGAAATACTGTTCACTGCGCGTATAAACGGACTAATTACAACTTGAACAACTGCGTCCCGGTGGTAAATATAAGGGATATCTGATCAAAGGCAAGATAGGTATCTGAATGCCCTGCGGTCGGTGCCTGTCCGAGTCATTCCTCGCGCTCGACAAGTCGGTGCCATTTGACCTAATAAAGTTCGCACAACGCATTGCGAAGATAATTCCAAGGACCCAAACGCGCCCCTGAACTCAAAGAAACTAACATCATCGACCCAAGGGTATCATTTAACGCTTCGATGGAAAAATCGCCGTCATTCAAGGCTTCTGCGGCACGACCGCCGTGTCGTACTGCGGTGGCGCCTCGTAAGGGACACCACCTGGGTGTTGCCACGATTGTGCCAGGCCCGCTGGATGAAGATTGGATAGTTCCACCGTGGGGTACGGCGTAGTTGGGACAGCGCCTACATACGTAGTTGACGTACCGGTCAAGATTTCCTTCGAATCATCTTGCTTCGAGAGTCTCCGGTAGGTGAATCGTGTCCGGCACACATACGAGATGATGGCAATGAGGATGGCGACGAAGACGGCGCCGACCGCAATGCCGACGATAGCACCAGCGGGCAGCTTCTTTCTTGGTGGTTGTGGAAGCCTGCGGGCATCTAGATTAGCTACGGTTTTCCTTAATAGTGTTCTGCAGAATCTTACGGCGGTAGCTGAATGTTGTTATTGCGGATATAATCAACAACGGGAGTGTCCGTTGGATTCCATGCGACCACTATCCCAGACGCTGTTATAGAGAAAACGCTTTTCGAGTTCCGGTTTGTTGTTGAGGTTTGGGACACATTATATGACGATGGCCGCACCGACGGCCATCCCGGCGTCATACTCCAGAGGTTCGTGATGGTTCTGGCAGATTGAGTACATAGTGGGTACTCGTAAGTTGTTATCCGGGTAGTCCTCCTTCCCCCCTTCGTCGTTCTTACTCTTGTAGATGTACCTTTTTCTGCTAGAAATCCTGAGGGGCAGCAAATATATCTTGATTCCTTGCCCGCCCCCGGCAATCCCGCGGTAAAACTGGCTGCGTAGATAAAGCCTGACGGACATATGCCTGGGGAGTAATATCCTACCGAGGATATGTTTTGGTCGGCGCTGGGCATTAGCTGAGCTATAGCGGTTATCGTTGGTGATGGGGCAATGGTGGTCGTGTAGGTAGACGGCGTCAGTCCGTTGGTAGTTACAACGCTCACCGTAGGCGCAGCGGCAACGTTTGGTATGCATTGCGGATCGTGTCCAGCGTCTTTATGATATCCAAGAAAATAAGAGTTGCCCCATGCCGTTGTCGTTGAGAGACAGGACCCTGGAGGGGTCCATTGCGAATTGAGTACTCCTAGGGAAAGGAGAGTAAGCGTTTGAACCATCGTGGCGTTTACGCCAGGCACGAGAGTTCTGAATAGATCAAAATGCCTGGGAGGATGCCTCCTCAGATGTCCTCCGGATAGTATTTCCACGGTTGGGTCGCTGATGAGATATACTCCGATATCTCCATCGTCGCAGAGACCGACTCTACGTTCCCTTGAGCTCTTTTTAAGGTTCTGATCAAATCTGAGTCACGCGGAACCGTGGAATCACCCCTGGACTGCAATACGACCATAGCCCAAAGGTGAGAATACGTAGTATGGGGGAAACTCGGCTTCTAATCAGCCAAGATGTAAGCCTCCCGCGGATACTTTAGATCCCCGAAAAACGAAAGCTTTCTCCATTCAGCTCTCCTCCAAGCCCCAGCCATAGAGCACAGATGCAGCATGCAGTTGCCGTATTCGATCTTGGCGGGCAGATTGTCATACAGTTACAGTATCTCTCTGTCTTCGATCCCAACTTCAACACCACAACGTGTCGCCAATACCGGCGGGTGTGTGTGCAAAAGTAAGTTCGCTGAAAATTCTAATTAGGTAGCGAAGGGTAGAATCGGTGATATTAATATTTAATACCAGAGCTTGAGTTACTATATAGACCACAAGTACTACCGTGGTCCATGGAGGAGGCGTTTCTTGGCTCGTTCGAACTTCGAACGAATGCGGCTCTGCCAAGTACCAAGTGCCAACCCATGGGTCGTGACCCACTTCTCCCGTTATTCCCAGAATGGAATAATAGCAGCTTACATAGTACGTCCATGTCATGATACGTTCGTACCCCTACCGTGCCTGTTGGCCAACCACCTACTTGGCCAACCACCTACTTGGCCAGTATCACCATCTTCACCACCATCACCAAACGCGTAATTAATATCTCAACCACCATATCATATTACGATGTCAATTCAGAGGAGATACTCCTACAGGCCATTAATGCCTTACAGACCGGTCAATGCAAATCACAAAACGAAGCTGCGGCCCTATTCAACGTCAATCGAGCTACGCTTCAAAACCGCCTCGAGGGCATGTAATCGCGCTCTACAGCTCAACAATCGAACCATGTAACGAGTCAAACTGCACGCCTTTCGGATTGATACCTTTGGGAGAAGATATTGGTGGCCTTGTGGACTGCCGATAGATGAAGTATGTCGTCTAACCGTTGACAGTACACGCGAGGTTACTCCAGGGAGTCGAGCACTATGTAGGACGGATTTCTCTCCTCTTTCTCTTCTTCCTTTCCTTCTTCTTTTCCTTCTTCTTTTCCTTCTTCTTTTCCTTCTTCTTTTCCTTCTTCTTCATCTTTCGTTTGGTCCGATACTAGCTAGAATACAATAGCCATGTTCTAAAAGGCTCCCCTTCTACGCATCATGACATCTAGAATCAGTCTGCAACCGCTCGCTATCTCAAAGCAAACGTTATCTAGAAAGGTGTGTCTCTACAAGCTGCTTGGCTCCCCAAACAACCTCCAGACTGCCATTATGTGGTATCCAAACGGATGGACTTCAGATAAACACGCGTAGGTATGGCTTCCTACGGTTTCCATCCCTGAAACCGCTACAGAGCGACGGTACAGGATCCTACTCATGGACGGGCACGGAAGCCACGCAGTCATCGATCTTCTACTCTATACGAATGCAGGATAAATGACGTGATTGTGATCTTTCTACTTGCGCATACCTCCCATATCATTCAACCTCTCGATCTCGCTGCTTTTCACCTCTAAACGCTTCTACAAGGCCCTCCTCCGCCAAAGTGCGTATACCGACGAGGCACTACCGATTAAACGATGTAGATTCACTGTCCTCTATGCGGAGGCGCGTCGGGCACGCCTAACCGACCGTACAATCAGATCAGGATGGAAGGCTGCAGGTTTTATACCGTGGGACCCGTCAAAAGGCTTCAATAACCGGTTCGTGGTGCCGCCCACGCCTACCGAAACCGGATCCTCAATTTCAACTCCAAACACGCCTCCACGCACCCCAATACCAGTCCCCCTAGTCCTCCAGACGACGCCCTACAAGCCCAAACAAATACAGAGTGCATTGCGCGTTCTTAGCAAGAATACACGCGTGGCGAAAGCGACCAAGTCGTACCTAGAGAAGGCAGTCAAGGCAGTCGGATTGCTACTGGCGCGTCAGGCTGCGTCAGATCTGAAAATCGCTTTTCTCCAGGCCCGCCTAGATGCCGCCACAGCCCCAAAACGGAAGAAGAAGGTTCAGATAGATCTTAATGTTAAGTTCGCACACATTCAAGAGATCAAACCAGTGCAAGAGGCGGTACAGCATCTAGAGGCAAATATCCTACTAGAAAAGACTATTCCCGTGTTTAATTATCAATATAATTACGTGGTGGTAGAGATATCACGGTTTTCATGATAGTGGTTAAGACGGCAGGATGGTGATACTGGCCAAGTAGGCGGTTGGAACAAGCAGGGGTTCGAACAGGTATTTGCCTAATCCCAACCCCCTGCGCAACACTAACCGGACACACCCTGCGGGGACAAATTTTATGAGAACGACAGTACAAATATATCCACTTCCCACTCAAATCTTCGTCAGGTGTGTTAACAATTGAGTCATACCTACCTCCTTCCGAATGGGTTTTCATCGACACGTCGAGGATGCTGATTGATGCTCTTCCGCTTCCCTTGCCGTTCACTGCGCCGTCTCAATGTCGCCGCATCATCATTCCGTCTCCCTTCGACTCGACCAACGATAACCGGCGGCCCAACGACTTCCACCATGTCAAATGAGGCCTCACTTCGGGATGGCCAATCGGCTTACAAGACTCGAGTCTTGCGCGTAGACCCCTCAAGAGCTGGGTGTTTGAAAGCTCGACCCGGGCGTTTCTCCTCGCAAGACGATCTCCAAGTCGAATGGCATCGCGACACTGTGGACTATGAGAGCCTGACGACTGCCGTCGACCTTCTACACAATACCGACGTACCTGTCGCATTCCCTACCGAAACCGTCTATGGGCTTGGTGCCGATGCGACGAGAACGGGTGCCGTCCAAGGTATCTATACTGCAAAGCAAAGACCCAGCGACAACCCACTCATCGTGCATGTTTGCAGCCTCAAGCAACTGCGAAGGTTGTTACCGCCGTCGAATGGCGGCGATGATTACGAACCGATACCCAAGATATATCGAGCCTTGATTCAACGGTTCTGGCCCGGACCGTTAACGATCATCCTTCCTACTACCGACCAAAGCGAATGGCGCCTATCACCCTTCACAACTGCAAAGTTGCATACATTTGGTGCCCGGATGCCTTCGTCGCCTCTTGCCCTTCTTCTTCTCAAACTCTGCGATTTACCGCTCGCTGCCCCATCAGCGAACGCATCCACACGTCCCTCTCCTACATTGGCCGAACATGTGTTTGAAGATCTGAATGGAAGGATCCAGCTGATCCTAGATGGAGGACCTTCTAATGTTGGTGTGGAAAGCACGGTGGTCGACGGACTCTCCGATGGCGGTCCTGTAGTCCTTCGGCCGGGAGGGGTGTCCGTCGCTATGTTAAGAGAATGCGAAGGGTGGGAAAATGTACGAGTGGCATACAAGGACAAAGCGGAGGGGGATACGGAGGAGAACGATCAGGCCATCTCAAGAAGCATGCCTCGAGCACCGGGCATGAAATACCGACATTATTCGCCTCGCGCGAAGGTTGTCCTATTCGAACCAGGCGCTACCGCTCCGTCCATACCGGATTTGAAGAGTGCAGACTCATCGAAAGGCATCGGAATCATTAGAACAAAAGCTTGGGATATGGATACCATCCTAAGGTCCGGATCTTCCGAAGACGGTCACTCCATGAGCCATCGGCCGGTTGAATCTACGCATAGCGTGTCTTCCCGAAGTTCGATATCTGCAGAGACTGGTGCTCACGATGCAGTCGTGAAGCCATTAGTGCTGAAACGTCATAACCTCTTCCTTGAAGGCGCTGCTCATCCAGTTGCCCTTTGGGATGTTGATATTGGCCCAGGCATGGAGGACATTGCGCGTGGCTTGTTTGCCGCATTTCGCGAACTAGACCAGAAACAGGTTGATACGATACTCGTTGAGGGTATCGACTCCACGGATGATACACTTGCAGGAGCCATCATGAACCGTGTGCGGAAGGCCGCGGAACTCAAGATCTCCTGATCCGAGTCTACGATGCACCCACCTTTTATGACCCGTGCATCTCTCTCCTCTCCTGCCGAGTCGCTCGCCATCAAGCTCTATCAGATCATGAACCACGAGGCTAATTAACATAATTGCCTGTACAAAAATTTTTTGGATGGGGTGTCGTTCGCCGAGACACGCAATGTGATGATTCCAATCAACACAAAATAGGTGAGTGACAGCTTGCTCCTCACGCTACACCACTATTCGGATTGGTTTGCTCGGTAGCAATGAGAAATGGTAACGGTTCCTTTACACTCGGAAGCTTTGGAGAAAGGAGAGGAGCATTCCGTTGCTACGGCTCTGGTGCCCCTTCCCAACGCATTTCGTGTCCACTCGTGGCAATGATCCCTTCAGAGATACTCTGAGTCATCATTCTGAGTCAAAATTTCCGACCTTTGGCTTGCATAGGCATCTCACAAACTACCTCAGTGTTCCTAGTATCTACTGTGAATCGAGCACGCAGCAGAAAGGTGTCGTTGTCCTTTGCGGGGTAGCATTGATGTTTTTAAGTTAGATTAGATGTCAAGACTGTAACCGGATAGATACATCAGTTATAGAAACACCACTTTCGAAGTACGTGTAACGGCAAGTCCACTCCTAGCTTTGAGAGTTATTTGTACCATGTGAGGTTGCAAGCCTTCGACATCAGTCGCTGCCATACCACGTCTACCACCGGAATCTATCACTAGCGCTCAACAAGACCCGATTCAATTGCAGGAATTCGGGGACAAGTGACCATGAAGGGAGTGTTCAATATTGCATTCCGAATTATAACACACAACATTCGGTATGCTGTTTCTACGCCGTCGCCTGGAGAAGTGGCATGGAATCTTCGAGTGCCCGGTATAATCAACGAACTTCATTTCAACACACTATACAACCCAGAAGCATTCATATGCTTACAAGAAGTCCTGCACGGTCAGCTGGTGGACGTCTTGAACGGCTTGAATCGGAATCATCCATATGGCATGGGTTCCGGCTCGCCTCCATGGGCTTACATCGGCGTTGGGCGAGACGACGGTGAAGAGGGCGGCGAATACTCCCCGATCATCTATCGACCATCTATATGGAAGTTAGAACATGCAGAAACCGTCTGGCTTTCCGAGACACCCCATAAACCATCGAAAGGATGGGATGCCGCCACGATCCGGATCCTGACCATCGGGCGCTTTCAACATCGCAAGAGCAAGGTCCGAGTGGTGACGATGAACACGCATCTTGATCACCGAGGCTCGACATCTCGGCTGGAATCTGCGAAGCTCATCGTCCGTCAGATCAAAAAGCAGATATTGAAAGGGTCGATTCCCGGTCTACGACTCAACGACAATCATCGATATAAGGAAGTTTTACCAGTGATCCTGGCCGGGGACTTCAACAGCGAACCGACACAGGAGGCATACAAAGTCCTCACATCGGACGATTCTCCCGTGCAGGATCTGCAGAGTCTGACGGCGGACGAGAACCTTTATGGTGACAATCACACATTCACGGGATTCACTGACGATGAGTGGCCGACGAAGCTGGACTTCTTGTTCGTCGGACCAAAGGGGTACGATGGTGGCGGGCTGGATTGGGATGTCCGGAGCTATGCAGTGCTACCGAACCGATTTGAAGCCGGTATCTATATCAGTGATCATAGAGCCGTCGTTGGTGATATTGTGCTTTCTATACCGAAGACGCGAAGATCCTTCTATCCGGGATGACGTCAAACGCTCAAGACATGAATTCCATCACCATCAATCAATGTGCCGTATCGGGGTGTACTACATCAGATGAATTTGCCTGGTCTGGTCTACAGTATTAACAGGACATTGTTCTTGGACAATTGGACTTTTCTGTGGCGAGCATCTTGATGAACCGATGAAAACCTCCGAGGAAGTGACAGTTCAGTGAATTCATGATTGTCAAATGTCACCAGATGAACGAAACACACCACAGCAGGGCTCCTCCCCTCCATGCCCCGCCTTTGGCTCGCTCCAGTCCAGTCCCGTCACCGTTGCCCACACACGCACACGGCACACACACTCAGACTCATACACTTGCCCTCACATCAAACCTCGAACAAACACACCCACAATCACTCTGTGGATTTTTGACCGCTATTCCTCACCCGCAGCGAAGAAGCTGCAACCCGAGAAATCATGGCCGAAGCAGCAATTGGTTGGTTCAGTCCGCTTGTTTGATCATGTTTCTACCCGTTGCACTATCTAACAAATCCTGATCTGCAGACTACTCGTTAAATAACCCCGATACTCTGACCAAGTACAAGCAGGCGGGGCAAATCTCCCAGAAGGTCTTGGAAACCGTGTCAGGTACGCATGATTCCGGTGCCCCTCAAGTCCCTATCTCACATTTCGACAGGATGGTGCGACGAAGGCGCGAATATTGTCGAGCTCTGTGAGAAGGGTGACGCCCTCCTGGCCGAAGAGATCTCGAAGGTCTACAAAGGCAAGAAGACCGTCAAGGGATTCGCCCATCCGACCACCGTTTCGCCGAGCTCATACGTCACCCCCTATACGCCACTCAAGTCGGAGGAGGAAGAGGCCAGCAGGACCTTGAAGGCTGGAGAAGTCGTCAAGATCCAGCTGGGAGCACAGATCGATGGATTTGGCACCATTGTCTGCGACTCGGTCGTGGTTGGAGCCAAAGGAGCCGAGATCTCCGGAAGAGAAGCAGATCTTTTCCTGGCCACACACTATGCGAATGAGCTCCTGCTGAGGCTTATGCTCCCGCCGGGAATCCTTACCGCGGGAACCGATGAGGAGAAGAAGAAGGCATCCGCGCAGAAAGCTCCCACGCAGACCAAGATCAATCAGATGCTGGACAAAGTGGTGAAGGCCTACGGATGCAACATCGTGGACAGCACCACCAGCTGGCTTTTCGACCGCAACGAGATCGAGAGCAAGAAGAAGATCATCCTGGCACCCGGCGACGGATTGAAGGGCGAGGGCCTGCCGGAAATCGGCGAAGTATGGGGCGTGGAGATCGGCGTCAGCTTGGGCAGCGGCAAAATCAAGAACCTGGCCGATCGCACCACGCTGCACCGGAAGACGGACACGCGGTTCGATCTCAAGAGACCGAGTTCGCGGGCCACGATCAATGAGATCAAGGAGAAGTTTGGGACGTTCCCGTTCAGCTTGCGCCAACTCGATGACGAACGAGCGGCGAAGATCGGAGTCATGGAATGTGTCCGTGGGAATGTGGTTCGACAGTACGAAGTGGTCGCAGATAAAGACAACGAGCCAGTTGCCCGCCTCTTCACGACAGTGTGTAAGTTTGCTGCTTCCTATATCGGTTCTCGGATTCATTCTGTCGGGCTACGGAGCGGGTTTCTGAACCAGTCTTGGTGACCACTGGCACCAACTGGCGGCTAAGAAACGTGCCATGCCCCATATCAATTTGCTCGTGATTTTAACGGGCTCTTAATGACTAACGATTGACAGCGATAACGAAGAATGGGATGACCCGTCTCAGCGCCCCTCCGACGTTGGATGTGACCAAATTCAAGACGGACAAGAAGATCGACGACGAGGAAGTCCTCAAGATCCTCGAGCAACCGATCTCCAAGGTCAGCACCTCGAAGAGCAAGAAGAAGAAGCCCAAGAAGAAGGCGGCCAAGAAGGCAGTTGAAGAGGAGGAGGACGACGATGAGGATGACGATGACGATGAGTAGGCGAGTTCGTCGAGAAGCAGTACATCTGATGCTATCGACCCCGACCTCCTTTGGTGTCTTCCTCACGAATGCAGGGCTTCTGAGACGAGAACTTCCAGGACCATGTGATCATCGCTTCAAGGCCGAATGAATGGCAACGGGTTGCGAAGATAACGACGTAACATAGAAATATCCGGTAGCAAAAATCAATGGAACTGTTGAGTGATGCAGCATTCTCAGCTCTCTATTACTCTGCTCACCATACCGCGCTCTCTTGCTTGCTCTAGCACCGACTGAGGGACCTTCACGCCTCCACATGTGAGCCTAGATTCGCCACTTGGATGAATTCTAATCAGTCATGATAAAGTGAATATTTCATTTCCAGTACATATCGTCACATTTGATTGATCAGTATCGACTTGCATCATCAAATCTTCACTTTTTCCGTTGTAATCCGCATCCATCCCGCCTGGTTAGGACGACCCAAGGGTGATCTCAGGACTCAGGGGAACCGGCTCAGCAGCCCTTTTTTTCATGGGATGGCATGTGAGCGACACCAAGGAAAAGGGGAAACTCGATAAGATCCTAAAGATCAAGATCTTTCATCTCTCTTCATTCAAGACTAAATCAATCATTACCAAAAATCTCTCCGCACATAAGTGGCGTTGGACGGTACCGAAGAACGGAAAAAACAGTATTAGGAGCCAAAGGGTGAACGGAGTTTGGTGGAAGGGTTTGGTGGAAGCGCAGGGGGAGACGCAGTGCGGCGGCACCCTCAGGCTCTAACACACTCCGGCGGGAGATTATTGCGCAGCCGCAGCACTCCTTCTTTTCCATCCCTCACCACTGCACTCACCACTTCTCTTCTTCAACTCAAACCCCGTATCCTCCCCCCAACTCATGGAAACGCGGCACCACCCACCACCACGTATCGCATACAACAATTTGACTGAGTAGTGTGTGGCCAGGTAATTCTCCCCTTCCCTTTCGGTCCGGCTACGCAGACTAACCCTTCACCAGGATTGCGGCGTGCCCCCGTTCCAGCGAAACATGCCCGCGCTCAGAGCCACCCGCCAGTCGAATCGCACCTCGCGAACCTCCAGTCCCTATGTCCATTCCCCGAATGAACCGTCGACCCAGACGACCACCAAAGAGTCGAATCGCGTGGATCCCGATGTGTGGGACGAGCCTCCCCTGAAGGATCCGGCCCCGAGTTTCGAAGAGCATGGATTTGATCGCGTCGGAGTGCTCGAGACCATGGCGCCGCTGGGGTCATTGCCGAGTCTCAAGTTGAAGGGGAAAACGAAGGACTCCATCCGACGATCGACCTTGTCGCGGTCGGCGCTCGGGAACCAGTCCGAGGACGCGTTGGACAGTGCGAAGACCACGCCTTCCATTCCGCCGAGTCGATCACAATCACACATGCCGGAAGGGCAACCCAGTCGCGACGTTTCGGAGCCGAGAGATGAAGAGGAGGATGAAGAATATGTTCCGAATGGGCATGGTCCGGTGACGCGACATTCTAAGCCGCCTACGAAACTGAACATCTCCTTTGCCGCGCTCAACCAAAACCCACCACCGGTAACTCCTAGCCGTCGAAGGTCGAAAGGAAGAGATCGCCTTCTTAAGGAGTCGGTGACGGAAGCGATCAAAGTCGCGGAACAGAACGGTCAAATTTTGATCGCCATCACGCTGCAGACGTTGCTTGATAACCGGACGCGGGAAGTTGCAGTCGATGATTTAATCCACGACATCCTGCATCAGCGGAAGATGACGGCATCTCAGGTTGAGCTCATGCGACGATTTTTTGCACTGTCAACGAAGCGCATGAATTCAACACGAAGCCGAGACCGTGGTTATATCAAGGCTATCACCTCGATCGGCGCCGCCGAGAACCGCCAACACACCCAATTTTCACCTCATCCATCCCATCTACCATTTCACAACAATCTCCCAACAAACACCCCCGATTCGCAACCTTCTCATTCCATCAAATCCTCGCCCGTTCACCCCTCGTTAGATGCATCAAGTCAACCCGGTAGCAAGCGGAGGTCACCACGGAAGGTCATGACAACCAACGGAACGGGAAAATCTACGACCAACGATCAATCTCAAGCCGACCAAGGGCGAGAACGGGCAAGAAGTGTCTCGTCGACTTCGTCTCTCAGTTCTGTTGACGAGGCCATCGTCGAGGAAGGCTCACCCAGCACCGTCGCATTGAAGAACCTCATCGGTAACAGCCCCCGTACCTCCAACCGCCCAAACGGCCCATTCCGAGATCTGAATCGAACCATGGCGACATTTTTTGGCGGCCAGCACAACAAAAAGCGATCCCACGACGCGATGGCGGGTCCGATGGATGCCGAGGCTGAGCAGTTGCTCCGCAAGAAATTCATGCGAGCATTCCCTGACTATCACGTCGATTCCAGCGAGATCCGCTCCAGCGTGCAGCGGGCTAAGGAAGCCGAGGAGCGGGCACCAGCCCCCGTTGAGCCCTCGCGAACCACCCGACAGTCTCTTGCTGGCCCTCTCCTGCCTCCACGGACGGCGCATGCTCTGCAGTATCCGTTTGCAGGCCGCTCCCGAGAAGCATCACCACGAGAAGGCAACAAATTGAAAACGGCTGCAGCACGTGTTAAGACATCGTAAGTGCCATTTCCCTAAGATCAGTCTGTTCTTCTATTCACATTTTCGTGTTTGTTTCACATTAAAAAAGCACACGTGGACGGTCGGACATCCATTACGCGTTCTACCTTGGGAGATCCGGAGCATGTTCAAGGCGACAAAGTTCTCACTGGGTGCAACGACGCCAGATGAGTGATAAAGAGCCGGCTAACCATTTGTCACATTTCTAGGCCGGTCAAGAAACGCAATGTTGGCGGCACAGGCAGCGGGCGAAATACTGGTGGCCAAGGGAGCCCGATCGGGCTGGAGGAGAGCGAAGAGCTGATGGTGAGCAAAACCCCCCACTCCCCTTTCAAAAACCCCCCAAAACGTTCCCCCGTCCAACCACCCGCACCACCACTCGCATCACCCGCGCCACGGCACTTCCTCCAAGTTTCCAACCCGCGCACCTCACACACACATTCTTCCTGCCCATCCACCATCCATGATCCTTCCATGACCCTTCATCTCCATCTCGGCACCAAAAGACTAGTTGCGCGTGGTGCGGTGCCACTTCACTTTTGTCATCTTTATCCTCCCTTCGCCCTTTCTTCGCTTTCCTGGATTTCTTTGTCGGCTTCTTTTTGGTCTTCGTCGTCCTGTCACTTTCACGGCTTTTCGTCGTCCATGTCTTTCCATCCTTTCCATCCTTTCCATCCTTCTCCATGAAAAATTCCGTCAGCATCGATCTCTCTTATCGTCAACTAACCCCCATCTCCCAGTCGGACAACGAGGAGGCCTGCAAAGCCTGCAACGGTGGCGGCCTGCTCGTGGTTTGTGATAACTGCGACAATGCATATCATTTCCTGTGCGCCGATCCTCCGCTGGAAGAGAGCTCGCAGAGATTAGACAAGCCTTGGTATTGCAATCCTTGCGCGTCGCGCGACGAGAACCCTCGCCGCTATGAACGCACCATCTTCCAGCCGCTGCTTCAGGCCGCCGATAATACGTGCCCGCAACTTTTCGAACTTCCGCGATGGCTGGAGAATCATTTCGAAGGTGTCCGGCGTGGTCCCGGTGGCGATTACGATGACTCGGTTCCCGCCGAAAAGATGTGAGTGGTCCCCGTTCCCCGTTCCCCGTTGGTTAGCATGTTTACTAAACCATCGCAGTAAAACTCGCAGCGGTTGGGACGATCAATCTGGCCATCTGAAACTCAAAGACTCCAAAGATGCGAGCATTCTGTGCATTCAATGCGGACTTTCTTCTGTGACCGGACGTGCAATCATCCAATGCGATGAATGCAAGACGTACTGGCACTTGGACTGCGTGTCCCCGCCGATGGCCAATCCTCCACCATTGAGGGCAGATGGAAAGTCGCGAAACCGATTTGTCTGCCCGAGGCATGTGAGCCATGATTTGCGGCTAGCCAACAATGACTTTGGCCTGGCTCAGAAGCGACGACTGTTGGGAGAGCGATTCCACCGACTCCGGCAGCCCAAGCAACCCGAGGTCATCGACACCAATCTGCGGCCATCGCAGCTACCCGGTACGGTCCTCTTTGAAATCGATGATGAGAGCGAGCCCAGCGACGAGTTTTCCGACGAGGAAGATGAGGAAGAGGGGAAAAATGTGGTCTATCGCGTGGCATCCCGGAACGTCAAACTTGATTTCCTTGGCAAAGTGCGAACGTAAGTTTATAGCCCCCTTTAAGAATATCGCATGGTGTTTCTAACGCGTTCCAGCGATTCTGCAAGGCTCCGCGATTTGCGCTGCGACGGCCGGGCCTCAAAACGTAGCAAGTTGGAACCACGTGGCCATGACCACGCCGCTCGGGTCGCCGATACGCTCTCCAAGCGCTCGTTCCTGGACCAACGAACTGCGCTGGATCTTGTGAACTTCGCGGATCGCGAGACCGATCTCGGGCTGGCCAGTGATACCATCGGATCATTGATCCTCAGGTTGATCGTAAGTACTACTCTAGCATAGTGCCTTTTTTAAGAAGGTAGACTAACGAGAATACAGTCGGAAGCACCCGATGCAGTTGTCCAACAGATGGACGGCGAGACCAAATCTACCACGTACTCCGCGACGACTGCGAGTGCTGGTCAAGGTCCGCCTTCCCCTCCGATATCTGAGCGGGCGGAACTCTCTGAGGACCAAGCCCAGTTGTACGAGAAACTTCAAGAGCTTATTGCACGACGCCTCCAGAGCCGCCATGTTAAAAGTCAATGATTCCTTTTGTGCGGCGGAACAAAAGGCACTTGTCCGTGCTTTGCGCCGACATGGAACTACATATGCAGAGCCTCCTCTGCAACTTGCTTCTGCGTCAATGAATGCAGAATAGCTCTACTATTTGCTGCTTACCGACAGCATCACGATGTCTCAGATGGGGCCGGAGATTCGAGTGGTTGGATGCGGCACCAGAACGAGTAAGAAAACCAAAACAGAACCGACCGGTTGCATCTCAGTCATCCGGAAGCGCAGCGAAAAGAAATCGAAAAACGGCCTGGACCGGGACGCGACGGGCAACTTGTTCCGGCGGGCTTGGCGGGCATCAATGGGGGAACCCGACTCCCTGTACTGTGCGTCCAACTGGCGCGTCGGGATTCCACAACACCCAAATCTCCGCGTCCGGATCCCTAAACGGCATGGTCAAGTGCCCTGGGGCTGTGAAACTAAGCGATTCATCGAGTTCGAATATCGGCCCCTTCGTTTGGCGCCTTGATGGTGTTATCTGTCGCCTTAGGAACGTTCAATCAGCAATCCGAAAGTCCCCGTTTTATTCCATATCTTCTCCTTCCACCGCATCACAACTTCTCACGTGGTCTTTGACCCCTACCCAGTGCAACCCTGAATCAACTCCTTTCACTATTTCTCTTATTCCTTTCCTTGAGTTCATCACGGCCCAGGGACATGGTCTGAACTGAAATCATTATGTCTCTCTCGACCCCCTTTGACACATCGCAGCCCATCGGCCCGAATGAACGAGCAATTGCATTACATGGCGTCAAAAGCATACCTGTCTGGGCTATTGGGTTTTTTATAGATTTCCTTGATTTCGTCATGCGTTAAACACGTCTGGCTGGTGGTCAAAGCGGTCTTCACCGGATCATATCCACGGAGCCAATGGGCCATGGCAGTTTTTACTCGGGCTGGCGCGCAGAACATGAGGGGATGAGAGAGGATGTGATGGTTCAGCCACACCAATGGATCAAGGAGATGAGTGCTGGCGAAGGATGGGGAGAATGGAGATTCATGGACTTCAAATCCGTCATTTGTATTATTGAATGAGCCGATGGTCAGTGATTCGTATTCGTCCTACTGCAACCTGGTATCCTTTTGAGTGTCTATTGTAGTGCTGAAAGAAGCGTAGCATTGGTTCAAGTAATCTCCTAACGTTCGGGTCGTCGATCATCGCAAGCCATGACATCTCACGGAGTGCAACGACCCATGTATCGAGGATACAAGCAGCAATCACGGACCGTATGCTGTTTGCACAACCAAGCAAGGAACCGCTCCAGACCCAACCCGTATCCACCGTGAGGCGAAGAGCCGTACCTAATGAAAGAATCGTTAGCGACATCGTTCAAATTTCGTTCCATCTCAACTGTCCTGCAAACGGACCAAAGGGCCCAAGCAGCTTGGCAGTCGGTATAGCCCACTAATTCGATGACTCACCTTCGCTGGTCCGTATACCAGTAGTACGGTGCGGGGTCGATGCCCACACGCTTGTACGCCTCCATCAACTCGTCATAGTCATCCATCCTCATGCTCCCGCCGACGATTTCCCCGACGCCCGGCATCAAGCAGTCGACGCTCTCAGTAACGCGCAGGTCCGTCGGGTCCTTCTGCATGTAGAACGCCTTGATCGCCACCGGGAAGTGGGTGAGGAAGATGGGGCGGCCGATCACGTCGGTCATGCGGCGCTCCGCCGCCTCGGCGATGTCGTCGCCGAACGCGTGCGGCTGGTCCTCCTCGTTAGGGATGCCGTGTTCGACGAGCCAGTCGATGGCTTCGGAGTACTTCATGCGGAGGAAGGGACGCTCCGGCATGGTGAACTCGGGATGGAGGGCCTTGATGTGCGCGGCGGCGGAAGGGTCGGCGAGAGTGATCTCCAGGACGCGGCAGATGATGGCTTCAAGGTGGGTCAGGAGGTCGTCGAAGCTGATGAAGTCCAGCTCGGCCTCGACGTGCGTGTATTCGGAGAGATGGCGTCGAGTGAGCGATTTCTCGGCGCGGAAAGACTTCTCAATACAGAAGACGTCGCCCATGGACGGCAAACACGTTTCGAGGTAGAGCTGGGACGACTGGGTGAGGAAGGCCGATTCGCCATAGTAATCGAATTTGAACAGCGTCGCCCCGCCTTCCACCTGCGTCTGGACCAGGGCGGGCGGCGAGACTTTGCGGATCCGGATCTCTTTGTACGCCTGATGGAACGCCGATTCGACCGCATCCCGAACGAACATGACCGCCGACGCCGTATCTCCTCGAAGGGTCAGGTGTCGCATGTCGAGCAGTCCCTTCGGATCGCCTCCTCCTTGGACTTTGTTGGTGATGGCGTCTTCGCCTCCCACGGCTTTCCAGTGCGGCTCGATCTTGTAGAAGTCGACATGGAGCTCTCGACCTCCCGGCGCGTGCGCACCTGGAGGGAGTTCCCACAGCTCGCCATAGATTTCCATCGAAGTCTCCCGAGTCAGGGTGAGGGCGTCGTACGTCTTCGCGAGGTCCCCGGAGAGCACACATTGCATGTATCCGTAGCCGTCACGCAATGTGATGAATAAGACCCCCTTCTGCTTGCGCTCTCGGTGCACTCGTCCCAAGATCTTGACTCGGGTGCCCGGTTCTGCGCCCTCGTCGGTTTTCCTCAGCTTGATGATCTTCGGGTCGGCCTCATCGAGCTTGATCTTGACGGGCTTGGGCAAGCTCGCGTCCTCCGTCAGCACGATCTTTTTCGCCTCTTCCAGAACCTTCTGTCGCTCCTCATCCATCTTTGCCTTCGCTGCCGCCAATTCGACCGCTTTGGCCGCTTTCTTTTTCTGCGCCTCGAAGTAGTTGACCGCCTTCTTCAGCGCCGCTTTCGCCGCAGGCTTCCACTCTTCCCGCGAGGACTCGTCGGCACCCTCAGGGACGACACCCGTCTTGGACTTTCTTGTGAGGTATTGGGGAGCGGCGGGACGTTGGACGTATGCGAATTGAAGGGATCGAAAGGGCAATTCTTGGGTTCCCAGCTGTTTCGGTTCGTCCAGACCGACGTCTTCGTCTATGTAGACCGTGTCCGCCATGATTGCGAATTGCCGAGGGCGTTCTACCTTTGTAGCGAAATCCAACCTCTCTCTTCTGCTGTTGCCTGTTCCTAAATGCTCAGTGTGTGGGGTATGACTGGTCCATCACCACAACAGAATTCTGACTCCAATTCCGAATTTCCGCATCGGGGAAAGTGGCGTGTGGCTGTGGCATCTATGTTGCTGTGGCTATGGTTGTGGCTGAGACGGCCGCTGCAGTGCTGTTCAGCTAGCTCTACGGTACTCTAATTGATCCGCAGAAAACCCAATCTGAAGGCAGCGTCTCATCAGTGTTACCACTCGTGTATGAGATAAATCCGCCATATCTACCCGTCTCTTCCAGATTGCGTTAAGAATAATTGAATGGCATTTGGTAAGAATTACTCCCGGCGGTCCAGCGTATAATCCCGGCGGTCTATTTCCACCGCAAAGGGAGACTGCTGCCGCTACCTGTTTGTCTCGGTTGCAATTAATGAATCCCTCCTCGGAGGTCGCTCTGGTTCTAGTTGGCGTTTATTAGACACAGTGTTCAGGCTTTGGAATGGTAATATCTGATCCTATATCAATAGACTGCCCATTTACAAGCTGTACGCGCCTAGGCGGTTCTCCGCACCAAGAATAGTAATGTCCCGGCAAACTTCGCCTCGACTCTGAAGAAACCATCTATCACATCCTTCGTGCGCCAGGGATCTGGTCGTTCTCTCCGACACTGATTGGTGGCAATTTCATCTAAGGAAGCATATTAGAATGAATGCTCTCTTGTGACCCAGGTAAAATGAAAAGACAGACGGTAAGTAGAATATGGAGGCTACGAGGGTAAAAGCAGGTTGAATTTCTCTATACGTTATAATAGTCATGTATAGCCTACTTTCCTTCAGTCGAAATCACTCGTTTACCGCACCATATCAGTCATGCTAGTCATTCGCGCGCTCCTATCGGTGCTGACCCTCTCCGCGTTCGCGTCGGCCGCGAAATTCTCGAATCCCTTGCGAAAGACCGATGGCTCAGACCCGTTCATCGTCTATGACACCGGCTACTACTACCTGCTGACCACGACCTGGAAGGATGTCCAGATCACCCGGGCGAGTACGATCGAAGGGCTGAAGACCGGGGAGAAGAAGGTCGTCTGGCGCGACAGTAATAAGGACCGCTGCTGCAACGTGTGGGCGCCGGAGATCGCGAAGATCGACGGCCGGTGGTATCTGTATTACACCGCGGGCCAGACCACCGATCTTGGGTTCCAGCGTCCGTTCGTCCTGCGCGGAGGCGCATCGCCGTGGGACACGTACGCGTTCCACGGCCGGCTCTCGAACGAATGGGGTATCGACGGGTCCATCGCGCGCATCAACGACGTCAACTACTTCGTGTGGTCGTGTCAAGCCGGCGGCCTGCAAAGCCTGTGCATCGCGAAACTCGAGGCGCCGAACCGCATTGGTGCGCGCACCGTTCTGTCGCAGCCGACGCAGTCCTGGGAGAAGGCGCAGGGAGAGCTGCCCGTCAACGAGGGACCGGTGTTGCTGGAGCACAATGGACAGTATCACGTGGTGTATTCGGCGAGCTTTTGCTGGACGCCGAGTTACGCTCTGGGATTACTGACCCTCCGTTCTGGAGGAAACCCCCTGGATGCGCGAGCGTGGACGAAGACCGGACAGCCTATCTTCAAGAGTGGCAACAACAACTACGGTCCTGGGCACAATTCGTACGTATTCTCTTGATATCCAGTCCCCTGTATTCCTTTGTTCCCCGCATGTGTGAACTGCCACTGATGACAGCAGCTTCTTCAAGAGTCCCGATGGGAAGGAAGATTGGAATGTATTCCACGCAACATCGAACCGCGATGGTGCCTGTGACGGCAATCGGTACACGAGCGTACAGAAAGTGAACTGGAACACGAACGGAACTCCTAATCTCGGATCGCCTGTACCCCTTAACCAGCAATTCGATGGGCCATCGGGCGAACCCGCTTGAACGGATGAGCGGGAGGCTAGTCATATTGTTGAATGTTTCAGCATTGTACATATCATCAACATAGAACTGTCGAGCAGATCGCTCCAGCCGGCATATGCATTCCGCCAAGCGGAATGAGCCGGCCCTCCTGTAAACGAATTCGCTTCTTTATCCTGCCTCATCCACATCCATATTATCTCGCGTGGGTTTACCCCTCCCCTTGCTGCCACCGCGACGACCCCCTTTGTTCTCCATGTCCTGAATCTCCCGGGTTGCGACCCGTTGCGCCTCTCCCACTCGTTCACTCAACATCATCACCTCATCTTTCGCCACCGGCTCCTCCGGGAGCTTCGTCCCCAGTGCGTTCTCGATCCGCATCCACAGCTCCACGTCGTACTGAGTCACGATTGATACCGCCTTGCCGCTCTTGCCGGCACGCGCCGTCCGCCCCACTCGGTGCACGTACGTTTTGCTGTCCGGTGGCAAATCCAGGTTGATGATGATGTCGACCGAGGGGATGTCGAGCCCACGCGCCGCTACATCGGTTGCGACTAAGATTAAGCGAGATCCGCCGCGGAACTTCCCCAAGGCCCCCAGCCGTGCGGATTGGGAGAGCTGTCCATGCAACGGGATGGTGCTAAAGCCCTGCAAGAGTCATCAGCATACGAGGCACCAATTCCAACGATTATGACTCACCAGTGCCCTTGTCAGCAACGATATTCGCTGGGTTTCGCGCACGGTCCGGGTGAAGATGATGCAGGTCTTTCCGGTGAACTCGTTCAGAAGGTAGACTAGGTACATATCCTTGAACTTATGCGGGATGAAGAGGAATGACTGTACGAGCGTCTTGACCGTCTGGTGCGATGAATCCGAGACACTCACACGCAGAGGATTCCGTAACGAGGCGCGCTGCAATGACTCGACCTTCGACGACATGGTGGCCGAAAAGAGGTATGTTCTTCGGTCGCGCGGCAGCACTTTGAGGATCTTGTCGAGGATGGGGCCGAAATCCAAATCCAGCAGTCGATCCGCCTCGTCCATGACCAGGTATTTCAACGTCCGTAACGAGAAGCCCTTCGTGTTCTCGAGGTGATCCATCAGCCGTCCCGGTGTCGCCACCTGTGTCCGTCAGCCATGTCTCCAGCCCAAATGATGCTCCATCATACAATAACGTGCGGTTTCTTCCCCAACGCTATTTGCTGGGTAACCATATCCATTCCTCCGACAATGACGGCAGACCGCACCCCTATCAGACTTCCCAGCGCTTCGAATTGTTGAGATACTTGGAACGCAAGCTCTCTCGTAGGAACCATAACAAGTCCGTACAGCGTCGGTGTCCCTGACTCGCTAATAAGTGCTGGAAGATGTTAGCTACAGCGCGATTCGGTTCTTGGAGGCAGCAGTACCTTGCAATATCTGTTCGAGCTGTCAGCAGCGGTTTAGGAGGTTCAACAGGGCACACTTACCGGTAGCGCAAACGCAGCAGTTTTCCCTGACCCCGTCTCCGCGATCCCAATGAGATCATTTTTCAAGGCCAGTGGGATTGCCTGCGCCTGAATTTCCGTGGGCTCCTTGTATCCCAGCGCCGTGCATGCCTCGCAGAGTGAGTCGATCAATCCCAAGTCGCTGAACGACTTCTTCGCTTCCGGTTCACAATCGAATTCTTGAGGAACCAAGGCATCGTCCTCGGGGACTGCATCTTCCTTGGTGGGTTTTGTTCTCTTCGACGGGACGGGTTCCTGAGCTTTGGAACGGTCGGCTTCGAATTCGACGGACTTCCGTTTCCGAGACTTCACCAGCTTCTCTGCAGAACCCTTCATGTTGGCGATGTAGGTCCGATTAGGAATTAGTAGAACAATGCGCTACCCAACGTAAAAACCGGTCGCATCGATAAGTTGGAGAGATTTTGAGGCTGGAGAAGATGGAAATGTTTGGCGGGAGGTGCAAACTCTGCAAACTGCTTGTACCTTGCAGGGTAACAGACACACCCTGACACCACCACCACTTACAGCCGCTTGATGTCACGGTCGGCAAACCAGGCCCAAAATCGACGATGAATTATTACAGGATACTACGTACCAGAAAGTAGATCTCAGTAGCAAGGAATGGATCCGACGCGCATCACGGAATAATTACCAGAACTTCCTGGTTCAACATGCTGTAAATGACTCTACTGTAGATCAGTCACAACGGGGCAGGTCCTATCAATATTGTATCGCAGGCGCCAGACACACGATGGTCGCGGCACCGCCCGGGACACTCATAACACAGCAAGAACAGACGGAAATCAAAGGCAAAGATGAATGAATGTTTGAAATGTGATCGTGAATTTATGCCAGAGGCATATTCCGATTAATATACAAAGCGAGTTGTGCGTCGCAACGATGCCATGAAAGGCTAGACCCAGTTCCCATCGTTCCTCATTGTGAGTGTGAAAAGCAACCCATCATGTCCTAAACGCCAGAGGGCACGATCGAACCCTCATCCCCATATCGCCATAGCCATTTGACTGTTCACCCAGGAAAGAGAAGTCGCTTAAGAGCGTTCACCACGAAGGCGGCGCGCAAGCTGGATGTCCTTGGACTCTGTTGACAGTTAGTGACATTTCAATGTATGCATGCAAGGAACACGTACGGATGGTGACACGCTTGGCGTGGATGGCGCAAAGGTTGGTGTCCTCGAAGAGCGAGACGAGGTAAGCCTCGACGGACTCCTGCAAAGCACCGATGGCGGAAGATTGGAAGCGGAGGTCGCTCTTGAAGTCTTGGGCGATCTCACGGACGAGACGCTGGAAGGGGAGCTTGCGGATGAGGAGCTCGGTCGACTTCTGGTAGCGACGGATCTCACGAAGAGCGACGGTACCAGGCTTATATCGGTGAGGCTTCTTGACACCTCCGGTCGACGGGGCCGACTTGCGAGCGGCCTTGGAGGCGAGCTGCTTACGCGGGGCCTTGCCACCAGTGGACTTACCTGTGATAAATGTGAGTGATTGTTGTTGTGGAATTGTGAGTTGTTGAAGCGAGTTCCTGACCATCCATGACGATGCAGATGTTGCACGACCACGGACGATGAGGGACACACGACTCTAGATGATGATGGATGATAATACTTACGGGCAGTCTGCTTGGTACGAGCCATTTCGATAGTTGGAATGGATGATTTGATGGATTTGTGGATGAATGGATGCTTTGGTGTTGCGTGGCTGAGATAGATGGGTGTGGTTGAGTGTAGTGAGAAAGAGGAAAGTTGGGGGAGGGAGAGATTTTTATGGGCGAGCGGGGCGGAGGCGGTTGATGGTTCAGCGGCTGCCTGAGAGTTTGTTGATTAAGTTGATCACTAGCGCCGCGTCTTGTTTGGAATCTGCAAGAGTCAGAGTTCCTTAGACCGTCAGGATTGCGAGCACTCTTTGGGAGAATGATGGGGCCAATCAGAGCGCGGGGAAGTTCTGATGTTCGAAAGGAAAGCGCACTAAACCCAATCAGGCAGTCAACATTGAAGTGTGATCGAGGACATCAAGAACGCGTGCCCTGTATGGAATTACGTATGGAAATAATCCTACAGCCAATCATATGTCTGGAATGCTCCAGTTCACGTATTTACTACAGAGTGATACATCGTAATACTCTGTAACAGCATTATTCCAATCACATCAACCGTAATTCGGTCCTGCATTCGGAAGTGACCGCCTTTCCTTTTCGGGGTTTCCCACCCCTGGTTCATCAAACTTCCTCCCTCCTTCCATCAGATCTGATCCCCTCAGGCAGGAACTCCCCCATCACACCAGCCCCATCACCACCCCTGCCCCTGCCATCACCACCTTGCCCATCACCACCCACGCGTGCCCTAGTCGATGTTGATGAACTGACGCGCCGCTCCCCCCCCCACAACTCAAATATCTTCTTCTCCCCACCATTTAACTTCTTCCTCTCTTCTCATCCATCCACTCACAGTCATCTTTACCGTGCTTTCCAAATATCCAAGCCTCACTTTGAGTTCTATCAACCACTCAACCCTCATATCACTTCCATCTTCCATCTATCAACATGACTGGACGTAAGTGTCATCCGTCCTTCCATCCCAGGTTGGCATCAACTGACATCACTCAACAGGCGGCAAAGGCGGAAAGGGTCTCGGCAAGGGCGGTGCCAAGCGCCACCGAAAGATCTTGCGCGATAACATCCAGGGTATCACGAAGCCCGCAATCCGACGTCTCGCACGTCGTGGTGGTGTCAAGCGTATCTCGGCCAGTATGTTCCTCCTGCTCACCGTTTGCTTTGATCGGTCCGTTGACATCTCATCCAGTGATCTACGAAGAGACGCGTGGTGTTCTCAAGTCCTTCCTCGAGGGTGTCATCCGTGACGCCGTTACTTACACCGAGCACGCCAAGCGAAAGACGGTCACTTCGCTGGACGTTGTCTACGCCCTCAAGAGGCAGGGACGCACTCTTTACGGGTTCGGTGGTTAAGCGGTTTGGGGTTGCTTTCGCAGCGGCATGGGTTTTACGAATTTCTCGATCGGCTGACAAGGCCTGGCTTCAATGGTCTGGGGCCTGCACGAATCAATCGTGCAACGGAGTGGGTGTTCATTCATGGGTTTTGTATCATATTAGGTTATCGGAGTCTATCATGGATCAACCGACGGGAATGAAGCATGCATAATTCAATCACTTGATTATCTTAGTGACTTTGCTTGTCCCCGTATTTGCTCTTGTTCAAGGCTGTTGGTGTAAACAGAACATCTTGAGGCAGCTGTCTCCCCGAAATTGGTCCTCGGGCGGCTTGATTGTACGGTTGTACTTGTAGTTTTGGTGGTCAGCCCTCCAGTGTTGTTCATGGAGCTTGATCAAGCATGTGTCTAGTAGGCTCCAGCGAACTTCGATGAACATCACTGCTCTTCGACCTACTACTCTACCCGCGGACCTTGACTTTACCTGCCTTGTCCGATAGAATATTCTTGTGCTACCGTGGCTGCGGAGAGTAAGGTAAGTATGGTATGGTAAATGTTTCCTTTATGGCCCGGTCATGTGCAGTGCCCTTTCATTGATTCTAGGAATAACTATCTATTCTTGCTCCGGGACAGTTATGTGACAGTTATGATGTAGTCGCAGCCATCTTCCAAGTAAAGATTGGTTTCTCATAACGTGCGTTTCGCGGTTTTCAGTCTTCCATTATATTTCAATGCATGTCCAGACATAGTATCTTATGCTCTCAAGCTTACTATATTTATCGATACCTGTTCCTAGTCACGTCGGCAACTGCTCGGCAAAATGGGACAAAAGAGTCATTCAAACGCAATTACTTCCTTCCAACAACAAACACTATTTTCGAATTTGTTCTCGAAGGTTGATCTTCATCCAGTTCCATTACCGGATCGGCCACACAGCTCAAGATATGCAGTTAAATTCGGCTTTGGTACCCCCGCCGCGGGCGCTTCTGTTCGACGTCTTTGGAACATGCGTCAATTGGCGCAAGTCCGTCACAGAATCCTTAGTCACAGAATGCAATCGAGCACTGGAGAATCCATCCAAATTAATTCCCCCGGTTGCACGTTCGGGCGCAGGCAAGAAGGACTGGGCTGATTTTGCCCAGCGCTGGCGGAACACATATATCACGTTCGTAGCATCCATCGCGAAAGATCCGACGATACCATGGAAGACCATCGACGAACATCATCATGATTCTTTGAAGGAGCTATTGGACGAAGCCGGACTCGTTGATTTGTGGACGCCCGAGGAGGTCCGGGACCTCTCCCTCGTCTGGCATCGGCTGGAGCCGTGGAACGACTCGGCGGATGGCATCGGGGAATTAAGCAAGGTCGCCTCGACCTGCACCCTGAGCAATGGGAACCTGAGCCTACTCCGTGACCTGAAGGCGTTTGGCGACTTGCCGTTCACGCACCTCTTCAGCGCAGAACAGTTCAATTCGTATAAACCGTCTCCGCGCGTGTACCTTGGGGCGGTCGGCAAGCTCGGATTGGAGCCGCGGGATTGCGCTATGGTTGCAGCGCATCTGGGCGACTTGAAGGCTGCAAAGGCGTGCGGACTTCGGGCCATCTATGTTGAGCGGCCGGGTGAGGAGGGTTGGAATCAGGAGATGATTGCTCAGGCAAAGCAGGATGGCTGGGTTGACCTTTGGGTTCCCTTGGTGGAGAAAGGGGGCGATGGAAAGGACGTCTCCCTTGACGGATTCCTAACTGTAGCTACAAGGCTTGGTATAGAGATCGAGAAGAAGGGGAAAGATGGTGCGAATGCGTCGTTGTGATACTCCTGAATAGTCGCTCAGCCATTTGAAATCAGACATCTTGCCATATGCCTTCAATTACTCCATCCTAAATCACTATTTCTGGCTATGAGTTATTTATACATGCTACAGATGGTTGCCCAGGGCCTCTCGCGTGGCTATGGTGCGTTCTTGATCGGTTGTGGTAAACTATCAATGGTTGAACCGTGTTGATATCAAAGTCAACACTTGCAACATGTGGAGTATGCTTGGAATCCAGTTTAAATATTCATAAAGTACCCAACTTGATATTGCTACTCAACCACCACACAGAAATACATCAAAACTGGCATGAATACAGGTCTCACCAACAAAATTCACATGGAACCATAAAAATCCCAAAATATATCGATCGTGGACTTAGTGCATGGATATGTTGATTCTGAGACTAGTCATGACGCCATTGGATGAGTGGAGGTCGACAGCACCATATCCTCACGGATACAACAACATCGGCAAAGCACATTACTACGAGTAAACAAAGGAACGCTATGTTTCACGGAGCTATCCTTTCATCCTGATGTTTGTACCGATATTCGGGGTAAAGTTGCAAGCTACGACTTCAAGGATCAAGCGACTATCACCGGTAGAGTACTAGTATCACTGGACGAGTGGATGTCCCTTGTGAATGAGCATCATCCTCGGGAAACGGATCCCGCCCGGGCGCCCGAACGATGAACTCGACCTACCCTAACATTTGGATATAGAATAAAGACAAGGAACGAGATCGAATTATTGACAAATATCAGATTCCCATCTCGCATACACCAGAATACTGCGATCATTTCGCCATCTATTCCGCGGTCTCGACCTCGCGCGACCTCGCGTCCTTCACGCAGTTGTACAGTAGGGACGCTCCTCGACTGACGTCGTCCCAGCACGATGGCGCCTCATATACAAGATGTGACGTACGCATCCTCAATCTCCTCACCAGAGGAGTTTTGGATGCATCAAGCGTCCCAACTGCACTGGGACTCCCCTCCGACCCGAGCCCTCGAGAAATCCACCCGACAACTGCAAGATGGCACCACGCACCAGTCCTGGTCTTGGTTTCCAGACGGCGATATCAATACCTGTTACAATTGCGTGGATAGGCATGTGCAGAATGGCAATGGTGACACAACGGCGGTGATTTGGGATAGCCCGGTCAGCGGGAATAAGCAGCGATTCACCTATCGGGAGGTTCTCCATGAGGTCGAGACTTTGGCCGGCGTGCTACGCGAAGAGGGGTTGAAGAAGGGAGATGTTGTGTTGATATACAGTATGAAATCGAGAACAACTGAAGAGGCCCGGAACTGATGAGATAATGTAGTGCCGATGATCCCCGCCGCCCTCTTCGCAATGCTCGCCACCGCTCGTCTCGGAGCGATCCACGCGGTCGTGTTTGGAGGATTCTCATCGCCAGCGCTCGCCCAGCGGATCGACTCATCTCGACCGAAAGTGGTCATGACCGCGTCTTGCGGCATCGAAGGGACGAAAGCACCCTTGGCGTACCGGCCGCTCGTCAACGCAGCGATACAGAAAGCTACACACAAGCCATGGCGAACGATCATCTGGCAGCGTGACCAACTACGATGGGACCCGCTCGCAAGGGAATATGGGGAGCGGAATTGGAATAGGCTGGTCAAGAGCGCACGCAACCGAGGCCTCAAGGCCGGTTGTGTACCGGTCAAGAGCACGGATGGGCTGTATATCATATATACGAGCGGCAAGTACCAATTACATCAATCCAGAAAGAGAGGCGAACTGATAGTTGGAACCAGGTACAACCGGGCTTCCTAAAGGCGTACTCCGCGAGAATGGCGGTCACGCAGTTGGTCTCCACCTTTCGATCAAATATCTGTTTGGTATCCATGGACCAGGAGATGTCATGTTCTGTGCGTCCGACGTCGGCTGTAAGTTGCATATGAAATGAATACGTGAAGATATATACTCATTGCATGCTAGGGGTGGTCGGTCATTCGTTCATTCTATATGCACCGCTTCTCGTCGGAGCAACCACCGTTTTGTTCGAAGGCAAACCAGTGGGGACGCCAGATGCGGGAACGTTTTGGCGTATCATAGAAGAATACCAAGTGAACGCCCTCTTTACGGCCCCGACTGCGCTGCGGGCGATCAGACGAGATGATGGCGATAATGAGTTCGTCGAGAGCATCGGTCGCCGTGGAGGGCTGAAGAGCCTCCGGGCGGTGTTTCTGGCTGGTGAAAGGAGCGAGCCGAGCATCGTATCGATGTACAAGCATCTTCTCGAAAAGCATGCCGCTCCCGGCGCGACGGTCATTGACAATTGGTGGTCATCGGAATCGGGATCTCCAATCACTGGCATCGCGCTGTCGCCAGCGGCGGGAGTAGACTACACGTCCACCGTCCGCCATAAGCCGCTTCCAATCAAGCCTGGCTCGGCTGGGAAGCCGATGCCTGGTTTTGACGTCCGAGTGGTGAACGACGATGGCAAGGAGGTCCCGCGAGGGACTATGGGAAACATCGTTCTCGGTGTCCCGCTGGCACCAACTGGATTTACGACGCTATGGGACGACGAAGATAGGTTTTACAGAGGTTACCTGAAGCGATTTTCAGGCAAGTGGATTGATACAGGAGATGCCGGCATGGTTGACGAGGATGGATACGTCCATGTGATGTCGCGGTCAGATGATATTATCAACGTTGCAGCGCACCGCTTCAGCACGGGTAAGTGCAGAACTTCTATTTTCGCTCGCTGGTTCTAATAACCAAAGGATCGATCGAACAAGCGATCACATCTCACCCAGAGATCGCGGAAGCCTGCGTTGTGGGCGTCCCCGATGCGCTGAAGGGTCACCTCCCCTTTGGATTCATTACGCTCAAGACACACAACCATCCCCACGACGCCGTACCCGATGAGAACTTCTTCAAAGAAGTTCAGAATGGTATCCGCGAGCAAATTGGACCCATCGCCTGCCTCGGAGGTATGATCCAAGGCAAGGGAATGATCCCCAAAACCCGGAGCGGAAAAACATTGCGACGGGTCCTGCGTGAGCTGGTTGAGAACGCCGTCCACGGCGATTTTGACAAGGAAGTGCAAGTCCCTTCCACTGTCGAAGACTTGGAGGTGGTCAATGTGGCGCGTGAGAAGGTTCGAGAATACTTCCAGGCGAAAGGGAAGGAGATTCACAAAGCCACCGAGGTTCGAGCGAAGCTTTGATGGGTCGGGGTCTCTCGGAGAACTAGACCCCGGAGCCACCCATATCCTGGGCGGTTCTGTTTGATTTTCTCGATGTCTCTGAACGTTCGGCCGGCATTCAATTCCCTCGAGGCTTAGACCTGGGGTACGGGACGATCACCTTCAGATGCTTGCCATGCGAACGGAACAACAGCTTTGCATTGATAACCTTCCCCGCAGTGATTCATGTACGCAAAAGGAGAACTGCCATCATCATATAAGAGGGATATGAACAGGTCCCAATGCTATCTATGCACGCTGCCTCGTGGCCCGTCTTGCCGGGTTTTCAATGTGCCTTGCGAGTTGCGACGGCAACAATTGGAGGGTTTGAGCAGACCTCGGTGCGTTCTTCATCCGCCGAATGGTTGAGAGATATTGAGATCCCGGAAATGATTTGTGGTTGATTTACAGAAAAGACGACTTTCCTCTCTTGTATAAGGGCAACAGATCTCGGCCTAGATAGTCTTAGGGTTGTCCCGAATCGAATCAGATATGCACCACGATCCTTCCATGGCTTGGTTCACGGTGGTCGATCCTTGCAAGCAATCTAGAGGCCAACCACTTCCCAACCGACGAGGCAATTGCCGCGGAATTTGTTCGAAAATTCTCGTCTCTGGCCGTTCTCATTTGCTGGGACGCCGCAATTTCCGATGCGTTGGCGTCCAGTCAGTTTGTGTCCTTTTAGGATGTGTTCAAATTCGAAAATAAGCCGGAACGCTGTTCCTGCACGCTGCATCAAGCCTGCAGGCCTGCATATGCGGTGCGTTACTGCAGCCTGGTGGAGCAGTGGAGGAAGCATTAGATCACTGCGATGTCAGATGGCCAAGGATCATCTTTACCTGCGGCGTACTACGTTGTGGTTCTCACGTGCTTGGAGATTCCTGCATGTGTCCAGAGTGTTGAGACAGGATCTGAAGCGGGAGGTTCGGGGCGGCTCCGGTCTACATATCTGGTTGATGGTTGATTTGGTTCATGTTTTGTTCATGGCACTTCTAGTCGAGCGTTGATCTTTCGGACCTCAGAATCGAAGGCTGCAAGATCCCGGGATGACCTGGCACCTCACCGTCGACAGGTGGGTAGAGGGAGCCGTTTCGAAGCTGTGAAAGAAACGATCTGCCATCCGGTACGCCGGACTCTAGGAGGCCAGTACCCGGAGTCGCAAGCTGTCCGAGATGAGAACGGCAAACCTTGATCCGGTCTATTCATTCGCTCTGGAAATTGGGAGTCCTAAACCGTATGCAAATATTTCTCAAGAAGGAAAGGCCTTTGATATTCCCGAACGGGATGGGAGTGATTCAGCTATTGATTGGAGAAAACCACTTCTCCATATTGGCGATTTTGGCGGAATACATCTCCGGAGCTGCTTCGTAAGTTGGGATTGGGTATGTTTAATGGTGCTGACCATTATGCTCGATCCACCGCCCCGAGCAATGGATCCGGATGCTCTTGGGATCGGAAATGCGATTGGAGCAACGGTGGACGAGGCTTTACACGTTTCTCCCATCCCTGGACGTAGGTGAAATCGCTCCAAAACCATTAAACCACCGAGCCACTGGCGTGAAGGGTAAATCCTTCGACCCAGAGTACTGGAACCGGTCACGGCACGCGACGGACCTTTCCCGAAAACTCTGGCATCGCGATTCGTTGGGGTGAAGCCATGTCGATGAAGGGGTGAAGAGTGAAGAGGCGTGTTTTTAGTGACGTCCACAACCTAAAAAACAGTTAGGAATTACCAAAGGAATGGGTTTGGGTGGCGAGGGTATTGAGAGTTTTCTTTCACCTGTTGCTGAATATCATTCCCACTAGGCCAGAAACTGGGGAGCCGTAAGCCGAGCACTGTTCGAGCTTACGTAGTAGAATAGATTACTCAACGGAGGTCGCTACTGGGAAGTGGGAACATCTGGCATCCCCAGTCCTATCAAGCCCTGATCTCCGTTGTTTCGGCAACGTGAGTTCAGAGTTGAGAGAAGGTTGAAAGTTTGAAACGTACCCCGAGTTTGTTCGTTTTGTGATGTGATAGACGCTGATGGTACATATGGCAAAGCCTTAACATGCACCGTGCAGAGACGCTTGGGACATCTAGTGTACTGAGTGTGCACACCGGGGTACGGACCGTACCTGACGGTGACAGCTGTTGTTAGTGTGCCCAGTCCGTTCAGGTGTTCCATTCTTCCAGAGCCGAATGTCCCAGTGTTTCGAGGTCGAATTCTTCCACCGCACGGAATTCTGGGACCTGTTGTGATTTACGAACTACGATTTACGACTAGCGACGCACATCTGTTGGTCGTGGCGATCTCAACGCTTTCGAGCATTCAGAGTGAGGAGACGGAAGAGCGTGCCGCTTGCGTTTGCCTTGACGACTCCCCATGTCCCACCATTTTGTTTTGACTTTTGAAATTTCCTTTGGACGGGGAGAAGTGCTCTACCAATTCCTGTACACATCTCCTCCAGAACTCAAGATGGCTGAGGGCGAGTCCATTCCTCATCCATACTCCATACCGACAGGTCCGCCATAGGAATTGGGATTTGCCATTTGGGAACCGGAACAGGTTACCTGATAACTTGATTCAAGGCATCGACGCACGGTGCGTGATCGACAGACAAGACAAGCGGTCCACACTCCACATGTCAGCCTGTGATCCTATTGATGTTGGCCTTTGGGATTTGGGAGGTGAGAACTTAGAATTTAGGTGTTCAAGAAATGATATTGGGACGTTGAACGGAGTCGGGACCCTCGGAGCTCCCCAAGCATATTTTGTAGTATCAAGGATGTGTTAGGCAGGTCTTCGGGTTCTGGAAGACGGGATGAATGGATGCCAAAAGGAAAAAAATTCGACAATTCATGCCGAAATGGCGAATATCCAATGGAAGCTTGCTCACCAAATCCCCCGAAACCGGCTGCCTGGACTCTGGGCTTGGATGGAGCCGATGCTCCGGTAGTGCGATGCATGTACTCTTTGTGCCTGGTCCCACACTAATTCTGGAACTTGAACGACTGAGAACTGAACGACTGAGAGCTGATCGACTGATAGAAGAGCGTTTGCAGAAGGTAGCCTGAGGAGTGAGCAGCCACTGACTGGAGAGGGACTGTGATGATTCTCCAAGTCTTTTTTCGGTTCTGATTGTATCATTGCCGACCCTGGAATATCTGTCCGGGGGACTGGTCTGATCAATTCACAATTGACATAGTGAAGAGGGTGGTTACAGGAATTTTCCTCGGTCCAATTCGAAACAATATGGCCGAAAGTCAACGAAGTGGTGAAGCTATGGAGATAGCTGGAAGCGGATTAGCAAGTTCGGCTGAGCTTTCGCTTGAAGAACCAGCCTGAACTCGCCCTGAAGGCTTAGGAAAGCTAGGACTCGAGTCGTAGGCACCCGGGGACCGGGGAGGGCGGGAGCCTGAGATGGGCACAGAGGTTATTAATTCTAGGTCAGCGAAACCCCCCAGTTCGGGCAGTTAGGCTCTCAAGTTTGAAGCTCAACAGTCAACTCAACAGTCTAGAATCTGCGTCTAGTCAAGTGCCGGAATTAGCTCTCCACCATCCCATCCGTAGTGAGGAATAGAAAGTGAATCCACACCCGAATCGCCGGACTGGGTTGAGGCGGTTTAGGGGTTTAGCACGCACGCTTGGAAGGCGTTTCGCAATTTCGCCTGGGGAGGAAGGGAGGGGGTAAAGCGAGAGACAGGTAAAAATGAGAGCCGAATATAGAGAGCGAGACAAGAAAGTTAATCAATAAAGTTAATAAATAGTAAGGTAACACTTGTAACTTGTAAACGAATAGGAAGAATAATATAGGAAGAATACACAGAGAGAGCTCTTCCTCCTCCTCCACTTCGTCTTCGACTGTTTCTATCACAAGCTTCGTCTCTTTGGGCTCCCAAGTTCCAACCAACCGTCGTCCCAACTCCCACCTGTTTTAGCTCTCACTTTCGGGTGATCCGAGATCTTAATACATATCATTGCAATATTTGCTCAGGTCCATACCTCCACTCCATGTACTTTGTACGCATTTACCTACGTATCAATGTATCATGGTTTGATGTGATATGGTCAAGAACAACGCCTCTTTTCTTCCACAAATTTTAGGCTTTGCAGTGCACCAATGCCCGCGGTGTTTGGTTGACCCCTTCTCGGGCTTCTTCTCCACAGGCACTCCCTCGCCTATTCTAGTAGTGTTCTGGTAGTGTTCTGGTAGTGTATTCTTGCACTCATCGGTACCATCCGCCCCTCGACAAATCCCCCGACTCTTGGACAGGCTCCAAATCCAGTCCCCTTCTCACTTCTCACTCTCCTCCTCTCTGGCCCCTCTCCCTATCTCCAATTCCTAGGACACTCGTATCAGGCATTTTCTTTTTCAGATCCGCCGTTTCTGTGTTTCCGGTTCCCACACCATACCCCCACACGAGACGACGCCCCTTCAACTATCCACCTCGGACCATAAACACGGTCATTCCCTTTCCATTTCCACTGGCTACTGCAGCAGACGAAGCAGAGCTGAAAGAAAGAGTGAAAGATAAAGACCCATTTGATACCTCAAACAGCCTCCACAGGAGCACACGTGCACCCCACGTGCCTGGAACTCTCGCTTTACACCTTGGATCTCCCACCTCTACTTTGCCCGAATCGCTCGAGTACTAATTACGAGTCTACGACTACGAGTCTACGACTACCAGTACGGTGCAGATCGACCCCTCGCTGTCCCTTGCGGTGTTCCTTACGGTGCCCACAACATCATCCATTCGTACTTTATTGGTTTATTTGGTACTGCCTTGGATTTGGGGAAGTTCCGGTAATCCATACCGTCACGACTCAAGACAATACTTGTTGCTGTCTTAAATTTGGTGGTGGGGATCTGCGGCACACCAGTCCCCGTCGAGCCCCAATTCTCCAGCTCTCGGTACCTCGCTGCTCTCCTTCGACCTTCCCTCTCCCTCGTGCCTCCACTGTCCACAACACTGCAGACCATCATCTGCTGTACCGTTCGTTCAAGTGTTTAAGCACTCCTCTTCTACGCCTCTCGATCTATTGCCTCTATATCACGGTTCACTTCTTGGTCGTTTGATCGTTGTCACTCTCGCTCATCGTCGTCCGCAACCCCTCTCCTCGTCGTTTGGCACAACAGTGTGGGGTTGATTAAAGGACGGAAGAAAGAAAGAAAGAAGTTTATGTGGTAGCAGGCCACACACTCCCGTTGTTCCCGTTCGGTATCACAGGAATTCCATTTTGATACACGGCTGCCTCCCTTTTACGAATCGTCGTTGCTGCCTCAAAGCGACATCTCACATCGCCAGGCCTTTGCATCAACGGCTGCGCCTTCGGACCGCTCCAAAACAATCCCCGTCCGCACCCACATCCAACGCATCCCCCTCCCCCCCCGACCACAACCTTACAAATCCTGCGACCTTCCGAAGCGGGATTATCGATACCTGTGTACCGCACGTTGCTTTGAAGGAAGCATAGGGAAAATCTCCTAAAAAGCGAGGCTTTGTATCAACCGCTGTCGTGTCTCGCGAGCTGTAGAGCAGTTCGAAATCGTCGACGCACCTTCTAGACCCAACGACAGCAAACGTGACAGGGCTGACGTCCGTCCCGAGCGCTTCCTCCAGGCCTACGTACATTGGCCAACGGCTTTCAAACCAGTCGCGACGGGGTTTGAATTGCACCGGGCGGCAAAACCCTCCCTTCGCTCCCATTTCCGAAAGTTTGCACGAACATCATTTGGGCGCCCGAGAAAGCAAATCATTTTCTACCCTGCACTTCTCGACTATTCACAGAAACGTGGTCATCCGCTTCGAACCTCCGACCTACGATCTCGAGACGAGGCGAACGGGAAGTTTGCTTAAGCGCCTGGCATTCTCTGGATAAGCCCGGTTTTACGGTTCTTAAAGCTGAGCCGTCTGTTCACAGACTCTGGATTGACTGTAGGTTACATTAGTATTGCTCGGGATCTCCTGGGCAACTCGTTGGATCGTCCATAGCTGCTTGATTTAAGCGCCTGCTTATTTAGGGTGCTGATCAGCGGGATCTCTGGTTCACAAACCTACTTCACTTAGGCCGTACGAGAGATCAGTACTTCATTATGGCGGCGAAGATGACCCTATACAAGTTGGTGGTGCTGGGGGATGGTGGGGTGGGCAAGACGGCTCTGACTATTCAAGTGAGTACACAATGTCGAGACTCGAGGCCTACCTACAGTACTAACGCCGATACAGTTATGTTTAAATCACTTTGTCGAAACATACGACCCGACGATCGAAGACTCATACCGGAAGCAAGTGCAGATCGATGGTCAATCATGCATGCTGGAGGTGCTGGACACGGCCGGACAAGAAGAATACACCGCTCTGCGAGACCAGTGGATTCGTGATGGGGAGGGGTTCGTGCTGGTGTACAGCATTTCATCACGCGCATCCTTCCGCAAGATCGAGGCCTTCCACCGTCAAATCCAGAGAGTGAAAGAGTCATCCCAATCCGGCTCCCCGACCTACCCCAACTCCCCGCTTAGCATGTCCTCCACCGGCTCAGGATCCTATGGCCCTGCACCCGTGATGTTGGTGGGCAACAAATCCGACCGAGTCACGGAGCGCGAGGTCAGCACGCAGGAAGGGATCGCCATGGCCAAAGAGCTCGGCTGTGAATTCGTCGAAGCGTCCGCGAAGAATTGCATCAACGTAGAGAAGGCCTTCTACGACGTGGTCCGGTTGCTACGAAAGCAGAAACAGCAGGCCGTCCGGTCGTCGGGAGGAAGAGGAGGTATGACGTCGGGCAACGCATATCACTCGAGACCCATGAAGGAGTATGGCGAGAAGCCACGAGAAAAGAAGTCAAGAACGAAATGCGCCATTCTATGAAACGGCGTCATCCTTGATCGAGGGAGCACCGCTATAAAGTCGACGTCTTTGGGAACACGGTCCACTTCCGCTGCGCGTTATTGGGACGACCGTCGCGATTGTGTTTATTATCTCGACCCACCAGGCCTCGTCGACCATTGGTTTCTTACGGGGATGGTCCGGCAACAACGCTGGATTGGAGAGCTAGACGACCACGAATGCGATGAATTATGCCATGTTTACAACCCGAACAGCGCACCACCTTCTTTCTTCTCGATCGGGATTCCCTCTGCTTATTGGATATACGCAAACTCCAACCTGATTTCGAGCGAGTGGAGATGTAAAGGTCAAAAGTCCGTCATTTCCCATTGTCGATAAGCATCACACAGTACGCATTGACGATTGGCGTTACGGCAGAGTTAGTGATGACCGACAATTTCTATATTTCCTGGATGGCATTTTCTAGGCGCCTCCGTTGCCGATGTCTTTCGGGTGAGGGTTGGAACCGGTTGATAGATCTATGAACGACGACTGGGAGCATTACGATCGTCTGTCAATGTACGCTCCATCAGGTTCGCGAATCGCGGCATATTATGGATGCTTTATGGAATCAAATGTGGTCATATCATTAGTTGTTGCCAAACAGGGACTGGTTTGAGTATACCGAATGTAATGCATGAATTTGACCACATTCTTTAATCGTCCGGTGCCGATTACTGCTCCTCATGGAATGGTGGAGTAACAAAGTCTATTCCCATCCCTTTCTGCCATTCGCCCGCACTTTTAGGAGCTGGATCGACATCATGGCTCGACTAGCTAGTAATGGTGTTGGGTTGGCATGCGGATTCAGACCGCTTCCATTCCTGAAATGGCGGACTATCGAAGACTGAAGAGCTTACACTCCCCGTTCTACGTATCCATCACACTGGAAACTGTACACTACGGATGAGATGCATGGAAAAAGCATTCGGTCCTTGATATGCACTCAGCCGCCAGAAGGGAATATCGGTGAGACGTTGCAGGTCACAGAACCCAACGACATCCCCAACCCCATTTCCATTGTCACAGAAGCAAAGCAAGTAATTATGGAATAAGCAACACAGGGAACCAAGATTCGGGGTTGGCGGGATAGTGCCTACCGCGGCGGTCAGAATCGAGACTCTACCGCGTACCAGCTACCCACTCGGGCGACGTGGGCCCCAGATCATCCGGTCTCTTTACTCTCCAAATCCTCATGTCCAAAGACGGCCTCGAGGAGAAGCCATAGCGCCATGGCAATTTTTCTAGCCACGGGAATAAGCAAATGCATGAGGAATGTACCCGTACTTTGTTGAGACGCTTTCAAGCATCGGTAGGTTTTGTATCCCGAACGTCGTACGTACCTTACCCGTTCTCACGGTCATCACATCGGGATCAACGCGACATCGTCTCCTGTGCCAACCACTCAACCGCTCCTTTGGGGGCACTTATCCTGTTCGATAAGATTAAATTTCAGTTCGACACTAGTCACCGCATAATTTCATTATCGTCGCTTAGCTTTTCATCGGGGTTTTGTGGGTTGGAGGGTTCGTTCGATAATCGATTGATAGCACCTTTCCAGCGGCGATAGCTGGTGTGTCAGAGGGTGAAGCAACTCGAGGTCCCCTTATCAGTGATCCGACCCCAGCTTCCAACTGATCTACATTCTCCTCAGCTCGGTCTATGGACTTTATTTGAACCGTCGTTTGAAGTCGCGACCCTTTCTCATATCAATAATGGTATGTATATTGCGTTGTGTGGAAGAAAACATATGCTCTCACTTCCTATCGCATCAGCGCGGTTCTGCGTGTCGCAGGCCCCTCGTCCGACCATTAGGAAGGTGTCCTTCCGACACGGTTATCAGTTGGCAGCGTTTCTAGTAGTGATCTGGCTATTATTCAAAGGGCTTGGGTGGTATCCAACCGTGCAATGTGTTTCGGATGAGAGCCAAGGCGTTGATCGCCCGAAACAAGCAAAGTTGGTTATTCAAGGACCTCATCGTCAGACAGACACATGTAACGGCTGAAGCGTCGCTCCATCGAATCGAGTCTCGAGAGGCACATGTCTTCCAGGAGAGCACTGAGGAACTCTCTGACAACGGCCAATTTTAGGATCGACAGAAGAAATGCTGGCTATAGATCCGCAGATCCGGACAGAATTGGTGGAGGATGCAGTACCATGCTGCTCGTCCGTCGAAGTTTGGAGTTGATCCACGGTGCTTAATTCTCTCTAGACTTGCTCCAAGAGACAAGAAGGGTAGTTAGACTGGACACGGCGCGGATCTTCGACAAGATGGACGGGTGGTAATGGATGATTAACTTGTTTATTGCAACACTATTTCGTCTCACTGATTTCCGACCTAGTTGACAGAAGACGGATTCCCGACCGTGCTTCCCCGATGCAAGCCAAAGTAGCGAGCCGTTTGAGCTGGCGTGACTTGAAGAACGAAAGAAGGGTATCCTACACGCAAAGATAAATATATACAGTAAAGACAGACCTGCGCAAAGCGGTATGACGGAAAGGACTAGCTATTATCATATAGGATATTGTGTAATATCAGCCGGAAAGCTGTCTGACCCATACACCAGCGCTAATGTGAAGCCACGAACGTACGAAGGAGACTCCGTATATACAAGACCGAGTGTGAAGAGGAAGGGTATCTAACAACGATGGTAAAAGCAAAAGCATCAATCATCTCTTCACAGCATATATCAACAAATCTTGGCTCCGAAGCGATCACATCTACTCTCTAAGTCGACTCATCGCCGTGATCTCCTCGTCACCCAACGCTGTGATCCACAAGCACTTGCCGATTACTACCGGGTCGGGGTGGAACTGATATTTCGAGCTCGCCTCCAGCAGCCTCAGGAGACTCTTCACGATCGCCGCCGCTATGTGATGCCGCTCGAAGTTCACTAGCGGTTCTCCCGCTGGGTTCTGCGGCGCGCTGGTGATGAACGCCGGCTTCTGCGCATTGTACACGAGATCGCGCGTGTAGATGCCGATGAAGGGGATGCACCCCTTCTCGACCGCGGCCGTCTCCATCTCCATGCGGAGATTGTGGAAGTTGCGGACCGGTTGGACTAGCCGTTCGAGTTCAGTGAGGACCTCCAGATCGGCGGCCGGCACCGCGTCCCATGTGCGCTTCATGCGGGACACGTCGCTGCTGAGCAGGGCGATCGTGATCTGGTACATCGTGGCGTAGTTCCGGATCTGCCTCGCGTGCGCGGCGATGCGGATGTACTGCACGATGCAGTGAACGCGCTCGTCGAGCGACTCGGTAAGGATGAGTTCCGAAACGGCCCATTTGACCATGATGTTGAATCGGGCGATGACCACGTCGACGCCGCGAGGAGTCTGCGTGCGGAGGTAATCCACCCAATCACGGATGGAAGGGGATGACTGCTTCCAGCGGAGTTCGATCAGCTCCTTCCAGTCGATTTCATCAAGAGCATCTTTCTCGATGATGGTGAATTGCTGAGTGAGGTACTCGGCGTCATGGGTGAGGATGAAGGGGAGATGAGGTGGGATGGATGGGACACGGCTGGAGGGGGCGGAAGGAACACGGAGAGCAGGCTGGGGGTGTTTGCGACGGCTAGTCGGGGTAGTGGGAGGAAGGTCAGTGGGCGGACTGTGAGGCGATTGAACCTGGACAATCCGTTGATCCTTTGGTTCGACAGGGAGGGCCAGGCGCTTTGATTGATCGTCGGAAAATGGAGGAGTGGGAGGGAAACGAAGCGGATGTGTGAACATGGAATTGCCGCCATCCTCATCGTCATCCGCGGGCTCATCATCGAAAAAACTCCGAACCCGTTGGCTGGCGTCTTCGGAGTTACCGACCAAATCTCCGGAAGACCGTGATCCGTCGGTGAGAGCCTCATGATCGTCTAGTAGGAAACTTCCCCGCGTTTGGAAAGAGCTTGGAAGGGTTTCGCCCTTGGGAATGCGGCGCATGCTGTCTGTCTTCTCGATATGTTCCATTGATGAAGCGGCGGACCCCTGCTGCGGGGTGAGATCAACGGCATCGATAGTTATCGTTGACTGATCTTGGGGAGCATTCTGTTTCCTCGGGTCGATACGCGGTGATGATTTCGGGGGGCGAGTCACAATGCCGCTTAAACCCCTTTCAAGCAAGGGCACTGAGGAATACGAATCTTCGGACCGCGCAGCAACAGAGACGGTGGGTACCACTCGCGAGGGGAGGTCATGACCCGATGAATAAGAGACCTGGTAGATACTATCCCCTTGAGTCTCCGGAGGCAGGGGATCGGAGGAAAGCCGTTGAAGAATGGGTTTCTGGTTATCGAGATCAATAACCTGCTCATTCCGATGTCTCATTCTCTCTTCCTCTTCGGATGGGTCCAATCCAAGGGGAGAAGGCTCCCACGCGCTGGGCTTGCCAACAGGCGTCGATGATGGATCGGATTGCGACATGTCGGAAGCCCGCTTCTCATACTTCCCTTCCAACTTAAGTAGCGCCGACTCAATACCGCCGTCATCGGATGCGTCGTCGGGTAACGCAGCGAGCTTGGCCACTTCCGCCTCGAAAGACGGACGTAGATTTTGTTGAGAGGAATGTGTGTCAACGAGAGAGATTGACCTCCGTAACTTCGACGGGTCTGGGGAGCCTGTTCCGACGGACGACTTTTCTTTGATAAACTGCCGAGCAAGCTCGGTCTCCAGGCTTAGTCCCCCAGGTTCAAGGGGACTGACGGCAAATGAGTTTGTGACCGAATGAGTGAGGTTAGAGAGTGATCCAGCTGAGCGCGGACGGTCCGTGACCGGCTCCAAGTCGTGTACATTATCTACAGCGCGGAGGTCGCCGCCGGGTCTGCGCCGCAGAGGCCGCATGGGGGTATTTTCCAGGAAGAACGGATCGTTCTCAGAGGACTGGGATTGGGCTTGGGATTGCTGCTCCGATATTCCGGATGTAGCGAAACTGAGCGGTGCCCTGTGGTCGGCCTCACCGCTATGGTAAGAGGGGTATCGCAATTGAGAGGATGAGGCCGACCGATGTTTCCTGAGCCGGTTTCTAGGATACCCGGTAGGTCGTCGGGACTCGACTACACGGGACCCACTCGAGTTCTTTGTAAGCAGCGGCGACTCCCCAGGAGAGGTCGTATTGTCTAGTCCAGTCTCGATCACTTGGTCGATCGACATCGCCCTTGACCCGGACGTTGCATGCTTCGGCAAGCTCGTCGATCGTTTCGGCATCGACGGCCGCCGCGATCCTACCAACGACTCCGTCGCGAGAGTGGAGGGTGGCAATGCCCCTGACATCCACGGTACTTCGGGTCCCCCGGTATCGTCCATGATGACAATCGACCGACTTCCCGCGGTAACCGCATCGGCCGTTTTCCGATTCCTTGTATGGTCTTCTGGAGCATGCGGCTCTTGAAGCTGGAAGGAATCGCGTGGTGCGTGTAGGTTGCGGCTGCGGAATCCTCGCTCCAGCCCGGTATTTTCGAGTTCCATCTGGATGGTAATCGCTTTACGAAAACTCTCGCCTGCCCTGGCCGAAAGCATGTCGATGCGGACTTGCTTGCGGCCACGAGCTCGCTTCTTGCTGGGTGTGCGAGCCGTAGTCGAAACTGACGCGGTCGTACCGGCGCGGGATACCTTGTTGGTCGACGGCGCAGAGAATTCGATGTGAGTTCCGGATCTCGGGGTCACGGGAACCGGCGGGTGCTTACTGGTGAGGGCGCGGCGGACGGTGCCTAGTAACTTCTTCATGCCCGGACCAGTGGCGACAGGTTGTTTCACAGAGTTGGGATCGGTGGGATCGACAAGAAGGACGTCAGCGTATGATCTCATGGACTTGATGCTCGCGCCGACACGAACTTCGACGTAGGGACTATCCGGCTGAAAGATGGCTCCTCGGATCAAACTGCCCGGTAGGGCCTGCGCGACCGCTTGGGCTTCTTCCGGGGATCTCTTGGGGGTTGCCAGGGGTGCACGGTTATCCCGGAGGGCATCCGAGAAGCTGCCACTTCGCTTGTGCGTCCGAGCCGGGCGACTGGCACGGGGAGCTGCCTGACCTATAGTCGCGGATCCAGGAGGAATCTGAACCGGGTGAGGGTAGAGAGGGATATCTCCGCCATGATCGACGCGGTATACCGGACGCATCGGAATCGAGCACGATAGCGCCTGGATACTCCGCTCGCTCGAGGGAGAGATTGGCACTCCTTCAACCGTCGGAGCCGACCACGGTACCCCGGAAGTGAGGGAATGTTGCGGGGTGTGGTAGAGAGATTTGAGAGACCTGACGCCTTCGGACTCCCCGATACCAGCTGAACGGTTCACGAGGATGCCAGTCAGCTGCATTGGCCGGTTCCCGTTCTGTTGCTTTGACATCACGAACTGACTGGCCTCGACTTTCGTAGTAAACCCATCCGTTCCATCCCGTGGCCCCGCGTGGATGTCATTGTCCGGTGCGTCGAACCCTATCGCAACCCCATCATCCCAATATTGCGAGCACGTCCGCCTCCAGCACTTTTTCAATTCTCCGATGATTTTCTGATCTCCTCCTCCCCCACTGACTCGATTGCGCAGGTATTCATACAAGCCATTCGTTAGCATGCAAAATTGCGAGCGCAGTCGGTAATCCGGCATGAAATCGTCGACGAAATAGTTCAAGATCCAGTGGCGCACCGCGACGAAGGTCCGAACTCGCACGATCCGTCCAAAGTCGTCCGCGCGGTCCACGGCCCATCTCATGCGCGCAATCAGATGTGCGATCAGATCATGGCTTGCCATGAACGCACGGAAGGTGAGGAAGAAGTCCGAAAGCAATTCATAGTCGAGGAAGCTCGGCGATGTGATATGAGCGATGAGACGCGACGGGGTGGCCGCGACGATGTTGCCGGAGCTAGGGGCGAATCGAACGGACGTGGGATCGTCCGGATTGAGGGTCAAGGCATCATAAAGTTCGGGGACGATGACGATCTTCGACGCACGCTCGGACGCCGGGGGGAGAGGCGAGGGCCTTCCCGACGTACGACTTCGAGATGAGAGCTGTCGAGTGATCGATGGCGCCTCCAACTCGCGTCCGGAGATGTAGGACGAGTAAGCCATGACGGGGGGGGAGGGAAACAGTCTCTCATGACCGTTCCTCGAGAACACGGACGAGCGAGGGTCCTCGATGACGGAAGCTCTTGTATACACGGAGCTCCGCAACACCGTTGTATCCTGGTTAAATTGGGGAGTACCAAGTCGATAGTGAGGAATAGGAACTTCCAGCACAGGCAATGGTCCTGTATCCGCGGTTTTCGGTCGATGCAGGGAAGGTCTATGAATCACCACCTTGATTGACTGTCCCCGCTCTTGCAACTGCGCTTGCGCGTGTTCGTCGACCGTGGAGAAGGAATGGGCACGGTTATGAGAGCCACTAAATGGGGAAGATTGAGCGATTGACTGCGGATCCTCATGACCGGGTTCTTCTTCTCGGGTTTGTCCTGGAAGTGGAGTGCAGAATCCGGTATAGAGGCCCTCTATACCGGCATCGCTCGATGGTCGCGTTCGAAGATCTCGTGCTTCGTCTGGTGGAGGGATTGGAGGAAAGACGAATGGAGGAGGCGCTGGACGCGTCCTTTGGGCGCCGGGTCGAATGACGGGTCTATGGCACGAAGGGTCAGAATCAAAACTAAGACCAACGTAGGATGACCATGTTGTAACAACGCATCAAACGCATGGAGAGAAGCATACCTCAAGTATATAATCCCATTATTCCCAACGTTTCCCACGGTGAAGTTCCGGCCAGCTCGTGCCGTAGCCACGGCGTCGGGAGCGATATTCCCTGAGCTTCCACCGCGACGCGCTCGCAAATCTTCGGCCGAGTTCTTCGTCCTTTTTAGTGACGGGTTTCTTCGTGGTGATTTGATCGAGGAAGATGTGGTCGCGATGGGCTTGGTCACGTCGGGTTTGCCGGCATCAACAACAGCGGCAGCACCAGAGTCAATGCTGGTTGCTCCAGCGGTCGCGACAGCCGATGCGGCATCCATTCCCTGGTGGAACCCATCCTGATCCTGTCCGTTGCCGACGCGGTCCATATTTGCTTGAGACGCCAGCATCAGGGATTGGCGCTCCTACGCTGGCGCATCAGGACCAATGTGGATTCTCTCTCTGAGACCGAGACGCGAGGTGAAGCAGTTTCACGGAAACCAAACCACCGGCAGCAGCGGAGGACGCGTTGCTACTGGCAGCATGTTCGGGAGGGAGCGGAGATCCGGAGCGATGTGTACGGTCAATGCTGGAGGCCTGGAGGTCGAGGAGTGTTCGAAGGGTCGTGTTGTTGACTATTGTCAGCAGTCGGTGCGTTCTCGGTGCGGTGGTGGCCGTGATGCACTCGGACGTGGTTCGTGTTTGATGGTTGGGAGAGCTGGGGGACCTTGCAGTGGACGGTGAAGTGTCTGAGCGCAAGAATGAGGCTGGGCGCCTGGGCCGCTGGGCAAGCTGGGATGGGGTGCTGGACTGTTGGATCGCTATGGAACTTCGAAGATTACTATTACTTTAAGGGATGAGGACAAGCCGAGAGTAGGAAGTCAAGGGATAGAGGGCCCTGCAAGCGAGCGAAGGAAGTGGAAGAGAGGAGAGAGAGGAGAATTTCCAAGAATGGTTGATGGGTTGAAATGGATGAAAGTATTGGATGAATGTGTGATGGCTGTCAACCGCCGTGCAGCAGTGGAAGAAGAAACGCAGTGCGCTAGCAACGGTTAACGGTCATAATCTTTCTTAGTGTAGCCTACTACAGCATCTATTCGAGAGTCTAGAGAGTTTATTACTTATTAAAGACTGCATAGATGGCAGAACCTGTCGAAGTGACAGCTCATCTCATTGATTGGGCATTTCTTGTTGTTGCACCATTGCACCATTATATGGGTGGCTCACTGGTATCGGCATTAGGGGAATTGGTTCTTTGGCCCAAGAATTGAATCTCACTGTAGTCTTTCTTGGCGTAGGTCCCATAGTAGGCATAGACATAATACCGTCAGCCCGTAGCAGCTAACAAGTACGTAACAGCAGAAGGATAATACTCCCTTAGTCCCTCACCTCACAAGTCATATCTGATCGGATCGATCGATGGCCCAGCCCCAGCCGATTCCCTGATTCCCCCATCCGGCCATCCCAAGGAGGCAGGGCCGTTGGGGAGACCCAAACCACTGGGTCATAATATTGGGGCATCAGGTCATCCACTCATTATTGGGGATGTGCTGCCTGGCGTACCTGCCTTTGCTGCCTCATCCCCCCCGGTCTCTTCCTTCCGTTCCTTCCCCAGCAAGTCAGACGGCACTTGCCACCCCCCACGTCCCTTCCATTCCTCCCGAACAATTGACGATGCAGCTTCGCGGTAGATTCCTGAGACCAAGACATAGCACATCTTGATGACATGATGTGTGAATAGCCACCAAAATGGTGCTATCCTTCGTCCTCATCCAAAATCGCCAGTATGTTCTATCGTGAAAACATGACAAATTCGAAGCTGATCATCGCAACATCCAGAGGCAAGACTCGCCTGGCGAAATGGTACGCTCCATACAGTGTATGTCCCTCCACATAATGCACATCTTCCCTCTCTAACCGCTGCCAACCTCAGGATGAAGAGAAAATAAAACTCAAAGGCGAAGTGTGTCCCTCGCTCACCCCTCATCGTCCCCAATCCCCCTGACCCCCCTCCCAGATCCACCGCCTCGTCGCGCCCCGCGACCAAAAGCACCAGTCCAACTTCGTCGAGTTCCGCAACACCTCCAAGATCGTCTACCGCCGCTACGCCGGCCTCTTCTTCTGCGCCTGCGTCGATACCAACGACAACGAGCTCGCCTACCTGGAGGCCATCCACTTCTTTGTCGAGGTGCTGGATGCCTTCTTCGGGAACGTCTGCGAGCTGGATCTGGTCTTTAACTTTTACAAGGTATGAATCTGTGAATCCAATCCGTGGATAAGTGCGTGGGGAGGTGGGAATCGGCTTCTAACCGAATTCCAGGTCTATGCGATTTTGGACGAGGTGTTCCTCGCGGGAGAAATCGAGGAAACGAGCAAACAAGTGGTATTGACCCGGTTGGAACATCTGGATAAACTGGAATAAGCTGGAGGCAATGATTAGGATCTACACATCGGAAAATCGTATTGTTGTTGCTCCATTGGTTTCATTCGACATTATATAGGTACCACCGCTTCCGTGTTAGTATGCGCTGGCTGACAGTACGCTTCCATGAGCTCATATGTACGGTAAGAAAAGGCAATAATACAAGACATCGCAGGAACATAGCCTGCTAAAATCACCCCTGAAAGCTCCTTGGGGTCAAACCATCATCGCGGAAGAGACTCATTGATTAATCACCCGCAATGTCCTCCTCGGATTCAACACCACCCCCCTCGGTCCCCAGAAGCTCGGCTCCTGTCCCGCTATCAGATCTTCCGAGTCGCTCCCCGACGAACCGGGCCGCAATAACGGATGATTCCCTTGCAACCCGTCCGCACTCCCGGTGTAGCTCCCCTGCGACGAATGCCCTGGCCGCCACGGCGTCTGCCCGCTACTCGCCTCGCTGACATGCTTCGGCGCCGCGAAGAAGTTCCCCGCGCTGCTCAGCCGCCCGAATATGCTTTCCTTCTCCGCCTGCTGCGGGTCAGCCGCCCCGCGCTGCGCCATGGCCAGGTGCCGTTGGTACAGCTGCACCCGCTTGCGGTAGATGTACGCGCAGAAGGCGAGGTATCCGGCGAGGAAGAGCAAGAACCCTGCGATGGTGCCCGCGACGATGGCGCCGACGCGGCCCGCGGAACTGCCGTCGCTATTGCCGGGCGACGCCGTGGTTGTAACCGTTTGCCCGTTGATGCTGGTCACCGTGTAGTAGATCGGCTTGCCCGTGGCGATGGGACCACCGGTGGCCGACTGCGCCGGGGCCGTGACCGTCGCTCCTCCCAAAGGGTTCCCGCCGATGGCGTCAATCACGGGTTGGGGGACGGAGTAGCCGAAGCTCCCATGCAGGCCGGACGAGGAGTTCGAACCAAGCTGGGAACCTTGTTGTGAGAACGGGTTTCCGGTGACAGGGTCGCCGACGTCGATGGTTTTGCCCGCCCCCTGCGACGGGCCGGTCAAGCTGGTGAAACGGTTGACCCATTCTAGGGTGCTGGTATTGAACACGTAGACGCCGGGCGAGTCGCATGAGATCTCTTGTCCCACGTATCCTCCGACCAGGACCATCTGCCCGTCCCAGATGTTGCAGGAGTGCCCGGCTCGCCCGAACGGCACCGACTGCTTGGACTGGTCCACTTCAATCCACGTGAAGGACGGAATGGAGAGGATCCACATGTCATCGTACTGCGTCTGTTGTTGGAATGGTTGGAGGTTTTGCCCGCCGAACATATACACATTGTAACTGGTACCACTGTATGCGCGTCAGTCTCTGCTCACTCTCGACCGGAAGGGAACGTACTCAGCTGCGGCCGCGACGACCGCGCAAGGGTTGACTCGAATCTTCGGAGATTTCCCCGACGTCGATTGCTTGTACCACGTTGATCCAGCGATGTCGTAGACGTCGATGACGTTCATCTGAGTGAACGTGGTCTCGGTACCGCCAGCCAGTCCCAGCAGTATTCCCTCATCGCCAAATCCCGGGACAAATACCAGCACCCCGTCCGCACGCTCGGTAAATCCAGCACTCTCTTGCAACCCACCTTCCGTGATGTTGCGCCATGCACCATCCGAACCGGCGGCATCCAATCCAGAAACCGCCTTGTTTTCATGGCCCGGAAAGGTGTACTCGATCAAGGATTTCAAGTATACTCGCGGGATCTGGGCCGACCAGCCGGGTGTGGTATAGAGATCTAAATGCCCGCCAAAGTAGAACCCTCTCCCAAGCGAAGGGACATTGATTCCCGCACCTTCCGCGGAGCGTTGTACAGGTTCTCCGCCTCCGGCAGCATTGATACCTGCGGACGTTCGAGGATTGCTGTGTTCCTTCCATTCCGAGGCCTTGATATCGTATTCCCAAACCGCAAAGTCAACCGGCTGCTCAGGGGGGGTGTCGGAAAACTCGCCACCGTAGAGGTACAGAGCCCCGTACGAGCTCCAGAGGTACCCGTTCGATACTGGGGGAGGTCCGCTGGGCTGGGGAAGTGCTCGGAAGGCGGGTGACGAGATGTCCCAGGATTTGGTGAGGTCTAACGTGACGAATTCGTTGTCTGGAGAAGGTGTAAGCATTTCGTTATACATGCCAATATAGGAACTTACTCCAAGTGTCGTTGGTTTGCGCAGATGAGGTCGACATTCGGCCACCGTAGATGTACATTGTGCCGTTCACGATAGCACCTGTTGAAGTCAGACGTGCTTTGCACGGATGTCGGTTTGATACTGACTTTGGTGACTCCATTTCTTACACCATTCGGTGGCACTGTCAGCCCTTCGGTCCAAGGCATTGACCGCGTTCTCAGACCGGGCATCAGGCCGAATAACTGTGCCTTTGACTCCTAAAAAGGGAGAATGTGCTTTGCCAAAAAGCTGTGTCTGCTGCAACGCAGGTGTTATGATAAGCATGACACACGCCCACAGAGCGATGCGGAGGAATGGAGACGACATCAGGCTCCTTCGTCTTGATTCGGGGTTCGGTGATTTGTTGTTCGGTGTAGCTTCATCACTGTCCATATTCTCCCACACCAAGGTCTGGCTGACCAACCCTTCCGTTGGAAACTCGATTATTTCAGGTTCGCTCGGTATCCTGACCTGATATAGAGGTCGAGGTCGCTGCCTTAATTTAACATGGCTAGGAAAAGCAGAGTCAGGTTCTAAAACTGTTCCTTTGAACGCCGATACCCTGTATCGTCTCTGTTCCGGATTCATGGCTCAGGACTTTGAATTATAAATTATATAAGCCACTTTGGAGCCTCGTTTAGAGTAATGTCATAAGAACGCAATTTAGGCAATATATGCCATCGGTCGGTCAATCCGTCCGACCTCAACGCAAAGCGGTCGGTAGTATAGCACTTCAAAGTCGATGTTGGGAAACCAAAAGAATTGAAATTCAGTCGCGTGACTCGGGAACAGGTGGACTAAAATAGAAGATGTGTAACACAGGAGCGAGAAGACTCGATGGAAAGCAGGCTATTGTATTGAACATTGTCTGATTGCCCCCCTCATCCCTGGAGTTGGATGCTAGGGTGGCTCGTTGCTGTAACGTCATCCCACCTCTACAAAGTAACGATTGGCTTCGAGCCCACCATGGCCACCCGCATCGATTGTTTTCAAATAGCCCATTAAAGGCCTTGCAGAGACTATCGCCGGAAGCGGGGACATGCTTTCTGCGACCCAAGTCCCAACTGTGCGGCGCTCGAAACGTCGGTACATGGTTGGGGAACAACCAAATCAGTCAACAACTTGGAGAAACTTTTGTTGGTTTGCTGACGATATACCTAGTGGATCCTCAAGTTGATTACCATAAGCCCTCTATCGAGACTTGCTCTGCTGGGAGAATGGGCCATCCACCGTACTGTCCCCTCCGATCGGCGAATCAGAGCTAGGTGAGCATGGTACGTATGTGGTTGTTCCGGCTTTCCAGAGCCCAGACAATGTTTTGTTGGAGGAATTGGTTGGGAGCCGAAAACGCGTCGTGGAACCTGCGCCACACCTCACACACCTCATCGTCTGGTTAGATTGGTACATCTCGACCTTCAGGGTCGCATATGTACCTTCGCCCGGAAGAACGTAGCTTGGTGATCCGAAGCATACAGTCCGGCGGATGGGCGAGATAGAATACCGCGGTAGTAGTGTGATGTTATCGTCTTGTGCTTGAAGTTCGTTCGTACTTCGCTACCGGGTGATCACGTGGTAGCCAGCGACTCCACCAGCACGTGACTCGGCTCAACATGTGGCACAGCACGAGGATCTGATGGATCATGAATAGTAACCTGAACGACAACCTCCAGCCTGGGACAGTGGAATGGAATTCCCTCCATTTGGAGACTTCGTAAATATCATTCCTTCGTCGTTCTCGTGCTTCGATGATCAACCATCTTCGTACCCAACTGACCAAGTCATACGATTCCATAGCCCCGTAGCCTAATTGACCAATCACAGCCCCTACAATCGGATGACATCTCCCCCAAGCCCGAACCTCGGTATTCGATGGCAAGTTGGCAACATGCTGGCCCACGCGCCGCTTGATCTTTTCCCAGAAGCCGACGCCGTGATATATTAGATAGAACGTAGCCGATCGGACACCTAGCATCACTTTTGTCCATCTGTTCCTTTCTCTGTTCTTACCGCACGCCGAATCCAACTCCCTCCCAGTCCTCAAACCCTTCCTCTCGAGTACCAACTAATAGTCCGATCTCCGACGAAATCAACATGTCTCAGACTTTCTCCAAGAAGGACGTGGCCGACCATGCCACGGAGGAGAAGGGCATGTATCTCATCATCGATAACAATGTCTACACCGTGTCCAAGTTCAAGGACGAGCATCCCGGTGGCGCCAAGATCCTGAAGCGCATGGGAGGAAAGGATGCCAGCAAGCAGTTCTGGAAGGTAAGCCGTCCATCGCGGAATCCTCCGGGGTCGAGACCCGTTCTCCACTCTAGAGCGTCGACTGACGGTGCTGAACCACAGTACCACAACGAGAGCGTCCTGAAGAAGTACGGACCCAAGCTGCTGGTCGGAACCGTGAAAGAGGATGCGAAGTTGTAGATCCCGGGAGGGATGGAGCGAAGCATGGAAGCGGCTGGGTGACGAACATCGGAAGAATCGAGAGTGTCGAACCGTCCCAATATAGAATCCGGGACCGTCGGGATCAAGACTTGAAGCGGCTTTTTGGCGCGTGCCAGGCGACCGGTTGTTATATCGCATGCGCTTGGGAACTCAGGAGCGAATATGGTGCAATCTGTACACTGTATGGCTAGACGGACGATACATCTAAGGGCATTGCCTGTGGCATGGTGTAAGATTTCTTCTGCATAGACGATTCATAAACATGACCGCCTTGAATGTCTACCGTTTACTCAACATCGCTGGCCCGTTGTGAATGTGGACATCGGTGCCTCGAGAAATCAGAGCAAGAATATCCGCAAAAATCATTTATGATACCACAGAGGGCATCGCATATTCGGCCACTAATGCTCGCTAACGGTATACATACATCCACGGTCCCGAAGGTTGTAGAATGTCGCCCTCAAACTCCGAAAGCAAATTAAGATGCTTTAACCATGTTGACGGCGGCCACTCCACGATGTCCCATTCCATCCCTTACAAACGCCGTAAAGATGCAGTGATAATGGAAACAGAAACCAACTCCAATCCCGTCAACCCATTTGGCCCTGGCAAAGCGAAAGGCTGGTGTGACGGGGAAGATACCGACCCCAGATGCGTAGGAAAAGAAACGAAAACAGAATAGAGAAGAGATGAACGATAAAGCAGATGGAAAAGAAACAGCCCTCCATAACAGTCGTATTCGAACATCAGTAGAATTCGCCGAGCCGACGAGTCGTCTTCGATTGCGATAAAAGGGTTCGGCACCACGATCCCCTACGATTTTCACGATTTGAAAGCACCGTCTAACTTCCTCAGCGCTCTAGTATCCTCCCCAAAGCCATTGCCTGCCCCGAGGAACGACATATCCCTCGATCCTAACCGTTGCGCGCTGTTGTTCGGACTCTTGCTCCCCGCGCGACTCCCGCCTCCGTGATCGCTCTTCGCATCGGCACCGTTCGTCACCTCGGGCATCTGCCCGTTGATCAGCGCCCCGATGCTGGGGATGGTTTTCGTCGGGGCCACTGCTCCGTTGGTGGTCGATGTATTGGACGGAGAGGGAAGCGCCAGTGATTCGGCGGCCGCGGTGGAAACCGCCTTTGTAGGAATCGGACCGTTGGTCGATGATGGTGGCGGTGGCGGAGTGAGCGGCTTGTGGTTATTTGTAGTCCCGTTGGAAGCGGCGCTCACCGCTGGAGCATGGGCGTGCGTACTCGACGCTGGAAGTTCAGGGCGCCGTTCCATGGTGCCGTAGGGGTTCTGTGCAGGCCCTGGCCCACCCGGAGCACCAGCCATGGGCGACGCGGAGGTTCGGTAGTGGGGGAGATATGAATCTGAAGACAAGGCTGCGTGACCATTGGGTTGGGGAGCCATCGTGCTAGGAGTTGGGGGTGGAAGGGAAGGATTCGCGAGGGGAGGAGGCGGTCGATCGAACTGTGTGGGTCCTTGAGGATGGTATGGATGTCCGTAGAACTGTGCGATCGAGACGGGGGAATGATGAGGTCCGGGGTGGAAGATGGCGTACTGTGTTGGAGGGGTCCCGCCTGGACTTCCCGCCCAACCGGGGGGCGCGTAGACCTGAATCAAGCCTGGAGGCGGATGACCGTATGGTGAGCCCATGCCCATGTGTGGATGAGTTTGTGCGTAAGGCGACCCAGGCATTGGCCCTCGCGTTACTGCGGGCATGTTTGGAGTCTCGCTGACGGAAGCCTCTGGGTACATGCCCTTTTGCGGTCGGATGGTTCGTAAAGCCGGATCGCTAGATGGTTGTTTGAGGGGTTGAGCTGTGGGTTGTGATCGGGAGTAATAGCTGATGAGATGCAAATGCTGTCCGCTGTTCGTCGTGAGGCTAAACGATTGTTTCATCAACCCATCGGGCTTGTAGCGATATCCATCCGGTCCCTCATCCGGATCGTGATCTTCGGATTCGCCGTTCTTCGGTTCCTCTGGACTTGTCCTTCCCGTTCTTCGAGGAGGATGGCTGCCCGTATATCCGTTCCCGCCTCTTTTGCCCTCCATCTCTCGGTATGTGAGGAAACTACCGGAAACTCGGCTGGCGCTCCATGATTTTCCATCGGTCCATCGGCGCATACCCGCTTCCCGCTCATCCCAGACGAACACAGATCCGGACTTGATCTGTTGGCGCTCTTTCTCCGATAATCTTCGCTGAACTCGGGGCAACAATCCTAGTCGGCAAGCCTCAAAGAGGATTATCGCATCTTGAGGTGTCCGCACATGTCCGTGGTAGGTCTCCATGGCGGTCGTCTGTGGCGCGTGTATGATGGTGAAATAAGATGCGGTCGAATCGTTATGATTGTTCGGTCAAGCGGGTGATGACTTCAATGCCTGTATGAAGACATCGACTCTATAGGAATTGTGTTAGTGAAAGGTTGGGTATAGTGAATGTGTGGCAAAGCACAACTTGGACGTCGCGTAACGATGGGGTTGTGAAATAGAATTCAGCACCTTGGCTGTGGGTCCCCAAGGCCACTGTGTTATGGGAACAGTAGACGATGGGTGTATTACCTTCTTTGACCTGTCAACTGAAGTAGAGGGTAGCGGTCCTGTATTGTTGTTGCAATAGAGATTCTAACAACCGAACGAAGGAGGAGACCTGGTGTGGATCAAGTGATGATGGGACGGTAGATTCCGAGATCGCGGTTCAAGGAGTAACACCGGTTATAGTCTTGATAAGGATAGGAAATGCGCACTCGAAGTCGATGCGCATTTCATCGAAAGATCTAGGTGAGGGTGGTGTACGGAGTCGATGTCGTAAGCGGTGGGCGTATCGAATGGGATATTTAGATATCAGGAGATGGAGGAGAGCGATCAAAGACCCGTCGATGCAAGGAATAAGTGGAAAGAAGATGGGACCTGGGGATGAGATACATTAGATACAGGCAATAGAAAATCCTATAGGGATATGGGTTGGAGTAGTACCCAATATGGTATCTTAATAGCAGGATAAGAGGAAGACTGGGGCGAAGTGTCTTATTCGGCAGTGCAGGGGGACAGTCACTACGGAGGGACAGAGAGGGAGAGCCAGAGCGCGATGATGGGGGGTGGTCTACCGGTCTTCCACCGTCCATCCACTCATTATCTAGTCTTGGCTCCTCTTGTCTCCAATCACTAGGATGGAAATAGTCCATCATTCATTTTGAGTGCCGAGTTGCGGGACGGAGGTCACTAGCGCCTATTCCGCAACTGGGCACGACTGGGAAGTGGGAAAGTAAGGTGCCTGGACAAGCTTTTTGTTGGCGTCGAACGCAAAATCTGCACCTTAACTGTATTTTCTCCTCCGCCCCGCCCGTTCATCTCGTACACCCTAATACTAAATACACAGAACACTCATATTATTAACTCATACTTGAGTGACAAGGATTCACCAATTCAGATGGTAGTACACTGTACAGTGTACACTGTACGGTCAGGCGTGAATCGGCTGGTTGGTACAACTACAGTCACAGTCCACAGACTACAGGTCCTCCTACCGTGTCAGGTATCAATCGGTACCAGTGGTCTTCGATTAGATGATGACTGACTGCCATGCGCTTGCTCACGCCTTGCTGTGTCACTTCGTGGCAGTGCAACGATACTAGCAACTTTAAACGGCACTACGACAAATAGTGTGTACGCTTCTGCACCTTTAACACTCTCCAAGCCTCAAGCCAAGTCCTGGTCTCTTGATAGTGGATCTAGTCTCCGCCTCGACCATCATCCATGTGTCGAAACTCAAATGTCCAAAAACTCTCAAAAGCCACGTCGTCCTCTTAGCCCATCATTTCCGCAGCCTTCCGCAGTGAGAGATTTTCACTGCTGAGTCTTGACCATTGACGCGCCGTCATCAAGACGACAAGAACAGGGGGGATTGTGCTTCATTCAATATCAGCTCGGTGTAAGATGAAAGTAGTGATGGAGACAGATATGGCAATTCGGTTACGAAATACGAACTGATTACTCCGCATTCATTCTTTGTATGACCACGAACTGGAACATGCTTCGTCTGGGCTCTTGCTTTCCTCCAATATTTAATGCATGTCCATTCGGAGGGGATCTGCCTTACCGGAGGTTTCGCTCAACCTGCCTCATCATCAGACCATCCATGTCCAACTGTCCACTCCATCGGACATGATTCGTCGTATCCAACCTTGTGGCACAATGTACACTGAGGCTTGGGCTTGCGGCTGGCAAGCAGTCAATGAGAGCCAATCCACCCATGGCGTCAACCGGCGTATAAGAGCCGTAATTTCTGGCTAAATTCGTGTTTGCTATTCCAGCCTCTTCTCACCGCTTAGCGGAAGTGGTTTAGTGCACGATCAATATGCATGTATGACCAGCGCTGGCGTCCAGAAAGGCATGGACAAGGTCGTCCATCAAGTTACGGTCTACGGATCATCCGGGCTATTGAACTTCCGAGCGCCATCGCGTACCTATTTTGAGCATGAGGGAGGATGGCAAGGCCTAGACCTGGTTGGACTATTCCAATCGTCTCGACCCTGGCTTACGCCCGATTCATATCCGGTCAGAATATTGATGAGTGATGATTGATATGTTTGGTTTCACTGGAGCCTGAAGGGCTTTCGGAGCTCAGATAACAGAAGCTGACAGGAGCCAACTTTGGCAGGAATGAAGAAACGGGTCTTCGGACCAATTCCTATTTCAGATCAGCCGATGACGAACCGCCATGGACAAGGCGCCGAGCTTTTCCCATGAATGATCCCAGGCCTGAAAGCAGGGGATGAGGAGGTATGGAGATCGCTCCATCTTTGTCTCTACACAGTAGTCCCAAAGCAGAAGGGGAATAAGATCGTATGTATTCCTCGATCCGAAGTCCACAGAATCGTACTGATACCGAGGAATGAATCCAAAAAGCTTCTTCCTGATTCCTTTCGTGAAACAACACCCCCCCTCCAAGCCATGCGGCATGCACCTTCAAGACAGACCTTCAAAGTCCAAGCAAGGGTTTGGCATTTCGCATTTGGGATAGATTGAAGCCAAGCTGCACAATCGCTTCTTAGCGTCTTGGAGTCTTCGGTTCTCAGAACTCAGCAGGAAAAGCCGACCGCCAGAGACCGTTCACGGTCGCCACGGAATAGCGGAAGAAGGCATTTGGCATTCCATCCGAAGCACGATCACCGATCCGCCATTCATTGCCCATTCAGAGATTTAGGGCATGTTAGGGCACTAAGGGCACCAAGGGCACCAGTGTACCGCACTTTTCGCTTCGAACTTCCGAAGATCTTACTATCTTGGTCGACCAAAAACTGGGGGGTTTGACGGGCGGACGGGCGGGGTTCAGCCAGGGGCCAGATAAGCTCATTAAGCATAAACTCATTTCCGCATCTCGGCTGCGATGGGCATCACACTGTTCACACACCTTATTACCTTAATCATACGACTGCCCGTCTGCCCCACACGCCAGAGGTTCAATATTAATATGGCGGCTTGGGTGCGCACTGTTCAGTGTTCAAATCTCCGTGACCATTGCGAACTTACTCCTCGGTTCTAGGACGAGACCAGCAGTCGGATGAAGAGAAACTCGATAATACCTCAAATCGCCTCAAATCGGGGCCACCTATCAACAAGCCACTCTCCGTCAACGCATCGGTCTCCGTGTCGCTTTTGTCGGTGCGAACTAATGGATGGGTTGGCAGATTGGCACCGGTCGTGCAGGAACAGGGCAGCATCTCAGGGCCTCAGCATTCAGCAAGCCTTGGCTAGGTAGGGAGGGGGGACGGCGAGACAACAAGAATGCGCAATTGCTTCGCATTTTTAATATGGGAGAGCATCCGATCCGGGAATTCGAGCACAATAATGAATGGGGTTCCCTGTTCCCTGTGGCATGTGGTGTTTGCTAATCTCATTGCAATACGACCACTACCGAGGGTGGCGTGCCAAACTGGCATGCCTCACTCTCAAGCCTCAGGTCGCAGCATCGCCCTGCGCGATGTCCCAGAGAATATGGATGATGAAACCAAAGGGAAATCGAACGAGATCCGAGGGCCGTGGGGCAAGTCATCCCTGGGAAGTATAGCCTGAAGGTTCTTGTCGAGGTGCCTGAAGTCCAGCTGCCTATACGAAACTGCTAGTCCTACGAAGAACATCTACAAGTTAGCTTCTTTTTTCATTCTCGTTGATCATTCGTAATTGGTATCTCCCTTCACCCGTCACCCTTGTCCCTGTGCGAGTTTTCCAATCTGCATGTTGATTGTTGATTGTTGACTGTTCCCTGGGTTCGGGTCGGGCCATATTGCGCTTCGTTGTCAGGGTGGACATTGTTCTCTTTCTCGATGGCTTCAAGTCCAATTTCTCTATAGTAAGATCATTGCATATTAATATAGGATCCCTGGCCTTGCTTTCAAACCTCAGAGCGTCATTCCGAGCAAACTGTTTTAGGACCAAGGATATATTGTCCCTGCACGATCTCAACCCATTCATACATGATGTTTTCTCCTCTCAGTCTCCACACGAGTTATGAAATTGCTCAATCGACGACACAGTTGTTTTGATTCCATTGTACCTCGGGTTGATGGCAGGTAGAGTTCACAGCTCAGAACATGGCACTGGAGCAAAATACTTAGCCAATGTCCATCGAAACGGTAAAATGCTTACCTGCCATACGTAACCTGGACAGAATTTGACAGAATTTGACCGATTTGGCAAATAGTCGAAGCCAATGTACGCAAATTAGGGCGTCAACTTGCGCCTTTCGGTGATGTATTGAGCTCATAATGTCTCCTTGGTATTTGTCGTTCATGTCATCCTGTTGTTCTACCGCAATTTCCACTTTATCAAAGCCTGTCTCGTCGTTATGTGTGCGACGCAGGTCTGAAAGACCTCAATCAAGTTGGTTCGATTTTCAGATCCTCAGTTTGGTCTGCACGATTGATTAGGAGACATAATTTAACACCCTTGACAATCTCTTCATTGGGGTTCACAAACGACCCAAAGCAAGCTTGAAATTAAGGTTAATCTTAGCTTTGAAAGTTATATTGCATGACAAATGACATGGCAGACCCATCGAGATTAATCGTTTGGAAAGAGGTATGGCTATCAACTTGAGAGGGAACCGCTGGTGTTGTCCCTCGTTTTAGTCCTTTCACCGGGGCCCAGATCACTTCCAGTAGATCAAGGGCAAGGATTGGGGTTGAACTCGAGCAGAAGCGAGGTTGGGTTCGCTACAAATGTCCAAAACGAAACGCCAAACGAATTGAGCAAGTCTGGCTGGTAGGAATGTTTCCCAATGTCAATTGATCTTGAATTGTACATTATATTATATGAGAAATCGTCTATGGCGAGTATCTTCCGTATTGATATTGACCACCGTCTATCTTGCAGTAGTTCTATAACGGTCTCATAAGATGACCTGCTGGACCGGTAATTATGTCGCCTTGCCTATCGCAAAGCACCTAGACTCCATAAACCAAACCCGGAGCACAGTACATAGTAGTTTCATGGTACAGATAGAGGGGAAATAGGAACGCTCGATTGAATGGCAACAATTCCCTGTCTGTCCGGTGAGTGCCTTATCAGCCCTATAGTTTCCCATCGCCCCTTTCAACGCCGTCGATGGGGCGACGCTCTCTGTTCTCCTTCGCCCTCAATTTGATCGGTATCTGCATCCTCTGCTACCCCTTCCCAAACCTCCTCGTCCCCGTCATCTTCGTCCCTTTCAAGTCCTTCAACGTCGCTCAGCCTTAACGCTTGCTCTTCTCGATCATCGTCTTCATCGTCATCCCCATCATCATCTCCAAACTCGTACTCAAAATCGTCTACGGACATCAAACCCAATTCACTTGGATCAATGGCCCAGTCGTTTCCACCGTAAGCTGCAATACCCTGGTTAATACTCCCTCCGCCGCTATTACTCCCGATAGCACTCCCACTTCCCCTCCGCAAATACCCACCTCCTGGCCCCGAGAACGGAGTAGCATAAGCACATGGAGTAATGCTCCTGATACTCCTCCGGCGATTCCCACCGCTGCTTCCGCTGATCCGCGTTTGTCCTCTCACTGCGCTGCGTGGTGCATAGCCCCGGGTGTATTGGCCTGGCGTGCTCGCGAGCACTGCCACCGGGACGGTCGAGACGGAGCCGGACGTGGAAGGCCTGACAGGTGGGTGAGCAGGTTCGTCGGGATTTCCAGAGAGGTCCTTCGGATCGTCAAATTCATATGCAAAATCGTCCGACGCCTCGGGGCCAGGGTCATGTGAGCGGGCAGGGGTTGGAGCCCAGGCAGCGCCGGAAAAGCCGGTAGAATCTGCACGGCTATGACGAGAGGGACGCGAAGGCATGGCATAATCGGGCTGTTGAGCAAATTGGAAGGGAGAACTGGGAGGTTCGATCGGGTCTAACATGGCGAAATCATCACCAAGCGCTCCCTCTAGACGACGGCGCTTGGCTTTTCCACGCTTGAGAGGGGAGAGCTGGGATGATGGTCGCGCTATTCCAGACGTCTTGAGAGTCGGGGGTCCAGCTTCACCGAAAGAGGCGATCCGACGTTCGGGTTGCTGGAGGTGAGAATTGACCGCAAGTGGATCGGAGACGGTTCGCAGGACTCTGGGTGTGGTCAAGGGAGGGAACTCTGAGATCGGGGTGATTGGATGGAAGACTCCTTGTACATCTTCAGACATGCCGGTTTCCTTCGAAGACCGGAGTCTCTCTGGTTGAGGATAGAGCATGCTGGATTTCCCTTCATCAATTTCCACACTGTACTGGTCGTTGTGGCTGCTGTTAGGCCGGTGGGAGAACGACCCCGACGCATGGGAAGCAAATGAACTCTGGTTGCTCGGAACGGGATCAAGACTCGGGTGATATGCCCAGCACGCCTCCTTCGCGTCTGCCTCTGCGACATGCCCGACTGAGGCCTCGTCTTCGTGTTGCGCGAGCTCCTCGTTTTGGAGCTCCTCGTTTTGGTATATACGAGGAAGCTCCCGAAGCTGTTGCCATGTCCACCCACCAGCTTGATCTTCCTTGTCTTGGCGATAGGCAGCGTTATGAGTCACAAATAAGCGTTTCTTGCCAGATCCACGCATCATGATGCCGGAAGCTAGGAATTCGGCTGTCCAAAGGGCGGATGTGACCATTTCCCCAGGCGAGAGGAAACGTAGTCGTGAGGACCTGTGAATCTTGCGCAAAGGGATGGTCTTTGCGAGCAGTCCAAGTGTTTCATCCTGGCCACGGGCTTCTCGCGCTTCACCGTCAAAGGGACCTTTGCCTGCAATTGCGATCAAGACATCACCGAGAGCCTTCTCGATGGCAGTTGAGACTTCGCGAGCTCCAGGACTGGTAAGAACGACATCGCAAATCAGGCCTCGACTCCGAAGGCGCTTGTATACGATTCCGCTGGTGTTGCAAGCTTTTCCATATAGCAACTCGCCTTCACCCTCGACCCAGCCTTGGATCGCTTGACTGCTCCATCCACTTGACTTCGGCTCGTGGAGGGATGAGATGCGACTGGTCGATCGCAAACCCCGAGATTGGGCCCATTCCTCCGATTCTTGTGTGGTATTCGCGGTATGCTGCTTGAAGTCTCGAGCAGCAGCCCAGACCCCTCTTAGATCTTGGCCCCAGGGCAGGAAGACTACTTCGATTTCCCATGGGGCTTCGAAAGAAGGGGGAGCTGACGTCTCAAGAATCTGGAGACGGTCTTCGACATCACGGAGTTTCTCCTCGGTTTCGGCTGCATCCATCGCAGCAGAACTTGTGAAAGATACCAATGCTGACCCGGTTGAGCCATTATTGCTCGCTCTTTGCCAAAGCTGCTGATCATGTTCGACATCGAGCGAAACCAGTCTCCGGTCATGGTCGTCCTGCTTATTCTCGATTTCGAGAAGGCGTGAGTCAAATTGGTCGAATTTTTCCTCGACTTCTTCCGGATGGACCACGGAGAACGACGTCGTCTCGAGCGCTTCCACTCGGTTCTTGAGGCTCGTAAGCGACGTGGAGATGCTGGGGTATTTCTTGATATGGTCGTCGAGGGAGCTCAGCAATGGAGAGAGCTGGAGAAGAAGCGAGGGCAGTCGTTTTACGGCAGCCTGGAATGACTGACTGTGCAACGGCTGAGATCCAGATGCAGCCTTGGTGTCTGTCTGATGGCCTGGCGGACTAGTCTGGCAAGTATTTTCAGATAACGTTGCGGCAACCGTTTTGGCTTCCTGGAGCGTCTGAAGAAAGTTGGTTAAGTCCGGGGTATTGGTATTGCCTGTGGTCGCGAGATCCGCCGCGTCCTGGATGACTCCATCCCAGTCGATGTCCGGAAGAGCTGTCGTAACATCGAAAGACGGAAGCACTTGCGTGGGGCCAATAGCATCCTGCATCAAGGCTGGATCAAGTCCAAGATCTAAAGTTCTCCCATCGGCAGACAAATGATTCGTGGAAGGCACAGGCGAGTCAGGAACAGTCGGTGTTGGAGTTCCATGTAGAGCCCCTGGAATCATCAACCCCAAGCCTTGATTTGCAGCGATGTTTCGTGAGCTGGAAAGAATACGCCGTTCGCTCGCGAGATCGTTCGGGGGGAATCCCATCTGACTAGCAGGTCGTAACTCGTCGGAGTTGAGGAGGTATTCTGGCGGGATCGGGGGGAACTCGGAGTAGAGCGAAGTGTTACGACTTCCTTGCGATATCCTAGAGGCAGCATCGTCCTTTGCAAGTGCGTCTTTCCGCCCGTACAGACTCTCAGTGGCATTGCTCTGCGATGTCCGATAGCGTCCGGTATTTTGGGTACTAGGGATCGAGACCTGTCGTCGATTCGAGTCGAGTCCCAGAACACTCACCACCTGCGAGCCGACCATCAGCTGTAGGCTTCCATCTCCCTTTGACGGTTGTAGCTGCACGTAGATCGGCGAGCGCTCGGGTGGCTTTAAATGCGGACTGCCGACCGGATTGGACTGGCCGGCAGCGTTCTTGTGAAGTGGACTCCGTTCGGAGGTATCATGGAAGCATGCATGATGTCGGCAAGCGCACCATGTCTCGCCTTGTGACTGCTTGCTCGGTCCTTCGCTGCCAGACGCATGCTGCGGTCCTCCATTGCTCCAGAAGCGCCTACAACCACACGCGGGAGCTTTGGGGCCAGCGTTGATGTCTCGATAATTGCATGGCCCTTGAGGGAGCAGCGATGCATGCCTCACAGGTGTATCGTGAAGTTCTGATTGCCTAGGATCGGACGAAGGGTGACGGGCGAACGCCGCCATGGGCGGCTAAGGACTGCCACCAAGCGGATTCGACTTTCAGCATGAGAAAGCGATGCGTGGAATTCGTATATCGGATTAGTTTGCTTTCTAGTATTCGCAGATACGGGTCAGCGAGTCTTCATGAGATTCGAGGGTCGGTCTACGGTGAAGTACATAAATCTCCAGCTTGCATTCGTAACGTTCCATTAAGAACGGAATTCTTTCGCGAGCAATTGGCATCGATTGACAGGTCGCACGGGAAAACCAAGCTTAGAATGTGATCTATCGACAACGGAAGGTCGGTTTCCACTGAGTGACCTGTTTCAACGCTCAAACTTGAAGGTCCAACGAACTGGTTGACAGCGGGGAGCTGGGTATTTAACAGAACTGAAACGAAAGGGATGCTACACAGAATGAAGAAGAAGCGGAAAGATTTGGAGGGCGTAGATTTTTGCTGCCTCCAGATGGGCAAGATGCCTCTCTCCTCTGCCCTGCAGGAGTGTTTCAACTTTCAAGGATGCGGGATGTTTACTGCAGGGCTAATACCGTTATGGTGGACTGGAGCGCGGAAGCTTGCCGCGAACTAGTCTTCGAGGTATGATTGGACTACGATGTGAAGGCATGCGACTCACGGTCGCAGATTTCTGGGGTTGGACGGCGCCTGGACGAGTTGCAGTCGAGAATCGAAATGCGTTCCGGCCGAGAGAGCGGACGTGTCAGCCTGGAAGTATAATACAGATTCAAGCCGATCTTATTCGACTGGTGGATTGGATAAACATCCCCGGCCAAGGCGGCCAGTGAGTGGATTTAGTGAACGGCCTCCAAAATCCTCAATAAGTTTCCAAGACAACGGAGTCACTGCGACGGGTGACGAAGGACCTACCCTGGTATCCGTAGTAATTAATACTGTTATGATTGGATGATGGTTGGTTTGGGGAAGATGGAGGATATGCGGAAGATGGACAAGTGACGAGGCGCGCGGGGTGATGGTGTCTGTGCTGTGCATACGCCATACGGTTAATACAGTATCTGGTGCTGCGTGACTCATCACCTGCTGCCTGCTATCGAAATGCCGTGATAGCCATAATGAAGCCAGGCCATTCTGGACACAGATGAGCAGCTGCTCTGGTCCTGCAGAGCGCGGAAACATGGCAGGTGAAGGGCTCTAGGTACCCCAGGTGTGTGAAAATATTAGGTATGTACCCCAAACTGAAGATATGGTATTATTATCATCGCCATCGACCGGTACATCCATGCCTGAACACAGGGTCATGTACAAGATCTTTAGAGGAAAAGGAAAAGCAAGAAAATATTATTCCGTATATTGGTAAACAACGTAAACACATCCGGATCGCCGTGAAAGTCATCATCATCGTCGTCGTGAGCCGGAATGGGAATTCCCTCCCATTAGCAGATTCTCCGTTAACCTATGAAATACCTTACCTGCCCTTCCTCTGCCCGATAGTAAGTCCCCAAACGAATCTTCACCACCCTCAGGCTTCCGTTGGCCATCCGAGTCGAACCTTGGCGGCAGATCGACTGTCTCATCCGAGTCCGAAGCAGGCGACCGAGACCGCGTCCGTTTTGCCTGTGCGTCATCGCTGCGGTGTCGGTATCCCGTCTCGGTAGCGGACTCGTCGTAATCGCTGTCGTTGGCGCCGCGTCGCTTCCGCGGATTCACCGCGTCGGGAGTGGTATCAGCAGATGGGGGTAGATCGAACTGGACCGTTTTTTCTTTGGATGGCGACGTTGCACGAGGCGTGGTCCCGCCCGTCGGCATGTCCACATTTAAGGCTGCTAAACCATCTATATGACCGGATCAGTATGGATTGTCACGGCGGTTGGAGTGCAGGACAATTGCACCCACCAGTGACGGAATGCATGGAGTCGGGTGTGGCACTCACATTTTCAGGACCTCGATACCCTGGCGCTTGATTATATGGAGGCTGTTGCGGTGCCGGATATGGATCCTGAGGCGGGAGATTGACCCCAGGTGGACCATAGTCTGCAGGATTATATGGCGGCTGGTTTCCGTAAGCTGGTTCTCCAAAGCCGGGATTTGGCGGTGGGTATTGCGGCGCCGCATTGGGTATGTGTTGAGGATACGGAGCCCCTGTACCTGGTGGTGGAGGGGCAAATTCATTGCTATGAGGGTAATAAGGTCCAGGAGGAGGCTCTTGATATTCATTCGGGGGGGAGAATGTTCCGCTTGAGACCGTATCGTCGTCACGTTGGCCTAGAGAAATTATTAGCTCCTGATTTGCATCGCCATGCGAATACGTACGATCGCGCTCTTTTTCTGCCTTCTTTCGCTCTCTCCGCTTCGTGGCTTCATGCGCAGCGAAACCTGCTGCCCCGGCTGCCCCGGCTGCAAGCGCAGCCTTGCCCATACCGCGACTTTTCGATCGTTTTCTCCCATGTCGATGACCGGAGCTTGACCTCGACGAACCCCGAGATTCAGGTCGACTACGATCGGAATGGACCACAATCGGATCACCGCCGTATTCTATAAGATTCCCGTCACTCGCCGTTGCGCCTGCGGGTGCGGAGAATACCGACCTAGATCTTGATCTTGACCGGGACAGTGATCGGGTTCGTGAGACCGAGCGAGACCGAGATCGGGACGCCTTCGCCTCCTTGCGCTGTCTCACTTTCTCATAGAGACCCGCTGCTGCCGCACTTCCAAGCCCACCAAGGACGACAGGAATGCCTTGCCGAACCCTGCTCTTGCTTCGTGATCGCCCCTTACGAGAGCGGCTCCGCTTACGTTCGGCGAGAGCCGCCAACCCTGCACCAACCAGTCCGGCCTGAGCAACACGCCGGTTCCGGTGTTCCGGGTCCATATGTTTGCTGGTGGATCGGCTTCGAGGTGACTCATCCTCTGTGACCGATGCACGACGACGACGAGAACGGCTTCGACGTTCGTCAGTCTTGTTATTGTTGTTACGTGTCGCCGCGTATGCAAGCGCTCCGATGGCCGCAAGACCACCGACCGCCGCCAACGTCTTCCCTCGAGAAAGGCTACGGTGACGGTGATGGTGATGATGACTACGCGGTCCATCCCAAGACCGAGATCGAGACCGCATATGGCTGCGAGCTCGATTCAAAGCTTCTGCACCAACCGCACCCGCAACGCCGTAGCCAAGCATTTGGCCTGCACGAGAGCCTGCTTCGCCACCTTTCTTCTTGCGATGATGGCGGACCAACGCTGCAGCACCAAGCCCAGCCGCGGCGCCTTCAACCCAATGACGTTTTCGATGAGGGCTTTCACTGTCCCATGATTCTTCTCGTCGAACGATCACAACGTCATCACTGCTATGGGATCGGTCCCGTCTACGCCCTCGCTCTTCGACATATGACTCACGCGGGCCTCTGTCGACTTCACGAGTGGTGCGCTCATAATAATAATCTTCCTCTCGGCGAGGTTCGCGTCGTGCCATTTGCCGGTCATCCACCGCCTCCGATCGCTCGATCATCTCGTATGGCTCATCTCTCTTTACAATGATTTGCTGAGGTCGAGTTTCTTGGATGATGATCGGTTGCGGTTCCGACTGGCGGATGACGATGGGTTGTGGAGGAGGCTCGGGGCGGGAGAAGTATTCGGTGGACTTGGAGTATCGTTGAAGGTCGTAGGGCGAGTCGTGGAGCCGATCGGGATCGCGTTCGAAGCGGAACTCTTTCACTCGTTCCGACGACGACGACCTGCTACGATCCCGCTCGACGCGGATTTTCGTCACATCGCGCCTCTCGCGCTCTCTCTCACGGGGAATCTCGTCGCGTTCGATATCTCGTTCCACATAGCGGAAGGAGCGCACAGAAGCGCGTGGGTCGTCGTCACGGCGGTCATCTCGGTCTGATTCCCGCCGAGTGATGCGAATCTCTTCCTCTTCACGAGTGTCGTCGTGCGAGTGATCGGGGACTCGGTACTTTGTGACGGTCGTGTAATGACGGCCGCCATCGTCTCGGTGGGATCTTGTGTCCCAGCTCCGGTCACGATCCCAATCACGGTCGCGACGATCGTAGTCGCGGTCATATTCGTAGTAACGGTCCCGCTCGATGGTAGACATGGTGAAGGAGGCTCCGACGTAAGAGGTGAGGCACTTCGACCCAAGCGATTTGCACCCTTATGTTAGGCTTGGGTTTCCGGTTGGGTTCGGATCGCTTCGAAATCACACTTGTTCAAGTATATCCGGAGAGATCGGCAACGTTGACTGCGCACCAATTTCAGACGACTACAGGTAGGCTAATGGGATCGGATGCTCGCGCAAGGCGGGGCGAATAATCGGCGCAAGCAGCAGGTAATATAAAAAGGTAAGGCGAAAATGAGGTAGGACAGAAAAAGGTGCGAGGTCAGGTGGATATGAGGCACAAGTTAGAGGGCAAGCAAGGCTGGATCGGAATCAGCGCTGTGAGAAGTGGGCTTGGACTTGGGAGGGGAGGGGAGGGGGGGGGGAAGTCATGTAATCAGGATGCGTGCCGGCGAGTGGCTGGTCAGGGGTGGTGACAGGAATGCACAGCAGACAGCAGTTTGAACCTTGGGGAGGAGGGATAGACAGGGTTCGGGGGCCGGAACAATGACACTTGATAATACTTCTGTAGCATTTGAAAAGAGATGGTGCATTAGGGGAGAGAGGGAGACTCATATGTGTGAAGTGACTCAAGGGAGAGAGAGTGAAGACCGTCAGAGACAAGAGAGAAAGAGAGGGGGGAGGGAGTGCCGGAAATAGGGGGTATTAGGGGTGAGATTTCTATGATTGTTATGAATATTATTGAATAATGAACCAAGCAAGGAAAACACGCCTGGTGACGTCGTCTGGTTCACATCAACCCCTCCCTCCTGGGTCTCTCGTCCTCACAGCCTCAAACCGTCCCTCTGCTTTCACTCTCGCTGTCGCTCAGAAACATGGAATATGAACCATCGGAAATCGGAGTGTGATGTTACTTAAGATGCCTCTTCATATCCAGGTCGGTATCCTGATGTCCAAGAGCAAGAAAGGGTCCATCAGTTCGGATCGTGCCAACCGCCAAACATCAGGCATCATTGGAGCCATCAACCATCAGATATGGGTGGAACATGAACGATGAATGGCCCTCAGGCCTCAGGGTACAGCTGCTGAGTGCTAATTGGACTAGAGAGCCTCACGCTGGTTCGGGTCATGTAGTGTGCCCGGTCAGTGTCCTGTGGTGAGCAAAGTGGGCACAAGGCATCGACGCCCAGCCCGGTGATGATGCGCCCTATCCAGTTCATCGGCAATGGTCACGGAGGAGAATCATTCATATCAACCGAATTCTTGATAGCCACGAGCTCCATGTTGGACAAGGAAACGCATCTCACATTTCCCTTTCGAGCTTGGTGCTTGCCGATTGTAAATTAATTTGTGGTGTGCTGCTAGGGTCCATCATCGCCACTGAAAACAATACGATGCCAGTACGGAGTATATACTGTGCTGGTAGATAGCTGGAAAGGAAAACCAGGACGCTCGACGCACAAATCCAACGCCAACTATGCAACCTTCCAGGGTATGACTTCCAGAAACTCGGCCAGACGGTTGGCTATTGATATATGACCGGATCATGGCCAGGAAGTAATGCAAAGGGAGACCGGTCTGGATGATTGAGCTCCTTCCGGCCGCTAGGTCGAAGGCCGGCCTTGTGCGACTGCATGTCCGCATAGAAATTTCGGCTGCTTCTCCTCTCACATCAATCCAACTCAGCCGGATGAGACCACTATATCTCAACAAAACGCTTGAACGCCGGTGATGGCGCGACCCAGGATGAGGGCTAGTTACACCGATTAGCAAACCATTCCCAACTACATCTTCGCGAGGACTTACCATGAATATCGCTCTGTCCCTCGTATGTTTGGGTGACGAATAGATTCGCCACATGTCTGCCAATGTGATACTCATCGCTCGCCGCGTTGCCGCCAAATATCTCCTGCAGCCTGGGGGATGTCAGATTCGACAGCCTTCTTAGGTTCAATGCTTTACTCACACTCGGGCATTCACCAAGGCTCGGTCGCAATTTTGCCTCTTGATCATCGAAATCATTTCGGGCGTGGCCAGCCCTTGATCTTTGAGACGCGCGACCTGGGCAGCAGCAAGAATTCCGAACGCGGCATCCGTAGAGGCATCCGCCAGCTTCTTCTGTATCAACTGGTACTTGGCCAGTGGATTTCCCTTGAACTGTTTCCGGTCTAGAGAGTACGTCCGCGCCCGGTCGATGCAATCTTCAAGCGCACCCATGACCCCCCACGCGATGCCGTGTCGGGCGGAGTTCAAGCAGCTGAACGGTCCTGTCAAACCCTCGATATCGGGAAACATGTTGGCTTCTGGCACCGGACAGTCATCCATCTGGATCATGCCGGTAATGGATGCTCGCAGACCGTTCTTGTGTTTCAACGCTGGGGTCTCCAGCGTTCCCGGAGGGCATTGATCTCTCTCGATCACGAAACCCCGAATCTTGCCTGTCTCTTGCAACTTTGCCCAGACCAGGAAAACGTCTGCGATGGGCGAGTTCGTGATCCAGGTCTTCGATCCGGATAGCGAGTAGTACCCCTTCTTGGAGGGATGCGGCTTGGCCACCGATTCCATCGATCCAGGGTCCGAGCCATGGTTCGGTTCCGTCAAGCCAAAGCACCCGATCTTCTTGCCTTTGGCAAGGCCGGGAAGGAACTTTTCCTTTAGCTCTTCAGTGCCGTGTTCATGAATCCCACCCATGACCAGAGAGCTCTGGACGGACATAGCGGAGCGGTAACCGGAGTCAACGCGCTCGACGGCACGGGTAATCAGACCGGACGCGACGCTGCTGACGCCCGCGCACTCGTAGCCTTCGATTGTAGCTCCCAGAAGGCCCAATTCTCCCATTTCCTCGAGAATCTTGGCATCGTAGTCCTCATTGCGATATGCATCTAGTATGGTCAGCGAAATCGAAGGATTCTAGCCAAGGTTGGACAATACCAAGGACGCGGGGTAACATCCGCTCTTGACAGTAGGATTCCGCAGTCTCAGCGATAGCCAATTCATCCTCCGTGAACAATGCGCTCGCCTTCAATGGATCCTTCCAGTCGAAAGCGGTTGCGGAGCTTGCGTGCCGAAGGGGAGGATGCACGAGACCGGACGATCGCTTGCCCAGTTGGCGGGATGCCTGTCGCAACGCTGGCTTGAACATCTTGTAGAATTAACTTAAACGAGGAGTTTGTATAGAGGTATATGAAACCGGGGGAAACAAGAATATTTAATATATAAGTGGCAAGTCGCCCAGCAAGTCCGGGAGCGGTCCGAAAAGCTTCGGCTCATCAACTCGGATGTCAAATTAGAACAATAAGATAATGGAATCTTACGGAATACAACTGGAACCCGAAACTCGGTCCAGCGGCCAATAGCATTTGTTTAATTTACCCCTTGGTCTGTTTAAAACGCGTTCGTGGTGGATTTGGCGCGGCCAAAAATGCTACTAACTCGGCAACCCGCTCTTCCCCCGTGCGATTCATCTTCGTCCCGATCCCCAACCTCCTTTTAGCCGATTTCCGGATCTTCCATTTCTTGATTCTTTTCCTTGTCATCACCGACCACCATCGGTACGTACCGTTAATGCTTGATCCTGGACGGAGAACAACCCATGAACTCAGCTCATCCCATCCCATCCCATGTTAGCATGCAATTGCGAGTTGCGCATCCCAAGAGCAGAGGAGCTGATGCCTTTGTCCTATCGTGGGTTTTCAACCCGCCTATACCGCCATGCCGACATGCAGATGCGGCTGAGATCAATTGGCCAAACATGAATGCCTTTGTCTTCTCAGATGATTCGCTAGACATTCAATGCTTTTTGTCTAATCTCACACCGATCTGACTGTTGCTCTCACAATGGGTGGCTGGTTTGTGCTGGACGATCAGATCACCAGCCTTCCATCACACCCAGCCCACCGACAAAACTGCTTGCTTCATAGGAACAACCAATCATGGAGACCAAGATGGAATCTTTCGAGTCAACGTATATAGGGTGGCATGTCGCCTGCCACAGCACTGGCCTCTTCAATTTATTCTTCCTGTATTCCGTGTTCGTCCTTCATGTTAATACTATCGAATTTTGAGCAAGTCTGAACCAGTACTTTACTATGCCTTCATCCGACATGGCGCATAGGCCTGAAGTCTTGAACGACTCGATTTCTTGTCATCCAGCACTTTCACCAACCACCCTATCCTTCGAAGGCAGCACTCCTTGGGGCAGTCCACCGTCACCGTCGAACCCCATCTCTTCCGTTCCCCAAGTCTACAAGAACCACGTTCACAGCAGTACATCATACATGTACGAGTCGGACGTCGATACAAGATCACGCGCTTCGAGTGTCTGTAGCACCACTTCCACAAGTTCGATCGGACGTCCACTCCCGCCTCTCCCGACAGATGAGCCGGAGATGCCCCCTTCAAGTCTATCACCAAAAACTTCCATCTGGTGGATGAAACCTGCCTCATCACCGCCAGAATCGCATAGTAACTCGTCTTCGTCGCCCACAAGGCGCAACCATGCTTTACGACGGAAAATTTCCCCTCGTGGAGAAACGCTTCGAGCCTTGCGAGCCAAAGAGTCAGACGACTGCCTCCAGCGCGCTTACGAGAAACAGACTCTAGCATATCTGAATGAGTGGATCGCCGGGAGTGATCAATATCGTCACTCCGAGAGACGACCTGGTTTAGTGCCGCTTTGTTGATCACCAGCGTGGAATTTCATTTCTAAGGATGGATTTGGGCGCCATGGACTTTTGCGGACTAAGGTGATGGAGTATTTCGCTACTTGTGACCTGCGCTAATATCATACGCTGGGTTGTTCACAGGGAGCTTTTTGGATTTCTAGATGCTTATGGACGAATGAGGATCTGTGAGATCATGAGATGGATTACGATGGACGATGATCTTCATGAATTCTCCTATGTACGTTGATATGTTTATGAGTAACTTTTCGAAACGAAATTCAGGTTCATGGAAGATCCCTCAACCATGGAGTGCTTAAAATTGACGAATTGATATCATCTACACCTCTGCGATCAATCGATTCTACAGATAACCTTCCCCATCGTACTGTTCCCTTCTAACAACTGGTGGGCTGCGATAATCTCAGTCCAAGGGAATACCTTCTCGATGGGGACCTTCAACGTCCCATCCAGGAACTTTGGTAGTGCAAAACTGGCCAGATCATCCCGCAGCTTTTTCTGGTAGTTCTCATCCCGCGACCGAAGCGTGCTGCCTTCAACTCGAAGCCGCTTGAACAGGATCGGACCCAGATTGGTTCCGGCAGGGACCTCGAGACCTCCCATCAAACCCAACATCACCATCCGTCCATCCTTCGCGAGAGCCTTCAAGTTATCGGCAAAGTAGCTCGCCCCAACGAAGTCAATGATAACATCTACCCCCTTCCCCCCTGTCTCCTCCAGCACCTGATCGGCCCAATTGCTATCACCACCGGAGTTGAACGCTTTATTTGCGCCGATCTCCTTCACAACGAACTCACACTTTGCATCGGAACGCGTAGTGGCGAAGACCGCGGATGCTTCTGCGATCTTGGACAGTTGGATCCCAGCGATGGAGACAGATGATGCGCCGGCGTGCCAAAGGATCGTTTGTCCTGGCTTCAAGTCGGCAACCAAATGGAGGGCCTGAAGAGCAGTGATCCAGGTCTCGGGAATGCCGGCACACAGTTCCCAGGACATTTCTTTGGGTTTGTGGATGAGCATATGGGTCGAGATGGCGATATATTCGGCATATGCCCCTAAGGCATTGTTCAGATATTGCACCAATGCCGACCCGCCCATTCACCGACGGAGTATCTCACCACCATATGCTAGTCCGAAAACTTCATCCCCTACTTTAAAGCCGCTCTCCGGGTTGGTTCCCAGTTCCTCGATCACCCCCGAGAACTCCACCCCAAGTGTCGTGGGCGCTTGTGGGGGGAGGGGATAATTGCCCTCTCTTTGGATTAAGTCCATACGATTGAGTCCGAACGCCTTAACGCGCACGATGGCGTCGGAAGCTTTCGGCTGAGGATGAGGGATTTCATTGATGAAGAGTGCACTTGCAGGACCTTTACCGCCTTTGATGTCTAAAGATCATTAGCTATACAACTTCTCCGTAAAGGACTGGTTTTAGATACCAACGGCTCTCATTGTGGCACCCATTTCTGCTGCAGGATAACGAACAGTCTATAAAAACCAGGTTGCGAAAAAATAATGGTTTAACGGTAGGAGATTTGATGGTTGCTGCTTACGGTATCTCTATACATATTTGGGGTGGAATGCGTCATTATTAAGCTAGCCGCTGTAGCCCGGCATCATCGGAAGTTGAGATGGACGAGGAAAAGGATGAAATTCACTCCTTTCACTACCAATTTCAACCTGCCAATATGCAGTACAATCCCGCAGAGGTCAACAATTGCCCTGCAAATGAATATACAATTTCTTGCTGTCTGGGTCAATGACAATCCGAATTCCATCATCCCTAACCCGAAATCCTGACGCGGGGGTAGCTCAGACAATCCGACTGTGTCCGGATCATTCCATGCGCCCATATTGAGACATAATCAATCGTGCAAAAATGTTGGTATCATAAGAAATCATTACAATCACGCTGTTGCCTGTACAACTTTGAAACCCTCCCCAATCGCCTTGCTGATCTCCTCGTCTTTGTGTTGCAACAGACCAAGGGCATATGCAACGTCATTCCATTGCCTTTCGCTATTGCATCGTGATAATCGAGCCGCAAGCTTGTTTGCAAGTTGTTTGGCATGTTTATCCTAAAGAAAGTCAGTTATGACTCGATCCCGAGTTCCCGATGTGCATACCTTTTCAATGAAACCGGCAAGGAATTTCAGAATGCGTCTGAAAGTGTTCTCATCCAAATCCTCGTCTGTACTAAGCAAACTGAACATGTCAACGAAATGATTGTACACGGCGTTATCTTTCGTCGCAAGTTCGGTGAAAAACATCCGAGCCATGTCGGCGATTCGAGTGTCGTCGTCCTCGATACACTTCGCCATTGCCCCAAGTTGGCCCTTCACCTTGACTTGACCGGCTAGGATGAGGAATGTCAATGTCATCAGACATGTCCGTTTGACACTAAGATCGACGTCATTGAGTCGACGATAAAGGAAATCCGTGTTTTCATCTACGAGATGATTGAAGCACACGGCCATATCGGCAAGCCCGACAACCAGATTGCTTCGGACAATGGGATCCTTGCTGCGCTCTAGGATGGTCAACAGCAAGGCGAGATGCTGCTCACAGTACTCGGCGCTGACGCACATGAGCTTGGCCATGCAAAGGGCCGACTGGGATTGCAGGATGGGATCGTTGTATCGGGTGTTATTTCCACAGATTTCAGCAACCATGGGCCCGAAGTTGTAGAGAAGAGACTGCGGATCGTAGAGGAGCTCTTGCTCTCGAACATGAGCAAGTGCCTCCGTGAAATCATCTTCTGTCGTACCGGCCATGAGATCCAACTCGTCCTGCTCTTCCGACTGTGGTTTCTCTCCTGGCTTTCGTTTGGTGGGCGATGCGTCCCCCTTTTCACTGTTCTCGGCCACGGATAGCTTCTCATTTGCGGCCTTTCTTCGCTTGAAGTCTTGCTCGATCAGTTCCAAATGCACAATCTGTTTGATAGCGACATGTCCCACGACGAACAAGAGCTGTGATAATGCCGCCGTCGTCCGTTGTTTGCCCGGACCGGTGCTCTTCTCGGATCGAGGAGAAGGCAATCCAGTACCGTCGTTTGCAACCGACCCGGAAGAAGACGCTGGCCGCGAATCAGTTTGGTTAGGCCGAAACACCGATTTGGTCATTCTTCGAAGTACTTCGGTGCATAAAGTGTCCGGCAACTTGGAAAGAGCATAGATGGCCCCGATCGCCTGCTCGGCAACACCGAACCATTCTTTTGAGTCCGACGCGCTTTCGACGAGATCTGCGAGTTGCACGAGCACGATATGATCGTTAGGTAATTTGGCCGCGGTCGGAGACTCTCGCTTGCCAGTTTGCTTGCCTCCATCATAAATCCGACGAAGAGCGATGCACGTATATCGGGCCAATCCGAGGTCCTTGCGGCCAATCTCTCCGAGACCGATTCTTAGACACGTCTCCATGTCCCTGACGACGATTTCCGGATCTGCTAAAGCGAGCATGCCGAGGACAATAATCGCACCACGTCGCTGCTTCTTAGAGATTTCTTTCCGTTGTACGCCATAAATCTGCCACAGCTTTTGGACGACGATAGTGCTGACCAAGTCCGTTTTCATCATCGTGCTCAAAAGCTGCTCCAGAGACGTGAGTTCCGCCGGTGTCGCTCCAAAGGTCAGGCTGATCATGTTTCGAGCCACGTAGTTCGCAGCATCGTTTGCCGTATAGTCCGGCGCGGTGAAGAAGAGACTCTTGTAGCACTCGATCAGGTGGGACTGAACGCCTTTGCCTTCGTCGCTGTTCCCTTTCGTCCAGATTAGGCGGAGCATGCGCCTCACCCCAATTCTCGCCGTCTCAATCTCGTAGACGTGGCATGTGACGAAGAAATCCATGGCTTCGATGACTTCCGACTTGTTTCTCGATGACAACAACTGCGTAACCACAGGGCAGGCATTGTGAATGACCTCAATGAACCGAAGCGCTTCAAGAAAGAATCGCCGAGACAATTGCAATTGATTGATCAGTTCTGCCGTCGCCGCCTCCTTTGCTGCCCTCTCCATGGCTTCGATACGCTGATCCTCTGTCATCGACTCCGGAACCGTGGGTTCCGCTTGAGTAACATCATCAAGCAACTCGGTGTCTGCTGTTTCATCCGAGATCGTCTTTTCTCGCAGCTCCGTGGGAGGTTGTAAGGCGTCAATCTTTGCATCCTCATCTTGCAAGGCCTTTGTCCAGTCTTTCTTCTGTAGCTGACCTTTGCCAAAAGCACCGAAAGGATGAGTGGAAATCAGCTTTCCAAGGAGTTTTATCGCATTGCGGCGGACGTTACTGCTTTTGTCTTCAAGACTCCGAGTGGCAAGTTCGGCTGCCGTTTGTCTCCTCTTAGGAAATTTGACTTCCAAATCACACAATCGCAAACAGACTTGGATGGCTCGGCATCGGCAGTAGGGATTGATATCAAGAAACCTCTCCTCGAGAACGTCAAAGAAAGCATCTACTTGTCCTTGATGGTTCTCGCCCCTTTCGCTCTCTTCTTGTCTGCTCAACATTGTGATCAGGTTTCCGCAAACTTCAATGATAGAACACCGAAGAGTGTAGGACTACAACAGTTAGATACTAATGTTATCCATACGACTTCACTCACCTCATTGTCCAGTAATTTGGCGAGCAACGTCATCTGCTTGATGACCAACCGAGGAACCAGTTCGGACACTTTCGTGACAAATGCCGAAACCGACTTCGGTCCCTTGATATCGTTGGCATTGAACTCTTTGCTGCTCAACTCCCTAGACGGTCGTTAGAATATGGACATAGAATCGGAGTTGGACATACCTTAGAATCTCTTCGGTGAGCTGTGGATAGTCATATTGCTCCGCGAGGATTTGCAGGAATTCTGCCATTGCTTCCGAGAGATGCTCGAAGTAGGTCAAATTCTGGATGATGGAGGTTTGCGCCCCTACTTTCTGTCAGCGTGTTCTCGAAGCAACCAACCACAGAACTCTACCGAAGCCATGTCCATGATGCTTGACGGCAATACATAGGACTTTAAATGAATACATCCGGATCGATGTATTCTTGACTCGTGTTTCGCTTTCGAGAACCAGATACACTGGTCGAGTGAAAAGGCCGACGAACGTATCACGCTCCGATGTAGTCATGAAGATTTTGGAAAGCTTCAACTTCAAAACCTTGCTCATAACATCGAGCGCAGCTTGTAACTGGGTCGACGAATCCCAAGTTCCATCTTTCGATCCAGCCTTTCCTTTTGCGCTTTTGCCGCCTCGACCCCGTCCAGCTGTTGCAGTCGACTGCTTCTCGGCAGCTTTCGTCTCGACCACAGCAATGCACCATTGTAGTAGGAAACCATAGACTTCGAGGAGTTGTTTGTGGTGGTGCTTCAACGTTTCCTGGTCGTCGGCCTCGATGTCGGCATGGGCAGCGTCTGCTTCGGCGGAGAGACCGGATACAATCAAATCGAGGAGTTTGCTGAGAGCGGTTGGAGGGATTTGTGATGTGTACCTGGAGAGCGCAAATAACGCGGGCGTGTCAGGACGGCTGATAGAATGCCTTTGGTAGGGCTGAAGTTGATGATCTAAGGAAACAATGGGTGCACACTTGAGTAAAAACTGGAGAGTATCGAAGTTGCAACTTCGCGTGATGGATTCGGGATTCTCTGCGATCGCATCGACAACCGGATTAAGAGCGCCATTGACCACGGCACTGGTCAGTGACTCGGGGTCACTCTCGCAATCCAACAGGTCTGAAGGAACTTCCGGGGTTGGGATAGTGAAGGGGTCGGACAAGTACGCCTTTATGGCTTCGTTGATGTCAAATTGGATTCTCTCGTCCATGGCGAGGATTGTAACTACGCGGTGCACCCGAAAGTGCGGAAATACAGATGTCCAGACGAGTTCAAGGAGAAATGGCGGGAACTCGTGATGATATGTCAGAGACTCAAAATGTCCCACATCTGCGTCCCGCGTTTGAACGCGAGGTGGATTTGTTTTCAATTTGCCGAATTGGGCTAGCGCATAACACAGTTCCATGGCCCACCACAACGGCAACAGCCATCAATCGCGACTGCTCTTGCACCAAACGACCACCAAAGCACCTTCCAAGTTCAATGAATCAAGATCACAGGGACGCACGAAGCTTCGATTGATATTTCTATCCGGGGCCCAGGCTTTTGCTGCCTCCCTCTTCAACATGCCGAGAGCTAGAGTTCAACGCGCAGCTCCAGTACCGATATCAAGAGAACCAGAAACCTCCGACTCCGACTCCACCATGGATGAAAGCCGGGATCCACAGGATGAAAGCGGCTGCACGCTTTCCGATGAAAGCGAAGAGGAGGTGGATGAGAGTGTTGCTGAGGACATGGTCCGCCTGGAGAATGATTTTCAGGGCATCGCTTCCAGATATCGATTGATCAATCGCATTGGAGAAGGTGATGACTGCCATATCGCGAACCCATTAGTCCGAAGCTGACCTTTTCAAGGAACATTCTCGACGGTCTACAAGGCTGAGGATCTACAGTACAATGCCTACAAGAACGGCTGGGATGCCCAACCGTTCGACAACAGCTCTCCCCAGAAGCGGCAGTCCAGAGGGCCGAAGCCTAGATTCGTGGCTATAAAAAAGATCTATGTCACCAGTAGTCCTTCGAGGATCCTAAATGAGCTTGAGCTCCTCCATGACCTTCGGGACTCGGATGCGATATGCCCCCTGATCACCGCATTTCGCCACCAGGACCAGGTGATTGCTATCCTGCCGTTCTGCCCTCATCGCGACTTTCGAGACTACTACAAGGGGATGTCGATGAACGACGTTCGCGTCTACATGAGAAGTTTGTTTGTTGCTTTGCAAAGCGTTCATGATCACGGCATCCTTCATCGGGACGTCAAACCGACCAATTTCCTTTACTCCCCATCACGCGGGCGTGGCCTCTTGGTGGACTTTGGCCTTGCAGAAAGAGCTGGCACGGACTATCATTTCTGCTGTTGCGAGCTTGCTCCTACTGAACGACAATCTCGCTTCCAGACGAGTACGTACAAGATCATGCCTTCTGATCGAGGCCGGTACCCGAACCAAAAGACCGACACTCGCCCTACTCGACGAGCCAATCGTGCTGGAACCCGAGGGTTTCGTGCTCCCGAGGTGCTTTTCAAATGTACCGCCCAAACCACCGCCATTGACATCTGGAGCGCTGGGGTGATGCTTCTCACTTTTCTGACCAAGCGATTCCCTTTCTTCCATAGCGCTGATGACATCGACGCCGTCCTTGAGATGGCTGCACTATTCGGGAAGAAGAAGATGCATCAAGCCGGAATGCTGCACGGACAGATGTTCGAAACGAATATCCCAACATACCGTGAGTCCGGATACAGCTGGGAGAAGATCGTCTTGTGGGCGAGTGGAAGGGATGGATCAAAAGGTGGTCGGCTCCATCAGGACGAGAAAGATGCCATCGAGTTCATGGAACTGTGCTTCGCCATTGACCCAAAAGAGCGCATCACCGCAACGGGAGCGTTAGAGCATCCTTTCATCAACAGTTATGCACCGGATGATGCAGAGGATATGGTTGACTTGCTATGACGGGATGAAAGGATGAGTTACCAATCATGATCAATGAAGGGAATATAGCGGCGGTGAACGGTGTCAGGAGTTATCAGAGCATGATGGAATGCGCATTGGTTTAGTAGTGTTTAATTCAAACCGCATTTAGATCCGGATGTATAACTACTTCATAGATGTTAATTGAATGGTATTAGACATGTGTGACTTCTACTTTATTCAATTCCTGCTAATGTTAGCGCATGAGGAAGTTTCCTTACGTTAGCCATTCTCTACACAAGACTCGGGTCGGTGACGGTCTACAGCAGCAAGGTTCCTCAAAGGAGACCACCGACTCGATGTAGCAGCATATCAGCGGATGATCACAAACAACAGAGCGAATCATGACTACGGATAGAGACCCATGCGTGAAGCAGAAGGGATTGGTTTGTTCAGGAACAGGTTTGTATTTAAGCCACTAGGGATACAAACACCGTTCCTCAGCCACCACGCTTAAAGAGTCCGCATCGACATGCCCAATGACCCTATTGATTGTAACCCTTTTTGATCCTTGGTATGCCCGATATAACTCCAGGGTTGGAAATGCAGGATGCTTAAGCCACCAACTGGACAACACCACCAGCACCCTTGATCTTTCGCTCAGCCTCCTGAGAGAAGAATCGCGCGCGCACGATGATGGGGACTTCTGGAAGTACGCCCTTTCCGAGAACTTTCGAGTAACCGAGAGAAAGGAGGTCGAGAACGGGAGCGGTGTCGGACTTGGGGTTGGAGATGTATTTTTCGCGCTGCTCCTCGGGAACGAGGGACCAGAGCTAGAAGAACATGTCAGCCACCAGCTTCAGAAGGGCTTGCAAGAGTTGAGTCTCCACGTACCTTGTCGATGTTGATGGTCGGCTTCCAGAATTGATTCTGGAGCTTGTGGAAATATCTCATTCCAACCTTTCCGAAGTAACCCGGATGGTATTTGTCGATATTCGTTCGGTGATGATGCTGACCACCGGCCATACCACGACCACCGGGATGCTTTCGGTGCTTGCCGACACGACCGTTACCGGCGGAGACATGACCGCGGCTGGAGAGATGAGGGTTAGCATCTTTTCCGACGGATTTCAATTAACCGGTAGGCCATTGAGGCACGGAGGACTGGAAATGGGATACTCACTGCTTGCGCGTTTTGAGGAGTCTGGTAGGCATCTTGGCGAATGATGCAGAATGAAGACTCTGGTCGATAAGTTGGAATGTGGTGATAGTGTTCTTGACGTGAGAAATGTTAGCGAGTGCTGTGGGGAAAAGTTTCTCCGGGCTCACTTTTTCCTCACGTGATCAGTGGGCGAAATGGAAACCCGAACTGTCACCACATCACCCGAACTGTTGTCACATAAATTAGATGGAATTGGCAATCATGTGGTTCGTGTCATGTGATGACGGCACTGAACGCGTCCCCCTCGCGCTCGCGTGGCGCGTCATCTTCCGTCGCCATGAATTTCGGTCCAACTGAAATGTTCGAATTCTTTGAGACCTTCCTGCTTTGAAGTTCGTTCCATCAAATTTGGACACGTCGAACCATCACTATGGGTATCAAGCGTAAGTGTCATATTATCCCCGAAACTGCACATGTACTAAGTACCAAGCAGACTTATTTCAGCTCATTGAGGAGCATAGCCCCGCGGCGATCAAGCAGGGCGAGATCAAGAATCAATTCGGCAGGAAGGTTGCCATTGTAAGTGTCCTTTTCTCTAAGTCCAATGTATCGTACTGATTTTTGTAGGATGCGTAAGCTCTCGTTCAGCCTCTCATTGCACTCTTTCTAATGCACCTTAGGTCGATGAGCATCTACAGCTTCCTGATCGCCGTACGAAGTGATGGCCAACAGCTGATGTCTGAGTCCGGCGAAACCACGTCGCATCTGATGGGGATGTTCTACCGAACCTTACGCATGGTCGACAATGGCATCAAACCCCTCTTTGTATTTGATGGTGCCCCTCCCAAGCTCAAATCTGGCGAATTGGCGAAAAGATTCCAGCGCAAGTCGGAGGCTCAGGAAGCTCATGAGGAGGCGAAGGAGACGGGGACGGCAGAAGAGGTGGAAAAATTCTCGAGAAGGACCGTGAGGGTGACGAGAGAGCACAATGCGGAATGTCAGAAGCTATTGAAGCTCATGGGAATTCCTTACATCATCGCACCAACAGAAGCAGAAGCGCAATGCGCCGTACTCGCAAGAGCAGGCAAGGTCTACGCAGCTGCATCTGAGGATATGGACACCCTCACATTTGACGCACCGATTCTTCTTAGACACCTTACATTCAGTGAGCAGCGAAAGGAACCGATTCAGGAGATTCACCTCGCTCAGGTTCTCGAAGGGTTAGAGATGGAAAGAGATCAGGTGAGTCTGCCCACAACATTTGATAGCTCACAATTAACTTCCCTAGTTCATTGATCTCTGCATTCTTCTCGGCTGCGACTATCTCGACCCAGTCAAAGGCGTTGGTCCATCCACCGCTCTCAAGTTGATTCGGGAACATAAAACTCTGGAAGGTGTCGTTGAATTTTTCGAGAAGAGCAATAAGTACACGTTACCGGAGGACTGGCCATATAAGGATGCTCGCCTGCTATTCCTCGAACCTGATGTTCGACCGGCGGACGATCCGGAATGTGACTTCAAATGGGAAGCACCTGATGTCGAAGGCCTTGTCGAGTACCTGGTCAAGGAGAAGGCCTTCAGCGAGGATCGAGTGCGGAGCGGGGCGCAACGATTGCAAAGGAGCACCAAAACGGCTCAGCAGAGTCGACTGGAGGGTTTTTTCAAGCCGGTTCAGCGGACGCCGGAAGAGCAGGCCGCCTTGAAAAGGAAGACCGATTCAAAGTTGGAAGAGGCTAAGAAGAAAAAGAAGCAAGCGGCGAAAGAGAAGAAGGATACAAAGGCGAAGCCAAGAGGTGCTTGATTCGATATCTCTTTCTCTGGCGTTCAGTGGGTTCCATTCGTGTGGCGCGGAACAATCTGGTCAAACAGAAGCATGAGATATGATCATTGGCGTTCCGGTGAACTGAACTGAACTTATCGTAGAGTCAATAGGGTATACTGGTTGCATGGCTCTGCCTGGTATGGCTAGGCATGCGGAAGGGTGAGCATCATTGCGGCTCAAATATGGCTGCATCGTAAATATCGAAGGAATGATGAGATTTGAATGCGAATGATATTAATTCTACATTTAATAATGCTCGCCTCCAGGTAAGACCACCGTTGCTAAGCTCCTGGCGACTATTACACTATCCCGGCCACTAAAACGCCTGCTATGAACGTTGATCCACCTGTCACCACACTCGTGCTTCATGCTAGTTGTAGGCCATTTTCATCCGGTTTGAACCATTCTTCCAACAGACTTCTCAGAACTTCTTCCGCATGTGCCTTGGCGTCCGACGCCTGCTTGGCTTCTCCTTCAATGTAGAGCTTGATCTTCGGCTCCGTCCCACTCGATCGGACCGTGAATCGCACATTTCCTTCCACCGTGCAGGTGATCATTTCCGTGTCGGTCGAAACCGGCAGTGTGGGTTGATGGTCTTTCGTGGCGGAATCATACCCCTTGGTTAAGTCTCTCCAACTGAGGATCTTTCGATTGCCGATTTTCTTGGGATACGGCTGGCCAAGCCCACGGATCCGCTCGAAAATTTGCGAGGTAATGAGGATGGATGGCGAAATCAGATATGTATTCGCATCCTCAAAGTGTCCGTACTTGGTGTACAAGCGCTGCAATTTCGACCACGGCGTCAAACCTTCATTCCGCCATCGAGCCACAGCGCTCAAGAACACAGCAGCCGATGCTATGGAGTCCTTATCACGAGCAACCGGCGAAAACATGTATCCTAGAGCCTCTTCGTATCCATAGAGTGCATCGTATCCCTCCCCTTCGAGACGTTGCGCTTCGTTCCCGATCCATTTGAAACCGGTTAGGGTTTCGGCGTAGTGAATCTTCTCCGCTTTCGCCATCGTCGAGAGCATTTTCGAAGAGACCGTGGATGCCAGCATCGCCAACTTTTCCTTCGGCTTATCTTCCGGATAGGTGTCGATGACGTGTGAGGCAAGCAAGACGCCGAGCTGGTTGCCGGTGAATTGTATCCATCGTCCATTGACTTTATCCGCAACGGCCAATCGATCGGCATCTGGATCACTTGCCAGCACCAGCGATATGCCATGGGCGTCTGCCGTTCGGAAAGATAGATCCAGTGCACCCTTCTCTTCCGGATTCGGAAACGCTACGGTTGGAAAATCCGGGTCTGGTTCGGCTTGTTCTTCCACCACCACCATGTTGTCTGCCCATCCCAACTCTTGCATGACCTTGGTCATAATATTCAGTCCGGTTCCATGCATCGGAGTATACACGAACTTGGCATCACCGAGCGTCGGACCGTGTTCGTCAAGCTTTGCTATGCTGGAGACAGCCTTGACATATGCGGCCTCGACTAACCCAGAATCGGACTCGACAAGAAGGGTGTTGTCCGCTGCACCATAATCCCATGACTTGGGTTCAAGATTATGCTGTATGGACCGGGCTATGCCCCTATCCATCGGAGGAATGATCTGCGATGCGTTTTCCCAGTAGACCTTGTATCCGTTGTCTTCTTTTGGGTTATGGCTTGCGGTGATCATGATTCCTGCAGCAGCATTGAATTCCGATACCCCAAAGGGTACAAGAGGGGTGTGTATCGGCCCAGGATATATCCAAACTCTTATCCCTTGAGCCACGAATGCCGCTGTTGCCAGTTGGGCAAATGTCTCCGAGTTCCTTCTGGCATCCCTTCCAATAACCACTCCACGCTTTTTTGTATTAGGGACATTTTCCAACAGGTAGGCAGCGAGGCCTTGGGATGCCTGGATGACTGTGACACAGTTCATACGGTTGAAGCCAGCTTCCATCCGGGCTCGCAGTCCGGCGGTGCCAAAAGCGATCCTCGTCGTTAGTCGGGATGCAAGCTCCTGCTCGTTCCCTTGAGCCAGAAGTTTGTAGATTTCATCTCGCGTCTCCTCACGTTTGTCTATTCGGAGCCATTCTTTGGCAAGATCTTCCACTTCTTTTTTCATCTTGCACAATTTGACTTAGCGGGCTGATGTCACTAGGGCTAGATAGGATGGAGGACAGGAACAACGAGGTGAAGTGCTGGGTTGAAGACGGGTTAATCAGCAGTTCCCGGCTCGAAACCAATCTAAAGTCAGGCGGTGCAGTTTTAATCACCTGTTGCTCTTTGTGAATCAGGTGTTGAATCTTGAATCTGGAGTAGTTCACACTGTCATCAGTCATGCTGAATGTGCCCACTTTTGACCAATCAGGTGCCTTAACTGGATGAGGAAGGTGGGATTCATTAATGGTAGCACGTGTGGACTTATCGCCTCTCAAGGCTGAAGGCTTGACACATATTCTTCTCCTTGTTGGTAATCCTACTGTATTAAGGGGATGAAGGAACATTTCACAATACGACGATGCCCGTGATGTCTGTGATGCTTGTGATGCCCATGATATAGTATCCATAATACCAGTACGGATGTACAAAGCCGTGGATATAGTTGCCTCCGGTCAAAACAATGAGCATATCGAAGTATTGATTAGATCGCTAATCATTCCTTCTTTGCCGAATGCGAGAAATACAGGTATATGCCAAACGTCTATGAGCAATTGCGGATCCCATAACGTTACATAGAACATGAATATCGCTCCCGACCTTCCGTTGGCCCCCGAACGCCGAATTCGAAATGCAATGCGGGAAAATGGAATCAAAGCTCGTTGTGTATGGGTGCCGCTTTCGACCGACCGCTGTCATCCCATAGGTTCACCGCCAGCTTCTTCCTCCATTTCTCCCACATATTCCAGAAATCCTTCTCCATTCCACTCGCCATGGTATCCGGTAGGATCACAACGTACTCGACATTCAGGGCACCATATTCTTCGTCGCCGCTATCGTTGCTTCGGTCGTTGTTCCATATCGGCATCCCCTCGCCAGAGATGACTTCCACCGCGTTCGGCTGCACCACTTTTCCTCGCGGTCGGCTGAGTTGAACAATGTGGCCATCCAAATGCGTGATATTCCTCTGCCAACTGCCCATCCAGGCCTCCCGTAGACTCAGCACTTCGGTCCAGAACAGGTCATTCCCTCTTCTCCGGAAGAAGGTGCCGTCCGTTTTCTCATGGTCTTCTTCACCAAGGCTTGGGTCCAGTTCTTGCACGTTCACGATGAGATCTCCAGCCACCCAATCCGGGCTTTCATCTCCTTCATTCTCAAACGTCACACGAACCCCCCGTGGCATTCCTTTCTCGATGTCGAGAGTGTGCGTTTCCGGCTCTCGTACGACGCGAGCTCCATGACACACCGTACACGGATTATGCACCGTCTTTCCTTTCCCGCCGCATGCATCGCATACTGACTGAACTTGCTGGAAGATGCCTGGGGCCAACATATGACGCTGTACACGATGGCCGCGACCACTACACACGGAACATTCATCCACTACACCGTCATCCGAACCGGTGCCCTCACACGAACTACAAATCGCCTGTTTCTCAATCGTGAACTGCATCTCTTTCCCCATGTAGAAGTCTCGAAGGGGAACGTCGATTTGTGCCTCCATCGTGGGTCCCCGTCGTTCGCCTCCGTGGTGTCCGAAGTGACCCGATCCACCGAAGAACCGTGAGAAGAGATCGAAGGGGTCGTGGTGACCTTGGTGGCCCCCGCCGCCTTGCTGATGTTGTGCGAGGCCTTCGTGGCCATACTGGTCGTAGATTTTGCGGGTTTGGGGCTCAATGAGGACTTCATAGGCTTCGGCGATGGACACGAACTTGGTATGCGAATCCTCATTGTTTCTATGATCACATGAGAATGCTAAACACAAGGATGCACGGGAGAGGTTCGTACGGATTCTTGTCTGGGTGGAATTTCTTGCTTAACGTCCGATAAGCTTTCTTAATCTCGCGATCGGAAGCATCGCGGTCGAGTCCGAGGAGCTAGAAGGGTTAACAGATCCCCAAGAATCCATCTGGAGCACCCACCTTGTAGAAGTCTTCTGCACAGAGAGCGATTGAAGGGAGGATGAAAAGGACGAGGAGGGACGACCAGAAGAGCATCTTCAAGGAAACCAGTTATATCATAAGGAACTCCAAAGGAATGCTAATGTCTACAAGTGGAGGCCAGTTTCCGAATCGACAAGGCAAAAGAGTGGACGGATTGGACACCAAGTTGAATCCAGAAGTAAGAATTTCAAGCTCAAGTTCTTGAGCTTCATGTTCCTGTCCTCAGAGAATCATGACATCTGTCCCGAATCCATGGCGGAGCTCCTTCCTTGTTGCCTGAGGCAGCAGCACCGCAAATTGGCATCACGTGATATGGACTCCTTCCCAAATCCACATCAGCAAGAGGGTCGATCATTAATTAGGGAACAAGGTGAAAGTGTACTGGAATGCTTGACTCTCAAGCTAACCTGTTGGTCTATCGATTGACAACTATGTTAGAGACAGGGTCTAAAGACTCTAAACTCCTTGGTTCAAACTCCTATGACCCATCCTAGCATCCCCAACAATTAACGCCGCCTCCATTGACAGTCATGATCGAAGACATGATTTCCGCCTTTGAACTTACACCGGGGTAGTCAGATCCAACGCCATGCTAATGCTTCGACCTGCTCATATGTTCCATAACCTGTGGAATTCTTTTAGTCTCACACCTTTCAGATGTCCATTTTACCACCCATAACCTTCGCAGCCTGGATAGCTTGCATCTTAGAAGTCCAACCGGGTGCAGGGATGACCTTGCGGACGGTTCGGATTTCGTCGGACGCGTAACCGGGGACGCGAATGTTGTAGTTCCGTTCAAGGACAAGCTGAAGGTCACGAATCTCGAGAGTACTGGATTCGCGAAGCTTGGCCATGCGACAGCCGGCGCTGATGACGGAGTCGACGAACTCATCCGCCAGTTGGAGCATTGCCTTGATAGAAGTCAGTTTCGTTCGCTGAACACAACATCGTGATCTGGGTGAAAATTCCATCAACATACCTCTTCAACCTCGGGGGTGAGCCCTTCATTTCCTACGCCTTCACCACCACCAGTGACTTGTCGAACGAGCTCATCCAGTTTCTTTTTGCTCAACACCCTCTCCGCCTCGCCTTCGAGAACAAAGTTCGGCGCTCGTGAAATCACCGGGTTGGCCATGACGCCACCAGATCCATTGACAGGTCCGGCCATGGTGGGTCGAGAGGGTCCCATCGACACCGGAGCGGGCGAGGCAACGTTGAGAGTTTTAGGGATGGGCATCTTCGAGCCGCTTTTCTGCTCGAAAGTGGTTGCGGGGTGGCCGAGCCCAGCATGGGAGGGTCCGCGCATGTCTGTGGCAGGATATCCGCGGCCTTGGTGTGCTCTTTCCATTGCGTCGGCGTGGGTGAGGGATTGGGTACCGGGGCCTTGAGGATTTTGCTGTTGCTGTTGTGGCTGCTGCTGTTGTTGTTGTTGAGGTTGTTGTTGAGGTTGAACCTGGCCAGGCATTTGCCGAAGAGGGGCGCCCATCGACTGATTCACGTTCACCAACGGTCCTCCTTGTGTCATGTGACCACGAGCCATTGGATTCATATTCTGTCCCATATACTGGTTCTGTCCTGGGATCGACATCTGCGTAGGACTTGCAGCGGTTTTGGTGGCGCTGGACGGTTGTGATACTTGCGATCCCGTATTCGGAGGTTGTCCTGACATTTGGACAATGCCCTGCGGATGTCCCGAGCCTTGACTCGGCTGCGAAATCCCGGATTCGGTTTTGACCGGAACATCGGCTCCTCCCTGGCCCGTGGCGACTTTCCGATACTGATTTTGCTTCTGCTGGAACTCCTCGATATATTGTTTCGTCGTCTGATGTTGGACCATCAAAGCCTGGCGCGCATCGATTATCTGCTGCGGAGGGCCTTGTGGTTGACCTTGGAAGTGCTTGATCTGAGTATTGTAATTCCTCACTTCCGACGATAGCTGATCCATCTTCATCAGGTAATTCATGTATACCTGACGCAGCTCTTTCAGCTTCGCCTCGGTCTCGTGTTCCGGAATCCCTGGCGGAAGGTAGATCGGGATTTTGCTGACTTGTTGGGCGATTTGCTGTTGGGAGGTCTGCGCCGGCTGGCCTTGTGGTTGCGAGGGACCCGACTGCTCTGGTTGCTGCGCAGGTTGCGTACCGGCTCCCTGCTCCTCTCCGCTCCTCTTCGCCTTCTGTTCCATCCAGTTGCGGTAGTTCTGCTTGAGCTTCGCCGTCGCTTCGGCAAGCTTGTTCATGGCGAGCTTATATTCGTTGGAATCTGGGGGTTTCGAGTGGATGATGGCCCACATTTGCCGTACGCCGGATTCGTATTTGACTTTTTGCGTGGCGTCGAGGTGCGGCATGTTTTTGATTTGCTCGGGTTTGATGAACTGCAACTGAGGATGCTGGGGATTTGTCGCACCTCCTTGCGGAAGTTGGTTAGGTCTCTGGGTGGGTTGAGACATGGTGAAGGAGCCTTGAGCCAGTGAGGCGATACTGCAGGTATGATACTGATTCAAGGGGAGAGGTTTTTGATCATCGTCTCATATACGTATAGAAGATCCGGAGGTGGGACTGGGGGTTTTCGTTCAATGAAAAAGATCTAGATGAAGGAGCCGTACAAGAGATTTGGACGGAGCAAGTGAGGTTGCTCGAACATGAAGCTGCTTCAACGGTTCAACATCACCGAACCAATGCCAAGGATATTGCCTCGATCACGTGCTGCTCTTGCTTCACCATTCCACCCAACCAACCATCCCCACAGAGCGCTGATAATTCCGTAGATCGGAAGTTTAGGAAGTTTAATCACAAGTGGTGAATGATCAATGAGGGTTATACAGTCAGTCAGTCATCTTGATCTATTGTCTTGGGACAAAAGCTGGGAATGGTTAAGGATACGTTGTTCACGTTCTCGGAGTAGTATTCTTCTCAAAATACCTGTACATTTTCATTGAAACGCTATGGTACTGTACAATTCCTTCTAATGTTTAATGATTTCCATCCAAAGGTAGAGGCATCATCACATCGAACGCCCCCGTTCCAACCCTGCTGAGCTTCCCAGCAACAATGCGGGAACTGGGGTTCTGCAAAATATCCGTATCCTCTCCTAGGACAGCCTGCGTGAGGAATTTGACCGTCGTCTCGAAACTCATCTTCATGAAAGGACTTGAACCATGAGTCATGCCCATTCGATTGAACGCCTTGAACGATCCTCCACGCGTCATGTAGTCCGCAATCAGATTCAAATGTCGGTTGTCAACACTGATTCCATGCCCACCGAACACACCATCCAGTTCTCGAACGATGGTCGCTCGAGCCGCTTCAACTCCGTAGTGCTCCAACATGGCAGCCACATCGTTCGTGAAGATTCGGTGGGGATCGATCACGTTCTGAAAGAACGAGTCTCGCATGGCAAGGAGGTTGGCCCCACGAGTGGAGATGGATTTCGCGACCTTGGATTTGTCGCCGGTCGCTTCGTCGGTTTGGTCTTCGTAATTGACATCACCAGCGATGATTCCAGGGACATCATGGATCACTGCCATCTTCAAGGCGGCCTCGACGAGGGGGAGAAGAAGAACTTTCGGGTCTTCCATCGTTTGTTCAATGGAGAACTCGCACCATTGTCCATGTTCATCATCGAATTTGAACGATGACACTTCCCTGGTCTCTTTGCGTTCGCGCAACGTTTCCTCCCGAACTCGGGATACGTTGGCGCGTGCTTTCTCGACCTTGGATGCCAGATCAGTCGCGTCCTCATCTTCGGCTTCGCTTTCCTTTGGACTTCCCCCATAGGTTTCGTCCTCTTCCTCATGCATTACCTCCGTTGACTTCTCCTGTGCGGAGATGACATTCTCCTCCTCCTCTTCGGCATCATCATACCCAAAGTTCGTTGTCCGGCCTGCTCTCTTCGCGTCGTCTGCGTCACCATCGCCCTCCTCTTCCCCGTCGGCAACATCCTCGACGGGCCCTGGCGGACGTTCAACGATTTTCTTGCCCACTCCGATGGCATTCCTGGATCCGTGAGAGCTTCTCGATTCCTGAACTTTGCGTTTCAACTCCTTCCTCTTGCGGGAGATCAGATCCGGCAAGAAGTTCTTCTGAATGGCACGTATGATATCTTCGATCTGGATGGCGAACTCTTCCATGTATTCCTCGGCGGGGAAGAAGTCCAGGCGGACCGTGTAGTACTTCGAGTGCGTGTAACTGACGCCTTTTCCCACACTTTCCTTCACAGAGCATGACTCCACTACTTCCGACAGAGCCAGCCGACTAATGCTCTTGGCGAACGTCTGGGCGGTCTCATTAGGGATGTCTTCAGTGAGATGGAGCGTCATGGCCGGAGTACTGATCGAGCGACTCGCGGTCATCAGAACCTCTCGAAGGCGTGGGATACCGAGCGTCACGTTCTTCGCTGCGTGCCCTGCCAAATGGAACGTGTTGAGCGTCATCTGCGTGGACGGTTCTCCCACCGACTGACCAGCGACGATGCCAACCGCTTCGCCTGGCTCGACCAAGGATTTGAGGTACTTGATGTCAAGCATCGCTTCCAGGGGTTTTCGGGTCACAAGTCGTGCTCCAGATCCATCGCGTCGTTTCGTTTGCCCCTTCTTCTTATTCACGAGGAGCTTGTGTTCGTCTTCGTCGATGAAATCTCTCTGACGTGACAAGAACTTCTCCGAGGTGCTGCCCGCATTCATGGTTGGGGGGTAAACTGCCGTGGCCGGGTCCATTTTCCAGGCTTTCTCGGGGTTCCTCGCCTTCTTCAAAGCTTTTTTGTTGTATGACTTGGCTTCTTCACTGTACATCCGCTCATGTTCGGCTCCCGCATTCAGCGATCGATAGACGTCCGCAAAGTTCTCCGTGAGGAATTTGAAGTCGAAGAGATACTTTTGTCTCGCCACGTCCAGTCCATCCTCGCCGTAAAGGAACTGGATCATTGCGCCATCGCTGTCCCGGACCGAGCCGTCATACTCCACACGGAGGCCTTCCATGCCTTTGACCAGGCAACGCTGCAGATACCCAGACCTTGAGGTTTTCACGGCGGTGTCAATGAGACCCTCACGTCCTGCCATGGCATGGAAGTAATATTCTTGCGGCCGCACACCCGTTAAGAATCGATCGGTGATGTACCCACCGGCACGAAGGCTGGGGTCGTAGGGCGTGAAGCAAGGCAATGTCTTCCCACTGACCATGACAGGAACCCGCCGGCCTTCGAGAACCTGCTGACCGAGATTGGTCGAAATCTGATTGGCATTGACGTTCGAACCTTTCGCTCCCGTGGCCGTCATTGCCAACATCTGGTTTTTCGGGAATGGCTTGACCACACCGGCCGGTACGCATGCCGATTGTAACTTGGTAGTCACCTCGGACCCGGCGGATCGCATGACCGTGTCCAATCCACTATGTTCGGCTGGATTCCGCAACACCTTCTCTAACCGTGCGGACAGCTCGGACGGTCTCTGGCGCGCCTCTTCCGGGTCAAGATTAACATACTTTGCGGCGGCCTCGAATCCCACATTACTAGAGATGTCGACGGTTTCACCTCGACTGGTATCCGCGTTGTGTGTCAGGATCAGATCCTCCACGCCGCACGAAAACCCTTGCATGTGCAGCATTTTGGTGAGGAGGCGACCCAGAATACTAAGGAGCCGTCCCGCCACACGCGACCCATACACCTCGTAAATGCCGTTGATGAAACCACCACCGCTTGGTCCGATGTGGTTCTTGTCGAGGATTCCCGTTATGAGGACGCCGTTTTGAAAAATGACATCTCCTTCTTCTGAGTCAGTTCCCCACAGATTCTTTGGCGTCTGCGATCCGGCGGTGAGTGTCAGACCGTCCGTACCGATCGGACGGATGTTTTCCAGCACGGTCGAAATGATCTGCTTTCCCGTCCAGAGCTTTCTGGGTCGGAAAATGGCCGGAGGCAATGTGATGAGGCGATTGTGAGTGGTATGGTTATCCTCGGGTCGGAGAGCGGCATACATCAGTTGGAAGTATTCCCCTCTTGTGAAGAAGGTGTCTTTGTTCGTCAAGCGCACGCCCATCGAAATGTGATCCTGAATCAAACCACGAAGTGGCTTGCCTGCTGTGCCCGACAGGTACTGTTCGTCAGTGGCAGCAATGAGGATGGCCTCGGCGCGCCCGATCTCGTTCTGGGGCAGGTGCATGTTCATCTCATCGCCATCGAAATCCGCATTATACGTGTTGCAATTGGCGTAGTGCATGCGAATGGTTTTCTCTCCTGGAAGGACTCGGGCCCTGTGAGCCATCATGGACGGCTTATGCAATGTGGGTTGTCGATTCATGAGAACGACGTCGCCGTTGTTCAAATGTCGATAGACCTTCTTGCCCCTGCTTCCGTTGTCCGATGTACTCGATGGTGCTAGGAGTTGATTGGCCAACGCTTGTCTCTCTTCGACGTTTTTATGTCGCAGATTGATCATTTGCCCGTTTTCGTTCTCGATCGCCACAGCACCAGGCCATTTATCCGGACCGTTGAGTACCGCTTCTTTCAGTTCGAAGTAATTGTGGTTCGTCACCGGCTCGGGGTAAGTCAGCCTTGTGGCAAAGACCGGAGGCACACCAATCTCGTTCGTTTCGATGTTGGGGTCAGGAGAGATGACACTTCTGGCGGCGTAGTTCACACGCTTGCCCATCATGTTCATTCGAAACAATCCCTCCTTTTTCTCTAGATCTTGTTTGATCCCATCCAAATTCCGTCGTGCAGCCAATCCCTGATTGGGGTTGCGGTCTTTGTCGATCAAGGAGTTGACAGCTTCCTGAAGGCGTACGCACGCCTCATTATAATCGACAAGACTACGCTTTCGTCCTGATTCCGACGTGGCTGGGTTGAGGATCTCCGAGGAGATCTGACGAACCGTTTGGCCGCATTGGAGGATGCCCTTGTAGTGATTGTTCTTCATGTGTTCCATAACATCCCCTCGATCATTTTTTGAGTCGGGTCGATACTTGCTCGGAGGGACTAACATCGTCTTAATGAAGAACATGTCCGGAGTGATCGGAGTCTTGGTTGACGCCGTAGCCGGTCGATATATGAGGTTGAAAAGTTCCGTCTCACGCTGGAAAAGCAGTGTGAGCGCCGCATGGATCTCCTGGGCGCTCATGTATCGTTCCCGTTTTTCCTCGACCTTGGTTGCCTGCCTCATGCCAACCTGCGCATTTTCGAGAACCAACCCACCTCCGATGTCATCATCTTCCATTTGGACATCCCCATCTTCGTCCGCTGACATTGGATCAAGATCAGCTACCGCCTCATCCACAACACCGCGGCTCTGGCGCTTTTCCGACTTGGCGATTTGGGTTCGTAATGTGATCAATGGATTCTCGTACGTGATACCACGTTCTCTTAGAACCTTCTCGTAAGTTTCGGCGAGAGTGTTTCGGTAGATCCTCACGAATCGATCCTTTCGATATGAAGGAGAAGTGCTGCGTCCAATTAGAAGGTATAACCCAGGGCAGCGAAATCCTTACCAGTTGCAATTCGGGCATTTTCTCCTTGTCGACATATCCTTGAGGACCTCCGAAAGGACCGAGAACCTTGCTTCTCTGACCATTTCACTCTTTTCGAGATCCGCGGTAGAGCCGTTCTTCCTCTGGAATCTTTTGATTTGTTCCTTTGTATACGCCCTGATCTTGCCGATCTTCGTGTCATCGTCCTCGTCGTCGGAATCGGAATCGCCATTGGGGTTGTGAGTGGATGGGCCAGTCGAAGGTTTCGCAATAGCATCATCCATTCCAGCCACCGCATTGACCAAGCCATGCTTTAACAGCTGGAGTTTGCAGATGGCTTCTGTTGCCCGTATTCGGGATAGTTTTGCTCGATGGCAATAGTCGCATTGCGCTCTCAAGAGTCGCAAGATCTGATCGAAGAAGAGTGGATGATACACTAACTCCGGTAGGTCAATGTGTCCACAATGACCCGGGCAGGTAAACTTGTTCAATTTGCATGTTGTGCATCTTCACGGTATTAGCTGTGGCTCATAATCCACCATCGATGTACTCACGCATTGTCTAGGAAAGTCCCTAGAGATGGATCATGGAGACCGCCGGGACAAGGATGTTTTAGGGTATCAAATGTCTCAGGATTCCGTATTTCCTTCACTGAAAGCTTGTGGATCTCATCGGGAGCGAGAAACGAGAAATCCACACCTGCAAGGTGGGATGCCACGGGAGATGCGATGTTCATGGTGGAGGCGGAGGATGGTTTGAATATCGCAGAAAGTGTTTTCCCTAATGAACAGCCGCCGGGGCGACCGCACTAGAGTCTATGAGTCTGGCTCAAAGTCTGCATTTGCTTTGGAAGGTATTTACGCTTTCATATCAGTAAGTCGGAGTCTTGATCTGAACTTGAATCTCGATATTTTCCAAATTTCGATGATCCGTGCACCTGGAGAGGGTCAAGTACTCAAGTGTGGCTGAGTGGCTGAGGATTGTGACAGGGATAAATCTTGTGCTCCCATTGGTCCATTCAGGCGGACGTCGTCACATCAGAAATCTGCTGTCGAGTGGGACTGTGGGAGAACGAATCTGTGTCCATTTCCGGATAACTGCACTGACTTGAGCAGCTAGTCATATCCTCTCATCTCCAGCGAAAGATCGTGGATATTACATATCTGATCAAAGTTGAGCGCTCAGTTACAAACCAGGGTTTAAACCCCCGATCCCCAACATCTCGAAGCGTGATACATCAAACGACGATATCTGATCTGTGCTTCCATCGACGGATGGTTAAATATGCCTGGGCCAGTGTCAAATGATCAAGTTTGTGTATTGTACTACTCTCGTGGATTTTCCTGACTGAAACATGGCAGTTCTTCGCACGGGTGGGCGAACTTCTCGAAGAAAACAAGAAAGCAGGACATGGATCAGTATTCTTCACCCAGAAACGATGTACGAATTGACTTGTCTACAATTTATTAGAACCACCTAACATTTGCTAGTAACTCCCTCGAATGTCCAAAATGCTGAGGACAAAGACCCCTTATGGGATGTGAACCTTCCAGGTCCTTTCGCCGTCTTAATTCGTGCTACCAATGGCAAGTCCAAGGAGAACAGAGACGACAAGATCAAAGTTTCTACGGTCGTACAGCCGGAGAGCTCAGAAGAATTCTTTAAGCAGTATGCTGATGTGTGCAAAGCGGGCATGCAAGCGTTAAAGCCAAAGGACCGAAGCAAACGAAAGAAGAAAAAGGCCAAGAAGAGGAAGGGACCTGTGGATGGAGAAAAGAAGCCATGAAAGGGCGTGCATGTGGTTTTCGAACCATCCTATCATCTTGTGCAGCAAATTGAAGAGAGAAGACTTATTCATAGGCAGTCAAAGCCACCCGCCTCGGCTGTGTTGGACTCAACAGCTATCCAGATGAAGGTATCATGGAGGCAGGGAAGCACATCAGCGAGCACCAGAACATCACATTGTGGAGAAGCGATATGAATGATGAGGGGACTTGGTTGCTAGGTATTTACACACCTTCTATGCGGTAAAAGATAATTCCTTCTATAGGAGAGTGGCAATTACTCAAACCCTGTATCTTCAATGTGCCTTTTCTTCTGACCCTGTACACCTCTCTAGCTGATTATACAAGCTAGTATATTCTGCCGAAGTCTGCTCAAGTCTGCCCAATTCTGTGAAACCTCCATATCTCGAAGCCATCCACTAGGATCGATTTAGCTCTTCTTCGCAATCCTTCCGCTTCGACGAAGTCCAGTCTGTTTCCGAGCCACCTGGCAAGCTAGCCAACCGAACTCGATCTCCATGCTTCTTTCAGTTATCGGCAGGAAAGGTTCACCCCCCCGAGTCATCTTCAAGCCGATCGTGGCCTTGCTCCCAGGGCTTTTCTGCCTCGTTCTATCCGGTGCGTCGAGGCGTTCCCGCTCGAGTTGTCGTCCAAGGTGATTGTTGATAACCACCATGTCTTTGAAGAAAGTTGCATAGCGGGATTTTTCTTTCAGGCGAGAATTTGGATCTTGAGCTCGACGTATGACGCCGTTGTCGATAACCGTGGAGTTATCCGTGCACAATGCCTGGACCAGGTCCTCCTTCAATTGTTCATCAATGGGCCCTTCTAAGATCAGGGTTCGTATTTTGTGCCGTTCTCCAAGCTGAAGAAGACTCTCGATGCATGCCTTGGGTTTGGGTTGAAGTAGAAATTGGCCGCAGAACTTTTTGCTATGGTCTGCATCTGTGATGTAGCTCCAGAGAAAGTCATGGATTTGAGACAGCTCGTCTTCTTCCTCTGAGCTCTCGTCTGTGTCCAAATCCTGGAGCGCACATTTGCCTGGGTCCCCCACAAGGAAATGGTCGCCATTGACAGGTGGTCCAACAGCGATGAAGCTCCGACGAGTGAAAAGGACGCCTGATTCGACTTTCAAGTGAATCTTCCTCCATGTATGTCCGACACACTGCTCGAAGAGAGTTGCATACATATCGTCTTGAAAATTGCTGAATTGGTTCGCGTCTAGGATGAGTTTGACTTCCCGGAGAGCCTTAGTGCCAGTGAAGTCAGGGGTCATCAGGACTTCGAGAGCGCCATCCTCCTTGTCGAGATTTAATCGGTGAGCACCTGTACTCTGAGTAGGAGTAGTCATAGTGGCTGATTGTGACAATGATCGGGAATTTAGTGAATTCGAGTATGTTGCGGTTGTGCGGATAAAGAGTGGTCGCTTTCAACACATCAACAAAACTCACATCGCATGCACCAATTCTCCCACAACAACATGCGGATACGGTTCTCCCGATCCTCCGGGATGGCACACATTGATGATTTGCAATTTGGATTCACTGTCAAAGTCCAAAGGAAGCGTTGTCACCGGAGACTGTATTATAGGCTCTCCACCAGACACCCATATTCGCGGCAACCAGTAAGTCCAGCATTTTTATACCTTCATCTTCAATGATCAGCTTCCCTAACTTCGCCTTCTTTCCTCCAATGCCTCCGCCTGCTTTTTCTTGTCCCAAGGCAAGGTTAAGCTCATCAGTTGGCGGACGAATGTGTTGTCCTCTATCCCTCCCAAGGCTAGGCGTGGATTTCGTCGGGAGTGAGGCTTCACTATTGCTTTCACTCTTCGTATACCGTATTGGTCCCTCCCTCGATGCCGTCGACACGGTTCCAGGGAGATTGAATCGAAGTTCGCTGACGACAGAAGGAGGACCGATTGAAGCCGAGGACCCAACTATTGGAGAATGCTTACACTACCAAGTTCAGCGCTGGATTGCTGCATCATCGAATCCAACATACCTTGAGAGACCCTGTCACTAAACTCTCAATAAACTCACACCTTCCACCCCAAGGGCTTAGGAATGTATAGCATCTCTTCGCAGACCGTTTCCGTTCTGTTGCTGACAGTTCAAGCCGATTTTGGGAGGGGCCGAAGGAAGACGGTCTATGACCTCCCGAATCAAAAGACGGCTTGCTCTGGTGTCGGCTGCGGACCTTGAGTGCCGCAGTGAATCTGCTGGTGCTATCATGGGAATGGCTCTTCCGGTGGCCATCAGAAAACGGACGCTCGGAGATCTGAGACCCCTCAACCCAAATTCGGCGCCAAAACACGTCACACCGCACCCGACGATCGTCCGACACCGAGAGTTGCGATTTATTGATTCCTGTAGTTGCGGAAGCTATAAACTTGCTATACCCTGGGTTGCTGACCTCCACATACAGAGGGGTGCCACTTTTGCGGATAAAGGTTGCCTCGCTTTTGGAAGGGTGCGAAGAGACGTTTATCGGAACTGGATCGGAGATTGTTGCTACATTCCATTGGGAATCTGATGCCGGATCCCTTCGAATAAGCGTGAGCACATCCTCGGGGGGAAATCCGTGAGAAGCTATTCCGGTCGGAGTCATCGATGTGGTTTCTGTCGATATGTCCATGCTAAGAGAAGGCGGGTGATCACTAGAGTCTGCGACTAAGCTCCTTGGACCTGGATAGGCGGATCTAGGAGAATCTGGATTCCGATTCGGGGGCTGTTTCCTAGCAATTCGAAAAGGTGACGAGGCCGGCTCGTTTCTAGGACCTTTCGGTGGCCATCCAAGTCCGTCTGCTTCTGGGATAGGAGACGACCGATTCCAAGGCTCTAAGTCTGGCAGATCCGGGAGAGGCCTAGAGTTGCTCGGTGGCAGACCATGTTCGGACACTGCAGGCAAATCCTTTCGAGGGATACGGTAGCTGGAATCCAATGGAACGGCATCCTGTGTTGGGAGTCTCTGGCTTCTTGCGGACTCAAGAAAATCCTGGTCCTCTGGTCGATCGACATGAACATAGTAAAGAGCGCTAAGCACGTCCTCTGCGCTCACCACTTTATCTCTCGGTTTGACTGGTGTCAGGAACATGTCTTGGGTGGATTAGCGATGGTTGATGGCAAAACAAGTAATCACCTTACCCCGACTGCCAGGAACACGAGCGATATAAAGAACAAGTGGATCTTGTCTTTCATGAGTTGGATTGCGTGGATAATCAGGAGGATTAGCAGCAATGGTTGTAATCGTCGAAAGAGACCTCGCCTCGACGGGTGACGCCATTGAAAATGGTTTACGACTTCAACAGATCGAATTGATAGAAACAGCGGGTCGGACGTTGCTTAATAGCCTGTCTCCAAATATTAATAGAAAAAAATATTTACTTCGATGCAAATGGACTGCTGAGGTGGCTGTGCGCAAACTGGATGCGTGTCCCCCGAAAAGCTGACGATCTGTCCACGATCTTCTTGGTTAGTGGTAAGCATTACGGTAGTGAGGCTGATATGACCAAAGCATGGACTTATGCTGGCCAAACCATGAGTTGGAGACACTAATTACAGGACGGTCCATTTGATCTGATGGAATTAATACGATCTGGATACCTCCGGAGTGAGAGCGGACTCCTTCCCGTTGTATCTTCACTGTGTCACGTGCCAGTGGAAACGAGGAAAATTCTTGGCACATATACTAACCTATTTAGGTTTAGCATTGCTGATGACATAATGCTCAGCATGTGTGGTGCCTGATTTGTTAGTGCCTGTCTGCCTGACAGCCTGAAGACGCACGTTGACGCGACACCAAGTCGTGCTGCCTACAGCAAGGAGCTTTGTTGGAGCTCTACCATACCAACACTCACATCAAACTCTCATCCACCATCTACCTTTCCTTCTGCTTCTTCATTCCTCGTTTAATCCATCTCTTCTTTCCCTTACTTAACCTTTCACTGTCGGAAGTAAACCCAGAAGGATGGATACCCTCGTCTCCCGATACAGCCGCCCGGCTTTCGTCGACCGCGAGTACACAGCAGAGGATCAAGAAGACGCCTATCAAGCCACTCCTTCCCTTTCACTACAATTCGCATTACCTCCGGTTTCACAGGTGAGCATTACTTGGCTTCTTGGATCAAGTTCGCATTGCTAACGACATGATTAGGCATCATCATGGCTTCGAGCCATGACCGATGACCACTCCAACCCTAGTTGTCCCATCAAGATCGCTCACGGTACTACCACGCTTGCGTTTCGATTTCAAGGAGGCATAATAGTTGCGACCGACTCTCGAGCAACGGCCGGGAACTGGATCGCAAGCCAGACGGTCAAGAAAGTCATCGAGATCAACAGCTGCTTGCTCGGAACCATGGCCGGCGGTGCCGCTGTATGTGACACCAACAACATAGAGCGTTCATCATCTGACACTACCTAGGATTGTCAATACTGGCTAGCATATCTCGGCATGCAATGTCGGCTCCATGAACTCCGACATAAGCGCCGAATTACCGTGGCGGCAGCATCCAAAATCCTGGCAAACTTGGTATATGCCTACAAAGGCATGGGACTCAGCATGGTAAGAAACCGTTCCGATACACTTGTTGATCATCGACGCTAAAATGTTTGAATAGGGTACGATGTGCGCTGGGGTCACCCCGCAAGAAGGCCCAGCCCTTTACTACATCGATAGCGACGGAACCCGACTCTCTGGCAACCTCTTCTGTGTTGGCTCCGGTCAAACCTTTGCTTACGGTGTCCTCGACGCCGAATACCGATACGATCTGACGGAGCAAGAAGCACTTGAACTTGGAAGCCGAAGCATTCTCGCCGCCACCCATCGAGATGCGTTCTCGGGAGGATTCATCAACCTTTATCATGTGAAGGAGGATGGCTGGGTGAAGCATGGATTCAACGACACGAATCCCATCTTCTGGAAGACGAAATTGGAGAAGGGCGAGTTCTCGAACGTTACTGCGGAGCTGGATTAGGATAGTCATTCGGAGGTCATGCAGCACTTTGGGCGTTTCCATCAGGGTCAGATCGGGTCATGGATATATCTTCGCGACGACGACTCTTTTCTCGTCGACTGTAATTTCTACATCAATGTGATACCAGATCCTGCGGAGAGCCCTTAGGTATTACTTGTGAATGCGTTTAGTGGGCGTCTAGCCTCGTCATCCACGCAGTGAAGATCATGGTTGGGAGTTCACGTCGCCCTCCAGTTCATCATATTCTTCCCTGCGACTTATAATGAAGCTCTCTGAGATATATCACCCCATTGTGTGGAATTTTAGCGTATGGTTAAACGAAATTGTGTCCCAAGAAATGCTCAGTTATGTCTCATAGAAAAGAGTTCTAGGGGCAGTAGGCAGATCCAATATCCTTTCGGCCTTATAAACATTGTAGTACAAGCGCTTGATGTCAAGTGTCCCGCCCCATGGACGCCATTCGGGAACATGCCCATATGCAAGTCTTTATTCCAAGTCTTCTGGTCTTTTAGGCGGACCCTTCCGTGCTGGGCTATCACCAACCTGATCATCCACCAGATTCAATGGCGGCGGTCCCATCAGAGAATTCCCTCTGAGGTCGCCCGTTCTCCCTTTGCTGCTCTTGCTACTCGAAGGAAGCAATGATTCGCTTTCAAATGGGATGCCGCCGTTCGGGCCGTTCGATTCGTCCTCGTCGGATGAAATATCAGGCCCGCCGAGTGCTCGATCGATACCCTCCGAGTCGGCTTCGGCTTGCATTTTCCGATACTTGATGTAATTGTATGCAGCGATGGTCGCAATGGTAAGAACCAGGCCACTGATATTAATCGGAGTAAGCTGGTCGTCAAAAACGATGCTCGCGGCTGAAATGGTGACCACCTCTTTAAAAATGCCGGCAATGGACAAGGTCACCACCGATGTCCGTTGCAATAAGGCAAATTCGCTGGCTGTCATACAAAACGCAAGACAACCCGGGAATAAGAGAGCAAGAACACCAAACACGGTCCCCTTCAAGGACATGAGGTGAGCAAGACCTCCGCCGAGAGCGAAAAGCCCTTCCACTGGCACGGCGAGGGCGAAAATGGTAATAAACATAATGGGGGCTAGAGCGAAGATGCTGGAAAATGGATTCGATGTTGCAGGATGGCGGAGGAGAAGGATCTGTGTAAGGGACCAGCGGAAACCGGAGGAGGCGGCGGCAGACATGACCAGCGTGAACCCAAGGGGATTGAACTCGGTTTCGCCTGCGACCATCATTATGACACCGATGGTCATCGCGAGGATGATCATAATCAGTTGCCACGATGGCTTCTCGAGTCGGAAGATGAATGCAAAGAGTAGCACGAATCCTAGGACCGAAGACTTGCACATTGCTACATCACCATTAGAATATTTGCCGACAAAGGTGGGGATGAACTTACTATAAAATGTCAAGGATATGAACCGCATGCTCATATTCCCTAGACCGATATCGAAACTGGTAGCCGCACCACAAGGCCCGACTCTGGTCAAATAGAACCACTTGGTCATCACAGGTTTTTTCGGATCGTACATATCCTCTGGTTCATCTCCCTCCGTTCGGGTATGTGCATTAATCGAGTCGTGTCGGGGACGGAATCGTGGAAATATCCATAAGACCGTTCCGGCCAAGATGAATTGAACGACCATGTGTAGACATGTCGTAAAAAGAGGGAATGGGAAAATACGGGGATCGTCTCGTAACCGATGAGCGAGGGATTTTGTGGTCTCCTCGTCGCCATCAGCGGAGTGTCCCTTTTCTGAAAACATCCATTTATTGTACTGGCATTGTCAGCTAGGTTTCCCATATCACGAAGGGACTTATCACGAAGGAACTTACCACGGAGATTGATATGGAAAAGATATACCTTGCCCATTGTTAGATTCGACCATTCGTTCAATCAGAAGTCCACTTACCAGAGCCCGATCAGTGTCCCATTGTACGCGATATTCCTCCAAAACGCCGCCGACTTGATCAATTCCCTTTGATCTTCCTCTCCCGGGTCATTGTTCCATCTTCCTCCACCGGAGCCTCCAGCAACTCTCTCGTCTAATCTCGTCTTCGTCGCCTTCCTTTCCCTTCTCCGCCTCTTATCCTTTCCCGTCAACCCCGTCTCCTCATCGTCTTCCAACCGGTCGTCGTCTAGGTCGTCTATTCCATCCATCTCAAAATCCTCGCTACTCCTAGCGGTCATACCGGATGACTCGGATCCCACCGAGGCGTCAAGCCCGCCGTGCCGCCTGTTATCGGCCTCCAGATCGCCGGCGGGACGGATTGAGCGCGGTCGATGGTGCGGACGTGAATCGGTGGTGGCTGATGAGGTTGCGGTGACGGTAGGCTCGACGGGGTACTTGCTGGTCGATCGACTCTGGCGGATATCGTCGCGCTTGTGCAGTAATGCGCTAGGTGGAGGAGACTTGGTCGGTTTGGGAGAGACAGATGATCGATTGTTGTAGTGAGAAGGGGTCGGGATGGCCATACCAAAAGGATGGGGTCATAGACGTCAGGCGTCAGGTGCCCGAAAGGGGTACGCTAACGGGGCGATTCAATCACGGGCACATTGAAATGAACGGATCGAGGGTCAAACTGCAAAAGGTTCCACGAAAGCGAAATGGAAGTGTATCTTTGTTGATTAGTGTTGCTTTGAAAGTGATTCCAGAACCATGAAGATTGAAGCCAGAACTGAGAACATGGCAAAGGTGTGTCCTCCATGCACAGAGCAACGGGGTAACTGACCAGGGAGTCTGGATAGTCGAGATCTCCGGAATACTCCTCCGTAGTTCGTACGGTAAGTAAAGTAAGTAAGAGCTAAGGGATATTAATAATTCATACCCGATGAATCCGAGGATCGTGTCCATCCGGATTCTGGAATACTAACAATACGATGTCTTTAACTCCTTATTAAGGTATTCTAACCGAAACCTCCTTAGTGGCCATATGAAGTCATTGGGCATATGAGACTATTGCGAGTGAGATTGTGAACCAACTGCCTGAGTCCTGAGTCCTGCCTCTTCCTGTTGAGTAGCCGTATCCGTACCCGCACTGCTACAGTATTATTACGACAGGAGCCGCATAAAAATGCCCCTTCAAGAGACCCAATATTATGACTGATCACTGAATCAGCTCGGTATTACGCCCATGTTTCGCATTCCTGGTTAACCAAGACCCCGCATTTTCTACATACCGGCATACCGGCCATATGAACCGCGTCTCTTCGAGCCAGGATATTCAAGATGTATGTATCGAGGCTTGGTGACTTGGGAATTGAGCAATAATTGAACATCCCCATCTAATCTCTCAAATAATCTAATCCAGCATGTCTACTTTCATCCCCAAAGAACTCAAAGACATCACGAGTGAAGTCGCAGCCATTCTCATCGAGCGCAAAGAGACCATTGCCGTAGCCGAGACAGTTAGCCATCGATCCCCTTGTCGTCCTTCGATTCTAACCCAATTCCAAGGCAGCGGGCGGTTTAATATCTGCGGCCCTTCTCGCGATCCCAGGTGCGAGTGGCTACTATTATGGAGGATTAACGGTGAATAGCCATGCCATGATAATCGACGAGGGCCGGTAGAAACATGAAGGCTAATGACAATCAGCTCTACACTCTGGCAGCCCGGATCGCCTACGCTGGTTGGACCCAGGAATCCGTAAAAGACTACAAAGGGCCGACTCCTGAAATTGTCGCGGGCTTGGCAGATCATACACGACGGACACTCGGGTCGACCTATGTGGTGTCGGAAAGTGGTACTGCTGGACCGACAGGTGGACAGTCGAAGAACAGGACGACGTAAGTGATATCGATGGCTTGGTTGAATGGTGCGTTCTCTTGTTGACGCCGAACAATAGAGGTTACGTTGCCTTGGCTGTGAGCTCGGAGAAGGGGACCGCTACCAAGGAACTCAACACGGGCTTGGGTGGTGATCGAGAGGCAAACATGGTCGCGTTTGCGATCGAAGCCATGAGACTTGTCAAGGAGGTGTTGAAGGGAGAAGCCAAGTTGTAGGCAAAGATGACGCAACACGGGTCTGGTCCAGACCAAAGGTCGAATTAACACGATGGTCCACTGAATATGTAAGAATACATCGAGTACGGGACGATCGGTGCAGAGGATTCCGGTCTTGTATTTGAATCCTGTCCCTAGATGCCTTGGGACTCCTTGTAGGTATTTCTAAACGACTGATTGATCCAAAAGAACGAGATGACATTTCAGGAAGTGCCGAAAGTGGCCATGAGTGAGAATTATACCGGAGAGTCATCGTTATTGTCGATATCTGTCTGCGGTGACACATTTGAGGAAGCCAGGGTGGAGCTACTTGGAGATGTACTTGGAGAGACGATGTATAAGTCCCGGAATTGGTCGAAAACCAGTCTCCTCCAGTACACATCTATTGGCAGACCGACCGAAGCCAAATTGAGCTTCATGCTTGGATAATCGGCAAACTCGGCTCGTTCTTCCTCAGGAAGCAAGTCTTCACCGAGGATATCTAGATGCGAACTGCCACGTGGGATTGCTTTGCGGGAACAGCGGAGGCCGATATCTAAAGGACTTATTAGGGGATGGTCAGGGAGAAGAGGCGGAGATACTCACTTTCGTCTAACTCTTGTGCCAGACAACGGAGCGACCATACTCGGATGCCGTCTTCGTGTCGGTATTTGTAAACCACGACCCTAGTCTTGTCTTCTTTGTCTAGGCCGTACCTCTGGCTGTTTGTCGAGGAGATCCCCGACTTGCTCAATGGTTCTGGAGTGTCAGTGGCCATGATACTGTACTGGATCCAATCGCGAATATCGAAAAGCTGGGGCTCTTGCATGGCATCCGACACTAGGACAGTTGCTGCTGGTATGGTTTATGCTTCCAAATCGATGCGGATGTTATCAAGACGAGGCTGCGTGTTTATGTCAGAGGCGTGAGTACACGAGGATGTAAGTCATGAACAGCAGCGCCTGGTCGGATACTACAAATAGGCAGATGATTGATTCAACGGAGGGCGCCACACAGACTCGCCGTGGTCAAATGTCTGATGAAGGCAGCACGGGAAAGTTCACTCCAGAAACTTAGCTGAGAATATGGATCAGTCATGGAGAAGGACATGCATGGTATGGTACCGGTAAAGTTGAAAGAAGGATGGTGAAACAGAGGTCAGAACAGTGAACAAGTATGTAACATGAAGTCACGAGTGAATCTGTTTTCCAGGAGGTTTGGCAGGATAGTTCTATTCTCTTCCACTCCTGTATTGGAACCCGATCAGGATGATGCGGGAGGACGATGTTGAACCGCTGCATTGGAATTCTGTCTTCAACCCGTTGGTTGAGATATCCTTTGTTCAGGAATCAGGAGGCGATGAGGCGTGCACTACGCAGTCGACGATAGCCGCCCCATGTGCCAGGCTGCCGCCGCTGTGACCGCCCACAGGAGCCCAAAAAACCACTGCTGCATATCTTGTCAGGTTTCACCTTTGACCTCCTGCCCCCGCCCTCTACCAGCCCTCCTCAACGGAGTCTCGAGAGGTACAAAGCCGTGGAATACGAAAAGAAGATAATGATGATGAGTTTTTGCCGCCCTGGAAGTATGCTTCGTGACCTGGACCATTTTCTTCGAACCCGAATATACTCACGCATCTCATCCCCATGACCGCAAGGCAACGTCTCCAGCATTCCCGACTAGAAATTCTCCGATCATGAGATGTTTCATACTCAACTCCTAGACTTCCGTAGTCTCACACCAACATATCATTTCTTTATGTTGTTAACTTACAATATTCGGAGCTCTAGAGGCTCACACCTGATACACATCCGTCGGGACTCTGCATCAGAGGGTTGACGGAGTGTCCCCTTGTCCACTACATTTAGACATTTGGTTTATTCATGCCGTATGCTCGATTTATCGCGTCTCTGTTTCTACTTGTATCTTTCGTCGCCCATTAGATAGTCGTTACAGTGTGGCTTCTCTCGGTTAATCACGTTTCTTGTCAGTTCCTTCGGTGTTCAACGGTCCTATTGCTATTGCTACCTCTTCATTATCTCACCTTAAACCTATCCTTGGACTGCCAGTATCATCGTGGAATACTCCTTAGTTAGCCGCTTACTGGTCCCTGCACTGACGGCCGTACGTCTAATGCGTTAAACGGCCGACCGCTTCGTTGACGAGAACTGTTTATCGCTTAGATGCATTATCCTCTGAAAAGCCCTCATCTATCTGTGTCACCTCAACGGCCATCGAGTCTCCATACCGGTAATTCCACGCAAGAAGATGTCAGAAATGGAAAAGCATGGGCAAAGACGGTAGATGAGCCTTGGGATCCGTTCATTCTGTGCCTGGACGGTGGGGGAATTCGGGGTTATTCGAGTCTTCTCATTCTGGAAAGCCTCATGCATGAAATCGCTGTTTGGGAGGACCGGCTCGAAGCTGAAGAACACCCCGAAAATGCTAGTCAACGACGAATATTCAATAGCGCCGAGTTGCTTCCATGCCATTATTTCGATTTTATGTATGGAACGAGCACGGGAGGACTAATAGCAACGATGCTAGGAAGATTAAGAATGAGTGTCCCTCAATGCATGGAGAAATATCGCACCGTTGGAGAAGAGTTGTTTGGCCGCCACCGAAGCAGATTCCCATTGGCAACGAAATATCACCACCAACCCCTAGAAGATGCCGTCATCGATATTGTCCGAAAGCACTGTCCGATTCATATTGAAGGTGGATGTACTGGATATGACCTTCACCCTTGGGAGATGGAAGCCAGCTTCCAAGCCATCGACATCGAAGGGACACCCCAAGAGCTGAAAAGGAGCGGCAGCTTTCAATGTCAGCCGACAGCGGATTCTAGCGACGGTTCCGAGCCAAGACACGAACATTCCTTTGACTTGGAATCTAACGACAGACACCAGGAACGGAGAATGGACCATGGGGTTACGTGTCCGTCAATCTGTCATACAATCTGCCTCACCGCTACCCATAATCAGCGCATCGCCGAAGCATATCTCCTACGTACCTACGACCACCGCTACCAGGATGACTGCCCCAGATGGCTGACACGATATAACGAAGGAGCTGACCCTCTGTGCATCTGGCAAGTTACACGAGCTACATGCGCCGCGCCGTTTTATTTCAAAGCTCTGGAAGCCGACATCCGCGATGAGGTCAAGGTGTTTAAAGACGGTGGTATACGCGAGAACAATCCAGCTGGGGCCGCCTGGAACGAGTTTGTCAGTATCTACGGTCCATTCCGCAACCCTGGGCTTTTGTTATCGGTTGGGACTGGTCGACCAAACATGGACCAAGATGGCTTTGCTAGTACATGGCCCGGACCGCTTGGAAAGTTGAAAATGGTACGGAAAGGGACGGAGAAGTTTGCAGTTTTCAAGAACGTCCTGATCAAATACACGGAAGGCGAGGAAAAACACCGAACGATGCTGAAACAATCCAAAGGCGAAGGTGAGAATACATGGTACAAAAGACTGAACGTTAGTGATGGTCTCCAGGGAATGAAATTGGATAATTGGAAACGAGGCTCGTGGACCGATGCCTCTGGCACGACAAAGGTCATCCCTGGTGGAGCCACCCTTACTCGGATCAAGGCTGCCACGGACGCATACCTGCACCGGGATTTCGATGAGCGGTTCGACACTTATGCGCCACCTCATGTGATGATTGAGCAGACGGCCGAGAAAATGGTTCGCCATCGAAGGGCTAGAGAACGAACACGCCACGTTAACGAGGAACGGTGGAGTACGTTTATGGGACTGACTCTTAGGAGTATGGATGAGAAGAGCGGAGCGAACGGCCACCTTTCCAATCCTGGATGAACTGGAGCCCTTTCAGTAAGCGGAACTCGGATTTGGAGTAGGGAAAACCACTATCCAGAGGTGCAGACTGGAAACATGATTCACAGTCGTGTAATACAAGCCCCTGGATGATATATGGAGGGAGGTTCGGGCGCAATGGACTAAGCGATGCATATTATTCATCTTAGCATTCATGGTTTCAGTCAACGAAAGCGTTCGATATATAGACAGAGATCACAGGCTTCGTTTTTAGGACTCAACGGAACATTATCATAGAGTTGGCTATAAAAACCTTTCACTTAGATATCGGCATAAAAACTACTGCATTGACATAGAATGTACGTGAGATATGATACTTCAAAGATTGGACGAAACCAAAACCGACTCGTGATCAGGCCAGATCAGGATGGCTCGGATCTCAATGGATTCCCGCGCATAATTATCCTTGTGCTCTTCATCCACGAAAGCAGTGTGTGGGCATGCCCTTGCTCTCCCGTGATTGTCGTACTGCTTGAAGATCAATACGTCCTCGGGTTGCTGAGCGTACTTGTAGTACCACCTGTGAACGATCAGCCTTTCCGCCTTGTGAACTTCGCATCATTGTCTTACCGATGAGCGGGATTGTACACGACTCCCATCGACTCTCGGATCTCTTTGAACCATCGATTTTGACGGATCACGAGATCCCGATGGGGCACGGTATTTGCGCCGGCAATCCCGAATGGATCTCTGTAGACTGGTTTGATGGGGCGCCACGCCTATGAGTGTATGTCAGACCATCGCTCACAAGTTGGAATAGCCAGGTTGGGATCTCCATACATTTACAATCATAAAGCGTCCATGCATGATTTCCTCTGTTTCACCTTCGAAGTGGCTGTGCAATGTTTTGTTCGACTGGATGGAAGAGAAGTCCAGATGGGCGGCGCTAACCCTGGTCAGTAATCGGACTGGAAGAGATATCAGTACACGCACTAGACGGCCGGTTGAGGCTTGACACCGCCCTCATCTTTCTTGTAGAGATTGACATGATTTTGATGGTTGTCAGTAACTCTACTACCATGATGGATGATCTTGATCTGAGGAGCGCCGGTGCTAAAATTAAGTTAGCACTGAATTCAAGGTCATCGTTGGTCGGATGAATCCAGGGAGCAAACGTACACTCGCTGGAGGAATTCTGCCATTTCCGGGTAGTACTCGGTCACGATCTTCTTCGTATCAAAAAGGTCATCTCTCGTCTTCATCACCGTCGATGACTGCTTCGCATACACGAAACCGTGCTTCTCGAGAGTAAATTCATGCTCACGGCCGCCGACGTCTTCCACTGTGACTTCAACGGATCGTTTCGGTGGGGTCGGATAGTAGCTGGAGTACCATGTTAGTAAGTGATATCAAGCCAAAGAGCCAACCTACATGTCTCCTCCCTGCCACATATCTTCCTTCCCACCCTTCGCCTCAAGCTGTTTCTTGTATTTCTCCTCATCAGCATGCCAAACGGTTGTTTTCAAGTCACGCCGCTTGTGGACGGTTGGTCCGGCTGGCTCCCCCGCGGTAGAGACGGCTGGTTGAGTTGACATGTTGACTTGATCTTCCGACTGAATGCAGACCGACTTGTTTGAGCTATTAGAGCCATCTTGGATTCATGAGGGTCTTCGTCGATGCTTTTATAGTTCCCGAAGCCAGTTATGGTTGATGGTAATGCTCTCGAATGGAATGTCGTTTAGATCCCTCGTTCGTCGTATACGACGTTCCTACCTAAACGACGAAGACATCGGCAATATGACAAGACCAACTCGCCGATAATAAACCTTACCGTATCGAGATTGAATGCGCAGTAAAGAATTGCGGGGGCCAATAGCAGCGCATCGAACCAACTCGAAGCCAAGGCGACCGCGATATACTTCGGAAGTATGCCGAGAAAAGTAGCCGAATGGAGGTGTGACACCTAACCTCTGATCCTCAAAGCGGGCGGCCTTGACCCTTCGATTGGAGCTATGTGAACTCCCTTAGCAAGAGACCTGCCCGCCTGCTTGTGGAAGTGCGCATGATATTGGAGTAGGATCTCGTAATTCTAGCTACGATCGTACTTGTGTCTTACGACCGTACTCTAGTCTCTAGTCGATGCTGGTACGTGAACGACAAATCGCGGGTCCTTCATTGGATGCCAAAGAAAGTGGCTCTACAGTCTACGGCGCAACGCGGGGCTGGTGGAGACGTGGAGTGGTGGGAACTGTCAACTGGCCAACTGGGAATGTAGTGGACATAATTATTACCGTATGTCGTGGCATTACCAGACCATCCAAGTCGGGGAGATTTACCACACAATCTGGACTCCGAAGTAATAATACAGGTAAATAAGTTAACATGAAGTTAGTCTGGGGAAGCTCCTAGACATGGATTTGGCACCTCTCATGGGATGTCGTCAGTAGCTCCTTGCATCACCACTGCTGACAATTGCACCTTGGAATCCGTTTGCTCTGCTTTTCATTCAATACACTGCTTTTTGCTTTCTCTACATGTTGTTTTGACCTTTGAGCCGTCGCAATTCTAGCTATCGGCCGTATATCATAACCGTTACCTGAAAATGTCATCCGAAGCGCCCACAGAGTCCGGTCATGGTGAGCAGGAACCGCTGCTCGGCGTAAGTGTCTTTGGAGTCTTGGAGATTGCCCGAAAAGCGGTACCTAACGGCCTTCATATTTCTAGAGAACCGGAGATGCCTCACAAGTCGATGGCAAGCCCTTGGTACATAATCTGGTTCTCGGTATGATCCTGCCGCTCAGTGATCTGAGATCTCCAAACCTCATGGCTGACGATTTGGAAAGGAACCGCCATTGTAGGACAATTTGGCATCTGGATCGTAGGTTCTACCGAATCAATTCATCATAGAACCCTATCCTAACTATATTTAGCAGGCTGCTATTGTTTGGTCCGCAGTGTTTTCAAACGATCTGATCTTGTTTTCCGCCCATCCGGTAAGCTCTATCATCCAGCTTCGCTGTAGAATTTGAGTCCAGCCAGCCTAACTGACCTCAAACAGCTATTGAATACTGTACGTGGATTGCCTCATTGACGGAGCGCTATGTGAAAAACGATCTAATCGTGAAATAGGCCGGCTTGGTGCTACTGACACAAGGAGCCTTGATCCTGCAGCCGACACATACCCCATCTCAGAAGAAGCGAGGAACTTACGTACATGGCTTTCTCAACAACCTGGGTGTTGATTGCCTCATTGCAGGTCTCGTCATCATTGAGGTCAACAAGTACAAGAACGGTATCCCGCATTTCGAGTCGGCCCATTCCATCTTGGGCTTCATCACATATGTCCTCATGTTTCTCCAGGCGATCGTCGGGTTCCTCCAATACTTTACTCCGACGGTATTCGGAGGTGAGGCGAAAGCCAAGGCTGTCTACAAGTATCACCGGATATCTGGGTATCTCGTCTTCACGCTAGCTCTTGCTACTGTATGCGCGGCGACTCAGACGTCCTATAATCGGTCGGTGCTCTTTATTCCGTTGTGGACTGTGATCGTTGCATCGGTGATTACGTTGATGGGGGTCGTTCCGAGGATCAAGAAGGAGAAGCTTGGGATCTCGAGTTGAAAGATAGGATGGTATTTGGCGATGGATGGACAGATGGTACACATGAGTGAACGAAGACGATTGCCTTAATTTCTAACACAGAGGAGATGGAGCCGAAGGTGATTAGGGTTTAGAGGGGAGGGTCTTGTACCTGGTCGAAAATGAAAGGATCCATGGAAGATCTGCAAGCTTCGAAACCGGTAGCATCTCCGGTTGATACTCGAGATAGGAGGTTCTTGGCTTCTTGCGGTACCTATCACGCTATCTAGACACGACATGCGGAGGATCTGTATCTCAGATAGAGAATGCCAGAACTAGCATCTAGACTATTATATTCATTCATTTCGTCCAACTTCCAAGCCTCCAGCCAATTCACCAACCTCTGTAGCGAGTAATCTGCACACTGGGACTGCACTTCAGAGTTTATTATTGGAAGTTTGAAAGATTGGATCATCACGCACCAGCCACGCGCCCACGCCCATTGGAATTTGGAAGGGCTGATACTTGATAGGAGCTGCTGCGAGAAGGAATCCTGGCGAAGGTGGGACGAAGTCACAAAGCCAGTAATTATATTGTGGCAACTGGCGTCTGGCAGGTATTAAGCGGTTGGGTCTTTTGGGCCTTGAGATGCAGTAGTGATGCACAGCAACGTGCACTACGACGTGCACTGTCGTCACACTGCACCACGCTCAGGTGCCTGTTCCCGCCACCCAGAGGAAGATCCAACGGTCCTACCTCTAAGGCTCTAACTGTCCATAGTCTATTAGTCTAATCCACCACTCCACCTCTAACCTCCGTCCGTACTCCGTAGTCCCACGGTCTGACGGTCTCCCACATGCATTGGTGCACATGCTAATTACACTTACATGGACCATCCCCCCTATCGCCATTGAACCCAGCGGACATTGTGCACAGAATCGCGACGTGGTCCTGACTGTTGGCCTGACTACATACTCTTTCTTGTCCCTTCCCTCTTGTGATCGAACACCGAGATACTTTTCCATCCGAATGTCGCCATTGTCAGTTCCTCGTGGCAATTTACCTTTTGCGCTGGGTGCAAACACCACACCTGCGCACCGACATATGCCCTCATGACCGATGCGCAGGCCATCGGAATGTCTTCTCCTCCCCTAACCACAAACGAAGAATCAATCCCGAACCCATTGTCGCCGATACCCCCTCCCTCGCGCGGAAACCAGAGTATCGCCGCCCCTCGTGCCTCGAGCGCACCCTCCTGGATCAATGCTTTGCGCCGACCGAGAACCTCTCCAGGACCGAGATCGTCCTCATTCAAATATCAAACGCATCTTTCCGGAGATATCAGGAGGGATTCTGGGTTGGATCCCAGCTCGGCCTCCACGGGGACACACGCGGCATCAGACAATCAGAATTTGACGAAGATCCCCAGCCTCCCAACGATTGTCGTGCACGATGACGAGAGCGGCAGCGGATATCAGAGTCATGGTAGTCGTCATGTCAGTGAAGGGTCCTCATCTGCCGCCGAGCCATTCCTACGCATCACCACTCCGATTCCCACCGGAAATCTTGACGACTTCACAGCCCCAGATACCTTAGAATTTTCAAAGAGGGGAAGCATACTTCTGTCTGGGAAACGCGTGGCGGATGGAACAAGCGTGGATAGAAGCGTGGCGGATTGTGGAAAAAGCGTGGATAGAAGCGATGCCAGCATCGGTAGTAACCCGGTTGAGCTCGAACCAAGGATTCCAACTCCTCCTGCGCCCAAGCAAAGGCTACGGATCCCACCTATTCGAGGCCGACCATTAAGCGGAAGGGTGCTATCAATGGATGATGCCATCCTATCGCGTAAGGTTCGGACTATGTATGACTATGGCGACGAACGAGCTGGAGACTTGGACCGCCCGTACTCGTCATTCTCCACATCCGATCACGGGCTCGTACAGGAGAATGACGGAGAGTTGCCGGATGGGGGGTCGCTCATGATCAATCGGACCCTATCACCAAACTCCGCGCGTCCCGCATCAGCCGCCTCATCATGTCGAGGGAGTCTATTTAAGCGGGAGCCGTTCGAATTAGCTGGAGGGGTCGAGGATTGGGAAGACGTTGCGGAAGGCCAAGTGGATCGGTACGGATTTATCTTACCCAAACCCACCGGTTCTCGCAATTCTTCCACCAGCCCCTCTCCTGATGATAGTCCGGGACTGGTACGTGTTGCCACTTCGCTGCAACTAGCAGCCGAGACGCCACGGCGAAAGAGAACGATTCGACGCTCCCCATCCAGGCAATCCGCGAGGGTTACATCCGCGGACGGTCCCAAACGTCGGGGCTCCAAAAGGTCTGCTCGATCTCCCGCCTCTGTGTACACCAACCACACTGTCACGAGCGTACGTACAACGACCAGCACGTTCCGAAATGCCACCAACCGGTTGCCTCATAACCGTGAACGACGCATCATGGATGAAGCGGGCGACATGCTGACACTACCTCACGAACTTGCGGAGCTTGAAGGAGAGACAGATGGAGGACGAACGGTGTCCTCGATAAACAAGAAAGAGTGGGAGCGAGAGGAGAAGTGGAGGAAGATGGCCAAGGCGAAACCGAGAAGTGGGACAGGTGGTGGCATGGATTTTGATTTCGACACGAAGGATGCGAAGCTCATCTCTCGAACGTGGAAAGGCATACCGGATAAATGGAGAGCAAAGGCATGGTATTCATTTTTGGAAGCCAGTGTCCGGAAGACTAGTGGAGCGCCTACGCATGAAGAGTTGGTGGAGCACTTCCATGAACTTCAAGATGAATCATCGGCGGATGATGTTCAGATTGACGTGGATGTGCCAAGGACGATTGGTAGACACATTATGTTCAGGAGGAGGTATCGCGGAGGGTGGGTTGAATGTTCGCACCGTTTCAGTACCTTGGACTGACTGGTATAGGCAACGGCTTCTTTTCCGTGTTCTTCACGCCCTCTCCCTCTATTTTCCAGAGACCGGCTACGTTCAAGGAATGGCAGCACTGGCTGCAACCTTCCTTTGCTATTATGATGAAGAGAATGCTTTCGTCATGATGGTCAGGCTGTGGCATCATCGTGGCCTTGATCACCTCTACCAGTCAGGGTTCGGAGGTCTCATGGAGTCGTTGGAAGATTTTGAGAAGAACTGGCTTGTTAAGGGGAATGTCGCTAAGAAATTAGTAAGTTTGCTCTCTTTCTGCCTTCACTACGACTACCTACCTCGTCCCATGGGTCAAGACTGTCGAACAGTTAAAGCCGATCAGTATGGCACTACAGGACCAGGACTACACTGACATCACACAGGATGAACTGAACGTTTCCTCCACTTCTTACGGCACGCGATGGTACTTGACCTTATTCAACTACTCGATCCCCTTTCCTGCTCAATTGCGAGTATGGGATGTGTTCATGCTTCTAGGCGATGATCCCTCCAGCGTTACCACAGGCACCGATGCTCAACCATCATTCGGTGGAGATCTTGATGTTTTACACGCCACCTCCGCCGCACTGATCGATGCGACCCGCGAGATCTTGCTCGATTCCGACTTCGAAAACGCCATGAAAACTCTTACTTCGTTCCTCCCTATTAAGGACGAGGAGATATTAATGCGCGTTGCCAAGGCGGAATGGAAGCAGAAGCGGAAAAGGATGGGGAAAAAGGTATGATCATGCTGCTGGCGACACCTCTCACCTCCACCGAGTTGCCTCTGCCGTTTTACACGAACATCTGTTGTTTTCCACAATAGAGCGAGACAATATAATCACACCCACGACATTCCCCAGCAGCCTTGGGACTAGTTCCGACGGGTTGATCGGAGTCCTTACATAAGAACGGACCACCCTGGTCTGAAAGGCATTTTACGAGCTTTTCTTTGGATGCATGTCTACTGGTTGGAAGCATTCATGGGCGTCTCTCTATGAGCTGACCGCCGCCGCTCTTACGATCAACGGCTGCTCGGAACCTTCTCATCGTTCCGGCACTTATTTTCCTTTGTTTGAAAATACCCAGGTAATCGAAGAGCGCATGGCATTATAGAGGTTGGGCCTGCACTGAATCGGACCATTGGGGCGCCTTTCAGTCCGAAGTCCGGATTGACCTTGCACTATTTCAGAAACCACCCTTTCTCGGAGAATGAGAATCTAATCTACAATAGACGTAATAATACTTACACTATAGACATAGGCTATAGCATTGATGCTAGAATGATCAGTCAATCAGTCATATCGTGGTCTTCAGCGCTTCGTTTGGAGTCACTGGAATTCGGTTCAGGCTTCCTGTGAACCATCTGATGAGTTTCCTTCCTAACACAAACTACCAATCGATTAGTCCGTCCCATTCCCGAAAATCATATGCCACTTGCAGCGTCGAAACAAGGAGCGGGTGTCTGACTGCCAATGTCATTGATCCTTCTTCACCGGCTTCCAGTTCAATCGTCATCTCGGATGTCTCCGAGGCGGGAGCAGACCTGCGCAAGAAACACGTTTTTCTACGATCTCCGCATGCCTCATTGGCTTCCCGTGTTGTGTGGCTTTCGCGTGCGCGATGGACTGCAGACAGGTTATGTCGATTGCATCCTGCTTGAGATATTTTGACAGTGAAGGGAACGACTCTCCTCCGTACCGTGTACTATTCGCTCCCGAACTCTCATGAGTGGCTGGATGTATGAAGATCGTCTGCTAGGGTTGCAGAAGCTGCGGAAGCAGTCTCGCTAAGGCCTGTTTAAAATCGTCATGTCTCTTCCCTGGCGACCTCCTTGACCTCACTCTGTCAACTGTCGGTTCAATTCTCCTGTATAGGCTCTGACTCAAGGTTTCAGCTTCCAAGGCAACCGGAACACCCATTTGCGTCGGATAGACCGATGGGAGAATGCCCTCTTCCCTTCATGGATGTATTAACAGGATCTTTGCCGGCAAGGACCTGGCACAGCAGCACTGATCTCACCAATGATAGCTTCCCGGCAGAACACTGAGCATAACTCTTGAGAACGGAGTGGGCGCTGGCCTCCAAGTGCCAAGCGTATCACTGCAGCTCGGTTCCAGCTTAAGGGACTACGTTAGTGAGCAGACGATGCCGCCTTGATTTTTGGCTGCATAAGTGCATATGATCTGTCATATGACGGTTCCTCGCCATATTCGCAAGAGGTGGAGCGGCCGATGTGGATCGCGAAGCACGAATTCAGGCTCGGACACGAGGCAGTAGGACTTGAAATGCATCTTCTCCCATGACCAGGTTACAAAGCCGGCGTCCAAGATCGGGATCTGTGTCGATTGGGTATGCGAATGCATCTCATAATGCTTTTTCGGCGAGATTTTCCATCGATTCCTCCACAAGGTTGCGTGTCGTCCCTCAGATCCAGAATCGCGTCGGGAATCCGACATATCACTGTACTGAGTGGCATGCAACCCAGCCACTCTACCCAGTACACATGTCCAGGCCTCGGCGGGGAATAAATGGCTGCGAAACTTGATGACGAATTGACGAGATCCCCGCATCTTGACTTTCGGACTTGGCGACGATTGATGTTCAACACCGCGCCGATGATTTGGAGTCGGAGATATTGTACTCACGCAAGTCGCAGTATTCGTCAATCGATTCGGTTAAAGTGGAATTTTTGCGATTTAGCGATTATTGACGCGTTGGACTTTCATCATTCCACTGGGACTACCAACGATCTCTAGTAGAGGGGCATACGGAGTATACAGCGTGATCGCTTTCAAGAACGCTTCATTCCTCAAGCTCAAGGGCCAAGGCCCGCTTGATATCGCGATTTACGATCGTCTATTTATGGATGGGAATTGATGAATTGATGGGCTTCACCAATCTTAAATCTTAATGCTGAATACTGGGATGATTCCGATTTGCGACGCTACCGAGTCCCGACGGGCGATGTCCGACATGTCAAACAGTCAAGTGTCCAACAGAACCGCGAAAGGTCCTTGTCCAACTTGAAACTGGCTCCACCTCGGGTGGACAGTTCGAATTTCGAGTACTTTATTCGGACTGGTCAAGCCGTTTCCGATCATCAGAAACGCCATTCCAGATGACTCGGAGTGATGGAGATGAAGGGACTCTAGGAGGACCAGGATTGAGGCCCGTAAAAAGTTGCATGGTGGCGGGACAGGGCTGCGAAATGAAGGATGAGGCGAAATTGGCATCATTTCGAAATTCAAGGACGTATGAAATGTATGAAATCTCCGAAAGAAGCAATCCGGTACGGATCAATACCCGTTCGTACTAATCGGAGAAAGAGACCAACAGCTTCAACAGTCACCTCTAGATTCCGATATCTCCTACCGCACTATGGTCAGGTTCAGCATCAACACTTCCATAGAGAGAAAAGATAGCCTAGGATAGCTCATGGTCGTGAGATGTTGGATCGATCAACACGCCAATTTCCTGATCCAGCATAGACGGGGACGGCACGCATGTACCATGTACGATCCATCGACCATCAATCATCATAAGGGCCGACCGCCGAACACGTTGATAATGCCTGTCGACACGAGAACGCCAGTGACCAGTAGACAGTAATATAACTGAACGGTTTCCTCATGAAGCGCTTCCGAGATTGAACCATCCTAATTAAGTGAATTGGCACATGATAATAACTGTTCCGTTTCAAGTTTCAAGATGCGCCTTGCAAGGGAAGGCGAGATGAGATGAGTGAAATCGATGGAGACATGGACGGCAGACGGTAGTACTACTCCGTATTAACTATTACCTGTAACTACCTAGGAGGTTAGGACCTCTTTTATAATTAGCCACCGATTTAGAATGGATCAGAGGTTCAGCCCAGAAGCCAGAGGCCAGACCAAAATGAAAAGCCGTTGCAGTCCGTTCGTCCGTTCATCGATCCATGGCTTGGTGTCTCGCCAATCAGAAATGAATCCCATTATCAAGCACTCGGATAATTTATTCTTCATTTTTCATGCATCCCAATTCCCCGATTCCGGCTCCATGTTCTGGATTTGGCTGCGAAACAAGCCACCTTGTCCTGCTAATAGCTAGTCTACAAGGTCGACTGCTCATCGTAATCCCTCGTACTAACTTGTTATTGGTGATCTGGACTCCCCGAGAGGTTAGGACCGTTAGGTAGATGATAGTTGACCCTCCATGTCACTCCATCCATCTCCTAAGTCCCCATCCTTTCTCTCCGTCACTCCCATCTCGTTCTTCCTTTCAATTCGGCATTTATTCTTCATTGGTGTCGAGCGGGACCCGACTGCCTAACACCATCCAACGGTTTGGTTTGAAATTAGTCCGCTGCTTCACGAGGACATAGACCGCGTTCTTTGCTCTCCAGTCTTCAGTCTCCACGACTTGATCCCCACGGACCCCTTTCACCATTTCCTGCATCACCACATGTCTTCCAGCCTCCGGGCTTGCATAGTTGCGCCGCATCTCGGACCTTTAGGTGTACAAGGTATAGCGCAGGAGCGCCACTTCGACACCTCTGGGCTCTGATACTCTGACAGTCTGACAGTCGCTGACACACACCACTGTTACCGCTTCTTACTGCATGGTCCCTGGAGATCCTAGCCTTGTCTGGTATTATCGGTGCCTAAATACCGCTTTGAAAGCAAGAATTACCCAGTATCCACGCCAACACTGGGTTTGTCCGTTTTGGAGTTTGGCCTGTCCCGTCTCCGCTTCAATCTGTCGCGTGGCTTTTTGGTTCTGAATGCAGACGGGCTGAGGTGGTTTAGCGTCTGTTTGCTTACCAGTTATCTCTCCCAAGTCCAGGCCGGCAGCTTCCTACCGCTGGGATCCCAGCTCATCACTTATCGAGGACTAGCTTGGCCTACTACGTAAAGTACCGGGCAGTCAACGCCCAACAGGGCTGGTAGACAGCCGTGGACTCTCAGAAAGGTGAAAGCCTTGTCAGGGACCCGTTTGTTTTGCCTGCACTGGTCTGCTTGGGTTGTTGTTATTCTCCGTCAGCGTATATCAGCCGCTTGATTGCCCTGTCGCGTACTTGGAACGAGGGAACGGCTCTTCAATCATCAAGACGGCTTATTGACTGTTGACACTGTTGGTCGCTGACGAAGTCTTTCTTTAAGGCCGCATTTTGGCGGCTGTCCACTCCTTATCCAACCACTTTTTCCTGCATCCATTCCACCTCCGAATCAGAAACACGCCTTCCAGTCGTCACTGATCTGGAGTGATCTACAACGGTGTTCCCATTCCTGTCCAAGCAGCCTCACGACATCTTGAATCGACGCCGCGCCTGCGGCAGAGTCTGTGGGAGTCGAGTCCGTCGATCCTCTCCCCACCACGTCCACGCAACCCCTCCTAGTCGATCTTCACTCTCCTCTACTATCCGTGGATTTAGAAACGGCACCAAAAACGGCTGCCGCAATTGAAGCGAATCATTCCCTTCCCGCCTGGTTCCTGAAACCTTGAGATCTTATTCCCAATCGTTGTTTAGATCTACTGGGTAGGGAAAGAAGAAGAAGGAAGGCGGCTTGCACCAGTCATCTGGGTCGCAACCATCCTAGTTGAGCCGAAATAGGTGGAATTCCTCCTAAGTACTGGATCCCGTCTTTAATTTCCTGTCTACATACCCGCCACAACATTACCTCATCCCCTGCTGTTCACATCGTATAGATCGAAGTTATCTGTATGGTTCGGAGCATTCCCTGTCTCAATTTTGTATTCTTTTCTGGACCTTTTCTACGTCTCATGTTTATCTCACTTGTCTATCCTATTCCTCATCTACTATCTAATCAAAATTTGGTTCCGATGTTCGCGCTTTCCACCAAGATCAGCCTCCATGTTGCTCACTCTCGGACCAGCACAAACAGATTTTGAATTCAAAGTTCCTCATGGTTTCGCTTCGCCACCGCCGTCTTCCAGGTCCCCTTCCCTTCTCTCCAACGGTGGCAGCTCATATCATCCCTTACCGGCGAAGAGAACCTCCGACATGAGCACGCATCGAGGGTTGCCGCCTCCGATAGGCATGGCATTGCCGGATCCAAGTCGAGGACCCCCTCCTCCTGCTCTACCACCATCTCTTGGTCAGATGCCCGCACCGCCGTCCCAGTGGCAGGGCGCGGAAGAGTCAATGCGGAACTGGCTCACTGCAAAAGCCGAAGAAGAGCGTAGGCGGCAAGAGGAGGAAAAGACACGCCAGGAGAACCTACGACTGGAGCAACGGAAGATTGAGCATGCGATGTTGAGAGATTCGATGCAAGGGGGTGTGCCGGCTCATCTGGTTCCCATGATCTTCGCGGGTATTGGAGGCGCCAATCTTGCCAACGTCAGTTTGGATTGGTTGCAACAGTATGCTACTCAGCTTCAAGCTTCGCAGCAACAGCAACAGCAAGTAGCTGCTCAAACACAACCGATTTCTCCAGACAGTCGGAGGGAGCCCCGACTGATTAATCCTCCACCTCCACCACCGAGTTATCCAATAGCGCCTCCGGTAGTGATTCCTCACAATCCCCAAGCTGCTCAGCCAGGATCCTTCTCTCCATACCCATCCAGCACCCTCTCTCCGAGAAGTAGAGCTCAAGTTGCGCCGACATCCGCTCCTCGCCCGCCACCTCCGCCTCAGTCCGCTCTCCCGCGGCTGACAACGGGAGATATTCAGATTCAAAATCCTCCAACAAGCCAGCACCATGTACCTCACACCGCGCATCCTTTACAGTCCGAGCCGCCGTCTTCATCTCCATCGATCTATTTCCACCATTGGGTGCCGCCTACCACGCAAGGTACAAGCGGAAACGTTCCCAATACCCCATCAGGTAATCTCCTAGCGCCCTCAACTGGTCTGCTTTCGAGTTGATTTTGTATCCCCTAATCAACACCGAGTCGATAGCGCTAACTTTCTTTCGTTGAAACAGACTATTCCGCTTCGCCCAGGAAAAGGAAATCCCAAGGCCCCCATCCTCCACCTCCTCCACCTACCTCCATACCCCAATATACTTCTCCTTCATTTTCTCATGGGTCTTCAGCTGCCTCTACGCCGGGACGCAGAGGTCACGGAAGAAATCGATCGGACGCCTCCCGTGGCGAGTTCGCCGGACGAGTGGGTACCGGGAGTCGGCCCCACACGGCTTCAAGCGTGGCCGAGAGTGGCTTCTTCGCTGAGCCCTCATCAGAATTTACCCGAAGACGAGAAAGAAGCGAAAGTGGAAGTCAAGGGAGCCGCAGTGAAGCGGAGAAGAGACGTAAAGTGAACATTCCGACCGGTTCGGAAGAGCGGGGGAGGGGGATTGCATAGCGCATTCCAGGACACTGGTTGGTTGTACTATGCCCCGGAAACGCGGAGCGTTGGCAATGATCATGCCATTGGGAATGGTCCGAAATATCATCCGGCCATATCGGATTATAACTGTCCCCTTCGAGGTTGCAGCCGGATCGGCCGGTCGGTGAACCCCTTCACTGTTTCGGGGTCACGGATTTTGCGTGCAATTCAGCTGCAGCCAATATTCTCGCCAGACTGTCTGGCTCGAAGTATCTGACTGGAAACGTAACGAAGCTGCGTTAAAGAGCACGGTCGAAGTACCGATAACTGAAACCTTTTAGAAGGAGTCCCCTATCCCTCACGATTTCCGACCATACACACCCCTCTCTCACGACCTCGGTTCATTGGTTCTGGTTGGTATTGCATTTGGGAGGAGTCAGAAATCACATGTTGGCGTCACTCGACCACGAAGATTTATTCTTGAATGTTTCTCATCAGGGAGATAAACTCGGGTTTTACCACGGAGGCATCATGGAGATTTTGAAGGAATGGCTGCTAGGTCGGTTCTATCTACAAATAGGGGCGCAAAGAAGGGGATAGTGACGCCTCGAGCCATCATCGGTCGGTAAATTTCGGTTCCGCACATTCTGGAGCGTATCTGGGCATCTTGTCGGCCGCAAGGCTTTTTCTGACTGGAGGATTCCCCCTTGCGCTTCAATTTGAGCATTGTTTCACTTTCTGGCACCATTCGGATCCAAGATATCCCTTTCAACCACTGTATTAGCTTTGGATTTCGGCTCTTGTATCCTGTAGATATTTATACCCTCGCCGAAAGTTGTTTTTATACTTGGAGACTGTTAGTGGACCTAGCATTCCGCTGGAAGGGTGCTGATGGCAGCAGAGACAATAGTATGGTGGGGACGAACGCGATGGGGTTGAATCAAGTCAGTCACCCTGTAGTCATATTCTGTCTAGCCTTGTAAAGGAAAATGTAGTTTATCACGAATGTCAGCCCCGCTGAGCATGAGAAGCTAAATCTTGAATGCTCCAGTCCGAGCCCAGTCCATGGACCAACACGATGAGTTTGTACATCGTTCCGTTGGCTTGAAAGTAAATAACTCGTTTATTTCAACCGCTTGATCCTTCCTCGGACCCAAGTTGATTGTAAAATCCGGCAAGTGTCACCCTAACTTGACACATACGTCCCGCTCCTGAATCCTCGTACCGCCTCCACTGCCGTCCACCTTAGCTTCTGCTTCTTCTCCTCCGCCTCGTTCTCTTCATCCGCAAACGGATCGTGATCATCCGCACCGTCCGTTGCTCCGGCAGCTCCGATCTCCCCCAACATGCTCACTCCTAACCCGCTTCCCACGTTCGCCGCGTTCCTTCCGACGATTTCCCACCGCGCCTCGACGTTTCCGACCTTGACAACCCCGTCTCCCGTGAGGCGCATGCGCAACTTGCGCTGCGTGCCGGGCGCCAAGATTACGTCGTTGAGGCGCCAGTAGGCGAGGTTGCGCTCACGGTTGAAGTTGCCAGGTGGTTGCAACTTGCAGGAGTCGGGGCGTGCAGCGGACGTGTCGAAGTGGACGATGATCAGGACGTTGCTAAGCGTGACGGAAGGGATCGAACCGCCAGCGAAGACTGGGTTGGGCGTGCAATTGAGGATTACGTCCGTTTGAGAGGTTTCCACTCGACTAGCTGGAACAATGAGAAGGGGAGCGTAGGCCGCAAGAGAGTCCGAATCCAAATGCACTTGATACTTAAACGCGACGGAGGTCTTGATGATTTTCGCCAGGTCGACGACATAGGTACCCGGTTTGTCGGTGATCTGCTCTACGAACGTCGGGTTAGGTGCGACCTTCTCGAGGGCCGGGAAATTGTCCAGTCGGATGGTGTCGGTGCCGAAGGGAGCGTTGATGTCGGTAGGATTGAATGCGAGGGCAAGCTCGCCTATCACGTGTGCTTTGGTCACCTCACCCTTTTCAAACCAAGCGTTGACAGTCTCGACAACTGACGTATTCAACCCTGGGCCGTGCATCTCGGGGTGTTTAATAGTGGCACTGGCGGAGCTAGCAAGCGATCGGCCAGATCGAACCGATTGCGTGTCCGACGCGGCCAGATCGTCGCCAAGTCCCTGTCGTTGACTGTGTTTAAGTGGAGATGGGTGCGAAACTTGGCTGCCCTGATCAGGCGAAAGAGGTGCTGAAGCAGGTCCTAGTTGTAAAGGTTCCGTGTTTTGTGTTTCAAGCGTTGGAGATGGAACGTAGATGGTGTTTCGGACATCGCGACGTCCACGGATGGTTCCGGTCTTCCTTGACGGTGCTCCCTACTTGAATTAGCTATCCGATCATTCCGATTTCCACTAGAATCCAACTGTACCGCTAGTAACGCATTTTGGACACTCGAGAGGGCGGTGGCTGCATCCGCCTCTTCTTCAGGGATCGGAGCATTTCGAATCGCAAGCATGAATTGGGACCCATGGACGTCGGATGAGCTGGAAAGGTCAAGATCAGTCATCGTCATACGGCGTTGGCGGATCAACTCACGCTGCAGCTTCCTGTTCAGCTTGGGAGATGGGATCTGCAGACGAAGGTGGAACTGAAAATCCATCCGCATCCCGGGGCAGCTTGACAAGGTTAGTTGAAGTTCCGTAGCTTGCTTCGATCACATACCTCAGGGAGGGATATTGCTTCCGGTTGTACTGGTGCCTGGAGCGGTGAGGTGCTATCAGGTTGCGTTCCGTTAACTGTAGGACTGGTGACGTGAGGCAGATTTGGCTCTCCATTCGGCTTTTCGGACAGAACCGGGCTTGTTGTCATTTCTTGCCGAGATGGAGGGGGTTCTGGTTCGTGACTTGGTAAAGATGGTGAAGGCTCTTCCGGTATGGGTGCTTTGTCCCGATTCCTTCTGCTGAAAGGTGAGAAGCTATGGTGAAGGTTCGAGGCAGATTTTCGTTCCTGGGGCACGGTAGAAGTGTTGCTACTGTAAATCGTACTCTGTCTCTTGCGCCCGATCACGGTCCCGAGACGCTTCAGGCCACTCATACCTTTCCTAGCGGGCATCGATTGTTCTTGAACTGCTGCAGCGGATTAGTCGACATCATTACAGAGCTACTGTGAAACGTACTGGAACCCGATCGCTGACTAGACCCATCCTCTGGACCCGCCCCATGCTGCGACCGTGGAGGTGCAAGACTCGGTTGCCCAGCTGTGGTTGATGGCCTGCTCTTTTGTCGCTCTAGCTTTGGTTTGCCTTCCAGTGCCCTGAGACAATATGTCTTGATTTCGTCCGAAGTGTCGACGTTGAGCAAGGCATTCAAGCACCCCTCAGCAGAGATGCGACTCCGCTCCACTTGATCCACCTCGTGCGTTTGGAATTGTGTCAGGGCGTCTCGAAGGTGATTCCACCTGGTCTCATCCAGCGCCTGCAACTTCTCGAAGACGAATGGCGCGGTCGAGTCCCATTGGCCTTGGGCCGTCTCCATGTCCGCATTTGCGCTCGCAACCTTGTCCGCTGCGACCTTTCCGCCTTTATCTTTGAGCTTCTCTGCCTTTTTGTGGGAGATGTCGACATCTTTGGCTAGCGAGGCTAAGTTGCCGCTGATGTTCGTGAAGTTTTGCATTTCCCGATTTGCGGATGAGAAGTCGCGCAACGATCGCTCCACGTCGGCCTCGATCTTCTTCGCGAGAAGGAAGTGTGATTCCGCCATCGTCTCTGTCGCGGTTATGATCTTTTGCCATGGTGTTGTGAACGTCCTTCCAAGTCATTAGCTACCTGCTAGTCGGACGCTGGCGGAGATGTTACCCTAAATCAGAGGAGTCGTCCGGTGGTTGGCGGCGCGAAAGTTTCCGTAGTCCCAGAGCGTATTGTTCTTCAACGCGACGTCGTTCCTAGACGAACTCGTGTTAGATGACTACCTGATCAGCATGCGACAGAACGCAAGTACCTGGAGCCAATCTGCTATGTCCGCATTCAACCTGGAGACATGTTTGATGCGATCGTTGAGTAACGCAACGGCTTGCGGCGGCTGTAGGCTTTCCTACAATCCAAGAATCCATGATTAGTCTGACGTACACGACGATGCACATGCTTCGATGTAAGCGATATGCGGAAGGAATACTTACCAGCATAGCCGGATATTCCTGGCGCGCGAGATCCATGATGGGGGAGCAACGAGGACAAGAATTATCAAAAGCGAACACAGTCCATGTCCAAGATATGGAGGAACAGGGAGATGTCAACTTCGAGCGGCAGGCATTGAAGAGGATCGAGTTAGATACCCAATTGTGAGCAGGATGGAGGTATGGTAGTGGTTAATGAGATGTAAAGCACACAATAGGTAGGGTAGCTCCCAGATGCAGGTCACCAGGTGATACACGTACGCAAAGGTGTATGGATTAGGAGCGATACTGACATGTACCTAAGGAGTAGTAAGTACAGTGCTTCGTGGGCGAATCCGGGGGAGGCCGACGGAGGAAGTCAATCGGGACTCGGGATGTACGGAATATTCCATACAAGATTAGGTAACATACGACTAGGTAGCTAGCAGACGGTAAATTACAAATTACGATACATCCACGTGCACGGCCAGTGCAAAATAGGAGAAAAAGAAGCCTCAGGCTGCAAGGCGCCAATTCTAATATACCGATGTGGACATCGATGGACAGCAATTTGGACAGCAATTTCTCCACGTCACCCCGAGTTACCGAAATCATCACCACCCAACGCAATCTCCTTAGGTGCATTCAAACAAGCATTTCCATTGACTGCTTAGAGGATCTGTCGTGATTGCATTCTACCTATAGCTTGCCTATCATGACATGGACTCCAGTTCCGACCCTGCCAACATCCCTATTGTCCCAACGTTTTCAGCTTTTCAATCGCTCCTTTTAACAGCGTAACTACCTTGGATAGCGAGCCTTGCGCACCTGAGGGTACCGCCGCTGGCGGGTTGGCTGTACCAGGTGATGCCGGAGCTGCCGGAGCTTCCGGAACTGGAATTGATGGCTTCGTTGCAACAGGTGATTCAGACTGAACAGGTGAAGCAGCTCCTGCTGGCTCCGCTGCGAACATGAAATTGGCCAGCGCCATTGCTTCAGCTCCCATATCATGGTTCTGTGAATCGGGTCGCCTGTTGAATTGGTTAGCTTCTCGGTCGTCCCTCATACATGGGACGCCTTACAATTTATGCTTTGTCAGGTCATACAGCGACGTCATCGTCAGGATGTCTCCTGTCGAAACTTTGACGGCTTCCAGGCACTCGGTATATCCAGATATGGTCTCCCACGTATCAGTGCCGACCGATAGCGCCGAATCTCCCTCATCGCCGCCATAGATCGCATCGGAATGACAGACCAGTGTTCCGTTGCGGAAGACCTCGATGTTGATGGCCCCATCGTGTAGATGCGGTGCTGAAATTTGTCAGTCCAATCCCTTGGAACTTCCGGGAATCATACTAAAGTTGATCAGATAGCCATTGGCTCCTGCAATCCATTCATTCGACGTGAATGTAATAGGACCGTCCGCCGGGGGATCTGTTCCTGTCAGACAATTTATCATGTTCACCGTCGACTAACTTACGGAAGCCAAGACCCCCTTCGCAGCCGTCGATGCTAATCGATCCAATGCCAGAATTAAGCCAGCCGGGCTCACGAGGACCTGGAATATACTCGTAGTCCATGCTGAGGTAAATATCCTTCTCGTACGGATTATAGTTGACCGCCTCCACCATCGCCGTGAAGGTGTCATTGCTTCCAATGTAAAATCCACTCTTAACCTTCGGGTCTTTCGAGGCAAAAACTTGCGGCGACGCATCCTCACCGGTGCCAACGAGAACGGAAATCGCAGGCATTTGGAAACCCGGAGGAACCGATATACCTTCGGGAGCCATCGGCGTACCCTCCGAACCGGAATGATCATGTTGGCGCTTGTTCTTGCGGCCATGCGAATGGCCACCAGAGGGAGCCCCAGCACCGCTCCCCCCCATCCCACCCATAGCGGCACCGCCGAGCGCACCAAGTGAGTCAAACCCTCCCCCTTTGGTTCCGTTCTTGCATCTAGCTTCGACGGGAAGTGTCACCATCGGTCGCCCGATGTCCATCATGATAATATGGTGCGTATAAACGCCAAAACCAGTATCCTGTCGAGAACCGTTCGCGAAGGCCACTTGGGCTTGCGCTCGAAGGACCATACACCCGTTACAGATCCCAGACAAGACGACATTGAAAATGTCGCTATTCGAGTCTAGCTTGAGTCCGGCCGCTGGGTCGTGTGTGGCCTATCCTATCGTCAGCCACCTGGAATCAATGCTTATAGGAAGCAGTGGAACTCTACATTTGAGGACTGCAGCTTGAATGGGCCCCACACTTTCAATTCCCGCTTGGCAGCAGGATCGAACTCCGGCTCCAATGTAGAGATCGTCACGCCCTCCAGTAGGTCTCCGGAAGGAGTATCAAATAAGCCTTGCCGGGGCGCTGATACCGTTAGAGATCGATCAACTCTTAACGAGACCTACTCACCTAGTTTGCGTGGCACCGCTGCTGCCATGGCAAGGATAGGAAGCGAAAGAACTGTGAACGACTTCATCTTGAAAAACGAGAGCGAAAGTCCAGCCCTTCCGATTCAATCGAGTGCACTGGATCAATGTGGGATCAAACATTTTGTTCATTGGTCTCAAGCAACTTTATATGTAGTGGCTAGCCTACTCGGTTGTGATTTTTACCGTATGAGTCGTGCACATTTTTGGATGGGTGGAATAGTAGATGCACAAAGTTATGCTACCTGTCTTTATCCACGAGGACATGAATCTGAGCATACTAGTAAGATATTGGAAGCGAAGGTAAATTGCGGGTATGCGACGGAAAGAAAGATGGATAGATGAAGTGTAGATTGCAAACGAGGAATTCATCGTGGCGATCTTCCCCCAGGTTATTGATCGTCGTAGTAGCACTCTCTTGCGTTTGGGGAATTCCAAAATAAGGTAGTTGCAATATAAAAGGTGTTAAACCATCAAGCTACACCAAGCTTTCAGATAGATTATTCTGTAAGTTAACAGTAGATTCACGATGAGGTTGTCTAACACTTTGCCTCAAGATTACGGGGCTTGATTATCAATGTTTCAGGGCCATTTATATCTTCAATTTCCGGGGGCTATGCTATACATTGTTCCCGTGTAAAAGTACGGTCGTTCATCTTGTGATGGTGCGACCGTAAACCGCGTCAAATTCACTCCATGTATTGCTGACGGCAGAGAGATGCTTTGTGAGACGTTTCATATCCATTTGAATCTATTAGTACAGTATGCCAGCGATCCCTGGTCTTCAACCCTGCATGATCCGCTTCGTGAAGGTGCCATAAGGTAATTGCCGTCCATTACTCAATGCACCTTATCCACCAATTTCCACGGATATCCACTTCGGCTCTCACGGTCAGAGACCAACGCCCTCCTTGAATATCGAAGGCAGAAACAAAACCGAAAACAGCCTCTTGTGTAAACGCCATTTGACTGTAGAAATCACCCAGACATGGTCGCTCAAGTCGCGCCACGCCAGCAACGGAGCAACAGTTCCATTGTCAATATTCCTGGAATAAGCGCCACCGATGCATGCCCAGTTGGTCCGCTTGATGTGAGCTTCGGTACGAGTAACAAACAATATTAACAACTCGGACAAGTGGAGAAAAACCAACCCTCACGCGTAGGAGGAGAAGGGTGGTAGGAAAAAAAAACCCTATCTGCGGAGCTGCGTAGACTGCTTTGGTCGCATGAACGGCAAGGGTTTGGTGGGATCCGGTGGGTCAAGGAACGCCCCGAGGACATCGGACATTTCCTTGAAATCAACCGGCTTGGTGACGTACGAGTTGAATTGAGCTTCGACGCATTGGTTGTACACATCGCCCATGACATTGGCGGACAGGGCGATGATCGGCATATGGGGATATTGATTCTTGCGTTCCCACGCACGGATTTCTTTGCAGGTTTCGAACCCATCCTTGTTGGGCATATGGAGATCGCACTGGGGGTTGTTAGGATTGATCAGTCGGGTGGAAGGGTTGACTCACAAGAATGATGGAGTAGTAATCATGATTATGGACGAAGACAGCATCGACGCACTGGACGCCATCTTGGACGAGTTCAAGATCTATGTTTGCCTTCTTCATGAATTTCACCAAAACCTGGGCTCATTAGCCGCCGCACGCAATATAATCCAAGGAAACATACCTGCTGATTCGTCGGGTTATCCTCGACCAACATGACTTTATACCCTTTCTTCCCAAATCTCGTCGAGAGATCTTCGAACAGCTGCTTCTGAGTCATCGCCGTCGCCTGAGCGCTGTCCATGTTGCGATCTTTGCTCATCTCATGTTCCTTCCAAGGATCAAAAATCTCCGCGACTTTGGATGGCTTGACCGGCTTGAACAAAAAGTATAGTTTTCGGTCCGCCTGAATTCTCTCGTAGTCCAACTTCGGTCTCGCTTCCGTGATATCCTTCTTTTGATGGAGGTCGGAAATGACCACCAGGGAGGTCGCCGCATGAGCATCGGTGTTGGTGATCACATCCATAAAGGCAACGATCTCGTCCACCTCCTTGAGGTTTAAAACCACATGAGTGAATCGAACCGGATCTTCGCCGCTTAATAAATCCTTGCAATCTGCCATGTCCTCTTTCGCAGAGATATGCTGGGCGGATGTTTTCGGGAGGCAAGATTCGATGTGCTTCACAATGGCAGTCCTCGCATGAAGGAGTGGACAGACAACCAATATCGAGTACAGCGTGAGCGGCACGGTACTGATGCTGGCTGCTGGACTTTGGCCGCCTGTGGGTCCGACGGTCTCCCCACTTGCCTCCGACCGATCTCCAGGCTTCTCGCGACTTTCAGCAGGCAACTCCAGGTCAATGGGCACTCTGCTTGATTCCGGCAAGTATGACGATGCAGACGAGCGTTCGGATTGAATGCTGCTCCTCGCCGTGCGAGACATGGAGATCGAGGATGCTCCGGACGATTGCATGGAACTTCCGGGAGACGGCGTGTAAGGAACCGGAGATGCCGAATAGCCTTTCACGGTGGATATCGGCTCCACTTTCCCATCATGGGTTTCTCTTCGAGTTGTATTCGGTGGGTGAGAGTCCGATGTGGCGACGCGAGTTGGAGGATGGTCGTCATCCGACGGAAGGCGAAAGTTCAGTGTAAAGGTGAATGTCGACCCTTTTCCTGGAACACTCTTCGCCGTCAGTTGACCTCCGTGAAGTTCCACAAGCTGCATGGAAATGGCTAGTCCTAGTCCCGTTCCGCCATGCTGTCGGGTACTCCCCTTTTCGAGCTGGCTGAATCGTTTGAAGAGGTATTCTGCTTCTGCCTCCGTAAAACCGGACCCGGTATCGATTACGTCGAATTGAACCAGTGTTTGGAAGGGGTCCTTGCCTTTTGGTGTTTCGCAGAGCCGACAATGGACGAAAATTTCGCCTTGGTTGGTGAATTTGATCGCATTGCCGATGACATTGAGGAGAACTTGTCTGATTCGGAACTGATCGCCTTTGAGCATCCTTGGGACATTTTCTTCCACCAAGTAGTTCAGTTCCAGTCCTTTGTTGATGGCGAGCGCTGCGGTCAAATCATTGACCTCCTCGATCAAGCCACGAACGTGAAGCCAATCCATCGAGAGTGTGATCATTCCCGCTTCCACCTTCGAGAGATCCAGGATGTCATTGATCAGATTTCGTAGGCTTTCCGTGCTCCGCCGGAGGATTTCCACATTCTCCATTTGCTCGGTGTTCAGGGCGCTCGCCATCAACAGATTGACCATGCCGATGATACCGTTCAGAGGGGTACGAATCTCGTGAGACATGTTGCTGAGAAATCGCGACTTGGCATCCATGGTCTCCTTCAGGGTCTGCTCCAGGAGCTTGTGGTCATTGATGTCCGTGCAAGTGCCGTACCACAACTCGTCCTCATCTTCCTGGATCACTTTTTCTGCAAGCTGAACCCGCACCAGATGCCATCGATAGGTTCCGTGTTTAGATTTGAGCCGAACTTCGGTGGAGTACGAGGGCCGGCCGTCGGTATCACGAGACACCTTCAGAATACCCATGCCCGCCAGTTTCGACAGCTGCGCCTGAGGCAGCCTCGCAGGGATGGGAGATGTGGAACCAGGACTGGTGACGGTTTTGGTGGTCTCGATCGAATCATCGGATGGTGTCTGGGTCAAATCGGACACTGGTCGTCGAGGTTCCGGTGGCACGGACGTGGGCACATTCGTCGGCGCGGAACTTTCATCGTCCTCGAACGTTGGCAGCTTGCATTTCGCAATGTCCTCATGGTGCACATAGTCGGTGAAACCTAGTCCAAGAGCCTGTGACTCAATCTGGCCGGAATAGTGGAGCCACTGGGAGTTGCAGAAAGTCAACCCCTTGGATCGGGTGACCACAAAGACGATTTGAGGGCTGGAGTTCGCCAACGCTCGATATTTTGCCTCGGACGCCTCCGTCTCCTGTTGTCGGGAGGCATTTACTTCCGCCACGTGTTGTTCATGGATGTCCATATATGTCGCGGCCCAGTGAACGATGCTTTGTCGCCGGTCTTTAAGGGGTGTGGCGCGCACAAAAAACCATCGATATTGACCATCGAACCGTTGCAAGCGGACCTTGTGAGAGAACGGTTGCCCGGTCGCGAGAGAATGGTGCCACTGTTTCATGTAGTCGTCGCGATCTTCGGGATGGACGGCCTGCCACGGCTCGTCGAGGATTTGACGTGAATCCTGTCCGCGATACACATGAAATTTGGAATTGGCCCATGTCAATGCACCGGTGAGAGGGGCAGCGATGAAGATCTGCACGGGAAGGGAGTCAACGATGATTCGCAGAAGTTTCTCGGAAGGCGGCGGCATCGGGATGCTTTCGGTTACCGAGCTTGTCCTGACCAGACCAGGAGTGCGAGTGGTGACCGTTGTGGCAGAGGGAACGGACTGGAAAGTCGAACCAAAATCCGCCCCGTAAGAGTGCAAGTACGTGTGTCGCCGGTCTCCAAAATGAGTTTGTTTGGGGACCTTTCCTGCGGACTCTGGGCCGGGGGCGTTTTCCATGCCGACTTTCTCTTCGGATTCGCGAGGCTTGGGGGTATTATCATCGTGAGCCGTCAGGACTGGAAGTCGCTGTGCATGAGCTCGTCGGGCTTCTGGCTTCGCAGAAGTGCTGGCTGATGGGACTTGCGATCCAATTTCTGGTTCGTGAATAGGTCTTGACTTCGCGTCAAAATAGCTTTCCACCATTTCTGCACCTCCCATCGGTGCTGGCGTCCCATGAACTGAATGACGCCCAGTGGTAGAGGACATGCCAACGAAGGACGCGTCCCAACCTGGTGTTCCACTGATCGAGCCGCCAGGACTATGTCGGGAGCGACTTGAGTACTCCGATGGACTTGTTAAGCTTCCAGCACCCGATACCGTCGCTGGATCGAGATCGATGTTGAGCAAATCGTCAAGCGTTTCCGGCTCGGCAGACATGCCCGACAAACCAAGACGGTGACCGGAGCCATATCGGCGGTGAGAGCTGCGGACTGCTTGAAGGCGTGCATTGGTGAATTGTTGTGCATTGTGGAATGACGTCGCGAGATGAGGTCCAAGAAGCTGGAGGGATTTTGCAAGGCCTTGCGAATATGGAACTGTGTTGGACAACACCGATAAGATGGCAATTGGAGCTCTGCGAAAGACCAGTTGATCCATCGGGACTTTCGATTTCTTCTCTTTAGGAGGTTCTTTTCCCTTGCCCTGTTCATCCCGTGCGGAAGTGAATGGCATCAGCTGTGAGAGAAGGGGATGAATCAGGGGGACATGGATGACGGTGCTTGCTTTGTCCACACCGATTGCTTCGATCGGACCGTATTGTGCATAGTCTTGCTGGCTAGCCGTGGGATTGAAACTTTCTTCATCCACATTTCCAGTATTGAAGAAGGGGCTTTCCTCGGTTTCCGTTTGAATGGCGGGAGAGGGTGCAGGAGACTGCGACCAAGGTGATGTTGGATGCTGTTCGTATTCCTCGTATTGACCATGTTTCTTGGAGAGGGCGAAGTAATCCGGGACCGTCGTGGGTTCCGACGATTTCCCGGAGAGCATATCCGCCTGAGATCTGGTGGCCATGCGCTTTGGCTGCGGTTGCTCACCAGAGCTCCGACTCGACGCATCGCTCAAGTTGCTTTCGCCTGGTACACCAGAAGATTTACTTGGTCCTTCGGAATGACCATCGTGAAGACTGTAGTCTCTCGTCAGGGCGACGAGCTTGCCCTGCTCAAGAACTCGGTTGACGCCGGAGCTGTCGATAAGGGGGTCAACTTCGTGATCTAGAGCGCGAAGGATCGGAAATACTCGAGCGTGCGGATCTTGTAGCACTTCCTCACCCGTTGACGAGAAGTCCATGTCACTGAATGACAGAGAATCGTTTCGGGATTGTTGAGAAACGTCGGTGTGGGTTGAGGAGAGATACGATGCCTGGCTTGCGTTTCGCATCAAACCTTTTGGACGCGGGGCCACGCTTGCACGAGCATCATCCGGGCGTCCCGTGCGTTTGCCACGTTCATAACCAGCATATGAGTGTCGTGTCGCCAAGTTGGGTCTCTCAGGGATTTCGACGGGCCGCCATTGAAGCTGTTCGTCGGGACCATGGGAAGGATCTGATTGGGGTTTGGTCTGGGACGAATCTTGCGTATTTTGAGCATTGTGAAGACCGGATTTGTCGTAAGAGGCTTTCTGCCCCCAAGGTACATTCTCCAGTTCACCAGCATCCGCCGGAAGGGCGAGGGTTGCGCGCTGGGCGCCGTAGGAATCGTGCAGGATGTTGGTAAGATTGGACCAGAATGGGTCGAGGCCCGGATCATTGTTCAAACGAAGAACTAATTCATAAAGATTCGGCGGTGGACAAATGGAACCAGTAGAAGCCTGATCTTGCTCACCAGGCATGAAGGTAGCGGGAGACGCTATGGGCGTGCTGAATTCGGAGACTTGATATTCTCGAGGGGTGCGAGCGTGTTGATTGGTCGAGCTTGAAGGGGATAATGCGGTGAAGGGTTGGAAGGAGGAGGATCGAGGAAGTGGAGCGCCTGGAACATAAGGGAATGGATAGGCCGGAGTTCTTGTAGGAACATTGCCACGGACAGTTTTGGTGGAATCGGCCGAGTCCGTGGATGTTGTTTGTGGATTCGGGGACGTGGGGGTATTGAAGGAGGCTTCGAGTGAAGGCGATAGCGAGGTTACCGAGTCTTCTTCCTTGATAGGTGAAATTCTTCGAGCACCAAGAGCAGCAGGATTGCGAGCGGTCGTCGTTGGAGATGGCCTCGTCCTCGCACGTTGCGAATTGAGCGAGATGCTTGCGTTGACTTCTTCTCGCAATCTCTCCATCCTCTCGACACCTGCAGGCACAGGGGCGTCCTCTCCACTTGTTCCAATTTCCATCGTGCCCGGCTCGACCGTTGCACCTCTTGAACTCATGTCTTGCCCTGAATCATCTTCAGTCGATGAGCCCTGCGATGGCGTTTCCGAGGCCGATGTCACCGTCGCGGATCCCGTCGCGGATCCTCGACGGGAATCCAAACTGACCGTTGTCCGCTGCAACGCTGGCCGCAGACGAACGGGTTCATTTGGACTCGATGATTGTTGTTCGACTCGAGGGCTGCTGGAGCCAGCTTCTTCGGGAGTGACACCGGCTGTGTCCGACAACGGATGCGGTGTGGATGGTTTCATCTCGGGTTGACCACCATCCATCCACCGTAACTACCGCGACGGGAAGAAATGAGCGACATTACAGGTTTACCAACTAAGTGATCGAGAGATCGTCGTGAAGGTGCATATCGTAACGAACGAGTTGGTGATTGCTGGTGGTGTTTGTTGTTGTTGTGGGATGGTGGTGGTAGAGGTGGTAGTGGTGAGGTGCAAGTGTGAAGAGGCAGGGAGTCGAAATTGGCCGATGACGTCGACGGGATGGTGGTCCAAGCAACGGTGAAAACGGTGACAAAGACGACGAAGTACGACCTGAGGTCTAACCGGAGGCACCGCAGGGAAATTGTGGCAAAAGCAATCGACTCGTCTCAAGACGAGTTGAGAAAAGACGAACAATCTGAGCTAGATTGGTGCAGGGAGCGGGTGTTGGGTGGAGAGTTGAGAGGTTGGTTGCGAAAATGGACCACGACGAAAGGGAGGGATTTGAGGAATTCAGGATTGGTATGGAGTATCGATAGGGTAATAGAATAGAATACCTTACAGAGCTCTTACAGAATACTGGATTCTCTTGATTCTTGATCCAAGGCCCTTTCCGCTCTCACACGGCGCACCCAATGCACCGTTTCTTCCACAACTCCACCGGGAGTCAGGGAGTTCCACACAGGATGGGAATGATCGACAGCTGTACCATACAGATCGTGGTATTTAACTGTTCTGTATTCTTTGCTCCGTACTAGCGGTAGTACCGTACACAAATTTCAATCGCCGTTCCCGCGTCAGGACCTCAGGGGGTCACCTTTCCCACGACCCTGATCCCAACCAGGAAGAGATGATGATAATGATGTCTAATCTAAAGCCGAAAGCCAAACACAGCTGTGACGTAGGAGGTTGGGGGAGAAGCCGACGTTCCCGAGAGTCCGAGACACCACATGCAAGATGCAGTATGCACCTAAGATGCAAGTTGTAAGTTGCAAGTCTTGATGAACATAAGCACGCCTGCATGGACTGCGAATCTGCAAGCTCCAAGCTGCAAGCTCCAATTTTGAACTCCTGAACTGCAAAAATGATCGGATCGGAGCTGCGACGCCGATTCGTTTTTCATCCCTCGTTACATTATTTACATAATATGGAGATCTTACCTAAACCCTGTGACCCTTACATATGGATTAACGGAGGACCCCTTCAAGGGTTCTTGCTCACGCCAAGTCCCGGAAATGAAACTATTTCTAATTAGGATACATGTACTAATGGCTAAGTCCCACCCATTCGCGTTACCTCAGTCCTTTCTCGTATGGTCTCTCCCTTCCTTATAACTACTCGTTCCCTCCTTCTAGCTCAATTATCTGTTGAATATGTCATGGAATCCGCTCAATCCAAGCCTATACCTTCTCCTCCTATTCTTTGGAGCACCTTTCCTTGTCGTCGCTCTCTTCATGTATAGCCAACATGGCTCGATAACGTTTAGATCTGGGGAATTCCCGCACCAAAGAAGTCGCTGTACTCCGTACAAATCGTATACTCGTTGCTGTGCGTGATGGGCGTGCGACGGAGCTTTATCCTCTTGAACAATCGTGTCTAGCCGATCCTTCTGATATTCCTCGACGAAAGGAAATAGCTTCGGAATTAATATCTTTGTCTAATATCGATACTAGTCGATTCCTTCTCCTTTCCGTCGAACTAGTTTCCCTGTCTTCTGCGTCTATTTCCAGATCGGCTTTCTTCTAGAGGGATTCCGGAGTCCCATCCTCCTTATACCGGTCTCAAGCTCCTATTGGTCTCGACGAATAGGTTTAAGCAAGTCGTTCATCTCTTCTAATGCCTTTTCCGCGTCGGTTTTCTCCTGTTTCGTTTCCGGCATCCAGCAATGGCAAGGGCCTTTCTTATCATACGTAAAGCAGGCCCAGAACATAAATTCTGTATATCCTTTCCAACGCTCCCGGATATAGGTCTTTGCAAGCGCCTCGTCTTTCGTCCTCTATACTCGATAACTACCTCTCCGGTGGAGTAATACGATAGCCATCTCGTCACTCCAAATAACGATTTTCCAATCTTCCAGTGTCCAATGCTCGTGCTCTTTCGCAAACTTCAACCGTTCAGCTTTCATCTTCTTTGTCAATCTAGGCTTCCTCGTCGGCTTCGTCTTGTTGAAGCCGGCTTTCTTGAGCACTCTCCAGATGGTAGACTCGGAGACAATCTAACCGCCTCTATAAAGCTCGCCCGCGATATCAGCGCAAGTCTTCTCCCTCCTATATCGATCCTGACGCACTTTGGTAAGAACAGTATTGCGATGTCAGTATTTGGAGCCATTTCGTAACGCGAGAGAGACTTCATAAGATTGAAAATAGGAGCGATGAAGGACGGATTCGATGTATTTAGGATTCCTCGGCTGGTATTGTGGGACTGCCAAGAAAGTGGCGTATTTAGCGTGGGCAAGAACTTTTGAAAGGGACTTCCGTATGGAACTACCATATGGATATACCCTAACATAATATTTTTCATTACACCCATAACACTCGCACCTTGTGACTTCGACCTTTGTCCTTTCCTTCTTTCCATCACTAGGAGATCTCGAGTGATACATCCCCAGCTATGGAACACAGAATATCATCCGGGTGATTCAAACCTTGCGTTCGTAGAGATGTCCCAATAGCCGGGTCATCATCCTTGAGAGCCTGCATGATCGCATTACTAGCTGATGGGGACACAAAAACTTGGTTTCAGAATGGCGGAGGTTTGGTGCTATTCCTGTGGATTTCCTGTGGTTTCAACCATTTTTGCGCAATGAGTCTGCATCTCTACGAGCTGAACATAACCTGTTGATTGGTGAGGATGTGCGCCTCCTGAACAGCCGAACATTCAGCTGCTAAGCCGCATTTTGAAGGTTTTTCTTTCAGCTTCTCTGCTTTGTCCTCGCTACTTGACCTTATATTTCTTGTTACTACGTCTACGTCCTTTCTGTACTCCCAAGTTTGAATGCCATGATTCGCGACGATCCTGGCTTTAGGAGTGCGGCTGCGATGTTGGTCGCCTCTTGTTGCTCAGGGACTCTTCCATCTTGAGACATACAGAACTCGATAACCAATCCTATAAGGTATCTCTGTCTCGCCTATGACGCCCAATAAATGTTCTCTTTGAAATGGAAAGTTCCGTATACATGGACAGCCAAAATCCCAAGCCACGAAAGCAGTGCCCCTAAGCTGCAACTCTATTCATAGACCGACTCCGATACGGACAAACATATCACTGAGCCTTTGCTCAGGGCCTGAGTTCATGATCCATCTCATTTTCTGTCTCTTTGATATGTAGGGATAAATCTATCATGGTCTTCAAGCGGTGATCGTCTGAGGAGTTTTCATATGAACCCTTTTTGCTGATTCTATATTTCCTATTTTCTCCTGCTCTTCATCATGCTTGAATTTCTCTTTGTCCTGTCACTATTGGCGCTTTGCTTCTCATTGGCAGTTGCACAAGACTCATCATCTAACCTGGTGCAGCAGAGCTCATCAGTGACTCTCGCTGGTAAGTCGTTTGATCACTTTATATGTCAGCGAACTGAAGTCAATAGTTGGCGTTTCAGTGTCAGCAAACGGCTCACGGGTGTCACGAATGCCACAAGTATGTTCGAGCTGTTCACTGAATGGTTTCGTATCTACTCTGCCTCCACCTGGTCTTCAGGAATTGAACCCTGGGAATGGGACACTTACTGCCCAGCCTGACGTATCTGTGACAGCCACAACACTTACTAGGGTTACATCCTTTTTGGATGGACGTCCAGCTTCGACGACAATCGATACTATCACGGTAGCTTTTACCATCGCTCGGCCAAAAGACCCCATGAGAACCTCTGTCTTCACCACAGATGGGATACCATACACGTCAAACGACTTTCCCGGGATAATCTTGTAAGATACTTTGGAGGAGATCAGAAGCTACGCTAATTATCTCAGTACCTACCCATCTCCATATGTTGCTTTCACGGGTTTCCAATACGCGTCAGCTTGTACGGCTCCACCGACAGCAATTCCCGTCGACTATAAACAACATGTTCAGGACCTTGTTCTCCCTGCAGCGGAAGCAAGTCCGTTGATCCCTAACCGTGTGCGCAACGCTCTCGAGACATTCCCCGAGTTCCAACAATCCGGAGCGATGGACCTATCCAACTGCTCGGGAACCGTCGGCGACAACCTGCCGCTAATCGGACGAAGGTTGGTTGATAGGCATAAGCTCTACCCAACCCCATCGTACGATGAGTTACCAAAGAGAAAACCAATTCCGTTTGCTTCTCGTCGCGAACCTTGGCCAACCACCACCGGGTTTGTGCAGATCGTACCACAACAAAACAGCACCATAGAGCACACGTCGGTCCTACTTTTGGTGGGTGTTCAGGATACTCAGATTACCATTGAGGGCAAATCTGGGGGAGATGACCTACCAGCGGATCCAAATCCCCCTGGCGGTAGTGGTGAACGAAATCAAAGTGGAGGAAATGAAGGCGGAGGGAACAATAACGGAGGAGGGAATACCAACGAAGGCGGCAACACCAACGAAGGCGGGAACTCTGTGGGAGGAGGGAACGCCAACAACGGAGGATGGAACACTAACAACGGAGGAAATACGAACGGGGGAGAGAATCCCAATGGAAGAGGGGGCAACGGCGGTAGCAATTCGGGTGGCGAAAGCAGTGGAAGCGGAAGCGGAACCCCCGACGGTTCTGTGGCCACTCCTGGATCTGGAAGCCCAGGTGGAGGCATCGATGGGGGTTGCTCGACCGTTGCTGGCTGCATTGCCGCAGGGCTAGGAGGATTGTCTGGGGGTCCATCGACTGGCGGGACCTCTTCCGGTGATGGCTCGTCGAACGGTGGCGGCTCCAGTGGGGGTTCTTCGGGCAGTTCTTCTGGTGGCGGAAGCTCAGGCGGAACTACATCCTCGAATGGTGGACCGCCAGGTGGGGAGTCTTCTGGCGGAGCATCTTCAGTCGGGAGTCCTTCAGGCGGCACGGCTTCAGGCGGAGGGTCTTCGAGTGGAGGGTCTTCGTCTTCCGGCAGTGGATCTTTGGGAGGAGGCTCGTCAAGCGGAGGGCCTTCAGGCGGCGATTCACCGAATAATGGTCCAGGCAATGGAGGCTCTAGCTCTGGATCACCAGGCACAAACCCATCAAATGGGGGACCTGGACTTGGAGAGTCATCCGGTGGAAGTAGGTCCTTGAATGAGGGCTCGTCCAGTCCTCAATCCATTCCTATCGGTGGATCAACCGTCCAAGTCTATTCTGGGAATGATGGGGTTGTTATCGGAGGAGAGACTATCCAACCCGGACAAATCGCAACGATCAACGGAGTCTCCATATCGTTCCCTACCCCTGGACCTGGTGGCCCAGCCCTTGTGATAGGTGGAAGCAGTACAGCCGCGCTCAGTCAAGGCCCTCCTACACCACCTACCATTGTCCTTGGCACTGCTACAATCACCGCCAATCCCTCCGGATCTTTCGTTATTGGGCCAGGACAGTCTCTCACTCCCGGTGGTACCATCACTGCCAATGGCCAGGCCATTTCCCTTGCCCCCGATGGTTCCTATGTTGTGATCAACGGACAAATATCGACACTCCGAGGCCTCGGATCGATTCCTTCTGCTTCTCAAGTTCCTGCGGCGCTCACTGTCAATGGGAGGATCTACTCAGCAACAGTAAAAGATGGGAAGATGTGGTACAGTGTTGCTTCAGGCACCACGCTTACCCCTGGAGGTATTGCAACTATATCAGGTACCGTCATTAGTCTTGGAACAGATGCATCCGAATTGGTTATCGGAAGTTCAACGAGCAAACTTCAACTGGGATCGGTACTTGCATCGACAACAGGGAGTGGGTCAATCCCGACTGCTTCTAGCGCAGGCTCATCGGGAAGCAAGTCCATATCATCAAGCACGGGTCCATCCGGTTCATCGGTGTCCGCAACTAGATCGAGCAGTGCGGCTCCCTCGACAGGTAGTAGCGGAGTAGGGAGAATGAAGGATGGTATTGTCGAAGGATGGTTGATGAGTCTCTCAAGTTTTCTGATTTGGGTTTTGTGATGATTCAATGATGGTTAGAGATTGCTTAGATAGGGCTTTGGGGGCGTTCTTAGGACCGATAGCATTTTTTAGCATCGCTGCGTTGGATCGGGATTGTTTACTATGTACATGAAAACATAGACCATATGCGCCTTTGCAAATCAACGCTTTCCATGGTGTCAAGCTCCGTTGTCATACAATAACAAGCAAGGCGCCCTGATCGCTCCACACGCCTAATGGGAGAGAGGGATCAATATTCAGAGCGAAAGTTGACCATACCTCATGGTGAGAAAGCAGAGAATCAATCGCTAACACCTGGAAATGCTTGAAGGTTGTGTGCTGGTGAATCGAGACCCGCTCTAGGTCTTCAACTCGGGTTTGGAGGCGCAGTTGTTGGGAGAAGCTCGATTTGTCGGATCAAGAAGCTTTTCTCATCATTGAATTGGTCGTCGTCCGTTCGATCATCTAGGAAACTTGGTAGGAACCGTAATAATCGATCTCGATTGTTGATGAGCATCCGTTGAACTTCGTATGATTTGTTTGGATTGGCGACGAAGACCTAACGGAAGTGAGCAAGCGCTTAGCTCTAAGTACAACGGGCATACCTTGAAAACATGGAATCCTTCGTAGTTGATCATCCTCCGTTCGTCAAGGAGTAGCTTCATGCAGATCTTGAGATGGTCCCCTGAGTCGACATATTTTGTCATCACATTGTAATTGGCTCGATCCAATAGTAATTCTCCGAGTAGTTTGATGGATTGTCTTTTCGTGACATAGCTCTCGGATTGGATGAGGATTCTATTGTATCTGGGGAAGAACGTATCAAAATTGACCGTCAGGTACTGCGCGACCAAGCTTTTATGCCGAGTAAGGATATCCTGAAACCATTAGCTGAGACTTGAGAACAGTCTGTACCTGATTGGGACTCACCCTGAACGTATTGAAAGCGTCCGCGCTGACTTCGAATGCCCCTTTATCTATCCAGTCGAAGAATTTCCAAAACACACCATTCCCGCTGGAGGGAAGGGATGGGTCGACCGATCGCAATCCTTGTGGTCGATTTTGATCCCGTTCGTCATATAGGATCAAAGCGGCTATCGCGTCATATCTTAACGCTTCCCGTAACACTCCTCCGCATGGCATTGCGCTTTCTCTTCTCTCATATCCATTGCAAAGAGCAATAATCACTTCCGGTCGGTTGGATATAACGTGGTGAAGGGCTTGAGGTTCGCTAGCTTCGGATCCTGGAGGTTTGAATCGGAAAGTATGTGAGAAGATCATCTGTGTGTCCTTTCTCGTTTCGAATGGGACACGGTGAATGTGGTTCGCTAGGAGAAGTAGTAGATCTTCGGAGATCAGGAGGCTGACAAGTTGCTGGACTTGGTCGGGGCTGACTTCGATTTCTGGTTTCTGTAAGAATTTGATCGATTAAGTGGGGGAGCATTCCAACCTTGCGTCCCTTGCAATATCAACTTCATCTGACTTATATTTCGTGCTACCTCTTCTTCAACCTGGAGATGTTCAATGACCGCTTGGGATTTGGTGCGGGATACTCACCTTTGAGCCCGCCTTCTCCTCTCCAATGAGCTTTTGGATGAGTTCTTTGGTTGTCCGTACCAGCTCCATGGTCGGTTTCTGTTTATTCCTAGAAAATAGGAACGCCATGGTGCTAGGAGGTTAGGATAGGCACGATTGTTGTGAGGGCTTCACAAATTGACAATGAAGAGGGGTTGGCGGCTTCTGCTTCAAAGGCTGTGCAACGCAGATCAGATGTCAGCGTTGCCTAAACCTGGACGAAACCCAGCAGCCATCCGATACCGGTTCGACTCCAAATACAATGAAACCAAGAATGAACAGAGGCGAGGGATCTGGCTGGTGTCAACAGCGCGGAATATCTCGTACTTAGAGTATCAACACTTGGATGGATTTCGACAAGGAAAGCCTCGGGGATGACGGCGTCAGTCAGGGGTCATCCTTGCCATCCCTCGTGCTAGGACTGAATCAGGTACGAAAGAGGAGGGTCCAAGGGTCATTATCTCCGTTGTCCTGAGCACCGCCGAATGTTTTCATCAATCAAGCTAGGAATATTCGAGTTCTTGTTCATTGATGTATTCCTATCATATATTGCTATCATGTCTACTCCGTTGTCCATACCCCAGAACAATACAGTATTGTAATATGGGCCGCAGCCTGCGAACCCCATCTTCCTGGCCATTCCGTGAATGATCGGAGCAAGGAAGAATCTCGCATCCCTTAGCCGAAGTACGCATGTCCAGCAGCCTAGCAAACCGTTAGATTACAACGATGCTACACGTTCATCGGTCTTCTCACCTCTGCTGCCGTGATCCGATCACTGCTTTGGTATCGGATCAACTTCGATATCAAGTCTTGAGCTTCTCCACAGGCGCTTGGCAATAATTCCGACCATGGTTTCGGTTTATGCTGAACAAATTCAAGACTTCCCCAATTTGGAAATGACATGGCTTCCTGTAGTACTGTGAGCTGGGTCCGTTATATTGGAGCACTGGTCCTACCGGCCATGTGTCTGCTGTTGGCGTGCCAAGTGATTGAAATATACTGCTTATGAGACACAGCTCACTGCCTTCGGTGCAATCAAACAACGGTTGGAGATCCGATTTGATCGAGGCAATTTCCGCTAGAACGCAACCCGCTGCCCAAAGATCGATTGCTTTCGTATATTTGGAGTTCCCAAACAATAGCTCCGGTGGTCGGTAGTGAGTTGTCCCAACGTCTAAGATTTTGTGATCGCTAGGTTCTGAGGAAGGGTCCTTCTCGTACCAAGCGACACCAAAGTCGGCTAGGTATGCAGGACCCGAGGGATTTTGCAAGAGGATATTCGAAGGTTTGACGTCCCGATGGATCATACCAAGGTTATGGATCCAATCAAGAGCAGACAAGACGTGTTTTAGATGCTGCTTTGCTTGATCTTCTTGAACAAGCTTGTGTCGCAGGGCATGATCGAGATCGTACCGTAGAAGTGGAAATACAAGGACGAGACGGGTTCCAGCGAGTTCTCCTGCAGAATCTCGAAACACGTCAAGCAGACTAACCACATGTTCCGATGCAGCGGCCCGCAAGATTCGAATTTCTCTTTCGGAATTGTGAGGGGGCTGCATAGCCGAAGGATATGTCACTTTCAATGCGACCATCTTTGGTTTTTCGGTCCGATTCGGTGCTTTGTAGACGTCCGAGTAAAGTCCATCACGGAAATGGACGGCGTTTACGTACTTCCCGATATGAATTGCTTCGGGTACACCCGTATCGAGGGACTAGGGAGTTAGTTTTTATATCAATATATGTTTGACCCGATGTCGGTACCTCTTCTTCTTCATCGTCGGGTGCGGCTCTGCCTTTCAAATTGTTGATAATTTGATCGCATTGAAGCCGATAGTCTACCTGTGGGAATCCTTAGTGGCGTCCAGCTAGGTAGCAAGCAATAGATACCAATGTCAACGCAGAATCGTAAATCTCCTGTTCCTCTTCCTTTGCGAACTTGGCGATGTTCGGTTTCTCCACCCTTGGATCAGACTTTTGATATGAAGACTGTCTAAATGACGTATAAGCATCGACTTAAGACAACCTTTCCAACCCGAGGCAAACGAGACTAATTAACTCGCTGAACTCCAAGTACGTTACATTTTGATCACCGTACTCAATCTCTCGGCGAAGCCGAGCGAAGGCTTCCAGTTCGATTCTGTGCTCATGGCTATACAGGAATATGTTTCATCCTACGTTTCAAGCCACTTCATGATTTTTCGGGCATACTTGTCGGAGCATACTTTCCGAAGCATACGCCACTCAAGTATCTGTAAGCTGGCGGAGTGGAATCATAAAGTGAGTGGTGGTGAATGTTATGGTGCTCACAGTACCGTACGGCGGTCCGTAACGACCAAAGTGACAATCCATCACCTTTTCCTCCTTCCGGAAGATGGTAGGGAATATGACCTTCTCCATTCATCCAAGACCAAATGTTGGATTTCCAATCGTCAATGAACGGTCTTGATGATTATCCCATACTATATTCTTCCGGTGACTGGGAATACTGTCCGGGATGGGCCATAGGAAGCATTAACATTCCTCCACTGGTATTCCGAACAAGCCGGTAAATTGACCACTAGCCGCATTTTTTCGCGCCATCTCGCCATTTCACGGCTATTGGTAGTGACAAAGATCGGCAACATCGTTAAAGATTTTATCCCCGACCTCCACACTGCTGACGTTAGAGACAGACACTTCACGGTTTTATTGGAGACAAGATCACAAGAGGCATGGTGGAATCCTCCCCGCCCTATGCGACATTTGTAGCGACATTTGTATGACATTCGTAGCGTATTCGGCAACGTTCTTTTCTGTCGTTATCCACCATCTCTTCAAGTTTTCTTCAATTTGAACTCCCAAGACCAGTCTTTAAATCATTATTTATGTCTGCTTTCCTGCCTTGAAATCCCCTCTTCTCCAGGTTGTGATAGAATCTCGTAATCTATCTTTCCAGCATGAAAGAACATTCCTCGAAGTCTTTGGATATGGGTCTCACTTTACAAGACGAACCGAAATGCATCCCGATCGATGATTCGCCGGCGCAAGAAACCTCAGCCACTCGTCTTGGTTCGGAGCCTCTTTACGATGATCCACCGGATGGAGGACTCCACGCCTGGACCCAAGCACTGATGGCACATCTCGTGATATTCAACACATGGGGTTATATCGCCAGCTATGGTGTTTTCCAAACCTACTATACGACCGCCTTAAACCGACCTCCGTCCGATATCAGTTGGATTGGCTCCATCCAGCTCTTTTTACTCTTCTTCATTGGCGCCGCATCAGGTCGAGCAACCGATGCTGGCCTTTTTCTTCCTACCATAGCCACCGGACTGGGATTTCAGCTGGTAGGAGTGTTTACTACCTCCCTATGTACAGCCTATTGGCAGGTGTTCTTGTCCCAAGGCATCTGCCTAGGAATCGGGCATGGTCTACTATTCTGTCCGGCAATGTCTTTGATCCCCACATACTTTTCGAAAAAGAGAGCCTTAGCATTGGCCATTGCAGCCTCGGGAACGGCCACGGGGGGAATGATATATCCAACCGTCGTCCGACAGCTGCTTTCCAAGATCGGTTATGGATGGACCATCCGTGTCCTTGGATTCATCATGCTCGCCGTGGGGTTAACGATCTTAGCCTTCATGAGGACACGACTTCCTCCAAGGAAGACTGGACCTTTGGTGGAATGGTCTGCGTTTCGAGAACTGACCTTTGTCTTGTACATCACTGGGATGTTCCTTTGCTTCTGGTCCTTATATTTCGCCTTCTACTATGTACGAGACCTTCTCTCTGGGTGGCCCTGTGCTAATTTCCTTTAGGTTGCCTCCTTCGCTCGCGACATCATCGGGGTGACATATGAAGACTCCGTCTCCCTTATCCTTTTAATGAATGGGCTCTCCATTATCGGTCGTGTGGTTCCGGCCTATTTTGCTGATACCACATTTGGCCCGCTCAATTCCATGATACCATTCGCATTTTCTTGTGGTATCATGCAATACGGTTGGTCAGGAGTTCATTCGAGAGAGTCTACTTTTGCTTTTGCTGGGATTTATGGGTTGACAGCAGCTCCAGTACAGGCATTGTTTCCGGCAGCTCTCTCAAGCCTAACGACTGATTTGACTAAAACTGGTGCCCGTATGGGCATGGGTTTTACGATCGTGTCATTTGCAACACTCACTGGGCCTCCACTTGCTGGTGCGCTGATCAGTCAGAAAGATGGAGGATATTTATATGCCCAAATGTGGGGTGGTAGCTCTTTCATCGCAGGTTGTTTGTTCTTAATGGCAGCCCGGATAAGCAGGTCTGGTCTTAAAATTTGGTATAAGATTTGAATGTACACATTGAGCCAACTATCCAGGGCAGCTGAAATGAATGATTCAAGGTTAGGACTGAACTAGCTGAAGATTTACGGATATACTAGGGCTGCATACCGGTAGCTGATAGTCTCAACATCTTGAAGGGACATCCGTCGATCCTTAGCTTGCTACTTTCGCGAGAGCTTGCCTAATGCTTCTATGGCGTGGTAGGGTGAACTGGAGTAGCGACGAAGAATTCAATCAGTCGGAGCCCGAATGAAGGGTGATCGATATTATTGCGACGAAACTATGATGAAAGTAACCCTCGGTCAGAGAACATTGGCGGATCGGCCAGTGTTGAAAGAATCCGTTGCACCTCCCAGAAAACCCCTATCTCGATCGTCCACCCGCTCCTTTAAACCCAAACAAATCGATTCGTAATGCCTTCTATTGACGCCAAAATGACAAAACTCCGTTTCCACCTCAGCCTTGCAGATCAAGCCCAAGCCTTCAACTTGAGCCCAGTAATCGAAAGACGTGAAGCGATCATGATAAGCCCACCGCCAATCATGGTCACACCACCAAATACCCAGACATTTGCGAAACCAGACCGGTTCAAGATCTCGCCAGCGATCGGAGTACCAACGAGCATGGAAATGGCAATACAGGTGAGTGCCATGCCGATTCGAGTCCCGACCTTCTCTCGGTCCGGCGTCAGTGTGACGAGGACCGTTGACGGCAAGGAGATGAATGGACCGGTGAAGAACCCAAACAGCACACAAAGAGCGATAAGGCTGGACTGGTCGAAACTTCCAACGAGTCCAAGTTCAATGGCACCACTACATATCACGAAGGGAATCATGACATTGAGCGGGCCGGTATAGTCGGCGACCCAATTCGGTAGAATGCGACCAACGAAATCCGCAGCATTGAAGATTGACACCAACCATGTGGCCAGGTCCATGGTGGTGATCTCGTAAGCCATGGCATAAGGTGTCAGGTAGTAGAACGGTGCGTAGTATCCCATGTACGAGATGAATCCTCCGAAGACGAACAACGCGTAAGGACGTTCCTTGAAAGCACCAAGCTCGACAAGGGAGCTCCATGACCGTGTAGCCGATGGAAGGACACGGGATTTCATGAAGACGTTCGACAAGATGAGAGTTCCGAGGGCAATAAAACCGATGACACGGACTGCCCATGGGAATCCGACCTTGGGGATCAACCGGGTAACAATGATGGGATATATGATGCCGCCTGATGGTATCAGCAAAGGTCAGAATAGGGACCATCCGACTTACCGAGACTCCCCCCCGAGGTGCCGAGACCCATGGCAATTCCCAGGTTTTTGTTGAAGTAGGTGGATAAAATCGCGACACTTGGAACGAATAGACAACCCATTCCAAGACCCACGCACAATGCCTGGGAGAGCAAAACCTGCCAATAGAGAGTTGACAGACTAAGCATCATCATGCCAAAGACGGTTAAGAAACTTCCAACCACCAGGAGGGTACGGAAGTAGCCCGTGTCGTAAAGGGGTCCTGTCAGGACACCAATGACGAGTACCAGGAACGTTTGGATGGAACCGATCCATGAGATGGCTGACGGTGAATGTTGGGCGAGATGTTCGGTCTGGTAATAGTTTTGGAAAATCCCATAACTATTGACGATGCCCCAAGTGTTTAAAAACAGGAAGAAGACACCGACAACCTGCACCCACGCTTGAAATCCGCCATCGGGAATTGAGTCGAGGTCGTTGGCAGATTGAAAACCAGTCACGGCCTGGGCTTCAATGGATTCGACCGAGCTTCCAGTCATCGCTCTTATCGAACCACTCTCGCTCTTTTCTTTTATTGATCCATTGGAGGAGATGGCTTGTGGTGTTGAGTCTCGTTCCGTAATAGGGGCGAGGTGAGCGGTCGTGTCCATCGCGTCCTGGAAAGTGACGTCCGACCGTGAACTTCGAAAAGATTCCCTTTTATAATCGTCGCCCATAACTCTTTCGGATTATTCGTGCCTTAAGAATAGCTCCTCATGGAAGATTGAGATGGACCCAGCGGAGGTATCAATCAAAATGGCACGAGACAAGATATTATAGGATGAGACTGAACAAGCAAATAAGATCTGCACCCAACCCAATCGATTTCAAGTAGAGTCCATTCTGTCTACTGGCGATAACGAATATTTAATGCCCAGACGACCTTGACTTGGATTCGCAGTACGGGTTCCGACATCCCTGTCATGTCGGGCTTCACCACCAGCTGTCAGTGGTTGATTTCTGAAGGATGTTTGTGGTCCGTTTGAAACTGGGAGTACAAACTAACGGCCATGTAGTGTCTAAAAAAATTAATGACTGGAAAGGGAAAGTATCTGCAGAAACTAGGAACGCGGTCCGTAAGGTCGGGGTTTCTATTGCGATGGAAACCTTGAGCCGTCGGAAGTTGTGTCCTCCATGCCAGAAGCAGGAAGATCAGCACCGGTCCTATCGAAGGAATGATTCCTTCATAAATCATATGAGCCTCTCATACGGAGATATGAAGCCTAAACCGAGCGGTGAAGGAATATATCGGATATCGTAACACGAAGCTGAACCAACTGAATACTGGAAGCCAGAATTGAGAACCGGTTGCCGTACGAATAGTCCGCATAATAATAGTCTGCATACGGACTCAAGGAATGCGATGTCCCTGTTGAAAGGGTCCGAGTCTCGAGAGACAGGTGAAAGCCCGCCCAGTAGACGATTGATCATTGATGACCTTGAAGACCGAGGAGGCTGGAGCGTATCCCTGGTGTTGAAACGGATGGTTGCTTTGCTTCCGCCACATATTACCTTTCTGAAGATATTTTATTTCCCCATCATACTCCTTTGGTTGAGCAAGTCGATATGGCTCTCCTTTCTGTCTGCTGGTGGTAATACCTGAAGGATGTTGTACTTGTAAGTATTGTTGGGTAAGTGCAATGGAAACAAGATGAAACAAGATGAGCTAGAGTGGGAGTTTGTTCCACGTGACAAACGCGTCCCAACGCGTGACGCGTCTCTCAATTGACAACAGAAGATCGGATCTAGTTTGATATTTCGGAACTTGACGTTTCTCCTGTGAACATCCCACGCCGATTGCACGTAACAATACACGCAATGCTCCGCTCTCGATCCTGATAATTGAACTACAATTGACAATCATCCAAAAAACCTGGAGATAACCACGAGCGCCATTGGTCACCCTTCAAGCAATATGCCTCATTCGGTGTCTCCAGATACTGGGAGCTCTGGCGACCATGACCTTCCAGATGCCAATCCTCAAAGTTCCCATTCAACACCGACCATTCGTGCAGGTGAATCACCGGAAGAGGCCGAGAAGTCTAGCACGGCATTAGAGGACATGTTTGACGATGACGATGACGACTTGGACGATCTCTCATCCAGCATGGCAGCGTCACAAGAGCCTCAGTCAGTTCAGGCGATGTATGCTCTCAAGAATCCATTTTTGAGTCCTTAATAACCATAGACTAGATCCGGTGCCCAATCGGCCAGATTCTCCGACCCCGAGATCATGCGAGCATTCTATCAGCGTCTATTTCCTTTCCGTTACCTTTTCCAATGGCTCAATCATTCTCCCTCTCCTTCCACCGACTTTGGACATCGAGAGTTCGCCTTCACCCTACCAAACGATGCATATCTCCGCTACCAATCATTCCCATCCTCCGACCTACTTCGAAAACAGTGCATTCAAATGCTCCCTTCCCGTTTCGAGGTCGGTCCCGTCTATAGCACCAACCCACGAGATCGAAAGACCCTTCGAAAATCCTCCGCATTCCGACCATTAAACAAAGAATTGGTTTTTGACATTGATATGACGGATTACGATGAGATTCGAACCTGCTGCACTGGTGCAAACATCTGTCATCGGTGCTGGGCTTTCATCACCATGGCCATCAAAGTCATTGACACGGCCTTACGGGAGGACTTCGGATTCAAGCACATTTTGTGGGTTTATTCGGGTCGAAGAGGTGCTCACGCTTGGGTATGTGACAAACGAGCTCGAGAGTTGGATGATTCCAAAAGAAGAGCGGTTGCGGGATATTTGGAACTGCTGAAAGGGGGAGATAGTAGCGGGAAGAAGGTCAATTTGAAGAGACCCCTACATCCACATATCGAGTATGTTCTCATCCATGGAGATGAACTGGACTAATTGCGAGTAGACGGAGCCTCAGGATTCTTCGGAATCATTTCTCCGATATCCTCGAGACTCAAGACCCTTGGCTTGAAGACGATCGAGCGGCTCATCTTCTATCTCTGCTTCCTGATCGAGACCTTGTCGCCGCATTACGCAAGAGATGGGACAGCGCTCCCGGACGCCGAAGCGGATCCAAATGGGCGGATATCGATGCGTTGGCTGAAGCAAGGGTATCGGAACATCTGGACTCCAAAGCACTTCTGGAAGCAAAGATCGATATTGTGCTCGAGTATACGTATCCCAGGCTGGATGCAGAAGTGTCGAAAAAACTGAATCATTTGCTGAAGAGTCCATTCTGTGTCCATCCAGGAACTGGTCGTGTTTGTGTGCCAATCGACGTCCAGAAAGTGGAGGAGTTTGATCCTCTGGAGGTGCCGACCGTCACTCAACTGTTGGATGATATTGATCAATGGGATCATGATAAGATGGATGGCGTGGATGGGGAAGGGACCGGAGAGAAGAAAATCCAGGATTGGGAAAAGACCCGGCTGAAGCCCTATGTCGAGCAATTCCGAAACTTTGTTTCCGAGTTGTTGAAAGACGAGCGCGCGATTAAACGTGAACGAGATGATGCAGACCCTATGGAGTTTTGAAACATCCTCCATATATTCGATATGAACAGTACATGACTTCACTAATATCTAATGCATCCCAAAATCATCACTTCGTGCAAGCGTTTTCTGACATTTGGCAAGGATGGCCGCCTGTCTGCCAACTTCACCCAGTCGCCCAAGGACCGCCTTATTACCATCCACAAAACCAAAAAGCGCATAAGGTACGTTGACCTCTTCACAAAATTGTTGAACCAGTTTCTGCGCCTGGCGTAGGTTATGGCGTGGCATGCGAGGGTACAAATGATGTATCGCCTGGAACTGAAGACCACCATGGAAGAAATCCAACCACTGTGGACAATCCACATCCATCGTTGTGCGTAACATCTTTTGTGGAAAGGATTCGCCGACACCGAGTTCCTCCGTGCTCATGGCGAAGTGACTAAGAGTGATCTGGAGATGTAACGGAGATGTGACGATATGGCTCACCATAAAGAAAGCAAACCGGCCGGAGTTCGTCGGTATGGACTTGTATATAATCCCGTATCCATACCATATCCAAAAGAAGACGTGACCTGCGATCTCCAGCCATCGATGCCAACGTGCCGGACCTTTTCGGGGGGGTTGACTTCCTAAAAGGTATTGCCAACTCAATCGGTAGAGATTGAATCGACCGAAACATAGAACCACGTAGTAAAGATAATCCTGATATCGAACGAATACCCTTGCGACGGCATCGTATTTCATGACATGACCGTAATACGACGAGCGTAAAGAGCCGAAAAACCTTGGGGACACGGCGAAGAAGGGTACATGCTGGATATCGGGGTCGTGTTCCGGAGAATTGGTCACGACATGATGGACGTTGTGATTCCTTTTCCACCAACCGATCGACAATCCCCCTAGAAAATCCGCGATGAAGATGGCGATCAAGGAATCGACCTGGAAGTTATGGGTGATGCCGATATGAGCGGAGTCGTGCGCAGTAAAGACCAGTTGTTGCCAAAAACATCCAATGAAAACCCCAGCTAAACTGTACCAACCCCAATGGATGGATAGCATCGCCATGGAAAATAGGAAAGAATATCGGATAGTTTCCACACCGTAGGCCCAGTAGTTGCACTCAAACAACCCCTCACTCTTGAGACGTTCAAACAGTTGTCGGTATTTCCGGATAATATCTTCCTGGACTTCGGGATCGATCGGTGGATATTGAAGAGCGTCGATCTCAAAAACCTTGCCAGTACGTGCATCAATGGTTCCCATCCTATCGGAATCCATGTCTTCGAGATCCACCGATGATATCGATGTTGCCGAGGACACCGGGTCGATCCCTCCTCGATTCCTCAATGTTGAATGTAGTTCGGGAGAGGAGACTGGACTAGGTTCTGAGGACTGGTCGCTTGAATCATTGACTTTGTCGAGGACATCTAGTTCGGCTGTCTCGTATTGGATCTGTTCTCGAGTTCGAAACTTGCCTCCTTGGATAGGTGGTACGAAACCAGTCCATCGTCCTTCGATCGTTCCAATTTGATATTTCGTCATATACTCCAGAGTTTCGGGGGAGTGAAATCTAGTCAAGTCAGGAACATGATTGATACATATCAGTACAAGTACAAACCCCTTGACTTCATCTGTGGCATCTCTTCCCAGGAAATGTCTGATAGATATTTCTCCTCCAGGATGATATTGGAGCCATGCATCACATTTGAGGACCTTCCCATTCACGATGACAATATGTCTCCCCTCCGCTATCAAAGCTTCAATCTCATCCCTCGAGAACACCCTCTCTTTCCTCGATGCGGATACGCGTCCCATCCTGAGACAGTGCGGGAGATGATTCTAAACGAGGGGAGGTCCGCTAATGCGGAGAAATCAGAACTATTAGATAAAATTGAACGATGAAGATTGCAGGAACATCTATTCTGTACATTCTCGTGATACAAAGACGGTGAGTGCAGACAGGAGTGGTGGAGTGAGAGTGATGCATGCGTGTGGTTGGACGTGGGGCTTCCCCTGACTTCCGGAGCATGGTATGTTTAAAAAGTGCATGTGGTTGCCTAGTATGTATACCTTGTTGCCCGAGCTCGGCTTCACTTCACAATAATATCCAATCTTGAGATGAACTTTAAATGAATTGACGAATTGACCGTCACATTTGAACTTCGGTCCTTTCTACTCTGGATACATATCTATGTTACTAGCTTGTTGGGTCGTTACCTCATTGACTTCTTTTACCGATTACGGAGACAGCCCCAAACTCTGACATTCCTCGAGGCTCCTTGGCCATCGTCCCACAAGCATCCAGTCCATGCTCCATTGCCAGCACCATCACCAATTCCACCGTGAAATATCACTCTCTCTTCAATCTAAATATCGAAGCATGGCATTCAATCCCAATTCCTAGCAGATGTCCCCAGCCATCACGGCCAACGCAACAGCAAGGAGGGCCGAGGGGGAACGTGGAGATCCCTGCTGCGTCTCCTTCGCAAAGCCTCTATGCCTAAAACAGAAATGCTTGCGACACACATCTACACACGTAGTAGTAGTACGCGGACAAATTCGTGCAAACTTCTGGCCCCTGGGGCCGGGTCCTGGGACAATAGGAGTGAATATGAATCGCTTGTCAAATGCCACCATCGCTGACGTCTCTCCATCCCGTCCGGATTATGTCCATATTTCGCATCGGGATTCGTTGGTGAACTGCGGCATGGTCAAGAATCCCATACTTCCGCGGACGAGCTTAACGAATACCCTAGCCTAATGTTACCTACCCTACGTACTGGCCGAACTTATTCTGGGCTTCTGGCCCCTTCACAGATTGAAGGTTTTGTTCCTACAACTTAGCATCGTCAAGGCTCAAACGTTAGACACTAGAAGCTCAGGCAAGGCTGCTTCTTCAGGGTCAGATACGTACTTGCCCTGCCCTAGCTTGCGTGTCCACGCCGCGGCGTTGCAATTGCGCCTCAAGATTACTACATCAGTCGTGTTTACTTTTCACCAAAGTTCTTTATCTTTTTATGATATAGGTACTTTGGAAGTGCTATAATCCAGGCATCAATTGATCGTCTTCACCCCTTCCTAAGCTTGAACAATCATCGTCCACCTGGAACTCATTTGAATCTTGCTGAGCATTGAGTTGAATTTCTATTGCACTATAAGAGGTGGATCCACTCAATCATGGTGTACTGTGGCAAACCGAGTCGAGGATGCCAGATGTGCAAGTCTCGACATATTAAGGTAAGAGGAATTAGGTTGTTATAACTTCAATGATTCTATTCGCGTCCATTCAACTGCGGTCCGTACCTGACTCGGGATATGCAGTGCGACGAAATTCGGCCTAGTTGTACACAGTGTACACGAACACGCCGCGAATGTCCAGGATATCCCAATGAGTTCGATCTGATCTTCCGGAATGAGACGTCTGCTGTCACGAGAAAAGCTCAAAGGAAGAAAGGTGGGAGTCCGTCGCAACTCTCGCAAGGCAGTCCGTATGTATCCACATCTTTGGCCTTGCCCCTGATAACACCTCAAAGAGGAATTTGTTCCGACGGCCTCGTATACACTTGAGGCTTCTCACCGTATTCTAACTAAGTGCAGTCAATCGCAAAGTTCATCGACATCTCCGGTACCGACAAGAAAGTCGACCACTAGAGCCAATTCTTTGGTTCCGACCGATCAAACCGTGGACGTTGCTTCATCAAGAATCGATCCCGTGATCGGTAAGTTGTTGGAAGATGGATCGGATATCACGGTCAAGATCCTCGGTGCCCATCCAACTCCTATGGATCTCTTAATCCAGCAAAAGTTCATGGATGAATGGCATATCCTACCGGACTTCCTGAACATATCTTCCCACGAAAAAGCCACGAATTTCTTCTTCCGAAATTTCGTCATGAACTTACCTCAGCATTCGGGTAGCATGCGAGGTTATTTAGAACATCTCATCCCCATGTACAACAACTCGATGACTGGTTCGGCTATTCAATTAGCCACTCATGCCGTTTCGTTAGCCGCAATGGCCAACTACCCAGGCCATAAACACCTTCGGCAAGAAGCACGGGAAGCTTACAGCAAAGCCATGTATGAGGTCTCCAAGGCCATTCAAGACCCGATCTTGGCAAGATCCGACGAGATTTTGGTGTCCACTCTTCTGTTCGGCTTGTTTGAGGTTGGTCTCAAGGATTTCAAAGATTTCAAGGTATCATACTAACGGTCTTAGGCTATATCTGCGACCGTTCAAGACACGAATACTTGGTGTAGTCATGTGGATGGGGCGGTGGCATTGGTCAAGATTCGTGGAAAGGAGATGGTCAAAGGTGGCCTTCCTCTCGACCTGTTCCGCGCGGTGAGGAGTGTGATGGTAAGTGTCGCTGAAATGGTTCTGTACGTTTCTGTTCGGTTGCTGATGCATTATAGCTTACCGGAGCTATTCAACGTGGCAAAGCTATCGACGACTTTCCCGACCCAAAAGGATGGTTCTGTGATGATGAGAGCGAACAGAACCCTGCGAATCGTCTCACGCTTATCGCCCTCCGATTGCCAGCGGTTCGAGTCGAGGCCACCGAACTCCTCCAATTACCCAGGACATCAGACACGATTACTCGTATTTTGGAAATGATCAAAATGGCCCAGGAAATCGACGCGGAGTTAGAGGATTGGCCCAACACACTCCCGGACACGTTCAGTTTCCGGACTATTTCTGTGGAGCCGGTCATTCAACCGCACGAAGATCCAGCGACATTCCCCAAATGGCAGGGTCCAGTCCATGTCTATGAAGATGTCCACACGGCAAACTGCTGGAACGATTATCGAATGACTCGCATCTTCTGCCAATCGGTCATATTATTGTGTGCCGCTACCCTTGGTTCTCCTGCATACCAAGAACAGCTCCAGGAGGTATTAATCCGAGCCAACTATGCCATTCAAGAAATGGCCGATGGTGTTTGCTCAAGTTTGCCTTTCCATATGAATCCCGAATGTCAACCGGAAGTTCGGGAATTTGGTCCAGATGAAATCGGTGCGTACTGAACCACACTTTGCTATAGGATGTGTTGCTGAGTCTTCTTAGGACCCGAAGCGACTGGAAGTTATTTCATCATTTGGCCTATGTTCGCCATTTCCCAACTACCGCAGTTGTCCGATCAGCAGAAGCAATGGGTTCTCGGGGCCTTGTACCGTATTGGAAAGAATTTCGGGTTGAACTGGGCGCAAACGCTTTTCGTTGCTCAGCGTCACATCATTACACAGTCAAGCGGACCGATGGCCGAGTTAACGACGTGAGGATACGATCGAACAACCATCAAGTGTTTAGGAACGTCGTTTTCAACTTGGTGAGGAATCAAGGAAGTGAAGGAGTTCAGGGCCACCTGGCTGAGGCTCCTAGGGGTTCGGTACCGGTTAGAAGGCCTGGGCAAGCTCATTGAATACTTGCTTGGGCACTTGTCCATAAGAAAGGATAAGATTGACCAATTCGAAGAACAGACGACGAGTATGAACATATAAGTTGATACCGCGTGGTACGACAAGAAAGCTGCGAATATGTGTGCTTAGTTCGATGGGAACAAATCGAGCCGAGATGAATGAATGTACTTATGTACGAGTAATGAAGCATGAATACTCCGTCTGCGGTGTAATAAAGCATCCATATTGCGGTAGTACCTGGGTAGTACCTGTGAAATCCAGAGCTCGGTTGGTATCGCGAAAGGATTTCGTTAGGGCCTCAGGGGTGGATCCAACAGCATAAGATTGGGCCCCTCGCCTTCGGGGGCACGCCGCCATGGATCCGCTTCCCGTGCCGCACGCCTCGCACGGCCGCACCTCATGGCGTTTCATCATTCATGGGCACACGGTTGGGGCATTTCAACGTGGAAGACCAAAAGTTCCGGTATGAAACACATAATAGCGGGCGAAAGGAGGCTGGTCGAAGCCGCTAAAACCCTATAACTGAACCCTCCTCAGTCCCCGCGCCTGCATGTGATCGGTGCCATAGACCCTACGATATCCAAGTCCGTATTCACTATTCAACCGAACTGCACTCCTGCTGACTACCGTGTGAGCTGTCAGGGCGGAATTCAACAAACAGTGATCACCATCGCATTTGGCTGATAGTTGACCGTTCATACACAAGCTCAGCCCACCATTCGTTGAGTGCCATTCGCTCACTTAACAATTCAGATTTCGGCCTCTATCCTCCCTTCCCTTTCATTCAATCAGGTTAGAATCGCATTGCTCTTCAAGAGTTCTCAATCGACATCACCACGACCTTCAATATGTCTGCCATCGGAAAGCTGGTCCCTCTGGCGATTCTGTTTGCCGTTGTCGGTGTCTTCGTATGGGTCGGATATCAGGTAAGATAATAGTTCTTGCGGTCTAAGAACCACGGGACAACGGCCCAAGCTGCACCCGAGATTGGGTCACATTGATACTGACCCGTTTCGGTTTAGATGTACGTATTCGCCAATGACCTCGCCGATCGCGGAACCAAGAAGATGGAGAAGAAGAATATCACCTTCACCAAAGACGGCATGAAAGTGGGTGTGAAGGAAGTTCGAACGGAAGACTACGAGGATCGGACACAAAGGTGTGTACTAGCCAGACCATGGCACGACATGCGTTGGATTCTGACATGAGAAACAGCGTCTTCGTCAAGACATGGAATTACGCGAATGACGGTAAAGATGCGAAGAAGTCCGGATCGAAACCTTCCGCGTCACGGACGAACTCCGGACTGAAGAACAAATCGGGATGATCTCTTGGGGATGGTCTCTTCGGGATCGGTATTGGGGGGCGAGATGGGAGACATGAACGATACCAGGAGGATTTCCTAAGCGTGGGCACCTGGCTTGATGACATTGAAGACGGCATGTTCAGCGGTGCTTTAAACTGAGTTCGACATCAATGGGAAATCCTATGTCAGCAGTGCATTCAACGGGAACAATCTGGCGCAGCAAACCTAGGTCTTGAAGACCATTTAGAGTTCATCACTACGGTTCCGGGACGGCGTGTACCTGTATTTCGGGATGGAAGTCATCTGTAAACTTGGTTCCAATGCCAATGATGGCATTACGGCGTTCAACTCCAACGAAGCGATATATTGATTGCAATCGAAGATTTGTCTGACTATGGTGGAGAGATGGTTATATACTCCTGATATATCCACAACTCTGGATAACCTCCTTTTACCATGGACTTTATATGCGTCCCCGAGCCGCCTCTCTTGATGAGAGCGGGGCTGGTACTGGTAGCAGCTTAACCACCCCTCCATTGATTCTCCAACATACTAATCACGACTCGACTACATGTAACTTATAACCACTCTCTTCCTATTACACACCTCTATCCCTCAAACTAGCCGATAGACCTGAAGTAGCTGCACGTCGTTCACCATGGGACCGCCTTCATCGCTTGTGGTATATACATCTTGAAACGTTCCTTTCGATCTCAAGCTCATACATACAGACTAGGTTGAAAGTCCAACTCAAGCTGGGCATAGCACGACTACGTATGGTTCAACAGAAAGATGTTGCGCTTGCGAAGCAGCAGAGAAGAGCTATGGCTCAGTTAATAGAGGTACACTCTCGATCTACCGATATGCCGCAAGCTTCACGATTCCCAAACTAATACGCTTTCCCAGCAAGGAAAGATTGAATCCGCCCGTATCCGCGTCGAGAACATCATCCGAAGCGATATCACCACGGAACTTCACGAGTATATCGAACTGTACTGCGAGCTGCTCCTTGCCCGCTCTCAACTTCTCGACCCGCCTCCATCCACCACCCTCTCTTCCTCGTCTCCCGCCCCTACTCACCAATGCGATCCTGCCTTGGAAGAAGCCGTTCGTACCGTCATTCACGCTGCACCACGTACCGAGATCAAAGAGTTACATTCGGCCCGTGCATTGCTGGTTGAGAAGTTTGGGCGGGAATACTCCACGCTCGCCATGGAAGGAGAGGGGGTTCCGGATCGAGTGTTGAAAAAGTTGAAGGTTGAGAGTCCGTCACCGGAGCTTGTGGATGCGTATTTGCGAGAGATCGCAAGGACATACCAAGTGCCATTTCCTGGTGTGGACACCGATGAAGATGAGGATGAGGATGATGGAGGCATCAAAGAGCTGGAGCAACAGGTGGAGCCGCCACTAGAAGCAGAGACAAAGACGGGCTCTGATGACGAAGGGAAAGCTGATGAGACAAGAAGATTGAGTCAGGCTACACCACCGAGGAAGATCGGAACGAAACCCGTGGTGGGAGTCGCACCTCAGAGTCCAAGCTCCGAAAATGTTACGCCGAGTGTGAAATTGCCTGGTCCTCCAACCGAGTTAAGGCCGAGTGCGAAGATGAAAAAGGCAGAGACGAAGAAACCTGAAGGGAAAGGTAAGGGGCCGGGAGGATCGATTCCCGATGTCGACGAATTATCCAAGAGATTTGCTGCGTTAAAGAGGTAGCGTTATCCTGTCACTGGTGGAGTAGCGTGACAGCTTGAGTAACCCTTTGATTGCTACCGTACGAATCTATCGGACAGCGAGGAGCAAAGTACGCTGGAACCGTTTGATGGACAGCAAGGAGAACGGGGCTAGTATGAACGCGTATGAGTTGAGTGATCACCATACTAACTACCAGAGCGCACTGGCTCAAAGTTCGAGATATCTCTACGAATTCCACAGAATATCAGATCGGTCTTTTATTTGCGGCGAGAAATGGCACTGACCAAATATATTGATCGTCCTATTCTCAACATCTCCCTTCAATTTTCCGAACCGCATCAACGTGACCCATGACGGACAACGTTGGCTTCTTCGGCATTGTGGACCATGGCATCGCTCGTTCCCAAGTGCATGCCATGTTCGAGATCTCCGCCCGTTTCGTCGCATTGCTCAACCCATGAAAGTTCCTGTCTTTTCCTATGCACGAACGCTGACTGGGAGAACAACACGTGGATTCGGCCCCTACTGGCGCCATTGACCGGAACGTATTCTACCAACTCCAGTGTGGCGTGGTCATGATTGTGGATGGATGATGAGATACTACATGGATTTAAGAGATGGTGTTTGAGTCCATGCCTGTCGTGTAAGCCGTGTCCGACAAGCTCATGACGTTCTTCGCGAGGAGATGGAGATTCGAGGACTGCTTCATCAAGGGCCATGACATGAGTAGATCTGAGCTCCAGGCCATTGGGGATTTGCGACAGTATTTCCAACCCTCGGACGAACTTGACCAGCGAGGTGTATCATGGAGCTGGTACATGGACTGGAACTCATTTACCTTGCTATTCCAGAAAGAGGGAGTCCAAATTGGAGGTCTGCCCGAACGACAGGTGTCGATCGAGTTCGGCTACGGAGGGACCCCGGACCAATGTCGAATCCGCGGTCATCTGTAATATTGGCGACTTGGTTATGTCCTGGTAGGACGATCGGCTCAATCCGGTGCTCCATCACATACAGGTCCTTTGTGACGTAGGCGACACTCCGGATAGGTACGGTCTTGTGTCTTCAATCAGCTGTAAAACGACGTAGAATCTACGGACCATTGAAGAAGTACCCCATGGTGATAGGCAAGAAGTTCAACTGGAATGTGATGCGAGGAACTGGCGCATGGCAAGAGGTGTTGCAGAGACTCAGCCGCTTTGAAGCATTATCGTCCTATCTCCTTCGTGTACATGCCTTGGTTTACTGAATGCAGCATTTCCTTCGAACTGAACCAGCTCAATTACGAGGATCTAGAACTCTTATGAAATGGTTGGGCATACTACGTAAGGATTGTGAATTTTAATTCACCATGGCTGGCTGAGACATGAAACCGTGCCTTTGATGGTTTGGGTCCTTCAATTCGACGACTTGAACAAGACAAGAGATGTAACGGAAGGCCCTATAAGATCTCAGGACACATGGACATCAAGAACTAAACACGAACGAACCATCTATGTGGCGATTCTGGTCCGATCACATGCTGTGGCAGGATGAGATTGATTTAGTCGTGATAGAGATGCTGGATAGAGCGGTTTGGTGGACGTTGAGGAGTGGGCGAGTGGCAGATCAGCGTGGCTGTGTAATAGCTGTCCCCAACGAATCACGTGGCATTTGCCGTCAAACCACAGCTCCAGTTGGCCAGTTGAAGGTCAAAGGCAACTGAGGTCATCCACGGGACTTGTATTCCGTGATCTGCATCCTTACGGAGTACTGGATTGTGCCTTGAATGGTCTTCTCCATGAACTTGTTGATAATTTCTACCAATATATGTGTTTCAGCTTTGCCGTCATCGTCACTTCCACCCCCAATGTCACTGGTTTCAAGTGTTGATCGTTACGAGACGTCCACAACTCTCTCCTCTCGGTCTATACCCCAAACCGAACCCTTCTGATGTTCTCGCTGCTTACGGTTAGGATAGCAAACTTCCTGTCTCAATGAAGTCTTGTGTGTTGGTGCAAATATGCGGCAATGAAGCATGATACCAGGCTATGACCCACGAGTCGTCCGGATGAGCAGAATACCTCAAAAGGAGAGCTATGCGATTCCTGGAACCCATGAGCGAAGAGCCATACCAAAGTCGTCGGAAGACGTCTCACCAAGCGGTGCGGAACCCGCGTCTGGACAGCACCGGATGAATCTCGACAACAGGCTTGTCACGTCAATCACGGGAGATTCTACCGACACATCGGACTTACCTACATCCTCGATCGAATCGTCAACCCATTTCGACCCACCCAACGACTCTCACACGTCTTTCGATAGCACGGAGAGTACGACGGATCGGACTCCCCGTATCGATATGACCGACGACTTGGAAGAGAGCACAATCCAGGCCAAGGTCACTCTTGTGGAATTGACGTCTATCAGCACATCTGCCTCCGCATTTCCCGAATCGTTTGGTCTTGCAATCTCTCCAAAAGGCCGTTGGATCACCGCCTACAACTCCACCTCGCTCTACATCATAAGAACCCAAGATTTACCGCGAATCGAGGTACGCGCATTCCAAGTACGACAGAAGCCGTCCGCTGTCGCCATCACGGACGAAGCGGGAGTATTCGCATTGGTCTCCAAACCGCATCAGGTAGATGTCTATAAATTCGGTGCGGAGACAACGGGAAAGCTATCGGAAACACTCGGTGGAGTTGCTTCCGGGATACAGATCATTCATGATATCCAATCGATTACTCTCGATCCCAAGGGTAAGATCTTGGCAGCAGCATATGCTACCGGAATTGAATTGATATCGTTGAATGGGGGAAACGTTCGACGGACGGTGAACTGCGATGTCACCCAGAATATCGCCTTCTCGAACGATGGCAGAACCATCCTTGCCACCGGCCTTGAACGTCGATATCGAACATCGACCATCATTTCTGTGGGTGGTGATTTGGACGGACCGATTTCTGAGGATGGTGATCCCGAGCCAGTCCCGTCACATCGTGCTTGGATCACTCAGCTGATATTCCCCGAGACGAAGTTACCCGCACGGCAATCTAGCTTAGTTCCGGATCGTTCTTCGGGGCATGTTAGCGAGATCATCGCATTCGATCCCAACGACCACAGTTGGGGCATTTTTGAGTTGAGTTCGAAAGAATTCCTACGACAAAAAATGTCACCGTCGGACAATTTACGTTGGAGGAGAGATCATGAGACTCTCGAAGACGCTCTTCCAGCTGTTACGCTTGAGCCATTGACAGTGGCTGTTGCCACCAAGAAACCCGGGTTGAGTGAGGTTAGAGTCTTTCAATTCGATCAAAACTGGCGAGACGAGTTCATATCAGGACGGGCCAACGAGGATTTGGGTCAGACCTTCCTGGATCCCAAAATTTCTGTGGAAATCAATAACGGGGACACCAATTTTAAGAGCATCAGCACGTTGAAATGGTTACAAAATGAGGACTCCCCGCAAAGTCGACTTGTCGCACTCACCAGCTCGTTTGGCCGCACCGTTCCAGATGATGCAATCGGGTTACCACCTTCCGGAGCGAGGATCTATCTCATTGACCTCGAACCAAGCAATGACAACAACCAATCAAATGAGACAAACAAGTTGACCTTGAATCTCGATGAAGTCATGCCACGTACTTCTCTTGAATATGAGGACCTCCCATGGGACCGCGAGGTGGATCTGGTGAGAAGTTTGACTCGGATTCAAAGGCGGAGAGAGTCTTATGTGTCAATTGGACGAGGCAATCGAACTCCGAGGCGTTCGATGTCCTCAGCAGGACTCGGTTTCATTCCACTACGAGAATCTCTCGACGTCGACCCTCAACGTCGTCGATCGATGTCGAGTATGTCTCGCACAAGCGGAAGTGATGATATGGAGAACGGGAACGGGGTTCTACTACCGATGGACGAACCATACACTCCAGGCCAACCACGTTCTCAATTCTCGATCAATCGTGCTGCCACTGTGGCCGCGAATTCAGGTGTAGGTCGTCGCCATCTTCGAGCCTTGCCTGATCGACCACTGGAATATCGTCGAGCAGACAATCTTCCGGAACATCCACATGAAAGCGATGCAGACAACTGGGTACCACCGCCCCCTCCTTACTCTGCAAACCCAGATCCAACTTGCCCCCAACCAGTCCATACACCCCAAGGCCTGGCCACCCGTCGTCCTGAAGCACCGTCCAATCGATCTGTCTCCCAACCACTCCCTTCCGCAAATCCACTAGCAAATCCACAAGCAAATCCACAAGCGAATACACGACATGTTCCTCTACCAAGGCGGATTCCTGTTCCCACACCAAACCCAAATTCCCAAGCAGATTCATTGCCTGCTCCTCAACCAAGGCGTGTTCCTGTTCCTACAACTCAATCATCCAATCCACCTTTGCCAATCTCAATTCCCGCTACTTCCCCTTCCCAATCTCCACAACATATAGCACAGTCTGTCTCGTCCCCTTCCAGTCCCGAAACGACTAATCGACCCCTATTTCCACCCCGTCGGTCATCAACGACCCCTCCCGCACCCGAAACGATGACGAGCTCTCCTCCCGCACCAGGTCAACTCGTGGCGTCATCTACATTCCCCAGGACCATGGTTACACCCCAGATTCCAACGTCGAATCCATCTCCCTCTACACTTCCACTTAGTGCGCAGAGTAACAATGCCATTCCGCCGTCCCACAACCAGTCCACACCTCCTGCTCCGATCCAGGCCTCTCAAATCAATCCACTTCCCTCTGTTCCGCGACATAATCTCAACCTCCCTCTACCCGCTCCTCTGGCGGTAGCGACTCCGAACGGACAAGTTCTACGCTCCTCGAGGAATCGTCGTGGTGTTCTTACTCCCGAACTTCGCGATCGCGCTCTTCCGCCTCTTCCCGGTGAACGAGAGCGGATGGGAGGGCGACGCGACCAACGCTCTATGACCCGATTACAAGCACGTCAAAGTCTACCTCTCTTGGGTAGTGAGGGTGATGCAGGGAATATGGTTCAGCGGGTGACACATTCGCAGTGGGCCCAAAGATCTGTGCAGTATCAAAATGTTGAACCAGGAAGATATCATTCTCAACAAATGATGGACCCTAGCTTCCGCCAAACTCAAGGTAGTAGAGCCTCGGGAAGGAGAAAGAAGTGGTCAGAGGCGAGATGTGTTGTTATGTGATGAGCGATGATGGGTTTTTATCCAACAGTATTGATAGCTGTAGATCGCCGATGTCTACATTGAAATTGAGACTGGGAATAGTTCTGAGTTGCGTGACGGCTCAATATGGCTGTTTGGTTAAGCGGATGGACATCCCGAGCGTATATAGCTGTAATGATACCCTTGATTCATTGTTATTTTTCCATTGTTTTACGTGCTATGCTTCATGACTCATATGCTAAACCACTGGGTATCTAACATCTGTCAGTGACAGTCTGTAACTGGCATTGCCAACGCCAAATTCCTCGCACACTTCCCTATTGCTTCCAATCTTGGTGGGATGACATATAATGATGCGGATGTGTCACAACACCCGGGTCGTGGTTCATGTCTCGTAGTTTCTTTTGACCTTCAACAGTTCCGTCAATGAAAGTCCATTCCGGGATTTTAGTGGTGTCCAATCCTCTTCTCGGCTCGATTGTAGACGACTTCCAAGCGTGCGGCGATCAAGCATGCCAAAACCGATACCAAAACGAACCCATGGATAGCCCACCATATATGTTGTACTCCAAGAGGGCATGAACTGTATCCAAAATTCCAGACGCCTTCACAGTCCGTCCAAACGCTGAGTAGGCCTGCATTGCCACCATATTCCCCCATCATGCTACGGACAGTGATCTCCCGAATGCTATTCTGCGGGTTGTGGACCTTCTCGTGGATAGTGACATCCCACAAGTCGTCATCCGATCCATTCGATGAGTGGAAAGTGTCACATCCTGTGTGATCGTGTCCGGTCAGGATAATGCCATCCCGTTTGTGACCCTGGTGAAATTCGAAGATTTGATTCAACACGTCAAGGCTGCGCTCTTTGCTCAAGTGATTCTGCTCCATCACGCCACCACCTTGGTCGGATGGGAAATAGTCGAAGAAAGGACCGTCTGTACAAATCCCTTCCGGCTTGTAGAGTGGAATATGTGTCAAAAGAACAACCGCCTGTCGGGTATCGTTGTGTTTCCCCAGTTCGGTTTCCACTTGACCAATGAAGGATTGCGTGTCCGATGCTAAGTCGTTGTCGAGTGTAGGACCATCCAGATTCATTGAGTTCAGCACGACAAGCCGTAAGACATATGGCTCTGACTTGCATTGTGGGTCGAGACATGGCATGGCAAACGATAACATGCCATTAACCGGTCCAAATCGTTCCTCGTACCTCGTTACGCGATCACTGTCCATATCACCCGAGTATCCCACATCGTGGTTACCAACAATGTTGATGAGTTGCCGATTCCAGTTCCATGATCCAAACTCCCCATTGGAATTGTTCAAGTCGAAGATCGTGTGGAAAGATTGCATCAAAGATTTGTTGATTTGATTCGCTCCACGGAAGACACGATTCCAGTATCGATCGCTTCGTTTCTGAAATTCCTCATCGCCAACCCATTGACTTCCGACTAGATCCCCTAGCACGGTGGTATGAGTCGGTTCAGTCCACCAATGTAGTGTGCGATATATATGAGCTAGGTAATAGTCATTGCCAAAGAGGTCAATATGTTTCCGATATCCATGAATCGTCTTTGGAACGTCGTCACGAATGAAAGCCTGGGACTCTGACCAGACTACATTGTAATCCACATCGAGGCCGTATAAAATGTTGCCCAACTCTGATTTGGCCGTCCTCAGGTGAGGGAATCGGAATTCGTTTGGATCTGGAAGGGAGCTGTCACCTTCTAGCTGTGGATCAGCGAAGATTAACAGTCGGAAAGGAGCCGTGGGGGATGTTGTGCAGTGTCTTGGTTGTTTCGATTCGGGGAAGTGGCAGAGATGGAACGCTGGATATAGATAGAGGTAGATTAGTGAGAGACAGGACGGGATGAAGGCCCAATACAAGAGCTGCTGAGATATGCGGACTCTCATGTCTTCAACCACTTGCAGTTAGCTCTGAATCCTATGAAATGGTGTGGATGTAAGGAACTGAAGGCGGAAACGTGAGACTTAAGGAAGCCTGGTCGCCTGGTGAATGGCATATTGAAGGCATAGGTCTCGATTGGTATCAACAACATGAGAACCCACCACAATGGTGAAAAGTGCTGGCACAAGACATTGAATATTTGTGTTTAAGATGCGATTGAAAGTTGGATGAGCAGATTCCCCTGAAATTCCATGGAACGGAATTGAGTCATGTAGTCACGTGCTTCGAATTTTCCAAGATCACTACCTGACGCATGTATCACCACCGAGTCCAGGCCATCTTCAATGAGCGCCCGACTATGATTCGATCTACTTCACCCGAAGACGGCGAACTCATCAAGATGCGCCCTTGAATACGAAGTACCTGTACAACAAATCGCCACTAGACTCTCGTACAGACGGGCAAGCCAGAGGTGCTTGAATGGCGTTTGGTACTTCATCACAATCCGTATGCCAGCTTCAATCGCCATGTGTCGCCTCATTGGGGTTGGTGGGTGGTATGTTCACATCAGACACGGTACACCTACAGCACCGGAGAGGGACTAGCGATGCTATCATGGCTCGATTGATGGCGAGAATCTCGATTGATGGCGATGAAGTGGTCCCCGGGTGGAAAGGAGTTTTGTGACATCGTAAACGGATTCTGTGGGAGGCGCGTGTGGGAGGCGCGTATGAAAGACATGGATTCAACGAATCTGCTCCGAGGAGTTTAGGAATCGCGTTTCTGGGCCGAGAAATCGAGGCGGATCACCGATCACAAGGGAATGGTGTGTCGTGGATTCTAGTCATGAATTTTTGGGATATGGAAGATACCACAATTGCCTCGAAACATCGAGGCTCCGAACCGATTGTTTCCGCTCAACTCCGAATAATATGCATCGACACTTTACATCACGACGCCCGAGTTGCTCGCAATACGCTAGATTGATGTGAGTTATGATCCTCCCGGTTTGATTTGCTCAACTTACCGGCCACAGTTCTGCAGCTTCCTTGCCAACGGGACCCGTGATAGCTGATCCTTTCATTTCACCCTTGGGGTTGACAATCTATACCTGTTAGCACCATTCTCCGAATCGTCTTGACAAAAAGTCCCGAAAACTCTGTTCCAAATCGTATGTTACGTACCACGCCAGCATTGTCCTCGAAGTAAAGGAAGATACCATCGGCTCTCCTCCATGGCTTGCTCTGTCGAACCACCACAGCGGGCATGACCTTCTTCCTCAATTCCGGCTTTCCCTTCTTCACCGTAGCCATGACCATATCACCAACACCGGCGGCCGGAAGACGATTGAGACGAGCACCGATGCCTTTCACGGAGATGATGTAGAGATTTCGGGCGCCGGAATTATCGCAGCAATTCATGACCGCACCACTAATCATGTTAGTTGTCGGTTGGAGATTTCATTGAAAAGTCCACGTACACGGGAAGACCGAGGGTCATCTTGAGCTTGTTGCCGCTTGAACCGCGACCTCGTTTTGACGACATCTTGGAGGTTCACGATGGAATTTGTCGGGTGTAATGGTGCTGAGCGCAAATGTAAGAGAAAGTGTTGAAGTCAAAGTGTGGAGAGTGGAAGTGTGTCTCGCTAAATGGTTTTAGCCTTGATGCCTGGCGCCAAGATCCTGATCGACCTCATCGACCACCTCCAACTCACCACCCAACAGTATCCATCACATTTCTACTTCTATCTCGTCACGAGCAATCCTCTTCGATTTCACATTTTCCTACCGATATTCTAGGAATCTAGGCCTGTGTACGATCGTCGATCAAGACCTTCTGTAATTTTTCGAGCTTCGAAAAATCTTACTTCAATGTTGTAGAGATAGTATGTCAGTACTCTCTTGTCACGAATGGCTTCATCTCAAGCTTTCTTTTTCGGGAATGTATGACATCTCTTCTGGTCGAGTACTCAATGGAAAGAAACCTCAAAAAGTCTATAATATAAATGTAATTGCTGCTTTCCATGTTAATGGCGGAAATATGCTCTATATGTTCTCACTTCTCCAGTCTCTTTTTGTGCTGCCTTTCGTCTCTAGCTAAAGCTTTCAAAGGCATTGATATTGATTACCTTATTCCTCTAACCTGCTCTCAATTGGCCCATCAACTTGATTCTTTCGTGTTCTCTGTGCCGTTGTGCATCCGATCTGACCCCAACCCTTGATAGCAATTATATGCCGCGCAAAGCGAGGATCCTATTATCGAATTGCCGCAAGTATTCGACTGCTCCTACAACTAACCGACGATGATCTACAGCTCCTGCTACGCTGGACTCCGGTGCATTGTGTCTATGCGGAGTATGATGCCACAATGACCGAAACCTTGGCCACATGGTCTAGAGCATTTCTCGCTTCCCTCTAAATTATCTTCGAATCCGCAATGCATGTACCCTCGACCGAGAGGGATATTAGGAACAGAAGATAGATTGTATGCACTTATTTGACGACGTTTAGATCACAGAATACAACTTATCAGGACTTCTGCTGATAAGTCACGAACTCTGGACAGCGTCCACTCAAGATTATCCCAGGTAGATTTGCTCAGAAATCTCGCTATCTTCTCGTTGGACCAGGGGATTCAAGCTGGTACAGCATGTCGATACGCCCTCATTTTTATATTGGTTCTGGCGAATTCTTTAGCAGTATTGTTAGCTAAGGAGCGTGCAAGGATACGTCGAACATCTATTTCCTCATTGCCTTGAATACGTGAGTGGATGATCATCGATTAGGGGTGTCTTCGTGCAAAAGATGAGCTCCGTTATCGTCGGATATCCTCGGAGAAACTCACTACCATCGCTCCATCTGTTAGCTTGAGCGAGGGCTTCTGCATCAGTAAGCTGGCTTGCGATACTGATCCGGCTTGTCAATTGGGAGGTCAAGAGGTAGTTTGAAGCGATTTCGAACGTAGATCATCTGGATTCGTTTCATCTTTCAGCACTTTATGGATGAATTAAGCTATTAGTATTGATGGCTGCAGCCAACGCTGAATACGGGTCAACGACTTCCCGAAGATAGGAATGGGACCACCAAGAGACGCTTTGGCACGATTACTTGTCATTATATATATCAAGTGCTTATATCGCATATCCGAAGCACTGATGGTTCTACAGGGCACAGTAAGCGGGTTTGTTCAAGAGGACCGACCTGATCCATGCTGCCAGAATATCAATCGATCGACGCAGTCCCTCAATGCTAGGTACTACTTAACTTGGCTGTCAAACAGCGATGAGAAAGTTGATTTCAAGAGGAACTTGAGTAGTATTTGCAGCGTGAGCTGCTTTCATTATTGATCTATGCCCCTTAAACCTTATCGTACAAGCCCATGGTTTCATCAGCGACTATCGAGGCCGCTATCATATCTGATGGATCGGAGATGTTTCGGACATAATGGTGATTACTCTCGTCTATTCGCCGCAAGTTCACATCCCCGGATTCGGCCATGGACCACCTGGGAATGTGGCAAACGAATCCTGCATCGACCACATGGGGTCACCCGCAAATAACCCACCATCTAATATCCCGTCGAGTCCCATACTTCCCAACATGCCTCCCATTGACATGTCGTTTAAATCTATCCCCGTAGGTAGATTGTTCCATTGGAAGGCCGGATCCAGACTAGAAACGCCTGCCATTCCCGGTGGTGCAAACCAGTCACTATTCACCGGGGCTAACCCAGCGAGTGGACGTCCCTGCATGCCCACAGGATGAGTAGTTCCGGACATGGCGACTTCGCTTAGGAGTTGTAGACCGTGGGATGAAGGAGTCGGTTCGGATGGACCACTTCGTGATTGAGGGTGACCACGTGGATCTTCGCTACGTTTGAGGGAAATGAAGCGATCGTTCAGGCGCTGAATGACCAAGTAGAACTTCCCGTGAGGAATGCCTTGATTTCGATCATGAATTCCTTGGAAGAGCTGGAGTATGGAGAGAAGATAACTTTCGATCCGAAGTTCGCTTTTGTGGATGACCTGACTTATTTCTCCGGAACTTGTCGCTGCGACATAGAGTTTGATGAGGACGACGGTGGTATACACGATCCGAACCGCTGGAATGGTTAGCGGAATCATCCACCGTCGTTGCTGACTTACAAGAAATGACGGGTAATGTAATGATTGTCTCAACATCTAGAGACAAGAAAATATCCAGTTCTTTCTGTGCCGCACGTTGGATTCGTTCCAAAGCATCCACATGATGAGGTCCAGCAATCGAGTAACCGCCCTTAAATGATTCCGGAACGTTGAGGGGGATTTTGAAATCATCCATGTCCGAGTTATGGAGGGCGATCTATACCGTCAGTATGGAACCATGGAACCAGCGGAAAGTACATACTTCATGAATATAAAGGTCGATGATGGGTTCCAACACTTGTGAAGCCGCTGGACTGGTTAGTATGAGTGGTTGAGGTGGAACATTGACGTACTGGACTCTTCGGGTTTCGAAAGGATCTCGGCAAGATCCTTCTCAAAGTGTTTGATGCCGTAAGTCACCTTTGCGTCGGAGACGGACACGCTGGCAGAGGGATCATCCATGGAAAATTGAACCGCCACTTCCTCTGCAATATGAGCGAGTCTCACATGTCGAGTAATGATCTTGTCGGACGGTAAAGCATCCGAAGCCGTCTCCAGATACTCAATACTTTCCCGCATATATTCGTTGAAGCGTAAGAGCATCGGTCGGCGTAAGACCATAGTAGTACTGATACACATGAAGTAACAAGCCAACCATGATCTCCGTGATTCGGCCGATTCCGGAGGAGGCTTGAGTTTTCGAAACGGACTTCTGTCCCCGTACCATTTCTTGTCGAGCTGCTGAATTCTTCGTTTTCCGAGTCCGATGTCAATCGCCATGATAGCCGCCATGTGGATTTGTTGATAGAACAAATGTTGCTCGAAAACCGGTGGGATCCGATACCAGAGGGAAGAAACGAGTAACGCTTGAACCAATTCCAAACTCTTCTCCCCTTGTTTCCACATCACCACCGCATATACATCCACCATTTCCACTCGAAGCGCCTCTTGAACTTCCACGGATACCTCCTCTCGATAGGATGTGCTATTGAGGATGGCAAGAAATAGGATGGGTTTGGTGTATCGGATATCGTCGGCTTTGGTTCCTGGTGGGAAAGCTACAGCAGGGAATCGAACCATATGTTCTTGACAGTACCTCTCGAAAATCCGGTTCGATAACTCTCGGCTAACGATTTTGTCGATACGTGAACGAATGGTGTCCTGGTCGAGAGTTTTACGAGTGGGTTGGTCTCCAAACACCGATTTGGCCATCTTGTAAACCAATTCCCCATTTGGCAATGTAGCTGTCTCCATCCGTAGCTCTTGATCAGGGGAGGTATACTAGACTCGTTAACAATGTCAAAAAGTGGGCGGATCACATACACTCTCGACGCGTCTACGTTTGTCTATGGTCGTTAGCCCGGTCACACATTGCGATCCCGACGATCCGTACGAACCTGTTCGAATATCCACGGATCTCCCTTCATTGTCCGAACCTGACCTGGAGTCTCCATCGCGCACATTCCCCGATTGCGCTTGAAGGGTGGCTGTCAAAGCATCGATCTTCCGTTCCAACTCCGCAACTCGGTTGTCCGCTTTTTTCTGTCGTTTTCGAGTCGGTGGGGTGACAATACATGTCCGACCTGCCTTCTTACATCTCAAGCAAGGTTCACCGGATCCAGGGTCGATCGCGCAACGAACTTTGAGTTGTCGACATGAATCTATGGTCGTTAGAAGCGCTCCATTCAACGGTATGCAATACTTACCACAAGCTCGTGGTCTCTTTTGATGTTCTCCAGGTGGTTGTGATGGACTATCGCCGCGTTAGATGTATGCGTTCAAATGAAATGAGACATACTCGGTGCCAATTCCTCCCACATGTACTCCTTCTGGTGACTCTGTCGATGAATCATCATGGTCTTCGTAGGGTGTTGGATTTAGCGGACCGGATCGTTGTCCTGGGCTTTGATTGGAACTTGGACCATGACTTTGGGATGTTGATCTTGAGGTTTGGGGTCGAGGTTGCGAGAAGTTGACGTCCTGCGCGTCGAGTGTATCATGCAATCTAGGATCGATAGGTCCGATATTTGCCATTTGGTGCACGGTATGATCGGTATGATCGGTATGATCGGTATCAAGGATGAATACCTGCACAGTCTTCGGCTAGGTCGGTCTTGTTGTGTCCCGTTCACCGACACCAGCTCCACTCGGTATGAGAGTCGTGACTTGGGACCATGAGTTGCGAGAAGATCGTTGAAATGGAGTTGCCATGAAACCTGATGGATGATCAGTAATTAATCGATATAGGATTTAGGCCACGAAACGATAGCGAATCAATACGATTCAAGAGAGACGGCGCAATGAATTGGCCCGACTTGAGTTTACGTGTGGGTGGGAATAAGGAATGGCTGCAATTGGATCCTTTTCGTCATGAACTCGTACTCTATTCCATACATATTTACTTATGGGTCCAGGCATTGAATTTACCACCATTTACCAGGTTTTTCAGATGTTTGGACTCATACCTGCATGAAGCATTCCTCCAGCATCGAAGAATTCGAATCTGATTTTGCTTCAGAAGTAATACTCTCAGAGTTCATCATGTGTGATTTGTATCATGTAACCCGTAGTGTGGTATTGGTATGCGGTACAGGCAGAGCTAATCAACGCTTCTACGGAAAGAATCCGGATATTGCTCCGGCTCATACATCACTCTCGTTGACCTAGCATCAAGTCGACATGGTCTGGGATCGTCCAGAAATGTACATAAATATGATATGAGAAAATTCGGCCCGTCCATCGAAGACTCGGGAGGAAAGTCGAGATCCCGCCCAAGAAAGCACGAAATTCATTCGATTGCGGGGCGGTCCAGAGAGATTTGGGAGACGCTCGCGACTCATTCTCTCGGATTTCTCTAGCCGTGTGGATGCGACCGCAAATCGCCTAACATGGCATTGGAAGGAAAGAATACTATGTGGGAGGGAAGATCCTGCACGACATTCGGCTGACTGGGTTTTGCTTCGTTGACAAGAGAAGTTGCCTTCATAGAGCAATTGGAAGACCGTACGCCGCGTCAATCGAGCGATATACCTGACATGATATCTATCCTGAGCTGACAGGAGGGATTATAGCGACTTCATCTCCAGCTTGAAAGATGGTCGGATCGTCATCTTCAAGGTCGAGATATTCCAAATTTCTGGTCACAGCGGAGCTATCGAGAACTGAAGCTTTCATTCCTGGATACATCTGGTCTAATACATCGAACAGTTCTCGGGAATTGAGAGGCGCATCAAGGTATTCCTCGGACTTGTTGGTGAAACTGGTAGCCGAGGCGAAATAGAGGATCTTGAATTGACCGGAAGGTTTCGTTTGGGAAGTCATGTTCACCTAAGAAAGTTGTCAGCTTATGAATCCATTGAATATCAAACTTAAGCAACAATATATGTCTGATCAGATACCGTCGTAGAAAATTGTCAACAGGGGAGTGATGATCACTCTTCAGGTAATACATGCTATTTTCTTTTGCTCATCAAGAGACATGGACAATCGTCCTAGATGGAAAGGAAGTGGAATCTTACCTCAAGATAAGCAATTACTTAGATTCTCACAGCAACCAGTTAGAAAACTATATCCTTCTCTAGAAAGTGATCCGACAGTCATGGACTTGGAGTCATCGAGAAAGAATACATATCAGGAATTTCTACAGAATTGCCATGGAATTTTTAGTGATGGAAGAATTTGCGTAGTTTAGGTTTGTGGAAGGAAATTGAGCGAGAGATGGTGAGATTTCTTGGGCACGTGACTTTAGGAATGCACCGCCACATATGTGGCTGATCGCTTACCCTCCGACGCTCTGGCCAATTTCCTGGGGATGAACTTGAGGACACGACAACGACCATTACTTTGACAAAGACATACTTGCTCCGATCAACTTGGACCTGAACTTGAGACATCTACCCAACATCCTGTCTCTTTCTTAACGACTACTTTGAGACCCTTGAAGGGAACAGCTCCCGATCGGTGGAGCTGTCCATCCAGCCTCCACCATGCAGTCCCCTAACATGCTAACGAAGGTATGGGAGCTTCCTTTAGTTAGGAATTGATACTTACCTTTCCTAGTTTGAATCGAAGTCGTCGAGAGCCAAGGGAATCGCATTCCATCCGAAACGGTAAGCTCAATTCCTCCTTGAGAAGCCGTCAATAACAGGATAGGCCATGGATTCTGGTTTCGCTACACTCGTCGACTATCCAGCTATGGGATTATCGGATGGGAACTCTAATCGATCGTTTCGAAGAGCATGATGGTCCGGTTCGAGGGATTGACTTCCACAAAACCCAACCCCTCTTTGTTTCTGGAGGGGACGATTACCGTATCAAAGTATGGTCACATCAATCAAGACGTTGTCTCTTTACCTTGACGGGACATTTGGACTATGTTCGAACGGTGTTCTTCCATCATGAACTTCCATGGATCATTTCCAGCTCCGACGATCAAACCATAAAAATTTGGAACTGGCAAAACCGGTCACTCAGTATGTCTTCGACCAGGAATGGTACTAAAGGGTACTAACGGAATAGTTTGCACCATGACCGGACACAACCACTACGCCATGTGTGCCCAGTTCCATCCCAAGGAGGATTTGGTGGTTTCCGCTTCTTTGGATCAGTCGGTGAGAGTTTGGGATATCTCGGGACTTCGAAAGAAACACTCCGCACCGACCACGATGACCTTCGAAGAACAGATCGCACGATCCAACCCGAACCAAGCCGATATGTTTGGAAATACCGATGCAGTGGTGAAGTTCGTTCTTGAGGGTCACGATCGAGGTGTCAATTGGGTGGCTTTTCACCCCACACTTCCTCTCATCGTTTCCGCAGGCGATGATCGATTGGTTAAACTCTGGAGGATGAGTGAGACCAAGGCATGGGAAGTTGACACCTGTCGAGGACACTTTCAGAACGTTTCGGCCTGTTCGTTCCACCCACATCAAGACCTCATCCTCTCCGTTGGTGAAGACAAGACCATTCGTGTTTGGGATCTCAACAAGCGTACGGCGGTTCAATCGTTCAAGAGGGAAAATGATCGGTTCTGGGTGATTGCCGCGCACCCGGAGATCAATCTTTTCGCCGCTGGCCATGACAACGGTGTGATGGTTTTCAAATTGGAGAGAGAGAGACCGGCTTCGGCTGTCTATCAAAATCAACTCTTCTACATCACCAAAGAGAAGCATGTCCGGTCATATGATTTCTCCAAGAATATCGAATCTCCCTCCATGCTATCCTTGAAAAAGATTGGAAGTCCATGGTTGCCACCAAGAACCCTTTCCTACAATCCGGCGGAGCGAGCCATTCTTGTCACATCGTCTGCTGATGGAGGATCATACGAATTGGTTGCACTTCCACGGGATGCTACCGGAGCCATTGAACCGACCGATACCAAACGAGGTACTGGGAACTCTGCTGTCTTTGTGGCCCGAAATCGATTCGCAGTCTTCACAAAATCCAATCAGCAGATTGACATCAAAGACCTTGCCAATTCCACCACAAAAACGATCAAACCTCCTCCAGGAACGACCGATATCTATTTCGGTGGCACCGGATGTCTTCTCATGATCACCGCTACCTCTGTTGTTCTATACGACATTCAACAAAAGAAACAACTTGCGGAACTTCAAGTCAATGGAGTGAAATATGTGGTCTGGTCTAATGATGGACTTCATGCTGCACTCCTCAGCAAACACAATGTGACCATCGTTACGAAGTCATTGCAACAAATCAGCACTTTGCATGAGACGATTCGTATCAAGAGCGCAACATGGGATGATGCTGGTGTTCTCCTTTACTCGACTTTGAACCACGTCAAATATACTCTCATGAATGGGTATGTTCAAACCCAATATTCAAGCCACATACTGACGTTTTAGGGACAACGGCATTGTTTGTACACTGGATCAGACGGTTTACCTCCAACGAGTCAAAGGAAGGAATCTGTACTGTCTTGATCGATATGCGAAACCTCGAATCTTGGCCATCGACCCAACCGAGTACCGATTCAAGTTGGCCTTGGTCAAGAGAAATTACGACGAAATGTTGAACATCATCAAAACCTCGAGTCTGGTCGGCCAGAGCATCATTTCTTACCTTCAAAAGAAAGGATACCCGGAGATTGCATTGCAATTCGTGCAAGACCCACAAACTCGATTTGAGTTGGCACTTGAATGTGGCAATCTTGATGTCGCGGTCGAAATGGCCAAAGAACTGGATCGACCGAAACTTTGGACTCGTCTGAGTCTAGAAGCATTGGCACATGGCAATCATCCAGTGGTTGAGATGACTTACCAAAAGCTACGAAGTTTCGACAAGTTGTCTTTCTTGTATCTTGTGACTGGCGACAAAGATAAGCTTCGTCGAATGGCGAAGATTGCCGAACATCGAGGCGATACCAGTTCAAGATTTCAAAATTCTCTGTATCTGGGCGATGTACAGAATCGAGTCGAGTTGTTGAAGGAATTGGATCTATGTATGTTTTATGTTTTCAAGCCCGGTGCTTTGCTGACTTTTCAGATCCTCTTGCCTATCTTACGGCGAAATCGAATGGTCTCAGCGAGGAGTGCGAATCCATCCTTGAAGCCACCGGTATGACCGAGGATCAAATCAAACTTCCACCAATGGGCGAACCTACCTCCATACCGAAGCCGATCGTTCCAACGTTCACAAGTCCATGGCCTGCCAAGGTAACATCGACGTCCGCCTTCGAAACCGCTTTGCTTGGTCCAGGGGAGGAAGACGTTGTTGCAACCAATAGCGAGGATCTTGAGGACGAGCCCGTGGAGCTGGAAGAAGGCGATGATGAAGATGCTGCAGGATGGGATATGGGTGAAGTTGATGTGGACACTTCTGAAGATTTCATCAATGTCGAAAGTGCCGAGGCTGGTGCTGGTAGCAGTGAAGCCGACTTATGGACACGAAATTCTCCTGTTGCTGCCGATCATGCAGCGGGTGGTTCATTTGAGACGGCCATGCAATTGCTCAATCGACAAGTCGGTGCAGTGAACTTCTCACCCCTGGAAGATCGGTTCATGGAGATTTACCAAGCATCTCGAACTCTGCTTCCCGCATCCGTTGGTTTGTCTCCTCTGGTCAATTATGTTCGGAGGACCGTCAATGAGACCGACTCGAGAAAACTCCTTCCCACCATCCCAAGAGATTTGGAGCATATCACCACGGTGGATCTTGTTGCAGGGAAGACTCAAATGCGGACGAACAAATTGGAGGATGGAGTCCGTACCTTCAAGGGTATCCTTCATGATGTGATGCTCAATGCTGTTGGAACACAATCGGAAGTTTCTGAGGTTAGTATCCCCACTTCGATCCCCTCTTTAATCCAACTGACAATCCAGGCCAAACAACTCATCCATACTGCCGCCCAATACACACTTGCCATGTCCATTGAACTCCAAAGGAGATCCTTGACTGGAACAAGCACCGATCTCTCCTCTTTCTCCGATGAAACGAAGAAGCGAGCTTTGGAGTTGTCGGCTTACTTTACTGTTCCCGAAATGGAACCTAATCATGTCACACTTGCCTTGTTTGCGGCAATGAATTTGGCACACAAGAACAAGCAACTGTCTTCGGCCCTCAGTTTCGCCAATTCTGTCATTGAGAAAGGAACGAATGCTAAATTTAAGGAGAGCGTAAGTGTTTGCTTTGGTTTTTTGATCTGTACTTACACCCTACAGGCAAGGAAAATCAAGGCGATCTGCGAACGAAACCCCAATGACACCCTTGAAATCGAATTCGATCAATTTGCCGAATTCGATGTATGTGCTGCTTCATACACACCGATCTACAATGGGTCTCCAAGTGTTGCTTGTCCGTACGATGGGTCCAAATACCATCAAAAGTACAAGGGGACGGTATGTAAGGTTTGTGAGGTGGCCCAAATTGGTGCCCCAGCTAGTGGGTTGAGGTTAACGGTTTGATTTCATGGTCCTGGACGGGAGATCAATGATCATGTTATGAAGCATGTCAAGGCGCCGTATTATCAAATAGCGTTCTAATAGTTCAAACTCGACCATGTTTTCTCGAGCGATATTCATACATGCAGGTGGAGGTTGAGTCTGATGAAACAGTATGATTAGAACCAGGTAAATTCGGGCGTGTATCAGAGTGAGGACCGCATCGTTGAGCAGCGTTTTCAAGGTCCCCGCTTATGATGCGTTGATAATAATATGGTACTCTGTGCTTGTACCGGATCTAAGACTGGAATAAACCCAACACTTAGCCATTCTAATTCTATTTAGACCATCTTAGCTGTATGCAACGTGACGGAGCCGCAATCTCGCCAAACCCGCCAAACCCAATTCTTCGTCTTCATGTCTCGGATTGATATCCAATGCGGGCTTGCGGAGGGATTAGGCGGGGCTACACGTCTTCATCCCGTCTCCGAAGCGTGCTGTACCGCACAATAGGAGTCCCGAAAACTGCAGGGAATCATCCTTCCGAAAAACGGAATCGAAGCATTCACAGGCGGCCACATCATCTGCCACCAAGTTTCTGCAGAGTTGGTCCTCTTCTCGACCAATCTCAAGCACGCAAGCAAGGCGAACAAGGGCAAGCAAGCTGTTTAGGCCTTAATGCAGCTGTGAGTCGCATCTAGTGGACGTGGATGCTGGGCTGAATTTTAGCCACGTTGGCGCAGATTTCTTCTTCAACATTTTGTAATTTCGAACCAGCCGAGTCCTTTAAATCATCTGGTTCTTTCTCCTTTCCCTCTGATTTTATTCATGTGTGGCTTTCTCTAACCTTTTCACTACTACAACTTATTGAGAACGTTCTACGCCGATTGAAATAGCCCGGCACAACGTTGAAGACCCGTGGTTCATCGTCTTTCTCCTTATCGATCTCACGATCCCGAACCAGGAACTCATTCGAACCTGACCTTCATACAAAAAATGACTTTGATTCTACAGACCATTGATTCACCTATACCTCGATTTTTATGGTTGCGCAGTGCGCTTCGGTGTCGATAATTTATAACTGGATTGTTCGATCCTAGGATCACTGGTTCCGATTGAACTTGGAATGATCATTCGGGGCTTACGGAATGAAATCTAGGAAAATTCGAGGATGATAGCAATATGCGACACACTTCAAAAGCGAATTATCCCACAATGACGACCCATCGACCTTCGTCACCACCGACCTCTCCGGACGACTCATTTCATTCAACCAAGACTCGTCCCGCCATGGCTCTGAACAAAAGGCAGGCTGGCATGTTCCAGTTCAGTCATTCGCCTCCTTCCGATGATCCAGGTTCTCTACCTAGACATGTATCTCTTTGGGGTTCTACACAAGGTCCGGGATCCACTCACCGTTCTCCATCACAAATGTCAATCAGTGGTTCGGAAGCTGAAGATGAGGATATCTCCGACTCAGATGAGGATAACTCTGAGGATGTCGAGGATATCTCCGACTCATATGTCTCCGACTCAGGTGAGGCATTGGATGAAGACCTTATACATGAGGAACCTTTGACTATTCGAGATGCCATCCCTGAAATCGATGAGCACCTCTCCGATTCGTCAACTTCTTCACGGGATTTTCAACCATCGATCCATGTATTTGCGGATGGCAAACAACGATTCGCTACATTCACGGTTGAAGAAGTCCATACTGCCACCAATATTGCCGACGCCGAAGTTGTCCATCCCGATATCTCGGATGCTGAGACCGATCTCAATTCCAATCAAGATCGGAAGCGAAGAGAGAGCCGAGAGTTCTGTTCTAAGTTCTCTGGATTGCAGTGCCATGAAGAACATTCCGATGACAGCACCGACGGTGAAGACACGGAAATTCAACGTCGTCGACTTGAACGACAAAAACGCTGGAGTCAACGATCATCTTATCAAAAGCGAACATACACCGAGAGTCTTGGTTCTTCAGGTAGTGATCGTGCCAGTTGTGAGATTGATCGAGATATGGTGGATGGACAAGGGATCAGTCGTAGCGAGAGAAGACTACGACGTCGTATTCGTGGACCAGGTGACACTAGTCGCTTTAGTCTCAATTCAGTCGATGAAGAAGTCTTCAACTTCTTTCAACAAGGAGCTCTCCTTGCGGAGGAACCCGATGAATGGGATTTGAATACCGATTGCCCGTCAGGATATATGGGGGTAGAAAGAATAGCTGATTCGATGGATCGAGCATGGCAGGAGCTTCCATTCTGGCGGGTTGATCCGATGGTTATTGATGATCTGGAAACCTAAAGCTTTTATTTCCTTTGTTTCTTTCTTTTCGGCCGACACGGCTCCGAGACACACCTTGACACAATTGGACTCTTGTTGGTCAACGTCGCGTCAATGTTCATCAGGCACGGTACAGGAGGCCTTAAAAGCAAATGAGGATGATGGAACGCCTGATATGATCATTTTGATGGATGAAGAGATTCATGAGGTATAAGACATGAACCATGAGATGCATGGATACAGCTTGGGGCATCAGCGACTTTCTCATATTACATTGTCGCTTTCTCGTTGTGGCTCATGGTTGATGAAGAGATATGGGGTATCAGTTTGGTTCATGGTTTATGATATGGCAGGTAATGGGTTTCTCTTCCGGAAAGATACCCTAGACTTGGATGTCATCAAGGCAATCAGTGTTTTCTTCTAAAATATCATTCCGTATGGATTCGGATTCCGGCTGTATGAATCGGCATAGAGTTCTGATTTGGCACTCGATGTTCCGTCCGGCTATTCTAGTATCCATGTGCCTAACCGATGTTAATGATGGAGGATGATGATCTATTTTGGGATTTGGGGGCTGCTGACAGGAAATCGACATTGAATAACAGGGGTGTGGTGAGAGGCTGTGTTTTGTTGGACGTTGGTGTTGATTGGTTCAATTCTTCAAACATCCCGTTTTCAACTTCTCGGCTTCTTCTCCGACCGAAACACCAACTTTCCTTGACTTTGGTCGAATCATACTCCCAATTTCGACAAGGAGGTGGATATGTCTAGATCGTTACCAACCATCCACAACCCAGGAATAGAATTAAACCTTGAGCAGATCGAACACGGCCCCAATCTCCCGGATCGAGATGTATTGCTCCATGGCTGTACTTGCACTGCCTTTGTATGTTCTGGAATTTGATTAAAGTTTAAAGTTTAAGCGTAGAGAATAAGCTTAGTTTAGCGCTATGTTGGTCCCCATAGAGTGGCGCTGTCATACAACCGCCTGCTTGTTGCTATCTTAGCATCCAGCGTCGAACAGGGCATAAGCGCGAAGATGGCCTTGTACCTGACGGTCCGCCTTAAGGTGAGTTTGGATGACATTTCGGACAAGACAGTAAGCTATATAAGAGTGCTGTCTCCGCCTCTAGATGATTTGAATTCATTATCACCAGCCAGTCCTACCGACCAGATACTAGATATTCTCCAGTCTTCTCTCACTTATCTACTCTTACTCATCTACAATCAGTCAACACTATGTCTTTCACCATCATTAAACTCCTCATCGCTGCACTTGCAGCCGGTGCCACTGCTGCTCCGCAGCCAATCAGTCTTCGACAACCCCGTTCTGCCTCTGCAATCTCCCCTATCCCTCCAGCCCCTTCAGTCGACTTCACCAAGCTCCTAACCCAACCCACTCTAGTCGATCGCTTCAAGCAACTTGTCACTCGTGACGGCAAACTTCTTCCTGAAGACGAACTACGTAGTGTCGTTTCTTTCGACTTCAACCCTCCGAAACCTGCACCAGGCGCGAAGGGAGGTGCCGTCAACCTCGCCAACACCAAGAATTGGCCCATCCTCGCCGAATCAGGAATTTCCGTTGCTGTTGGATTCCTCGGTGCTTGTGGCATCAACACCCCTCATGTCCATCCACGAGCTGCCGAACTTCTTACCGTCACTAGTGGTGAGGTGGACTTCGGTTATATCCTTGAGAACGGACTTGTCGATGCCGGTGAAAAATCGGAAATCGTTGGCAAACTTGGCCCACTTCAGGCCGCTTTGTTTCCTATGGGTAGCATCCATTATCAGGTCAATCCAACCTGTAATGATGCTACTTTCGTTGCTGCCCTCAACAATGAGGACCCCGGTGCATCTCAGATTGCACAGAACTTTTTCGGTTTGGATGGCGAGACAATCGAGGCGGTCCTCGGTTTCCCGGAACAATTTGATGGAGACCGTATTGAAGAATTCCGCAGCAAGATTCCTGCTAATGTTGCCCGTAACGTCGAGCAATGTTTGGAGAAATGCAAGATTCCCAAGAGGAAGTAATGCCACTGTGAGATAGAATCTTGATTTTTGGAGCATCAAGTCAATAGCGAGCATCGTCCTGGCGTTCCAATTTCGATGGGTGGTTTGTTTCTAGAACTACCGAGCCATTTACAGCTGTTTTTATTGGAGTCAGCGGTCTGAGTGCTCTATTGAAATACCCCTTTTAATTCTAGAGAATTCCATCCAGTTTCTCCTTCTTGTCCTTGTGTTACAACAATAAGTCTGATGCCATGTATTGTGCACTCCACAGTACCGGACCCAATCCAATGATATTCACGTTTGAGATAGGAAGTTATCAGATCTTTTTCGTCTGAGTAACCACTATAACTGTGTCTCAAGGATAGGGCAACAGAAGGAGTTGACCGTTCGCCGTTGACGGTCACTTGAACCAAAATTGAGTCATCTTTTCTTCGCAAAGACCGATCAAGTGCGCGGGATTGCTTTCCAAGGTGCCTAGCGGCATAGGGGTTTTCGACTGGACGTACCTCCATCCCAATAAAATTGCGAGGGTGAGAAACAGAACAAAGAGTCGAACTCTGGGAGAAGGAGACCTAGAGGCACCACATGGTGAGGCGATTGGCGAGGTTCCAATCCGGACTTTTGCAGGGAACCACGGGAGGTCTTGATCAGCGGCTGCCGGCTAGCAGTATCATATCGATATTCTTGGAGAATACAAGTACCCTTAAAGTAGTACGTCACCTCTGCAAATTTGTATAGAACAAATGAGTGGACGTCAAAATAAAACCTTTTCTTTGAAACGCGAACCGTTAGTACGGGAAGTCCTTATTAATTCAACTGATCATAGTAGGAAACCTTTGCTTGTGAGTGGTGACACCATCGTACCCTTAACTATAGAAAAGTCAATCTTCAACCTCATGATCTTGAGTCTTGGCTGGTTCCCCGATCATTGCCTGATGTTGTCGAAGATCACCGCCATTATTCACATTCTGACCGTGAACCCCGCAAAACACCAACTGAATGGGGTCATTCGCCGATGTGGGTGTCGATCTCCCGGTTGTCCTCCAATCGCCTCTCACGACGCTGTGCCTGAACACACCGTCCGGAGCAACTAACCTCTTCTCATCGATGGACCGATTTCCATCGTGATCCGTGACGATTAAATGTCGAGGTGGACTCTGCAGGGGAACATTCGTGGACAAATCGATATTGATGTGTTGGCAGCAATTCAGCAGAATGACTTCGAACAATAACCAGTATGGATATCAAAGACATTCTCTACCATCTCCAACCAATCCTTCATGATGCTGACATGGTTTACATCCAAGGCAGAGTTAGACAAGGGTCCTATCCTCTGACGACTCGCCATGGTAGCTATTCCCACTACAAGGCGGAAGATCTGCCAGCTTTCTAACGCGACTGGTTCGGTTTCGTTGATGATCCCCAGTTCATTTTAATGGTCACATCGACCTGCAACTGTAGGACCTCGTCCGGCTCGACCACGGTTGACTTTGATGATCTTTCCGAGATACAGATGGCTCCGTACCCTGGCATGCACTTTAAGCTGGAGTTTTGGTTAAAGTCCTTCTATTCGCCTAGTTCTGATTTTGTAATCTGTCAAGTCTTTCTTCTGGCATCGATGATCAGCTACTCTGTGGGAATATTAATTTGGTAAAGAGAACGATTAAAGGCAATCTATCAATCTCAACTCTCCAATCACGATGTTGATTCGCGCCTTTGGTGTAGCTCTAGGGGCAACTCTTCTTTCTAATGTTATTGGAGCTCCAGCTGAGTATGTCGAGACTAGATTTCAACTACACTCAAGAGACTAACGTATACAGGTTCACCAACTTCAAACGCCAAGACGGTAATCCGTTGAAGTTCGACTATAACAACAAAGTTCAAGGTGTTAACCTTGGTGGTTGGCTTGTACTTGAACCTTGGATTACTCCATCCATTTTTGAGGAGTGGGCAGATAACCAAATCGTGAAAGACGAATACACTTTCAGTCAAGCTCTGGGTAAAGATGAAACCTTCCGTCGATTGAACGATCATTGGAATTCGTGGATTACCGAAGATGACTTTCAGCAAATCGCTGCGGCTGGGTTAAATCATGTCCGAATTCCGATCGGATATTGGAGCGTCATCTCTCGTGATGGCGACCCTTATGTCCAAGGGGCATATGAATTCTTGGGTCGTGCTCTCGACTGGGCACAAGGTGCCAGTCTTATGGTCATCATCGACCTCCATGGAGGTAAGCAAAGAATTGAGCCGGGAGGATGGGACTGACATGTTTAGCTCCGGGCTCACAAAATGGCTTTGACAATTCCGGACAAATTGGGTCTGTCGATTGGACTCAAGGAGATACTGTCAAACAGACTTTGAATGCTATAGCGAAAATTCGCGATGATCATGCCGACCATCCAGCCGTTGGTGGAATTGAATTACTCAATGAGCCTCTTGGACCCGTCTTGAATATGGACGTTGTCAAACAGTTCTATATGGATGGTTGGGGTCAGCTCAAAGGCTCACATGTGGTTGTACCATTCTCCGATGCTTTCATGGGAGTTGATAATTGGAATGATTGGGGTGACGGTATGTGGTCCCTGATGGTTGATACTCACCACTATGAGATCTTCGATGGACAGATTGCCTTGTCTCCTGATGAGCATGTCCAGTCCGCTTGTGGGTTCGGAAATCAAATGGCTTCGAACAATAAATGGACAATTTCTGGTGAATGGACGGGAGCCATGACCGACTGTGCGAAATGGTTAAATGGTCTTGGGAGAGGAGCAAGATATGATGGTACCTTGGAGGGTGGCTCGTCATACGGCAGTTGTGATGGGAAGTATGTTGGGAGTGTCGCTAGTTTGAGTGAAGCGGATCGATCGAATATCCGGAGATATATCGAAGCACAATTGGATGCTTTCGAGAAAGCTTCGGGTTGGATCTTCTGGACCTGGAAAACCGAGGGTGCACCGGAATGGGATATGCAAGACTTACTTGCTGGCGGACTTTTCCCACAGCCCCTTTCCGATCGTCAACGTAAGTCAATCCATTCAACATTCGGACATAACTAACTGTTGTAGACCCAGGACAGTGCGGTTAGACAAGACTCCCTGATGTTGGGAAGGCCTGCTTGGTTAGACATGTCATTATTTACGAAATATAAAACCACAATCGTTTCCGCTATCTAGTCAACGGTTGACAAAGAATGTCTAGATAGGGAGGACCATCCGCTAGACTTGTGTATGAGTGTCAGCTCTGCATGCTCTTTCATTCTCTGAATCAGAATTTTGCCATCATCTGAAGATTCACAGGACTTATTGCCTTGCCAGTCTCAAAGAAACTTAGAATATTCTCCATTCCCAAACGTTCAAAACCGATATGAGATTCTAGAGAGGCACCAGCCGTGTGTGAGAGAAGTTCCACGTTCCTCATCTTCACCAACCTCGGGTTGAGGACGGGTTCATTGAAATGAACATCCAATCCGGCTGCCGAAAGTTGACCCGACTCCAACGCTTCGATGAGGGCATCCTCATCCAACAATTTTCCTCTTGCCACATTCACCAAACGACTACCTCTCTTCATCATGCGGAAGTGTTCTTGAGATAGTAGTTGATCGCCGTTAAATGGTGTTGCAATCAAGACACAGTCTGCCTTTCCCAACATCGTCTGGAGGGAGTGGAATTCGGCATCGATGCTCTTCTTAATATCCATACGCATCACGTCATGGTAGATGATTCGCATACCAAAACATTGCTGTGCTTTTTGCGCAACACGAAATCCAATCCGACCCAAACCAATGATCCCAAGAGTTGAACCAGATGGATTATTGGATATGGCAGCAATGTTGCGATTGGCATCAACGAATTCGGAGACGGAGAGCGAACGAGCTGCTTGACTCGACCAAGAAAACAATCGATACGTGGATAGGATCAACCAAATTGCAGCATCGGCTACTGACTCGGTACAAGCAGATGCTGCATTGCAATATACGATGCCTACGAAGGTTAGTTCGAGATACTCTTGGAAGAATCACTTACCATGATCGGCCATCACCTTCGTATCAACCCAATCGAATCCTGCTCCGGCACTGGCGGATATTTTGCAGGAATTTGGGAGAAGAGAGATCAATTCACGGTCCCACTTCCCCATCTCCCCTCCGGTATTCCAGAATGGGCGATATATTGCCACAAAGTTCCCAAACTTTTTCGTTTTGAGGGCTTTTATGAACGCCCCACGATCCATCTTGTAACTTCTTCTGATTTCAAATCTCTCCTGTAGTTTCTGGTATAGATCATGATTCCACTTGATATCATCTCCAAGATGGAGAATAATCGGCTTCGACTCCATCTCTTGTGGCTTTGGAGTAGAATTGACTTACGGAAAGGCGGTCTGAGGGTAACTAGCTAAGAAAGCAATGGTCACAGGTGGAGTTCCCGTCCTTCTGATACCCCATGACTCATCCTTTCGCCTCATATGTAGAACGGACATCTTTGACGACAATGAATCCCTTGAGGATTAGACCGGCTTAGAGCAAAGATCTGGACAAATCGATCGAGTAATTCTTGAGTTGTGATAGTCGAACAGGACGTGGGAAATTGTAGTCAGGCTACAAGGCAACAATTCCGTTTTCGCGACATCCATCTTCGCGACTTCGCCTCTCAGAAACAACTCCTGTCATTCAACCAAGATCATCCGCCGAGAACTCATCAAGAACCATCGATATTCACTCCGTCACCGAGAACCCATCAAGAACCGATCATGGGAAAGAAGAAGAGGAATCATCCCGATGTCGAAGATGTCCTGTCACGACCTTGGTGCTACTATTGTGAGCGCGATTTCGATGACTTAAAGATCCTCATATCTCATCAGAAGGCTAAGCACTTCAAGTGCGATAGATGTAATCGTCGGTTGAATACCGCTGGAGGTACGTTGATCCCATGACTTTACGCGCATCGCTAACCTCTCAGGTTTGTCCGTTCATCTGAATCAAGTCCACAAAGAGACCCTCAATGCCGTTGACAATGCCCTTCCCAATCGACAGGGCTTGGATGTGGAAATCTTTGGGATGGAAGGTATCCCGGAGGATGTCGTCAACTCACACAAACAACGCGTCCTTCAACAATACTACGAAGCTCAAGCCGATCGTCAAGCACAAACCGGAAACCCAGCTCCTGGTGCAAATGCTCCAAAGAAACCGAAATTCGAATCTCCATCCGATTTGAAGAGGAGATTGGCCGAACACAAAGCTAAGAAAGCTGCCGAAGCCGCTGGAAGTAGTGGTGATGTAACACCGTTACAGGGAGCTCAAAGTCCAGCCGCTGCTACTCAAAGTCCGGTTCCTTTCGTAAGTCGATCGCTCTAGATGTTGAGCAGATACTAACTCTTCCAGCACCCGCCCTTCCCTTCACACCAAGTACCTCATATCCCTCCCCAAACCAGTCCTCCTCCCTATGGACAGTTTCCGCCTTACGGTCAGCAAGCTTTCCCTCCATCTTGGGTTCCCGGAATGCCTCAAGTCCCTCCCATGCCCGGTGGATACTCACCAGGTCAATATCCATCCATCTCCCCCCCATTCCAAGGACATCCGCAAGTCCTTCGACAAAATCTCCCAAATGCCCCGGGACTTCCACAAAGACCCGCCTTTGGCGCTCCCCAGGTGAATTCATTTCAGTTTCAGCAAATGCATCAAGGCCATGCTCAACCATCTTCACCGGGCCCTAACCAGACCCAGGGAGTCAATGGTCACAACGCGGCCGCTTTCTCCGCGTCAGTTGATGAACTGATTGCTAGCACCAAACAGGAAATGGACAAATCCAAACCAAGTGCAACGGAGAAATCAAAGAAAGACTTCCGTTTGGTTTATTCGGATAATGAGGTTAGTCCGGAGGAGAAGATGGCAACCCTTCCAAGGTACGCATTCGTTCCAAACAACAAACCAGAAACCGTCTTGGGGGATGTGGAGGGTAGTGTGACGGGTCCTGTGGTAGGTCCAGACGATGTCATGGACAAATCAGGTTGATCCGGTTGCTTCAGAGGCGATGGAAAGTGCTCACTTAGTACTCCCGACTCCCTACGACACGAGATCATAGGCCATCGGAGTTGCAGATTCATTATGGGATATGGTCAGTCAGTCCATCGGTGTTCATAGTTCTTGCGGGAACTGATTCTTCATTCAAGTTCTGGTCCGAAGGATGGATGGAATACCGTTTGTAAGTCGATTGATACAAATTTTCAAGCCTTTTCATGATTTCCACATCTGTGTCGTTCCACCGGCATTTGCGCTCAGTAGTGGCATGATTTCCTCACCTTTCTATAAACACCATTGAGGATGCAGCATTGCATTGGTAATATTGTGATTGTGCCTCTAAAAGACCAGCCATTGTATGGCGTGGTGGAAGAATGGGAAAAATCGGTGTCAGAAACCTGATTTTGAAGGCATTCTATACCTCTCTCACTCCTTCGAGTTCCTCGAAAATGGTGTCTACCGCGCCCTCGGCTCCTTTCAACACCGTTTCCAGCGTTCGGATGTTGATGAAGATCGGACATTCCGAGATATTGGCCACCGCTGATTCGAACCATTCATTTGCGGTTGGAAATGCGTTCTTGGATATTAACGCAAGAGAATAGAACGTATTAGAGGCTGATCGGATTTAGCTCGGCATCCAACTTGTCAGATGAGTGATGATACATCGCCTCTCAAAACGCGTGCGGGAGATGAGGATCCCAGTCTGCGCGATGAATGCGACAAGGGCTTTGGTGAGTTTGGATGGATTGCCCTGGTAATTATTAGCGTTGAGTTCTTTGACCCGCTTTATGCAATCGTACCATGTCGATGATGCGTTCACGCCCTAGTGTACTGTCTTCGAGTCGATCCAGCGTCATTCTCGGGCTCATCCTCGTCCTCATCCTCGTCCTCACCCTTATCCGCCTCGCTGCCCTCGTCCCCCTGGTTTGTACGGCGCGTCCTCCAGATCCTCCGGCTCCTCTGGTTCGTTCAGTGCGTCCTCCAGGCCCCCCGGCTCGTCCGGTTCGTCCTTCGATTCGTTCTCCTCCAGGTCTTCTTCTGTCTCATCTTCATCCTCTTTGTCTAGCTCGTCGGCACCTCTAGCATTTTGCTTGTCCGGTTTGAGGGACCTCGAACTACCTTGAGGACAGCAGCTTTGTCGATGTTAAGGTCGGAAAAAACAAGGTCAAGTGCGATGCCAAGCACATCTTGAGTGGCTCGTTCGATTGATGGCCGCGTCTGGTTCGTGTTCCTGGCTCCCTAATGTTGTCTTGCGGCCGGGGTGATTGCATTTTGTAGCTCAGCATGCGAAGCGCTTGGTTGACTTGCTGCAATTGGCAAGCGACTGTCATGTGGGATAGGAAGAGTGGTGATGTGATCCCTAGATTTTCTACCCGATTCTTCTCTGGAAGTCGAGGACGTCTTGGGACAACATCGTAGGTGTCCGTTAGCCCTACATATTCTTTGATATGGCGAATGTTGGCCGCGGTGGCGTTTAAACCTTTGTTTTTGCCGCGTGCCATTGCTGATGCTTGGTGGAGTGGTGATTGGATCTGGGGTTTTCTGGAGAAATCGACGCTACGGATTGCAAGAAGCCCGTCCCGATGACAAGGTTGATGGGGGATGGATTGAAAGAAAACAAGAAGTTGTTCTAAGGACTAAACTTATGTCGGCAGCAACGTCGAGATGATTGATGAGATGAATCCCAATGGGATAACAAGAAGCCTGTCCTAGGGACAGGGCTTAGAAGATGATGGGGCAACAAGGAACCCGTCCGATGGACTGGACTTACAATACGAAGGGAAAACAAGAAGACCGTTCTATGAACAAGGACTTGACTATGGATATCCGTGCAGATATGATGGCGGTGATTGGAAAGTGATGGTGGAAAATGTAAGCTGAAACCTGGCTATCCATGTGAGTGAAACCTAACAAAAAACCCCACAGCTCAGTTCTCAAAATTCTGCCTATTCGGACTTAATATCACTTCACTTTGATTTATCCACAGATTCCACTGGACACCCTATGTATCTGCCCGACCAGGCGGGACGGATCGTTCCGGGATCCAGGAAACCGGAATCCTCAAGTTCTACTGGTATGGATAAATTGCTCGACTAGACGATGGGTCGACAGGCACGGTGAGTTCCAGCATGATTTCCCGAAGGAATCGATGGGTGGTACGTCTATGAACAAGTGTATTGCGTCACCAAATTCATCATCAACTCCTCTCATCATCCCTTCTGTTTGCATGTCCCGTTTGCATCTTCGGTATACAAATATTCTCCAAGTCCCCCGTCTTTCAATATTCTACTGCAGCTCTGAATTGGAGTTCTGAATTGTCCTTGACTTTGCAATGCTCCTTGAATCGCGAATATACTCTGCATAGCCATTTGCTTGTTCAATGTATCTAGTAGAACCTTCGTATATTGTCGCATTGGGTTGTCGAGTCATTATCTCATCGAGCAGACTGGCATCCCGATTTCCTGCAGCTGATCTTGAAACCTCACTTTCTAACAACATACTGTCATGACGTGACAATCCTTTCTGTCTCATTACCCCATCCACCGGAGTTATATTTACGATATACGATTAAATGTCTTGTCTTATCTTCATCCACCGGTTCTATAACTCCGCGAATCATAACCCCAACCCGTGGACCCGTTACTCAGTCGACTCGATCCATTGTTAAGCTTAGACATAGTGTGGGATTCTTCTCCCGTCCGTTGATTCGTAAGCTCAGCCATAGTGCGGGTTTCTCACTCTTCGGGAAAGCGACTTCTCCCTTCCCGATGTCAAAGCGGGGTTGTATCAAACTTCAGCCAGATATGACGAGACAAAACTGACGCAAGACCGCCCAGACAGGAGGATTTCCGAGCTGGAAACGAAAGTGAAGGTGAATCTGGCCGACAAGGTCAGATATTGGGCAGAGGCTGGACCAGCAGGGGAAACCTGCGATTAGTGTTGGGCACCGGGGATAGCAATCCCACCGATTATGAAAGGATCAGGCGGTGCGCATTCAGCAACTTGAGATAGTTAATCAAAAAGTCTCGATGCTGGGGCCAGATTGGCTGGCGCGGCCGGCAGAGCTTGCGCGACGAGATTTCAAGAGGCGAATATCGAGCATGGAAAGGTCAAGGGCAATTATGAGTTAGAAGATGCTACCCATCAACTACAGATGGAGCTAACTGATCAATTGTTAACGGTTCAGGCGGTACAGATTCAGTCGCGGGTTCAATTATGCACGAGAATGGTGGAGGGCAGTAATTGATCATATCTCCGGAACTTCGGTGATCAGCACACACAGTCGGTATGCTCTTCGTATTCCGAGTCAATTCATCGCTGTGTAGTATCTTTTCGTTTCTGTTACTTCTGGTCAGTCGGTTTGTTGGGGTGCTCTTCTCGATAGAGAGCTTGTATTTCGATTCTTTATCCGAGTTAAGAGGCCGATGCCGTGCAGTTCCTCGAGAGTACTATCCTCAGGCAGCTCCACCAGTCGACATTAGAATCAAGAAGGTTTTTGTCGGAATGGTGGTACGATGCTGCCTGGTGATCTCTGGCGGGCCGAAATGGGATAAAGGGCATGAGCGTACTGCCGTGTGTATGTATCTTCGATCCGATACTGCGCATTGTTAACATTATATTAGGCCAGTCATGTGGGACTCATAATCGGCCCTAATAGTTTAGGAGTGATATCCCGACGAGGCACCATGTGCTGGGGCTCCTAGATCATTCGTGCGAATCGACTGATTAGTGTCATGGGCCCAAACCACGAAGGATTTGGTAAGCTGGTAACGCTATTGAATTGCTAAAGAGAAAAGGAAAAGATCTCTCTCACGATCTACTATGTACATCTGTGAGCAAACGGTCTACCTATCCTTCCTGCCTTAGGCCGCAAGGCCACAATACACAGACTGGGCGAAGCCCAAGACTGTCACAATTAGAGGCGGGTTAGATCAACCACAATATAGTTGCATCAAAAGGGGGAAGGCCATCAAAGCAGGTCGCATAGATATATGTACAGGGTTCTTTGTTCTTTGCATTGATTCTCACTTCATCTTAGTGTCTCCAATGGTTTCATATTCCGTACCACTGCTTTCACACGAATCTTTGCTACCACTCCGGCCAAACTGCTTGAGAAGTCTTCCTGCGAAGAGCGAACATCACAGTAATGGTTGTTCAGCAACCATGGCCTGAAATTAACAGCTTCCGTTTTCGAAAGTCTGCTAATTCCACTCGTATAACTATCACAAAGTTTCCATGCCTTGCTAGTTGCCAATTTGCTGGTTTACATTGTGACTGGTGAATGGAGGACGTAGCTTTTAACGGTCGGCAAGCCAACAGTAGTTGGTTATTTTCATTAGCTTGGAAAACACATTGATTATGTGTATTCACTGAAATTCTGTGTTGAAAATTGTCCATCGTGAGTATGGTGAATTGCGCTGAAGTAAAACCTCCTAGTTTCCACCTGTCCGTAGACTTTACTTCTTCATTCTTTCAATATTTTTCCACTTCTTTAAGAAGAAAATTCTACAGAAGCCCGCGAAGTCCAACTGTACGCGTCCACGTCGCCGCGGGTGAAACATTGATGGAGAAGAGTTCTCTATTGATGGCTAAGTGCAGTGGCGATGAGAGAGACGCACGCGTTGCGCGTGCAGGTCGCAGGCCTTGAGCGTGGTATCGCCATACCACCAATACCAGCACGACTGTGTCTACTGACTCCGCTTAGACACGGTGTCCTTTCATTAAGGGAGGCCTCTTGAGGGATATAAAGGGATACGAAAACCATCCGATAGGGGTCTATCTAGCTCGCAGCTGGATCCGGAAGCCTGACTTATCATTAGGTAGATGAGGACGCGTCCTAGGCCTCTAACAGGACATCCTCAGGCTCGCCTACTCTGGGGTTACGCGTGAGCAACGAGCTGCGTGTAGCGAGGGTTTAGAATAATCCTAATTCTAAAGAACTGTCACGGTCGTACTTTTCGTGCTTTGAGGCGTTAATGTATTGTTGCCTTATGGCCTGATACGGATGCCTCACGATACGATCGGTGTTGTGAGCACCTCAAGGCCTACTTATCATCGCTCACACAGCGGCATGTACTTAGATCTTCCTTCCTCCTTCGTAGATTGATTCTCGTATATCGCGAATTACAGAGTTTCACCTCATCCTTTCGTAGCCTGACAGTATCCATCTTCTAACTTCAAAAACCATTCCGTCTATAACTTTTGCTTCTTCGGTGCTGGTCTCAGAATGCACTGTTGGGTCATATTCGCCACTAACTTCGTCCCTGTCTTATCAAAGAGCCTCGACTCGGTGTACGTCCTCGCATGGTCGGCAACTATCGTTCGCCATTCTCTTAGGTGCCACTTACTGAGGTCGATTTCAGTGACATATAATCTTAGGGCGAAGTCAAGCGTCGAGCACGGGCCGGCTTCATCGAACCACATGGCGTTATGCGCCAACGGAATGAACGACAGCGCCCCGTCCATCATGAGCGAAAGTCCGCACACGTTCTCGGCTTGGGTTTGAGTCGTTCCAACATGTCGGAAATAGTCGGCAGATGTCTTCTCTGTAACATCCAGATCATCCTGGCTGGTCTTCAACCACTTCGCCGCCCCAAAGGTCTGGCCCATGACTCCTTCTGGCGTGGTGCGCTGTTCGAATTGAAGTTTCTTGACCAGCCCAAATTCCTTCTTCAACCCTTCTGACACTCCCGGTGGGAGTAATCCCTTCTCTTCCATCTCTAGAGCGGTTTGATCGTGCGGCTTGCATATCTCGACTGGAGAGTATTGCCTGAATGGCTTGACAGAATACTGGAGCAGCGCCTCCGGTTCCGGGGCTTGGAAATCCGCAATCATGATCATCACCTTCCGCTCAGTCTTCTCCAGGTTTTCCTTCACGGCCTTCGTGAGGGTTTCGTAGGGAACAGCGTTCGTGCTTTGGCTCAAGTCTATGACGCGAGTTGCAAATGATCTCGTGTCGCGCACGCGTCGTACTCGCGCAATGAACGGCCGGTCAACCAACGAAGGGCCCAAGAAGCTTCCAGTTGCAGAATAGAGGGCGTAATTTGGGCCTACGGTTTGGAAGGCCGCGTGAAGCGAGGCGGAAATGGTACAGCCGCCGTACGCGATGCTCTTCGAGTTGGCCATTTGATCTGGAGGAATCACACTGATGAACTGATCATCTCCAATCGACCGGAGAGCTAACTGGGCGCTCAGCGATTTTGGTGCCAGCTCAACAGCGTGGGCAGCCATCTTAACGAGGGATTCGAGAGTGATGAGATAAGGATAACGCGAAACTAGTCCAAAACTACCGGATCGATGAAAAATCTCCCCGTGACTTCAGAAATATATGTAAAGGGATGTATCACTTGTATGGGAAATGGGAAATATATTAAATTTACGGACGTATTCCGTCACTAACTAACTTCCGGTTTGCTGAGACGGCGAAGTTCGGACTTTGAACGTTGCTGGAAGGGGTTACAGCAATTATCTAATGAGAAGCCACTAATGGGCAGAGTAACAAGTTGGAGATAGGCGGCAAGGGGCCCATTCTAATAATATTTTGGTTAATCTCTCAGTAACTTGAACCTTCTTGATTACCATTCACACTTCATCTTTCTCACCGCATCGGCTAATGCAATGGTGTTAGCCGGCTATGAGAGATGAATCTCATTCTACGGCAGCTAGCCATCTTTTCATGTAGAAGCCAGGCTTCTGCGATCATCATGGAGTTACAAGGCCTAACCCGTAGAGTTGCACAGCATCCACTGTGCGCCCAGGCCTTCTTGACCGGGGGGTGGTCGGATGGTCTGTGTAGGCCGATGGCCGGCCTGGCGAATAGGTGAGCATTATTACGGAATACATTTCTATATACGGTACATATTTCTAAGCTGGGGAAGCCTTCTTTGTTTACATCGAAGAAGGTTGGACGCTGAATCAACCCTTAACCTAATCAGGCTTGGGCTCTCAGCCTTAGCGAACCAAGGGTTTCAACCCATAACAATCCGCTTCACAGTCGTACCAAGTTCCCTCTTCGTCCGCCGCCAATACTGGTCCCTGAACTGTACAGGGCCGATAGTTCCGAACCTAACGGCCGTAAGAAATGCGGCGGTCTATACAAGTGTGATGAGGAAGCCAATAGGGAAGATGTCTAGTGTCACGCCTGGCAAGACCAAAGACGTAACGGTCGCAGCCAGCGCCGATACTGAAGCTTGGGTCGCGGGGTCGATCGTGCTCGTGCCCTAGTTTGCGAAGACGCCGGACATAAAGCTGGCTTCGGTGCTAGATAGCGTAGTATTGACTACAGCCTGAGTGACCGCACGCGTCGTAGATAGCTCTTCTTCTTTAGCTTTGCAATAAATGAAAGTGGTTCTCGTAACTTCTGCGATCAAACCGTCTCAACGGTTAGATATATCAGCGGTTTAGAATTCAATCGGGAAATTTCCTCGATCGTTTTGCTTAATTAACAGTTGGTTAGCGGTTGTGTCGCATCACGCGTGGGTGATGATTAAGCACGTTTGCTTCTTTAGCTCAGTTGCTGTAGAGTCACAACGCAAGTTGGTCTTGACGATTCCCATTGTCTCTCCAAAAAGGAGATCTAGCTAGCAAAACAGTTGAAGATAACTGGGACATATCATAAGGGCAATTTTGGTGCGTCATGGCCTGGGTTATTAGGCAAAAATGCCAAGACCTTAGTTCTTCACACATAACACCCATCGCGGAAATGGTACTCTTATTGCCTGTAACTAACAACAATAACAGTAGCAGTAGCAGAGAAAGTATGGATATCCATGCGTACGCGCATATTTTTATGTTTAACCATCTTGGTTGAGATCTTCGGTAGGGACGGTAAGCTGTTAGATATATCGACTTATAAGTAACAAGTGACAAGTGACAAGTGACCAAAGTCAACTTGTTGTATTGAAATCCCGACTACCCAAGGTACAGCATAATAGGGTGAGCCTTCTGAGATAGAGATTCGTACGTAGGTGGAATTTCTCTTTCTAAAATAGGAATTCGTACGGAAGGGGTGATTCATTTGACTCAGTAAGGTGTAGTTATAAGTCTAAGCTTCTGTCCTATGGATACTCGATTCCTCCTTTTCCCTCTCCTCCTCCTCCCCTTTCTCCTTCTCCTCTTCCTCTTCCTTCTTCTCTTCCTCTTCCTTCTCTTCCTGATTCTCTTGATCCTCCTCTTCGTTTTACTTCCTCCTGCTTGATTCCAAATTAATTTATTATCGTACGAGCACCTCCTCTATCAATCTTAGAGCTTATCCAAGTAGATTACTCTTTTTTTAAGCAATCTCCTTGTAGAGATGATGTAAACTCCACTTTGATCTCGTACGCACCTCTTCTAACCGTGTTACCGCAAGGAGAGCTGGTATTCTCTTCGCCTCAGATACTGTACGGATATAATCGATAATAGCTTTTCTACGACTATACCACGTCTTCTCTGAATCTTTCTGTCGCCATAAGGCACCATAACTTAACTCTAACGCTTGTACGGAAGGATTAGGTGCAAATCCTTCAAACCACTCTCGCCAGAGTTGATCAACGGTTTCTACCGTACGAGACATAGTATAGATTGGCTCTCCATTCTCTTTAATCGGCCGATCAGGTAGCGGTGGTACAGTCGAAGGGCTGGCGGCCAATAGCGGTAGAGCTGAAGAGGTGGTAGGAGTAGAGCGTGCGATAGAAACCGGAGTTTCTATTACCGGCGTTGAAGGTATTCCCGTGCCGGGAGCGGCCGTCCGAACCGCTGGCAATGGATCCTGGAGTAAGGATAAGTGTCCTACATTAAGGTAAAGAGGTGTTCTGCCACTGAATACATCATCTAGAACCGTACGCTGGCGGCACTGTTCCGTACGAAGAGAGTCGAACATCTCTTGTAATCTTTGTCCAATATTGGTCTCCATCACACTCAACCGATCTGCAATTATCGGAACAGCTTATCGTACGAGTACATCTTGCGGTTGAACTACTTCAGCAGCAAGAGTTTGCCTCATCCTCCGCATAAAGTCAAGGTACTCCGGATCAGAGAAGATCGGATGCTGGAAGAGAGGGTGGTGTGGAAACTCATCGCGGATTAGTACGAAGTCCTGAAGAAGCACCGTACGAAGATAATCAAGTAGCCGGAGGAAGGCCTTTCCAGCAAGGTCATTCCGATCTCCCTCACCCTGTTCTTCTAACTGGTGATCCTCACGCACGGTGCTCTCATTCTGTTGGAACCGCTCGATCCACTCGTCCACCCATGGCCAGATCTTCCGTACGAGAGTCTCAGGAGGCAGGACCTGTGCTCGCGGAATGAAGTAGTCTCCTCGGCCGCTGGGAGAGAAGCCAGCGGCTGCTCGTACGAACTTTCGGGGAATGTGGCTGAGGTATGCATTCGACATGGAATCCGAATTCCATCGTCCAGCTCTCTGAATCTGAGATTCGCTGACCCCAAGTATCTCCGCATGCTGAGCACCTTGCTTTCGTCCGGCATGTGTCTTCTTGTATGAAGAGATCTCATAGCGGTCAAAGATCTCATTGACCTACTGCAGCTGAGTAGCGTACGAGAGAGGATGGGTATTCTGGCCACCTTTCAAAATCTTCGTCCGATACTAATCTGAGCGCTGCTTGAAGGTCGGCGGCGGTTCTTTCTCAAGGTCCCAGCGGAAGAAGAGGTAGAACGCCAGTTGAGAGACTAAACATTTCCAATGCTCCTTGTGCCGTACGGTAACACCATACTCTAGCTTCCCAAAGGCGTTTGTCTTCCCGTTGTCTATAATCATACAGAGAACACGGCAATCTGTTGCTCCTTCATTCTGCAGCGGGACGGCGAAGAGATCAGGCAGTTCTCCGTTTCGTACAGTCTCCCCACGCAGAAGCATGTTATGCGAGAAGAGGAGATCGACTGCCGTACGAAGCCATCCGCTGTAGACCTGCGACGTCGGTCTCTCTCGCTTTCTTTCCTTGCCTGCCCGGACAGACGTTTCAGACGCCTCGGGCTGCCAGCAGCCTCGTATACATCGTACGAACTCTTCTTCTGAATAGCCGTCGAGCAGTGTGCCAGTACCGCGATCAACGTACTCTTCTCGCTTGCGGGCCACCTCGGCCATCTTACGCTTTTGCAGCAGCTGCTTCAACGCATACGACCGGGCGGGGACATTTTGGTTCTGAAGAAGGCTGTACTGCACTTTCCACAGCTCCATAATTGCAGAGACGTACGTTTCAATCGATCGAGCTCCGAGCGTTTGTACGATCGGATTGCCATCTGCGCCCGTACGAGGCTGCTTCAGCCTCCGGCCTGGCTGGGTCGGCTTTGCTATACGACCGATAACCTCTTCTTCTAGAAAGAGGATAATCTTTGGACTGGTAACGAGGATACCGTCGCTGCACTGGTTCTTCTGGCACCACGCCTAACCGAATTAGCCTCCTCCTTCGTTAGATTCCCCGTACGAAAGCGCTTCTCACAATAAACTCTTGCTGTCGTGGCTCATATATTCTCCTTGTATTCGTTACTCGGCCATCTGGTGTTGCAAGGGCTCGTTGTGTCGCTGCATTTAAACGGTTATTCAGCTCGATCGTATGCTCTATAGAGAGCTGCGAGCTAGGAGGCATTTCTTCACGGTCTGATGGCAGTACTTAGTAGGAACAACTCGAGTAAATTATCTCTATATTATTATCGAGACAGGCTCGTTCTATCGAGAGAGGAGGGGAGGGGAGGGGAGAGGGGAAAATGCCTGAGCTAAGCACCACCAAGTCACAGCTATACCGTATAGAGCGATAGTTTCCACGGACGCTTTACTGAAAAAGGCTTAACGCTGCGCGATTTCTTCGCCAGTAACCCAGCCACCACGAAGACTTTCAGATAAGTGCATATCAACTAGGTGGCTCGGTGGTTGGTTGCGCAAAGGCTGGGTTATCATGCGCCTTGGCACGCCATAACCCGTGGCGCTGACCCTTGATAACGGTTGGTTAACGGTTTAGTAGGCAAAACGTCGGCTAAGATTCGGCTTAGCTTCGGGGGTTCCTATTAATCCGGCTCCTACCATAACTCTACGATGCTCTCCTAGACCTAATCATACGGGTAGACACGTTATAAATGAGATGAGCTTCTTATATAAGACTCAGATGACCTATAACCACTCTTAAACTCGATATTTGAGATGGATAACACTGCTGCTGGCATAGACCCGGCGCTGTCCGGCTCCCATGTTGGAGCGGAAGATGATGAACTAGGTCGTCCAGTATGCTCCGCACACTGCCTTTCTTATATAAATTATATAGGAAGTCCAGTCTCTGACGCATTAAGTAACCCGAGGATTTCCAATCCTACCTCCGTAACCCGAAGAAACGGGTACGAGCGAAGCGCCATCACCACGCCGAAGCCGTCAGTGAGGACAATGCTCGCGTTGCGAAGCTGTCCAGATCAACGAGGTGGAACCATTTCTTTTTCCACAGCTGTTTTGAGGAAAACAAGTTGATCCAGAATGTGTACGGATCTGTGACGGCGGATGACGTCGAGTGGCGAGAAGCGCATGACTTTATTCATGCCTGGTCCAAAGGCTTCAAGTTTGAGACTATCAGGAACATGAAGGCTAGCTATACGTCTTACTAAGTTGTTCTTTTGCTAATTTCGCGTAGAGTTACGTTAAACGGCTCATCGAAGAGGATACAGTGGCTGCATCAATTGCAGTAGATAAATTTACCAAATTTATCGAGTCGGAGTCGGTTTTTTCGTCCGTTAACTTCTTTAACGTTTTCGGCTACATGCATGAATACCTAGATTACGACGGGTCTTCCACTTCTGGGAAGTGGTACTGCAGGAGCAAGTTTCCCCTATTCCCCCTAGTTCTCTAGTTCTCCGCCTATTTCGCATATTTCTCCTATTTCTCCTATTTCTCTTGCTTTTCCTACTAGTTCTCTTAGTTATCCTAGCTTTGAAGCTCGCTAACTGTAATAGGCGTGTTTGCGAATCTTGCGGGTGAGGTGCGCCGGTGGATTGAGGATGGCAAAGATGAGAATGCCAGGCAGCGGCTGCTGCAATTTTACGACGAGATGGTTGCTTATGAAGCATATACGCCATATAAGCGTAAAGACCTCTTTAAAGAGGCATTT